AATTAATTTAATAGTAAATACCGTAGTCTGGATAACCTTCACATCAAATTCACAATCAAATCATAAAATACCGATTTATTTTATTTTAGAGACTAAAATGTTACAATCTCGGCAATCCGTGCGGGAGAAAGGATTTTTTCGATCATTTGAAAACACTCAGTCGTTTCTCCCTCACGGATTTGCGAGATTGCAAAAACTTGAACAAACTGTGGACGATTGCACTCTTTTGAGGCGGAAATTCAAATTTTGATTTAAACAATGTTAATTAGAGTATCGCACTGCGGATGACATGCGAATCAAACTCAATATAAATAGGTGCTCATTTTTTGCGATTTGTAATTTAATTGAAAACGTTTGACATTAAAACAAGATTCTTCACGTCTTTGGCAGTTTGCCATGAGTTTTTTGTCTTTCGATTACCCGAACACTACAAAAATGTGAATTTTATAATATATTCTTCACATAACGATGGTATAACAGTTTTCGAACTTTTTTCATTTCAAATATTTTTTTTTGCGAAGAAATTCGAAATCGTTTTGTGAATCGAACTTGTGTATTTTCATTAATCATTGCTCTATGTTCAATATTCATTGCATAACCCTAATCTTATAAAAAAGTTGTTCCTTTAACAAGAGAACCTTGCGAGTGTGCCACTCGACTTACTACTTTATGGGATCGAGAAAATTTAGACATATGCACGACCGAAAATGTGCATCTTTACGATGATTTTTCTCGTTGAAATTGTTTGAATTCAATTTGAGACGAAAAAAAAACCATCTCTCACCTCTCACACGACACTTGAGCTCGCCTTTTCTTTTTTCTTCTGAGCTTCCCCCTTTCGAAGAGTTTTTGTTTGGAAAAGAAAAATGTCGCACGATGATCACATGGAACCCACGGAAAAAAAGAAGAGGAGTAGCTCATCAAAATGACCGAACATTGAGATAAGATGTTCATTTTGGTGTGGAAAAAAAACTATTGAAGTGTAAAATTGGATGCCGTCGAAACTCGCACCGAATTTGGGTATATCGCAATCAGAAGGAAAAAAGAGAGCTAACGCGAAAATAAAAAGATTCGATTATTGCGGTGTTGTGAGCAGCTCGCAATTGTATAATATGATCTTTTCTGTATAGGAAGTTTGAATTCTTAGAGGCTAATGAATATTCGCTGAGATGAAAGTCTTTTTAGATGAACGTCTCGTTTTGAGCATCTACACACATTTTACGATATAGTTTTTTTTTACAATTTTAAGATTAATATCTCCAAAATAAATCGGCATTTTGCCTGAATTTAGGATTCAATGAAATCGAATTGTAATCAAACTGTGATTTTAAAGTTTGCCAAAAAATAATTTTTAAAGTTTCACAGATCTATAATTCTAGATTAATACTGTGATTAATTATAAATTAGATTAATAGATTTCTTTATTTTCTCCTCAATTTTAGTTTATAAGAAGGACGGATTTGAAAAAAAAAAGGCTTTCATACTTGGTTACCTCATTGGGAGTCTCTTTAAATTCTCATCCATTAAAAATGTAGGATGATCTCGTCGAAATCCGAAATGCGAATTCTCTCACCGAATGAAAAGCCATCCATTTAGGTTGCGCCTCTCCATCCATCACTTTGCAAAATTGCTTAAAATCCAGTCACTTAATTTTCGCGCCAAAATGATCGAGAATTTATTTCGGGCATGGGGGGCCCATCCCACAAACATCCGACATTGCCTTCCTTCCCATTTATGTATATATTTTTCTTCGTATTCCTCTGTTTTTTTTCTCCTGGCTCCTGAATACACTCGATAGACGTCCTATGTGTGTGTGTGTGTGTGCGCGCGCGCTCGGACTCGAGAAGCACCGCCCATATTTAGGCTTGTCACCGCCTACTTTTAGCGTTGTTGTGCTCTCACATATAGAATTTGCACAGCCGAGACATTTATCTAGGTGTACGCTTTTGCCAACGCCGTCCCTCCTATTCCTTCTTGTCGGGTCGTGTTTTTTGTGAACCGGGGCGAGGCACCGGGCCAAGATCATTGCCCGCCGGGATGCCCGATGACCTCCCAGTTCACGAAACTCTTCTCGTTCATTCTGGCCAATGTTCATGATCCGGCGATTCTCGACGACTCAGGTTCGTTTTACAACTATTAAATGATTTCCAATTCCGAAGAATTGCACCACTCTCTTTTGAAATCTGAAATAACTCAAAATTTGAACTTTCCATTCTTTTTTTCAATTTCCGAAAATAAAACTAAAACATGGACAGCGACATTTGTCATATTTTCCCGACCGAGTTGAGATAAAATTTCGGAGTTTTTCATTGGATAAAAATGATGGTGCAAAAAGTATTTCGGAAATCTGTTTATTTTGAATCATTTATTCATTAAATCTCATCGAGACGGATACTTTTTCGCCGACTTTTTGAATATTAAAATCTCGTTCAAATCGTTTGTTAAACGAAACTGAAATGCAATTCTCCAATATGTCCGTTTTCGAAAAAATTCGCTTTTATGTTTTTTTTTTTCAAAAAACAATCATCCCACGCAATAGAAAAAAAAGAGCACAGCGAATGTAAAATAATCCCATTATTTCCTATCCACCAACCGTTGTGATTCATATGCGCAAAATTGTTTTATAATGATTAAAAACCTTCTCGTAGGGGACTATTTTTAGCCGAATTCGAGATTTTTCGAATGATTCGCTCAACGAAACAAATGAATTGACTGGCAAATTCGTGTTGAAGGTTTATTTCGAAAACTGCGAATCTGGGGACTTAATTTGATTGACTTGCCAATGCGCGAATGTCTCGTAATTCGATTAACAAAGTGTTCAGAAACACGCTAACAATAAGCTGTTCGAACCCAACAAAAGTGCAAATTTGCGAAAAGTAGCTATCTTTTTTTTTTTAAACTTTTCATCAAACATATATTAAAATTTGTTATTTTTTTTTGAGAGTTATTGAATCCTCGAATATTAGAAACATCTGGAATAGTAAGACGATTTTGGTGGATTCGAATGCTATTCGAAAATTGAAAATGATTTGTGCTATTGATTTTAAAGGAGACTTTCCTCATTTTCTACACCAATTTAGACAAAATTTTAGATTATATTATTGACGGCTGACGAATATAGTATAAGGGACGTTGTTCAGAACTAACATTTTACAGATTTGGTCTGCTAATCATTTTCGACATGATATTGTTGTATGATATGCTCCGAAAACTTTAGTGTTCATCCCGAATGCATATTCAATTTGTGGTAGCAATCGGTTTGCCGTGTTAATTGTGTTTAGGCCTATACATATATACTAAATTGATATATATGTATATACAATTAGAAATGCAGAATTCTGAAATATTTCTAGAATATTAAAGGGCTAGTTTGAAATTTTAATGCTTTCAAACGACTAGCTCCTTTTTTTTATTTCGAACACCAATTGGTCCTTCGATAATTTGGGAAATCTTATAACAATCGTTCCATTTGCTTTTCTTGTTATCCGATTATAAATCTGCTGCTCACTTCTCTATTTTTTTCGGAACTAAATGAGGCTTAATCGGGTCATTTATGTTCCGTCCATTTTTTTTTCGGCGCGCCATTTCTAGACAACAGAAAAAACATCAAAATATGTGGTCTTCTCCGCTATTTGAAACGACAACGAATAATGGCACTTCAATTTGTTTTTAAGCTTTAAGAGGTCGATCAAAAAAAAAAGAAGAAAAATGTAGTTTTAGGAAGTGCAGATAATAAAGAAAAAACATAACCAAAATACATAAATAGAAGAGCAAAATCAATTTTTTTTGGAAAACTGACGACTAATATTTATTAGCGAGTATTTTCTTAAATTGATTGACGAAAAATTTAAAAAATTTTGGTCATTTGCGAATTAAAATATTCAAACATTTGTTCTCGAAAATTTTGAATTAAATGACATTTTTTTCTAAGAGAACTTTCAAATTATGAAAGAATGACCTTTTAGGTTTGTTCCGTTTTTAGTTGTCGCTGAATTATGTCATTTCCATAAACACGATTTACACATATATCAAATTATATAATTATGAATTTCACAATAATTCTGTAGCATAATAAAGTGTTTCATTGATTGGAATTAGATACTTTTAGTTTTGTTTTTGTTTGAAAAATGCTAAAATGGCTGCCAATCAAAAGTTTCACCTATTCATTTTCAATGAGGTCAATCAATACGAATTGAATGGAAAAACCAAGTTGCAGTTGGAATTGTCGATCCATTTCAAATAATGTTCAATGTTCCAGCGGACGTCAAAAAAGGAAATGAAATAATTTATGCAAAATGAATGTAAAATATGCAATTCCTTAAGAAACCAAATATTTTCCAATTTATGTACTGTGTAAGTGACTGACTATACATTGTACATAAATGCTTAAAGAAACCCACGAACTCGAATTTAAACGGCTTATACGGTACTAATTATGTGTCGAATATAACTTTGCTGCTTTGGCGCGAAAAGTTCAACATAATAAAAAATGATATACTTTTTTTTTGGATTTTTTCTGTGACCTTCGTACCACGATGTTTTAGACTCATTTTTGCTCTCTACCATTTATTTATATATCATTCTGATCTTTTAAAACTCTTACTTTCTATGCTTGCAAAAATTTGCGTTCGTCCGCAAGTTCTTTACGAGTTTTGCCGGCGCGATTAAGATGTATTTGACGGTTCGTTTGTTTCAGAACAGAAACTTCTCAAATAATGTTAGTGTTTGCAGAAATAAAAAGAAGGTTCATAATTGGAAAGTGTTGTCTTCTTTTTATTCAATAGACTAATTGAATGTCGGAGACAATAATTTATTAAAGCACGTTTTCAATGCGTTCGAAGTTTATTTTTTGCGGGGCTACCAAATGTGTGTTGGTCGTTTGAAATTTCTAAAATTCGATTTCCGAATGTTTCTCTAGTCCGACCAACTCCATGCTTAATATGTTTTGCATAATTCAACCTCATATATTTTTTTGTGCTTCATAAATGACAGAACCCCAAATGAAGGACGTATGTAGGTGGTGGCCATTCTCTTCCATCCTTGCACTTCTTGTGTCGACTGCTTATGAGCACCTCGTCGTTCATCATCTAGTATGTGATGGCGGCGACCGGAAGCCGTTGAACAAAAGCTGGCGAAACATTGCTACCAAAATGAAATAGTTAAACTTGTTGGAAGGATTTTTGAGACATTTCTTGGACCCTATCCTAACGGAAAAGACGACGAAGAAGTAGGAGAAGAGATACACGCGATGGCTCTTTCAAGACTTGTCACTCATCCATAGGCGGGGTCCCTTCTCACGTTTTTTGCGTCTCTTCTTCCACATTCGTTTGGGATCCTCTTCCGCCCCTATTGGGTGCTTCGTCAAATCCAATTCGAGACTTCCTGATCGATCAACTCCGAACATCATAGCGTCAATGGATGGCGGCTGATGTTCTGCAGATCGTCTCCTATTTACTAGCGAATGTCACCGATTATAATTCTGGTTCGTTCTCTTCCATATTAGTTCAAAATTCTCATTAAATCCTTGCATTCAAGTTTTTTCACAATTGCAATATAAAATTTCAAAAAAAAAAAATAAAGATTTGTATACAGAATTAATCGTATTTTAATAAATTTTTCGCGAAAATTCCAAGTTTTTAAAAATGTTTCTGCTATTCAAGGACGTTTTTTCGAATTTCACATTTTTTCTATTGCTACTCAAGAATGTTCTTTTTCATTGAATTTTAGAGAACCTTTTTTTAAACCTTTAATAGTTTACTTAATAATTTGATGTTGATGTTTTGCTCGAGAAAGTCCATCTAAAACTGGACGAAAACTATTTGCATGCACACGATTGATGTCCGCCAGTTCTTCTTCTCATTTCCCTTATTTGTCAGGCGACGGGACCCTTGAGAATATTGCGATTCGCAGCGCCTTTTTTGATTATATTCTGTGGAGCGAGAATGCATTTTTTTTTCGGCGCTTCAATCGATCCAAATGTATTTTAAATTGAAATGCACTTCTTTTTTTTCACTTTCGGAAGTGGGTGTGTGGGCTACGAAAAACGATAATTGAGGCACGATATATGTCAGCTTCTTCTTCGTTTTTCGAACGGAACTCGCTTTTCATGTGTCCCGACAAAGCTCTCAAAAAAAACAAACAAAAGAATTCGTGATCCTTTGGGAATTTCTCAGATATTCAACCTGATTTCAAAAGATTTCGAACAAAATATGGACAAAACGATTTTTCAAAGCTAATAGTTGCCTGCTTATTTCGAACGTATTCGCTAGAGAATTGAGTTTTGATTTTAAGAAGCTTCAACGGAAAAATGTTGAACATCCTATAATATTTCCGTCAAGAAACCTAACAAAAAGAAATTGCTAACAAGCCTCAAAAGCTTAACCAAACATTCTAATTTCACGTCTCCGTTTGTGGAGATATCAAATGAATACGCCGTCGAAAATGAGCGAGAAAATAGAAAAAATATAAAAGTGCAAGCGGCCGTTGATTGAATTTTAAGGCCGTTTTTACGATTGCACAATGCATAAATATCCAATTTTGGAGTGCAAGCAGACGTGTGCGGAAGAGACGAAACCAAGCCAAGTTCACATTGTGTTTCATCTTTGAACTACACAATCTTATTTCCATTGAAATGGATGCCCAATAAACAAAAATAAAATTGTTTTTTTTTGAGATAAGAATAGATGGGACCATTATGTAAAATCGACGTCTGGCTATTTCTGACCGCTAGTAGATGTCGATTATATAGATGGACGAATTTGGGGTGTGATTACTGTATCATTTGAGTTACCCTGTTGGGTCTCGAATGGAAAAACTCTTAGCAGTTTAATTTTACCATTCAAATTTGTGAAATGCGTAAGTCAACGACTGTATATTCAATTTAGAAGTGGAATATTTTCCAAATCAATTCATGAGACCTGCACATGCAAAAATATCTTCTGATTAAAAAGTTATTCGAGTGTTTTTAGCGGTATACCTGCATAGTGTCATTATAATTTATGTTGGTCCAATTAATTGATAATAAATCATTTCAATAGTCATCACATCAAAATTGGTAGTTGCTCGATTAATCTATTTCCTGAGCAGCTTGCTCAAACGGAAATGAGAAAAAAGCGTAGCACATAAATCAAAATCGCATCGAATTTCCGGATGAATGATGAATATGACTGAATTCTGATTTGACGAGATTCGAATCCGAAAATATTATTGAGAATCTTTACAATAGAAAAATTTCAAGCAATTTTCAGCTCTCCGTTTGCCATGCTACAGTTGTATGAGTCCATATTTGGAGGATCATTATCCCTACATATCACATTTATATAGAAAACCAATGTCTTTTGATATTCATTGCGATAAACATAGGTAAAAATTTCAAGGAAAAACGTCAAGAAGGGTTCACAAATTGATATTACAGCCTAGATCAAAGCTACCTGTATAGCAAAAATTGCTCAGATATGTGCGTAACATTAAGAATCAACGATGTCGTTGGAGGTAAGTACATATTTTGTAGATATTAATGAATGTATGGTGATTGATTGATTCAGGGAGGCGGCGACACGGCTACATGAGAGGTTGCTTGTCTGATTTGCATGGTTACAATCACTCATTGGTGCGAGCATTGGCCGAACGCCAAGGATGTTTAGGTGTGCTAATTCTTCAGATGCATAAGCTCTAGCTAACATTCGATCCTTTCAATTATTGCATTCGATATTTGTAGACACGACAGCTCGCGAACTCTTTCTGCCAACAGCTCAACGCCAAGAGCTCGAGCCATCCCGTCTGTCACTTTGTGCGTGTCACAACAATTTGTGCAACTCGGTCGTGTCGCCGCCAACTCTACTGATATTCGCGTTCGTCATTTTATTATTATATTTGATTCGTTAACACCGATTCCGAATATTTCCTAATTTTCCACTCTCTCTATGCGTCGAAACTTCAATTTGTACGGGTTTGTTTGCCTCCAATGTTCATCGTCAAATCATTGTTTTTTTTTTAAGTCGTATTCTAATTATATATATAGATTTATTCGACCGAATGTATTGATAAACTCATTTATTATTCTGTTTAATCAACAATATTGATATAATTCTCGAAATCTCTGAAAAAACACCAATTAATTGAATTGAGGATTGACGAATGTTTTACTTTTTAACTGGTACCCTAATTCCATGTTCTCTATCTCGTTGCCGTCGATTTTTGAAGTAGTTTGATATTTGAGTTACCGTCAGATTGGTGATCTTCGCCAATCGGTTTTTCTCCGAATTATTTGGAAAAGGATTCGACGAATAATATTCTCGCAACGTTTGACGATCACTTATCTAAAGAATTTATAATATCTCATTAAAAAAATAATTACGGAAGATGGAAAATACAAAGCGCGTCATAATGATACGCCCCCCCCCCAAATTTCGCAGTTTTAAGAAAACCATATAAATTGGTGACAAGACAATTGCATTTTTCGAATTCAGGACCTTTGAAAACCTATATGTGCGTATTTTCATGAGGGTCCGTTGGTCCGTATCCGCACAGTCCAAAAAGTTGAATTTTCAAGCGCGTCATAATGATCAGCCAGCCCCTATTTTTTGTCTTTTCTTTCGGCATTTTTGCATGTTTCTCGCTAGTTTTACTGTATTTTGTATAATTTTCAGCAATATTGTCTTTATATCCATCGAGCGATGGTCCCCTTTACTTTTGGCTTGAAATCAGGCCGAATATGGGTCTTTGAAAGACTTCGTTTTATTTAAGGACTGAAACGCAAGAAAAATGTCGAAAATTCGCAGATATAGGTTTTCAAGGGTCCTAAATTCGAAAATGCAATTGTCTTGCCACCAATTTATATGGTTTTCTCGAAACTGCAAAATTTGGGTGGGGGGGGGGAGGGGTGTCGTATCATTATGACGCGCACTGTATGTATTTTTTTCATCAAAAACAAACAAACCTTTATGGTATATTTTCTAACCTCGAACTTGCAGCAAATCGTCGATGGAAATGGGTTTCGTTGTCTGACTCGAAATCTGTCTGTCGGACTTAATTCATGCCCAACTCTTTTCTCACACTTCGAACATTATATTTATATCATAATTTTAATCATATAATTATATCACTTACAACTTTATAATGACATTCTTGCCAAAGTTCTTGCAGCACCTTATGGTTGTTTGGCAAAAAATTAAAAATTTTAAGAAGTCTGAAATTTGAACACTGGAAACAATATGAAATGCAGCAATTCATACCTAATTGCTTCTTCATAATTTTCATTGCAAATTTCCATTGCAATTTCCAGTTTTTTTGTAATTTCAGTATAAAAAACACCTAGCTTCGATATGAAATTAGGCTAAAAAATAAAAATCGATTTGTTAAAGTCTGAAGGAATTCTTACAATTTTGGAGCAATTCTTGCGGTAAATCGCCTCTTGAAAAAGTGTTTCGCCAATGCATTCAATCTGATCCACATTGTAATCTTCGTGTCTCAAAAAATGCAAAATTAATAAAAGGAAGATAAAGAATAAATAATAATAATAATAATAATAGTAAACTCACATGTTCATAGGCGTTATCTCGATGCGGATGACACAATGTCGAATGGCGATGTTTTCAGCGAACAGTTACCAGATGCAATTTGTGCGGCACATGTTCGAATGCGCAACATTTTTATTATAGCTAGGTAATCAGTTTTATAATGCAACTGTCTCGCGGACTACAGTAACCCGCATAGTTAGTGCGACTCCTCCGCGACTGTGCAACTTGTAGCAATAATCAGTGTACAAATTCGAATTCAGACATCAAACACACGTTTAATACTAAAATTTTCAGTGTCGCAATGGACATCTGAATGCGTTTTCTGTGTGAAATTCGTTTGCTGAACTATGTATTACGTGTTCAATAAATAAAATGAATGTTTTTTTTTTATAATCGATGTCTGACAATTGTAGGTGTAATCATTACGTTGATTCACATTGAAGAATTGATTCAAGAAATCCAAAAAAAATTCTAAAAATAATATTTTATTGGTCTGTTTCCCAAAAAAACGGCCTCGACGTCGCCAGACTCGTTGCGGTTCGCGTTCGTTTATGTTCCTCTTTTGAAATTCAATCAAATTGGAAATTTGCAGACATGTCAAATCCGACATGCTGAATTCAAATATGGCATTATAAGTAAACTTTTCCAAAAGCATGTTGCCCAAAATAAAAAAAATGTTTTTTTTTACGTGAAATTTTATATTTGAACATAAAATTCAGAAATTTTAAAATAATTTTCTTTGTCATAGCCTTTCTGTACCTACTGTAGCCCAATATTGAATTTTTTAAGTTTCTTGGAAAAAAAAATATTTTTTGAACGAGAAGAATGCGAATTTATCTCAATTTTTTAACACAAGATGACCAAACTTCTCTTAAATTTTTTGAATTCAAAATAAAATAAAAAAATATTTTATTAACTGAAATGATATAAATATTACCATCGCAAAAAAAACAAGCATCCTAGATGTTAATGGACCATCTTATTTTTTGGGTTCGGTAATTCAAATTTCGATTTTAAACAATGAAAATTTTTATATTACGGATAACCTGTGAATCACTGCAATCTAGGTGCCCCTTTTTGCGATTGTCATATCTTAATATAAATAAAATAGAAAAATTAGTGACTATGGATGCCAACCGAAAAAATGATGAGTAATATATAATAAATTTTTCACAAAAAAACGTGATGGGATTCAAAAAATACTGTCAGGGAAATACTATGGACGCAAAAATTCTTAAAAGATTACCCAAGAAATGGAAATGAAAAAGCGAGTGCGAACAGATTGGTTCAATCACAAATTCTGGATATACGAAAAGTCGCAGGCAGGGGCGAAATAGGTTGGAGCTGGGTAGGCGGCGTATGGCGACAAATCGAACGCGGTCGGAATTTGTGGAGCTGGAGGACTTTCGATGTTGAGAGTTTGCTTCGATTCACATCCAGATGAACCATCATCACTATCGTTCGAGCGAGCAGAGCTTCTGAAAATAAAACGATTGGTTTGTTGGAAAATCAAATATTTTTCCAATGAATTCAATTCAAAATTCTTCGATTTTATCGATTTATCTGCCCGGAAATATCAATTTTTATTTGCATACGTTTGGAATATAATTAGCAACCCCGAGTTGGGAATACAAAGAACGAACAACAAGTATTTGATGAAGCTCTTCACCTCTCCGCACAATGCCCATTGTGTGAATGTATGTACCGGTTTGTTTGAGTTTGGTACGAGATGAAGCGTTCTCAAATACCGTACCATCACACCTGTCACAAATTAATCGACACCCCTCAAATTGCGCTAATTTGAATTTGAACTTGAATTCAAGTCTTCCTATGATGCCTCTTTACATAGATTGTTAAGATTCTGGATTGATTCTCAAGTTTCCGGTTCTAAGGATTACGCCAATAATCCTTATTTGGAGGAGGGGTGACGAAAACAAATTTTGTGGATAAACGGCGGGAGAGGTCGCACAAACTGTGCTCAGATTCCTGAGCCAATGATCCAACTTTTATTAGCTCTAATATGTCCGATTGCGCAATAAGTGCACACATACGCGCCACACTTGATTCCCCCTGCTAAAGTTTGCCAAAAAGTCATTCGCTACGCAACACTCTGTGTCTCGCCAGGAACAGTGCAAAACTACCGTACCTATCCAAATTGCCAGCTGCTCTTTCTCGTTGTCTTTTGTTCTTGAACCAGTTGGACACCTTCAAAAAAGAAATGAAATTCAATAAAGAAAACCAATGGTTACTTGAATAATCGAGAGTTCCGTTTGAGCGGCTAATCTTCGTTTTTCTTCAACCGATGGATATTGGCACTTTTTGTATGCGTCGCGTAGAACATTACGCGATTTCGACTGGAATATTTTTAGATTAATTAAAAAAATCACTTTTTAAAATTGGCAACGATATTGCATAAAATGACATTATCAAAACAGCAAAATAATAGAAATATGAAATAATTTAAAATATAACACTCAGTTTACAAGAAGTTCAAAAAATAAATTGATTTTAAACTATTCATTTTATTTCAATAATCAGTTTGCTCTGATTGTTAACGTCTCAAAAGTTAGATACTACTAAAGAAAAATAAATAATTATAATATAAACTACCATAATTATCAATAATGAGGCAAGCGATTAATATAAATGAATGCAATACATTTGAATTTGAAAATTTGCGATTATTTGAAACCAAAGCACGAATATCAAATGTTGAACGAACCTTAAAACAATAATTGGTTTCTTCTCCGTCCCAGATGGTCGGCGGAAACGGATTCTTCTTGCGGATTCGATACTTGCACACCGCTCCGAGTTCGCGCTCCTTCGTCTTCTCGGCCTGAAATCGGTGAGAATTGACTATTCGCTTTCATTACTCAACTATTACCCACAATATTGCGCAATTATTTCTAAATAAAACCACCACCTAGAGATTTGTTTATTCAACCAAGTACCTTTTGGTCCGTCCGTTCAACTACTCAAAATATATAAACAAACGAAAATTTACCTCTTTATAATGGGCGTCGAGCCAAAGATTTTGGAGAACTTGATGATTGTGAGGCGAGAATTTGTGACATTCAAGCAGCCTAAAATTTGCTATTTCAGACAAATTATTAGTCAATTGTTTTTTTTTTCGATGTTCACCTGTACAACGCTTTCCAGTTTTGCGTTGAGTAATGAACTAGAGCCTGCGCCTTTAAAGCCGACTCCGAATTTTGATAGCATGGTGGAAGCGAAAACAGGAAATTGGCCTGAAATATGAATATTCGTTCAAATTTCGCGCTAGGACCAGATGACGGCCGTTAATGGAGCATTGTTTGTTTAACGAGTGAGTGGATTACGGTAGATGGCAGATGCATGCTTCATCATAAAAATATCGTTTAATAAGTACTATTCGTTTTTAAAATTGTTTCGAAAATCAAACTAAATATAATTTGTCTTTAATATTCGTATATTTCGAAATATTTCAAAAGAATTTCTCAGCGCAGTTTGCACATCATCATCATCATCATCATAATCATCATCATCAAAACCGCAATACACCCGACCAGCGAGACTCCGGCTGAATCTCGCAACTGTCAAATGTTTGTCAAAAATTTAGTGATTAGTGACACATGACACCTGCGTTCGAAATACATATATTCCTCATCATTCGTCAGCAGAAATTCCACAAAATCTCATGCAAAAATTCTCACCAGTTGATCAGTTCGACCGTTTTGGATTCCCTCATTGAACAGCGATTCGCAGATGCATATCACTTCTTGTTCCGAGTACGAGGTCGTCGCACTGAAGTTATCAATTTATAATTGAAATACATTGAGAACACTGAGATGTACACCGAGTAACCTTGAGTCATTCGAATTTATGAGTCTGTTCTTACAAAAGTTGAACAATATTTTTTTATTTTTTTATTTCGTATCACAATAATTTGAAGAAATGTGTACGTTGCCTTTATTATATTTGGTTTTATCGATCATTGTTTAATTTTATTCTGATTTTTAGCTCACTTCGTTCTTTTAGATATGGATTTGTCCCTAGAAAATTTAATACAATAATGTAGAAAAAAGAATAGTTTAACAAATCGAAATTTTAAAAAAGAAAATGGGCAGGACAGTGTTGAAGAAGCGAATAAATGAGTAAAACTATCTATCGCCCCTGACGGCAACGCGACACCCGTTGGTATACAATTACCAAAAAGCAAGATCGTAACCCGAGCTCGCCGGGAGCAATATCGAATTTTGGCGCCCAAACTATTCGATTTCAAATTTGATGAGAAACAAGATAGGAGAGCAAAAAAGCAATAAATAAACAAACGATTTGGTTTTTGCGAAATTGATTTCAAAAAGTTCAACTTACGCCAATGGGTGTTGCGAATTGGTGGACATCGTTGTGTAGGGCTGCATTGTCGGTTTGGTGTATGTTTGACTTGAGGTTGTGAGGCTCGGCGAGCTGCTCGCCTGCCCCCCGTCGACCAACCAGCCGTCGGTGCTCCGCCCACTTCAGATGCCTCACCAATCGAAGACACATCTTAATGGTAACAAGGTTCTTAAATTTTACTTGAACATTCATTTAAGAAAAAAAAAATGTGAAGCAGAAAGTTGGAATCCGATCAGGTGTATGCTGAAATGAGAATGCTTGAAGGCCTCGACAAGGGTTAAAACCCGATACTGAATATCAATTTACACCTGTCTGCTATCTATTTCACATCGTGCGCCACCCACCCCTTCATTGAATTGGTCTCGATTTTGAGCCAGCTATTAATTCAACAATATATTATTTTTATTTTCTTCGAAATTTTTTAAATTCAAACTCGATCTCTCTTTCAAAATTAATGTCGTTTTATAAGAGAATCCGCTATTTAAGATATCACGTTTTCAAAAAAGAAACCGATGCAAATATTTGGCCAAAGTTAAAAAAATATATATTACTGACGTATATTCATGAATTTCATTAAAAAAAAGAAAAAAATTCCATTAATATTGGGATTTTTCATAACTGCATCGTAAAAATGTGTAATTTTTACATTTTTGAATTGCGTGATTAATTGATTTTTTTGAATTGCAATGCCTATAAAAGTTTCACTGTAAGAAAAATAAAAAATACTTTAATTGATTATATAATATATTTTGTCTATATTATTTCAATCAAAATAAGCCAATTTTTGAAATTTTAAGGATTTGGGAATGCCAAATAAAATGTCTTATTATTCCAAAGTATTTTCAATTTTTAAATATTTCATCAATTATTTTTTTGTGGTTTTTTGCTCGGTAACAATCCATTGCGTCACACTTACGAATGACCAAAATATCGTCGAGTAAATAAATATCAAATTTCTTTTCTTTTTTCGCGGAATCCAGTCGATTCTTCCATTATTCATTCTAACTTGCCTGTTTTAATGAAGCAAAAATAACCAATCTGAATAACGATTTTGATCGATAAATGTTTTATAATTAAAAATCGAAAATTCGAAATAAACAATTGTTGATTTCTATACAAATGGCGTGTGTTGAGGGTCAAAGAAATTTTGAAAAAAAAAATAGAAAAATAATAAAGAAAATTTCAATGCAGAAAATATAGCAAAATTAAAGTAATATAATTTTTCTTTATTGAAATTTTCATTTTTTTTTTTCATTTTGAATTTTCTCCGCGTTCGCCCATTGCGATTATTGGTTTTTTTTTGTCAGTCGGTGATTCTGTCGTTGTTGCAACCTAGTCTTGTCCTTCGTTTAGTACAAAATGTCAAAGCTGGCAATAAGGATTTGACAAGAAACACGTGTCATTTGTCAATCAGAGCGCAATATTGACTGATAGGTGCTCAAACGAGCAAATCGGCAGTCAGGGCGAGGCGTAGTGGGACCAACGAGAATTGGTTCGATACAAACATTTATCATCTGGCAATGTTTGTTTTAACCATGTGCACCACTACTTTTGACATCTGCGCGAACAAGACCTGCGCCTTTTTTGAGTTGACTCCGACCCAATATTATGATTAATAAAGTGGGTGGGCATCTGTCAGCTCGGCTGCAATTCGACACCGACCGCATTCTTCGGTTACCCGTTTTGCCTGCCAAAAAAGTTTTTCGCGCACCGCGTTTCTTTTGATGTTACCGCGAAACATGTGTGCATTTCGTTTTAATGGTTTGATTGCTTGTATCCCAAGTGTTCATTCTGGGAAAGTGTGTTTATTTCGAACATTCCCAAATAAACGAAGTGATCAATGAAGCTCATGTGACACTTTTTTTGGCAAAACAAAACCCTCACAGTTTATGCCGCGTTATTGCACAATTTATAAATTAAAATCAGAGGAAACGAGATCCCTCGTTGCTGGAAATTTCGATGTGCAATTTGAACGCAGTACAATGCATTGATTCCCACTAGGCATGCCAACTTCGCGGACAAGCCGAAAGCCGGATTTCCGTTTCTTTTAAATAATACGGTCCGTTAAAAAATAGATAAATAAAATACACGTGACTTCACGCGAACCAGAATTCAAAAAAACGACGTAGGTCTTGCAGCGACCGATTCTGGTAGCCGCTTCATAGACTTTTTGGAACTTTTTTTAATCGGCAAATAAAATTGATTGATTGATTCTTTTTCAAAACATATTCAAGACGATTTTCATCAATAATTTTTTCAAATGTGATTTGTAATCTATTGCTCAATACCGCCATATCGTCTGAGTTGTAACATCCGGTTATGAGATGTTGTTATGCTGCGACTCAAAATGCTTGTATGCGCCTATTTTCAGATTCTCCGCGCATCTTTCCCGGCGGCCTCGTTGTCGATTGTTTACCCTCCCAGATGTGGAATACGGTAGTTGTCGGCAAGCGAGAGAATGCTATCGAAAGAGTGTGTGCGCTTTTAAAAAATATCAAATTTCACCTCGCACTTGGCCCCGCCCAATTGTGTTTGTTCTCCATTAATTACACACTATTTCTGGGTGCATTATATGAGCTTCGCACACCACTCTTGGTCAATGAAAATAAATGAGACTCGAAAATAAAAGACGGTTCGTTTGAGGGTTTTGCCCACATACTTGCTTTATTCATTCGAATATATTCAAAATTACAATGTTTGGTATGAAGCTGACGATGGGACTGACACCGAAGTAGTAGGATTCGTCGCAAATGACATCATCTCGTTGTAATTTATCATGCTGTAGAAGCCGGGAATCGAAGTTTGATACTCGAAATCGGCTGAGTACGGAAGAAACTTTGTGGAAGATGATTTGCGGATCAGTCGAAGATCTTCTTCTTCACTTCCAGCTGCTACATTTTCTTTGATCACTCGAGGATCCCTGAATAAAAACGAAATTGGAAATATTAATAATTGAAGTATGAATGGCAAAATGAAGACTATCGATGTACCATCGTAGATTTTTGGCGCGGTATTTCAAAAAAATCTTGAACGAAATTTTCAGTGTGGAAAATTCTGTTCTCAAAAAAAATAAGTAGGTAGGAGTGATTTCACATAAAACTGAGTAAGTTTTTCAAATCTGATCGACATTTCAAATTTCCATCTACATATGAATAGTTAGTCGCAATCAAATACCTTCCATCTCCAGCTCGATCGCGCTGTCGCCGATTTTTGAACCAGTTTGACACCTGAATTCCTCGAACTTTTGTATAGTTGTCGTTCGGCGACTGCTGTACGCTGGTAGATTTACGGGGGTGCGTATTTCTCTTGGTCTCGTACGGACTAACTGGTTATTTCAAATTTTATGGACCGGTTCGATAATTTTTTAATCGAACGACGTTAGAAATTCCAAAAAATGCTAAACTCATAAAGAACAAATATATCATTCCTGTGAATACAGCAAAATAAGCATTCACGCGTGGCGAGACCTTTTCAAGGCGCATGCGCGTAAATCTACCCGCGTATATTTCGCTTGAATGATAATAATAATGACCTGTGTAACTGTCAGATGAGTTTTTTCAGCCAATTCTCTCTTTTCGCGCGGACTCGGATAATTATTGCGACAGTACCATTCACGAAGTAAAACTCGCGATTTGTCCTGAGAAATTCAAATAAATCACAAACATGTGGAAAAATTAGGCACCCTAAAACAGTAACTGGTTTCCTCTCCGTCCCAAATCGTTCGTGGCAGAGGATATTTTCTTCGAATTCGATATTTTCCGACTGCTCCCAGAGAACGACCTCGCAATTTCTCTGCCTAAATCACATTGATTTTGGCACATCGATAACTCGAAATAAACTTCATTATAATGTGCATTTAGCCAGAATTCCTGCAAGGCGGCATGATGTTCCAATGAAAAATGATGCGATTCAATTATTTGATACAATTCCTAAATATGGAAAGAATAGGTTGTCGATTTCATCGAAGCGAATACTTTATAATTTTGCGAATGGTAGGCAATCGTTGCCTGAGCCTTCAGAATATGCTGATTATTTCTCGTCTCAAGTCGTTCCAAAGTGACCCAAACGAATTGCGACTGAATGCATTCAATAAAATAATTTTGAAAACGGCAAGAAACGAACCAATTTGCGAATATCATTTGAGAGAAGCTCACAAATGCACCCGATTTGTTCATCGCTATATTTGGTATTATCACAACTTCAATGAAATCAAAATGATATTGATCGTTGGATATTCAAAACTAAAAAACTTACGGAAAATGATGAAAAGACGTTGGTTGCATGTTTTTCGAAAATATTGGAAAACTGAGACGAAATCATATCGGATTGACAGCTGCGCCTCCTTTCAGTATTTGTTCGTTTAAAGGATTACGGTAGCTATTCGCGTTATAAATTATTTATTAGTTATATTGAGAATATATATATATATATATATACATTACAATAAAAAGAACATTGGAAGCGGTAAAATAAACGAACAATTAATATGATTAGGATTAAAGGCACATAAAAGAAATAAAATAACTGAAAAACGAGAATGATCACAGTTAAAATTTTTGAAATTTTCAATTCGAATTCTCTTTTTTAAAAAATCACTAGATTTTGCGCGAAATGAAAATGGTTAAAACCATATGAGGAAGACGGAATAAATGATAAAATGAATATCGAATTCTCGAATTTAAGAGACTTGCGAAGTTGTCATTGTGACGACTTTCTCTTGAACAAGACTGATCACATTCTGATTCGCGTCTTCTTCAATCTTTTCGTTTTTTTCAATTCGTTCTGATTCTTCCGACTTTTTCTCGCCATTTTCAACTGCATCGTCTTTTCCATCGTTTGTCTAAAATTAGTTTATTTTGATTTAATTAGTTGAATATTAATTTTCTAGCTAAAAATGTAGTCTCTTTTAAATTTGGATTTGCCGCCACTTATTTATTTTTATTCGTTGATCTCGCATTCTTTTAAGGTCATGATCAAAATTTGCGATTTTTCGGCAATAAATTATCAGGGAAGAAATAGAAGAGGCAAATTTCCATAATAAAGAAATTGATTTTTTAAAGTCAAACCTTTTTTTCAGTCGGAATCTCTTTTTCGTTTTCAGCTTTCATCTCGACGACACCTTCGACATCCTTCTTTTCTTCTTCTTTATTTCGAGCATCTTCGCTTTTTCGGACCTCTTCTTTTTCTTCTTTCTTTCCAGCTTCATCAGCTTCTTCCTTCTGAGTGATTTCCTTCTCACCTAATGCCTTCTTTTGCTTCCTCTTCTCCAATCTTTCGAGCCAACAAATCTTCTCGACCATTCCGCGAACCACCTTCTTCACTGCATAGTTATCACTTTCATGTGTGCGTCGATTGCGCGGCTTCTGTCTTCTGACGGCTTTCTGAACATCGTCGCTCGCCGACGTCTCCTTCTTTTCTTTCTCTTTTCCTTCGCCGCCTCTCTTCTGCTCTTGGTTTCTGCGACGATGGCCTTTTGAACCGTCGTTGTGATTCGGCTGTTGCAACGTCTGGTGCGGCTGAAAAAAGGCACGTTCCGACAGTGTTTGGGATTGCGGAAAAGTGTCGAATGCGGCTGTGCCTCACCGCGGAAGTCGCCATTGAAATTTGAGAACACCGCTCGGAAGCTAGCTAGCTGGCTGTATTAAATCGTAAGGAAAAGTAACGAATTACAATGTGATTTTAGTCTCTTAGAGATGACAATCCAAATCGGGGGACAAACCTTTGAATGATGTTTTCGATCCCTTGGAACCTCTTTTCCACCTTCCTTCTTTTCGGACTTCTTTCCATGTTGCTTATCTCCTTCAGCATTGTTCGTGAATGTGATACGACCTTCCAAACGATTCGGAATCTGAAAATTATGGAACAATTTTTAAAATTATGAAATTACAATTATTATTTCAACTAATTATCAATTAAATTCGTAAAATAAAAACTCTCAATATTGCAAAAAATAGACAAATAATTAGTATCTTTGTTAAAAATGACTACTTTTTGAACTTTTTTTTCATTTTTTTTCCATTCTCTTAAATTTGCCCACATATCAATAATAGTTTCTATCATTTTTATAAAAGCGAACCTTGGGTCTTGCATGGTTTCCTTCGCCATCTTTTCTTTGATGGTTTTTCGGTTTTCCATTATTGGAATGCTTCTGACTAGCCAATTTTCCCTTCAAATCGATCGAAGGCACATTCTCACGCCACGTGTCAGCTCTAAATTATTCCTTTTTTTTATTATCAATTAAGTTGATCAAATAAACGAACGGCGTTTTTCCTTTATCCCATTCTCGGCTCCATTGATTGGCATTATTTCCTTTTTTAGCTCCCGCTGTTGCATTTGATTGCTGAGCAGCCGCTGGTTTCGGAGTCTTTTCGTTCTCACCGCCGTTCAACGCACGATCCTCTTCAATCTCCTGGAATAAAAAAACAGCACAAATAGAAAAGCAACAGACAAAAAAAAAGCACAGACCTTTGCGCGCTGCTCAATTCTTTGGTTTTTTTCCCGAATGAGGGCGATTTTTCGGTCGATTTCTTCTTCTTCCTCGACCGTTCGACGCTTTTCGCGATCCATCTCAAGCCCTTGAAATGTGCAAAAAATATGTTATTGTCCCACAAATCAATACAAGCACATACACACATATGACTATAGTGTTTATTAAAATTGAGAGAGCGAAAGGGATGAAATTTGCATAAGTAGGCTGACGGAATATTTGATACAAATACCATACATTTTAACAGTTATAAAATGTAGCAATCAGAGGAAAGTTCTTGATGAAATGAGCCGACGGCCTACCAATTGCTCTTTTTTATACATTCTTCTAAGTATCGAGAAAAGGAAAAAAGCTTCAGGATATAAATTTCAGAATGAAACAACTGAGTTTGATTTAAAAAATACCAGTGATAATCTAAAGAAAAAAAAAACGCAGACTGAATATACAAATTCGGCAATGTTTCCGAACGGAAACGAAACCAGATGTTCTCAAATAAGATTTGTGGTCGAGTCAACTAAGCTTCAATCTATAATGTGTATTGATAAGAGCAAATGGAATCTCATGGTTGATTCTGAAAATTCGAAATTTCATCAATAGGACTCATTTAAATGAAATTTAATTCGTTAATTCGTTACTAGGGCAACCTGGAAAATGCACACACAAATATTAATAAAACTTTCGTGAGCTGCAATATATTCTCTCTAGGAAGCAGAGAGAATACGAGGAAAACAGAAGATGAGCACCAGCAGAGAATACTCAGAGAACAGAACAGAATAGAATGAACCATTTGCACTACTCTAATAACTAAACACCATTTCGAGGCGACCAAATTTGTTTATGAAATCGACGCTATTCGATCCTGTGAAAAAAAAAAAACTGTGAAATTGTCGTATCCGACTTAAAAAAAAGAGATTTTCGTGGTTTTGAAGAATCAGAGTTTTTTTTTTGAAATTTGGTGAGACTACTTAAATTTCGCTCGTTATGGACAATTGAAAAAATAAATATAATCCAAAGAAATCATTAAAGCAAATCTCTGATTTAACTCATTATATAAAAATGAAAAAAAAGTGGAAGAAGAAGAAAGTATTTCAACAGCAATTAACTTCGACAGCTGTCTTATTGCGACTCATTTGAGTAGAACAAAATGACATAATCAGAGATAATCAAATTGACACAAATCCAACGAGTTGCAATCAAATATGTTTGATAAGAATTGATTGTGAACAAGCTGTTGGTATCGGTTAGACGGACAGTCATTCTCATTGAAAATTTGTACACTCAACGATTTGATGGTTTTTTTTTTCGAAAAAATACAAAGTCGACGAATGCTGCAAAACGGGACAAGTTTTGGCGATGATCGCATAAAATCATCGAGATATCGTTTTAACTAAATGTGTAGATAAAAAATGAATCGGACGCATTTTTTGTTTCTCGTACATGCGAGACACTGCTTTCGGCTGTGCGTCGATGTCCGTGTGTTTGTCTGTTTCTCGTCGCCGCCCTCCTGCACTCGGACGGTCTCTTCGCACGCAGAGCCGCCGGCAGGATCCGAACGTGCGGGAGAGACGCACGGGAACGAACAAGTTGGTCAATGAATGCAGACAACGCGAACAGTCAATATTTTGACATCGCTGTTAGGACATTACGAAATTCGTGCTCAACAAATGTGCCTCGACGTGGAATTCTATAGTCTTCAGAAATCAAAATTCCGGAATCGATGAATTGCCAAAGAATTCTAACAATTGAACACAATGATACAAATTTAAACAAAAAGTCGGAGTGAAAAAAATTGATTAGAAAATGGAAATCTGGGACGTTCAATAAACATTGAAAAATATATATATATTTTTAAATTATTTTTCAGTATTCTTTATCATTTTCAAGAAATACATAATGAGATAAAATGATGTCTAAAGGCTGGTGTTCTGATGTGGGCGAGCGTCAAAACGGACGCTGCCAGTCCGCCCATTGCGAAACCCTCGGCGGCGGACGTAAGAAATTAAACGAAATCGAAAAAAGAGACCGGCGGCAACGGGTTAAATTGTGGAAATTCTACTACAGGTCGGTATGTCGAAAAGTGAGAGCAATCTGCAAACCTCTCGTATACTGTGTATTCGTAAAGGAATACACATTATAATATATGAAAAACGCAGCAATTTTGGTCAAGGTTAAACTTCCGGCGGATCGTGTCCGTTTTGCTATCAGATCATCGGTTTCCTTCGAGGTCTCATTGTTTTCTCAGTGTTTAACACTATAAGCCAGTAGTCGAGTTGACAAACATTGGAAATATTTCACATGTTTAAATCCAAACAAAAACACTTTTATTTAACGAACGAAAACAAAAAAAAAACTAGGAAATGACAAATAATCAGAGAGTAGTTGATTTGAGATTTGTCGAAAGAGCAGCAATTCCACTTGATGAGATCTTACCTCGTCGACAAATCCATAAATTTCTTCGAATCCTTTTTGAAAACAATAGAATTGCTACGGAGCTGAAAATGATGGTTTGCAAAAAAAACAAAAAATTGATATAAAAACCTTATCAAGTACAAATCATTGCTTATTTCGGTAATTAAAACAATGAATGGTGAAATTTGTGGATATTTTTTGATCAATTCGATTGATGTAATTAAATAAATAATTTGCAAAAATAGGAAAATAATGAATGTGACCGATAGAAAAAGTGTGCAGATCGTCATCATTTTCTCGACAGATTTCATCTTTCGTGCTTCGATTTCTCTCAATCTTTTTATAATTACAGCATTTGAAATTATAATAAAAATGAAGGCAGGCACGCCAATCAGAAGTCGAAAGTGTGTTGAGCGGATCTCGAATGGAGTTTTTGTTAAATTATATTTGAATATTAAAAAAAACAAATACCGGAAGCTCGTGAATATATGCGATGATTCCTGTTCCATTAATAGCTACGACATACGTTTTGACAAAGGAAAGATGAAACGTGAACACTAATGGAAGAAATATGATGAGAGAAGCGACATGATTCGAATGGAGAACCCAGAACTAATAAAAACTTCGTTTCGAATTCCATTTTTTTGGAAAAGAGATTTACCGAACTGTGAAACACTGGAAATTTAATACTTGTGAATCGATTCGCGCATAGAACCAAAGTTGAGAATATCTTGGCGAATTGGAGATAGGCTGTGATGTAATAATAGGGAGTCAGCCAATAGGATGGCTCTGAGAACGTTTGAAAAAAGATTTCGCAAGCTGGTCGAATATCAGCAATGAGTCGATTGATTGCGAACTCGAATGTAATGCTCGCCACACTCTGAAATCAAGATTCTAAAATTGGCGGCGATTTTCAAGCAAATAGAACTGGGAGCCAGTCATCGAAGTGGAGCAATTTCGCTCTGATGGTAGTGAAATAAATCTAAAGTTTGTGCTCACCACAATTCCATCGACGAAATAAATATTAAAGAACGAATCAGCAAAAAATGAATCAATCTTCTTTCGAGTTGCTATTAAAAAAAGAATATATATAATAATAAAAGGAATAGTGTAGACATGTTGAAATATATACTTAAAATAGCCAAATATTTTGTATTGATTTGGAGCACATGTTGCACCGTCGTATTCCATATAACCTATCATTTTTCTCTTAACAATTCATATTTAAATAATTTTTTTTAAATATGATATTAATAAGAACAAAATTTGTAAAGTGTTAAACAATGATCTGGTAGATTCAGGCAGGCGGAACCGTTTGCGCTGGTATCGCAGGATTCAAAATTTCGAGTTCATTTGTTTTTTTTTTGTTTGTTTCAACGACGTTAGCAGTGAAAGAAAATAACGAAACCTCAAGAAATAATTAACATTTCACATGAAATTTTAGGCATTCAGATTTTATAAAATAATATATGTCGAAGTGTGAAAATTCTAAGAAAATCTCTGAAGCGAAATTCGAATTTATTAATCATCAAGGGATTAATCCGAAAAGTTCCGACTGGTTCGAATTACATAAATAGCTCTTCAGCAACCAGTTAGTAACGACGGCAAAGAACTACACGGAAGTTATGTTCTATTTTCTGCGAAATAAACAATACGTGTGACAATAAATTCTCAGACGAGACTTTCTCATGATCGAAGTTTTTTTTTCAATTTTCTTCTTTTATTTACTATCATATCAAATTATGTGTATATTTTTAATACATTTTACGCGAACAGATGAACGAAGGTAAAATGAAAAAAAAATTATTCAAAAAAGATTTATAGGTGAATTTCTATACAGATTGGCGAAATGCCAATTCAGTATTGGTATGATTTACTATAGATAAAGATAATGAAAATGAAAAGTTTGACAATCTCGTGCGCCTTTATGTAATTCAGAATTGACATTTTCAATTGTAGATCACTCGCTACAAAAACAATGACACTCTCAGTTCCTGAACGAACTCAATCGAATCAAATTCGATATCATTGGACTCAGTGAGACGGAAAATAACTTTTTTTTCCTAGGCAAACATCATGAGACTTCTGTTGCTGAAGGGGTCGGCTTCGTAGTTCACAGCACCCTCGCTCCTCGAATAGAAGAAGTAAGATTTCTTAACCACAGGATCGACTTTCTAACACGGTACTCCCTGTTCTATACAAGACTTTCACAAAATGCATCTTGAATAGAATCAGGAGTAAACAAGAAGCCAATCAACCTGTAGAACAAGCTGGGTTCCGCAAGGGCTTCTCAACAGTGGATCACATCCACTCTGTCCAAAGACTGCTAGAAGTGGGACGAGAATATCAAATCCCACTCACACTTGTCTTCGTTGATTTTATGACGCATAGTCCGTAAGCAGCATCAGAAATGCTAATGCTAAGTGAGATGGTCGCGAGATGCGAATATGCAGCTTGGGTAGCGTTTAATGGAAGCAAGAACACTACCAACCCGATTTTTTGAGCACAACTCTTCATCAAGACTAAGGCCTCCCGTGAGATGGTCGGACTCGCTTCGGAAGGAGATCACCACAAGAACAGCTGACGGAGCCGTAATCATACAGTACTGCGCTCAAGCTAAGGACTGAAAATCCATGGAATACTGTGGTTCGCACCTCAACAGGCGTAGGATTCATATTTTTTAGACACTGTGAATTCGAGTGTCTAACTCGGATAACCTAAGAATAAAAGACATCGTAAATCGGGACAAGGTATTCGTTTAGTTGCGATTGTAATATACATACATACATAATTGCTTAAATTTTTCATTTTCACGAATACGCAACAAATCACACGTGAATGGAGATTTCTGATGGTATCTTATAAATAGACAGTCTCAGCAACCCAAAAATACAATCTCGGCTGTTGGTCCCATAACTGTTTACCCTACCAGCACGACACGGGCTAAACTGCGTTGAGTATTGCTTCGACTAATTAAAGTTTCCTGCAGTTTGTTCCAATCGAATTGCCGAGCGTCTTTTGAAAAAAATTAAATAGCTGTGACTGCTGTCTGTGGATGAGCAAATGTTGAAATTGCGGCATTCGTATGTTTTTCGGAATCTTCTGAGTGCAAAAATAGAACACTTCGTCGGATTCGGCGCGATGTGATGAGAAGAATTACCGGAGAACTGCAATCGAGCATAATCGAGTTTACACGAGAAGCAAATAATCATGTTGGAAACCTCATCATATAAATATCATTGCTGAGTTGTTGAGCTGTCGTAACAAACACTTTGGCAATTTCGAGACGATCGCTTTTCGAGACATCATCAACCGAAACCAAGAGATAAAATAGTTGGAGAATTAGGAATATCACATATGCAAATGCTAGGAATATTGTTGAAAGGGTCATTGATTTCTCGACTGATTTTACACGACCCCCTAGTTTTGACAACTTTGAAAGAATTATTATAGTCGAGATTATAATAAAAATCAATGAAGGGAGTCCTACAAGTATGCGGAAATATGTTGTTCGCACCTATATTAACAAAACAATTAGTTGGATTGGTTTAAACGATGTCTTGCCGCTGGAACTGTATGAATATATGAGAGAAATGCTTGGCCATCAATTGCGATCATATAAGTTTTCGAAATTCCGATTGGCCATGTGAACAACACGGGTAGAAGTGCAATTATAGCCACTAATTGGTCTGAATGATTTCGCCAAAACTACAATAATTGCCTATGCACTTTCTCGAAGTTTCGTCATTTTGTTACCGTTCGATGTGCAATTGGAAAACGGACGCAGGTGAATCGATTTGAGCACAAAATGACTGTTGATAAGATTTTTGAGAATTGCAGATAATAGACGAAATACATATAAGGTGTTAACCAATACGAAGGATAATTGAAATGTTTGTGGAAATATTCGCAGACCGGCTCGATATGATTCATGAGCCGATTTACAGAGAAATCAGCAATCACACTTAGAATACTCTTCAAATAAGAAATGAGTTGAAGAGCGTTTTGTTCTCAATTCGTTTACCACAACACCATCTGCGCAGTATATTTTGAAAAATGAGTCGTCGAATAGTTTATCTCCTTTTCGAATAATTGCAATTACCAACAAAATATAGATGGCCAAAAATGGAATTGTGTATAGTACTTGAGCAATATATTTTATGATATTAATGACTTCTGATTGTTTGGATTTACACGATTGACCTTCCATGTTGTACAACATATCGAATTGGGACATTATCATTTGAGCAAGGGCTGAAAACTATTTTCATTTTTAACTAAACATTTCAATAATAATAATAATAATTCATATTCGCTAAATGGGTAACTATGGCAAAATTGGTATGCGTCATCAAGCTCGGAAATTCTTAGAGTTGCACCACTCCTTACGAAGATCAACAAACCACGACAATTATTAGGAAAAAAAATTATAACGAGTAATTTTTATTTTAGAAATAATTGAAATTTTGATTTAACCTGCCAATTAAGTTGAATGAATTCAATTAATTTCTTGGAATTAATTTGACGAATATAGTAGATAGTTTTCTTGAAAGCTTTGAAATTTCGACAGCACAAAAAAATCAAATTTGTGACGAATAAGTGTGGGAAATATTCACATAGGTGTTAATGAACTTTCAACTTGAATATTTATTGTGAAACGAGCAATATTGAATCGGCACGTAACAAAGTATTGCAGCCCTCCTTGAAGAACGGCTCGTAATTTTTGAGATTGCTATCAAGACACTATCATGGTATATATTTATCGGCATTGGTTCAACCTTCGGCAAGCAAAAGACATCGAGAAAAATAGGCAAAATGCCAAAAATTATTACTTAAACCCGTAAATTTACAATTTTCGTTTTGCTCCAAGACCACTGTCGTTGTTTTTTTTTTTGGCATTTGGCAAATTTTCCATAATCGCAGGGCTTCGACAATTGGACGGATAAATTAATTTATCCATTTGGGGTAAATCGAACTTTATTCATGCCGCCGGACATTGGCGTTGAATAAATATGTATCTCACGCTCTATACAAATCCAGTTGATTTTCGGAATGAATAAATATCGTGGTGTTGCTTAAAAAAAAACATTCAAACGTTGGAAATTTATTTAAAGCTCTGTTGATGTTGTGATGAATGTTTGACAATTAATCGACAAATTTTTTGTCGAAAAATCTGTTTGACTTATTTGGAACAACGTGATTTCCTCTTGAGACCGTGTTTTTCTACAATTGAAAATGATCGCTTCCATTGTAACGACTGCAACTCCCATCATTTTAATAAACAACTATGTGAATTCGAAAACCAAACTTTATTGTACATTTCATCTTAACATGTCATCAATTCTTTGAATTGAGCATAATTCGCAAATGTTTAAAACGCAAAGGACCGAAAAAAGGAGCATTTGGAATGGGTCAAAATTATTAGGGCTTCGTTGATATTCCAGTATCACTTTGATTGTCGAAACCGTTTTTTTCATCGCTATGGTCTTGCGGTTAAGCTTAATTGTCCTGGGTTGCTCGTTAAAAATCCCGATTTGCCATAGTCAATTGGGACGCTTCCAAATGGAAACAAACTTCTTCGAATTCGTCTCGAAGTCACAATTAAAGCAATCGGTGAACTGAAAAATTGTGCATGTCTTACAAGAAATGAATTAATACGAATTACCTCATAATATAAAAGTCATTGCATAGTTGAATTGCAGACAAAGCTGTTATTTTTACTATCGAACTTTCTTTGAGCATATCGTCAGAAACGATCAACGAAAAACCTTGAATCGTGATGAAAAGAGCATAAGCAATCGAAAGGAAGATTGTTGAAATTGTCATTGCTCTTTCGATTGATCTTGTCCGGCCTTCGATTTGAGACAATTTCGAAATTATTATATAATTCGCAAAGATTATAAAGATAAATGAAGGAATTGCAGCTAACATTCGAAAGTACGCTGATCCTAGCTAAAAATGAATATAATCTTTAAAATTCGAATTTAGCCGAAGAATTTTATTAAAATTCTATTAATGCAAATTTCGTGATTCAATTCCGATTATAAAAAAAAAGTAAAGTGATAATGACAAACCCATGGAATGTTGTGAACGTAGAATATGAATGCTTGGCTGTTACTGGCGGCAATATAACATTTCGATATTCCAATTTGCCATGTGAATAACACTGGTAATATTAATATAACTAAAACCAATTGACCCGAACGACGTCTCCAAAACTGAAAATTCCGATTGAAATTGTAATGAGTTTGAATTCAACACCGTTTTATGAGCAACTGGATATTGAACACAAGTATATCTATTTGCGCATAAAATGACAGTAGCAAATATTTTCGAAAATTGCACATAACTCGTAATGTACAAATATGGAGTCAATGCGTACGATGGATATCGATAATTTCCGTGAAAGTATTCACAAACTGGACGAATATGACTCATTGGTCGGTTGATTGAATATTCGAGTATTATGCTGATAATACTCTAAAATTGGACATTGAGAAGGGAACATTCAAAAATATATACCACTGCGCCATCGGCCAAATAAATTTTGAAGAATGAGTCCTCGAAAAGCTTATCTCTTCTTTTACAAATTGCAATCATCAAAAGAATATAAAACAGCATAAACGGAATTGTGTAAATGAGGTGAGCACAAAATTTGATGATATTAAAAATGGCGGGATAGTCGGGAGCACAAGATTGTCCTTCGATCTCCCACAAATTTCCGAGAAATTTCATTATTGTAGATTCTCACAAACGCTGAAGTGAAGTAAATTCTTTATTCACAGTTTTATCAGATTTCAATTTTTTTATTGAAGTCTCAAAGGAATTGAATTTTGAAGAAATGATTGGCTTTTTGGCAATTATCTCAATTTGTGCATGTCGCCGCCAAAGTCTTTTCGAATAGCTGAACTCAGTCAGGTCAAAAACTACATTGAGTTAAACTTTGATTTCGATTCTGCAAAATTTCAAACGAGTAGAAATTGGTTGGAATAGAGTCAATTTTTAGAAGAACTAAAGAATATGAAAAATTAGTTATAGAATATTTTCAATATATGTTATAGTTTTTATCTTGAAATTAAAGGGTGTTAAATATTGGAGATGCTCATTTAAAGTGATATTGATCGGACTAATTAGGTTAATTCAGATTCGTTTCGGCCGAAAACTTTATCAAGGAAATAAAAAATCAACCAGTATTTCTGAGTCTTTCTAAATAACACGCTGAAATATCGCATTCAAGGGAAAATTTGAAGGTTTCAAAATGTTCAGTGTTAGACACCGTTAAACAATTATATACATAGATAATTTTTTCAAAAAAATTGAAAAAAAAAAACTAAAATGCAAAATAACCAGTTAGTCCGCACGTGACCCAGTAAATCGATCTGAAAAATGTTTGGAGTGGTTTTTTTAACAATTCCGAGCGGCAATGAGGTCTACGTGGTTCCCGATGGTATTCGGAAGAAAAGATTCAATGAGTAGCTCGGAAAACACTTTTCAAACTACATATATTCGGCGTCTGATTTACGGGGGTGCGCGGTCTCATGCGGCCTAACTACTTATTTTGCATTTTAGGAAATTTTGTAGGACATTTTTCCATGATTTCACCGAAAAGGAAAACGGAAACGGAATTTCGTGCAAGCCTGCATCAATCCCGCCAACAATTCTAAATGACTGAAACAAGATTAATCCGCACAAAACTGTACGCGCGTTATCCAAAAATTTTTTCGCAGTGGAATTCTGAATAAACGAAATTCAATAGCGAAGGTAAAATAATTGATTAAAGGTTCATAAAGCGGAAAATGAGTTTGGTCTTGTGGTGATCTGGACTGATAGCCATTTTTCAAGGCTATCAGACCATGAAAGGGCTGATGAAGTAAAACCCAGTACATACGCAAATACTTTGTATAACTTCTCATTGGACTATTCAGGCTAATGCAAAATTGATAAATCTAAAAAATAATACATTATTCATTTATTCTATAGCTGTCAAAAATGCTCTAACTCATTGACCACCTAAAAGAGCACTCTTGCTAGTTTAGACTCCGCGAAAGCCATTTGAAATATAGCCGGCGTCAAACGATTGATCGAAATCTAAAAAAGGTTGACCACGTGTTTCGAGGCAAAAAGAATTATCCTGCATATTTTGCATTTTATCGCGTTAATAATACTCAGCAAAGTAGTGCGGAAATGAAATTTTTAACGGAAGTCGAAAGACGGGAGACCCCCCGCCCCACCCCGTATTCTCCTCTATTACTCTGTCAATAATTTACTCACATATATTGGAGTCTCTTTGAGCTTTTAGCACAAATTTTAGTTTACATAATGTCGATTATCAGGGAAACGAGAAACGAGATTAAAAACTTTCCGAAAATGAAGTTATGTCGGTCGGCGCCATATTTAGAAACTTCCTGTCATAACTAGCAATTATGTTTCCAATATCATAGATGTTGAGCATTACTCGAAACTGCGGTCACATGAGGTCCACTCATCACAATGAAAAGAAAAAATGGTATGATTGTATTCATATGTACGTATTAACGGATCAAAAGGGTTTTGTCGTCAAGTAAAATAGAAAATACGTATTTTCAGCTTAATCCGCATTGAAATTGAAATAATTCATTGAGTTTTTCATGGAATTTCAAAAAATGAACACACAAATCATGAGATGATTCGAAATTATTTCGAAACGTTCTGAAAACATATTGAGCATTACTTTATTTTATTGCTTATATGAATGATTCAAACATTACTAATCTGCAGTTATTGTATGAGGAGGAGGCAAATTGGTAGACACCGTTGATCGCACTCTGTGAACATTATTCGATCGCCAGAACAACAAGCCGGCACGTATTTTCTTTGATGTTGCCAAAAGAACTACTGGAGAGCTGAAAATTTTAGAATTTGGAAAGAAATTCCGGTCGAAGGTCTCTTTAACATATTTTACAATCCCAGAAACGAGCACCCTGTGTATATTTACGTCGAGTTGGATTCGTAGGTTATCCGTAGTGCGGTACACGAATTCACACGGTTAAAATCGAAATTTGAATAACCGCCGCGGAACAAAAATACAATGGTCCACATCTACTCAAGGTGCTTGGTGTTTCGCTATTGTCGAAGTCAAACGACTTGACGAAATTAGAAAAAAAAGATTGGCTATGTGCCAATGCGTTCCAAGGCAGCGAGAAGTACGCGAGACTGCGTACATTGCATAATAGTGTATTTAATATTCAAATTGAAAAAAAATTTAAATCTATAGTCGGCGTCCGCTCTGATGCTACTGCCCGTCCGTTACAACATCCGCGCGGCGTCATTTTTTTTCTATAGAAAGCCGTCGGCTGAGATTTATCGAGTGCTGTATGCGGGTAGATTTACGGATATCTGTCTTTCTCTTGGTCTCGCACGGGCTAACCGGATATTTTAAATTTTATAGTTGGACAATTATTTAATCGAATGATGTTGGAAATTCAAGAAATGCGAAAGAAAAATGAAGCAGTTCACGCGAAAACAGCAAAATAAGCCTTAACACGTGGCGAGACCTTTTCAAGGCGCATGCGCGTTCTACCCACGTACAGCAGTCGCCGGACGCCGACTATACATTGATTTCGCGAATTTGAAGGCCCGCCTCCATTCAGTCGTTTGACGCCGACAATATTACCTCATCATATAAAAATCACTGGAGAGTTGATTGATGCAAATTACTGTGTTTGCTAGATTTGTATTTTCAAATATTAATTCGGTTGAAGCCATCAGCGAAAATGCTTGAACTAATAAAAATAAAATGTATGCAATTGCAAGAAAAACTGAAGAAATTGCCATGGCGCGTTCGATTGATTTCAAACGGGATTTTAGTTTCGACAATTTCGATAAGATTGCCAGCGTAGATGTCATGATGAATATAAATGATGGTGCACCAATTAAAAGACGAAAATATGTGGTTCTTGCCTAACTCAATGACTGCAATCAGGACGGTTATTGCAATGGATTACCCATGGAACTGCATGAATGTAATTAATCCATCCCTGGCCGCCAACCGCGGCCACAAATGTTTTCGAGATTCCGATCGGCCATGCAAACAAGATTGGGAGAAGAATAATGACCGACACGATGCGGTTTGAATTAGCATTCCAAAACTGAAATCCTCTCGATATTTTTTTCCCGTTTCATACTGCACTAATTTTAAATAATATCCAAATTGCTTTTAGCATTATAGGAATTAATACTCACCGTTCTATGAAAGAGCGGAAATTGGACACAAGTGAAGCGATTAACACACAATGCAGTAGTTGAGATAATTTTGGAATATTGTAGATAATTGACTAAATACAAATAAGGAGTTAGCCAATACGAAGGAAAATTGAAATGTTTATGGAAAAATTCGCAAGCTGGTACAATATTTGCGATGAGTCGGGTAATCGAGAGATCAAGAACAACACTTAAAATACTCTGAAACTCAAAACGATTATCCTCGAATTGAATGCCTTTTTCTGGAATAACCACAGCTCCATCGGCAAAATATATTTTGAAATATGCATCGTCGAATAATTTGTTTTTATTCATTGCAATCGCAACCAACAAACACACGTATATTGCCAGAAATGAGGCGGAATAAAGAAATTGAATAGAAAATTTAATGATATTTATGATTTCCGGATATATCGGTTTGCAGGTCTGCCCATCGGCCTTCCAAAGCGAGTCCAATTCAGACATTTTCTGAAAATCTAAGGAAATTGATCATAGAATAATAATCACAAATTGTGCATTTTTCTATGAATGAAAAAGCCAATTTGTGCTCTTCTGAAAAAATCAAGCGGAAACTGTAGTCACTTGACAATTTTAAATGAGTTCTTCAGCAATGAATGCCAATTTCACTTCACAATTCGCACGTTTTCTGACGTTTATGGGAACAAATCTATTAGTGTCAAAAAATCGCTGAAGGAAAACATTGAAATCGTGAGAAGCCAATATGATAAAAATGATTTTAGTTAGAATATATAGGTCATTAATTTTGTTCAATAAATTCAAACATTTGATTATTTCTTGAAAATATCAATGAAAGAAGTTACTTTTTAATCAAAGAAATATTTGAAACCATGCGTGAAACTTTTTCATTGAATATATCGAGAATTTAACATATAATTTATTTTACAAGCAGAATGTAAAGTTAAAAAAAATAACAGTCGGATAAAGATATGTTGCTCATGGCATTCAATCGACATCCTTTTGAGCAACATTATATACATACTTAGATAGATTGTTTGCTCACATTAAAAATATGGTTCGACACAAAAAAGTTGAATCTAGACGAAAAAGAGTTAAAAAAGGAAAGATTCATACACTGGAACACCGAAATGCACACATTTGATTATTTTATTGGATCCTCTTTATTTTTAAATGCTTGGTCCACTGTTAAAATTTTGAAATGTTTATTTGGGACATTTTCAAAGAGAAGCCAAATTGGTGGTAACGTGTTAGTATAAAAATATCATTAAAAAAATAATAATAAATAAGAGTTCGAGAAAAGTCAAAACGAAAATTCAGATAAAATGCACAAGTCCGCAAAAGTGCTTTGGATTGCATTTTATTTGCCGAAAAAAACAATTTTACTTCGCGATCGTTTTTCTCGGCGACGAGCTAACGTAGAATTTCCGTTATTGTTTGATTTTTTCGATTTATTATCTAGTTTCTATCATATTTTTGTACTTTCAATGACTACCTGCCCTCTTTTTAAATTTTAAGTTTGAGTTGTCATTTTAGAAAATATTTTATATTGTCCCTGAATCATCTCAAAAGCAAAAACCCAGTAGAACGCTCTGTTTAAAAGCTCACAACTCGTTTCATGTTCATTTCTCTTCGTGATCCTATCAATCTGATATTGTGGTAAATTACCAATTTTCAGTTTTAAACAATTCCATTAAATCAACTTTTTATATAACCTTCTGAAAATAGTTCTTATATGCAATTATGAGCCCTGAGTTCATTTATGAATTCCGGTTTTCAATATTAAAAAAGGGGGGACTTATAAATTAAAGAAACTATTGAAAGGTTGAAGGTAAAATGAGGAACATATATTCGAGCAGTTTCACGTGAATGTGTGTTGAGGCGGCAGACTGATCGACACCGTAGATCTTCGACTGCTCGGATTCGTCCATCTCAGCAAGCTTTTGCGAATTTTTGTTGAAGTACTCAACAAAACAATCGGCGAACTTAAAAAATAAAATGAATTTATCGACTTTATATTATCATTTGCTGAATTGCAAACACTCACAATCTGAATATTATACATATAATTCTGATTAATCGCCCGCTTTTCATTCGGATTCATTATAGAACTCTCAAAATGTCTATCTACAGTAACCTAGTCTCTTAAATTCTGCCAGTTCGTTTCAGATGTCAGTTTGCCGGATGATTCATCCGCCGATCCTCATTTTCGGCGTTTCAGTATTTTTTTGAATACAAAGTCGACGAAAATGTTCAAAACCCAAACGGAATGTTGACTAACCTCATCAAATAAAAATCGTTGGAAATCTGTTGAACCGTTGCAGCAACTGTCGTGACGATCATGTTTTTTGTCATTGTATCTGTTGAAGCAACCAATGAAAATACTTGAACAAACAAAAATAAAATATATGCGATCCACAAAAATATTGCAGTTAATGCCATAGCCTTTTCGATGGATATCAGCCGGTTTTTCAGTTTCGTCAATTTCGATAACATTGTGATTGTCGCAATTATAATAAAAACGAATGCTGGACCGCCGATTAGCAATCGAAAATAGACGGTTCTTGCCTTTAAAAGTTTGACATTTTCCGTGTTAGTTTGTCGAAAAATACCCAAGGAACTGTATGAATATAACCGATGAATCCTTGGCCGCTCACGGCAGCAACAAATGTTTTCGAAACACCAACCGGCCAAGTAAAAACAAAAGGAAGAAATATGATTGTGAAGATGAATCGTTTTAAATTCGCATTCCAAAACTAAACAATTTAAAATTCCAAGACGAATACTCACAATGTGTAACTATTGAAAAAAAATAATTCAGCTTTTTGGAAAAAAAACCCACAAATTTATGAAAGAGTGGAAATTGGATACAAGTGAAGCGATTAGCACACAATGCAGTAGTTGAGAGAATTTTCGAATATTGTAAATAATAGGTTAAATACAAATAAGGAGTTAGACAATACGAAGGAAAATTGAAATGCTCATGGAAAAATTCGCAAGCTGGTACAATATTTGCGATGAGTCGGGTAATCGAGAGATCAAGAACAACACTTAAAATACTCTGAAACTCAAAACGATTATCCTCGAATTGAATGCCTTTTTCTGGAATAACCACAGCTCCATCGGCAAAATATATTTTGAAATATGCATCGTCGAATAATTTGTTTTTATTCATTGCAATCGCAACCAACAAACACACGTATATTGCCAGAAATGAGGCGGAATAAAGAAATTGAATAGAAAATTTGATGATATTTATGATTTCCGGATATATCGGTTTGCAGGTCTGCCCATCGGCCTTCCAAAGCGAGTCCAATTCAGACATTTTCTGAAATTGAACGGAAAGAAACTGAAAAAAGCCTCATTAAATAATTTCAATGCTTTCAATGAATGAATTGTGAGAGTGAAAAAAATCTGATATTCAGTGATCTCATTTCATTTTAGTGTGTGATTCTCAACTTTTTTTGAGGAATTTTTTCAACAATCGCATGTAGTGACGTTGTGGGAAAAATCTTGCAAACGTTTAATGATTGAAAATTAGTCATCAGACATTATTCGCCATGTCAAGTTTAAATTGTCAAATGATTGCACGAACTGTAGAAAAATGGCCCATTGCCATCAACCACCAATTTTCAACTCCAGTTTTTATTTTTCTACCACCCCCTAATTTTCACCCTTAATTTTAATCCCCAACAACTACACCCCTCTTAAAAAATCTTTTTATGAATGAAATATTATTTCTCATTAAAAACATTAGTATTGCTTTTTTATTAAATACAACAAGAAATCTACAGGAATCTCAAGTAAAAAAATTTTAGAAAATCATTAGCCAAAAATTGTTAGTCAAAAAAAAATTCGTCAAAAATCACTAGTCTAAAATCATGAGTCAAAGAATAAAAAATCATGATACAATTTTTTGGAGTTTTCAAAAATCACGAGTCAAGTCAAAAAGGTATGATATTTTTTTATACGTTGTTTTTTTTATTTTACTAAACGAATGTTTTTAATGTGTAATAATATTTCGCTTTGACATTTTTGACATTTGTATTTCACCATTAAATTCATTTTAAAAAATCTAAACAAATTTGGGTTTTTATCGTTTTTGCATGTTATTTTCTGATAAAAACCGGTGAGCTCAATTAAATAGTTTTAATGTCTATCTGATAATATAATGTAAACTTTATTATGGTCTAATTGTGTTTCTGAGCGAGTCGCTCCATTTTTTAATGATTGATAAGAAATGTGTTGAAATCATCGAAGAAATAGTTTCGAGGTCAACAATATTTTGGAATAAGCATAATTTGTATAGTGACTTTATGCGAGTTACTTATGTATTTATAAAAGACATACATATGTATATTTATAAATCTTCAATAATTCCTTCGGCAACAATTTCTGGATAATTCGGATGACACTTTCGACCGGCAACATTCTATAGATGTCCACGAAGACGCCCAGTACACTAGAAGATATTGATGATCAAAATGCTGTCGGACTAATCAAAAGAAACAAAAGCTCGTTTTTATAATTCAGTGACCCAAAAATATGTATTTTAGATTTCTATCAATAAACTTAAAGAAAGATTGTAAATTTTTTAGATGTCTTAAGAATACTGAGAATATGTATTTCAATAATTTTTGGAAATTTAAGATTTTTTCAAATATTTTAAATTTTAATCAGTCTCCCTCATATGTTCTAAGAAATATTAATAAAATTTAAAATTTCTTAGGATGTTTCGGAAATTCTTTTAATAATTTTTGCTTTAGCTATACATTATTTTCGCATTTTCTCCAGGAACTTAAATGCCTGGAAAAATCACACGAACTAGGCTGCACGGAAAATATACGTAGGTTTAGAAGTTGGTGCAGATGACGTACAAATGTGAAAATCCGAAAAACCAAAAATTTCAACACACATTTTGCAATTATTTAATATTCAAATGAATTTATTCAAAAATAAGGAACAGTCGCAACTGATAATTACAGGATAATTAGACAATGAAAATCAATTAACGCGTGTAGCACCCGCCTAGAGCGACTATATTTCACAGTTCAATAATTATAAAGGTTAAATAAAATGAGAATGAAACAAAAAAATTAAAAAAAAACTATCAAATAGTTAATAAATCAACTCGTAACGAAAATGAGACAATATTAAGAAGAACACTTTTTGACGAAATTCAAATTGCACTTGAACGAACTTTCTCATAAATGCGAAATTCGCTTAATAGTGAAAGAAATTTGAGCAAATAATGAATTAATAAAGCAACATAACAATAAGGTTTTGAAGTTCTATCAAAAAAAACATCACATTGGGAACGAAACGCCCATTTTCTTCTTCGCAGCAACATTGTTTAAAACCTGCAATAATTGTTATTTAATTACAACAGTTAATTGGTGATAATCGGAGGTACCTCATTCACTGTCATTCGACTTGTTTCGGGACACATAAAGTAGCACATTACCGTGAAAATTCCGGTTGGAATCAAAAAGAGAAGGAGAGCCTGAGCGCCGATCTGAACACGGATCATAAAGAACGCTTTGATCATTGAATGATCGTCGACATACCACATTGGCTGTTGGATAAAACGCGAATTCTACAGCGATTTTGGTTAAAGCCTCGAACATTGTTAATGTGGAAACTGAAGAAAGCAGAAGATTTCTTGGCACGAGTTCAGCCGCGTAGAATCTCGACACTGATCCGATTCCGCAAGTATTCACAAGTAGAAGAGCAGTGAGAGCAACGAATGTAGCGTACTGAATTTTATAATAGAAATTATTTAACTGTCATCGGCTAATACCTTGAAGTCTCCGTTCAAATCGATGGCCACAATCATGACTAATAAAGAAATGAAAGAGACCATCATTGAGACGACAATCAAAGGACGTCTGCCCAGTCGATCAACCAAAAACACTGGAACAAGGGTAAAGGGAAGGCGAATAAGTCCTGTTGCAAACGAGAGCCACGTGGACTGCGAGTAGGTGAAGTGCGAAAGAGTGTACAATATGAAAGTACTGTAACCGCGAAGGGATCGGGCCCCTGAGAACACGTAGGCAATCTTGACCATCACTCCAATCCATGCGCAATATCGAATAAGTCGAGATGTGGCATCTTTGGCTTTCCACGGCATAAACATGATCTGCATTCCGGTGAATTCGCATTCAATTCCACTGGCGGTTTTCTTTCCTGGCGATTTGCTCAGACTCTGTTCGCAAATGCGCATTTCAGATTCAACCGATGGATCGTCTTCATTCACTCCGTGGTATTGAGCAAGAGCTCTTCTAGCTCGATCAACATCGTTATATTTCTCCATTATAAATTGAGGAGATTCAGCGACCATAGAAAACATTGCCATTGAGACAAGAACAACCGCGCAGTTCGGAAGAAAATTGTAAGGCCAGAGTTCGTCTGTTGAAAACGGAACTCCCACAGCCTGGGTTAGCAGAGAACCTTAAAATGGAAAAAACTGAAAAAAAACCGTTTTAAAAAACAGTCACACCTAAAGCCATGAAAAATTCTTGCATTGCTGCCATTCGACCTCGAATTTGCGGTGGAGCGCACTCGACAATCCAAACGGTCGCGTTGACTGTATTCACTCCATTCGCGAGAGACCAAATAATTCGACCGAAGAACAGTAATTCAAAAGCCGGGAAGAACCATTTGGCAGCAGCACACATTAATGCGCCGGGTATCTAAACTCTTCACCGTATACCTCAAAAATTCTCAAAACATACATAAAGAAACGATGCTATTAAGGCTGTGTGTTTTCGGCCAAATTTGGCACACATCCATCCGGCGAGAAATTGGCCGAATATAGTAGCAATTGGAAAGCAGACATTGAGAAGTGACCACAGTATATGCTAAAAATATATCGCGTTTCTATTTCTGTCTCTCAATTCGATTTTATTTGGAATTGATAACATTTGACGACTCTTCAATGGACTACTGTAACATCGACAAAAATAGGAGAGATGATAAAACCTAAGTGATGTTCAACATGCACTCATACACACAAGATTTTCTACTAACTAGACATGTTCTATCGAAAACTGAAGATGATGGGTTAAATGAAAACAGAAACAACTCCATTCTGTGTAATAATTCTGGTTTAAGACACATATTTCTTTCTATACATATAAATATTAGAGATAATTTGAAATGAATCGAGATTATCAAAAAAGGGGGATTTTTATGTTGAAAGTTTGTCTAAAACTAGAGAATCTGTTATATAATTCAAAATGTGAGCAATTCGAAAATGAAAAAAAAAGACTTACTAATGTGGCATCTGATATGGGTTCTCCAGTCCTTTCAATCCATGACTCATTAATGAACTGCTCAATTTGAGCGTATGGTTGATTGAGAACTGATGCGATGTATCCTTGCTGGAATCCAGACGACAGACACAGTGCTATAGACAATATGTGAATCGCTACCGAAGGCATGATCTGAAACAACTCATTCTTCACCCATCGGCACAACTATTTAAAGTTTCTATTCGTTGTTAGCAACCGGAAAAAAACAACAAAAACAACAACAAAACAATAGTGCGTATTGTTGAAAAGTGATGGAATTTGATAAGAAGACCCGACTAGGCAGTCCGCATATTTTTTATTATGTGCAAATAATATTTCATCAAGGGTGGCGGAAGCCTATTTTATATAGTAAAACCTGAAGAAGTTTGTCAAAGACATTCAATCATTCAACTTTGACAGATAAACGTTGAATTCGAGACCGGATTATCATGTGGTCACTTCGAAAATGATTCAACTGTTCGCTTAAGATACAAAATGTTTGCCTGTCCCATTCTAAGAATCTACGTACATTAGACCACGCCCACTATCATCTTAATCACGTCGATATTTGATGTTGAAACTCAATCACCGCTCTTATTATTTGATTTAACGCTATTATCGGTGTTGGGAATTTCGCTGAATTCAGTATCATCTGATTGAATCTTTGACTTATACCAGGCGATTAAGGAATTCAAGAATAATTTATATGGCAGATTCGCCAAACAGTCTCTGGTAAACATTTCCATTTATGGTCCGAGAAGAAATTAGACTCAATAGTAGAAACATACAAAAATCTGAAGAAATACCAACAAAATCAACTAGAATTTTCACAAAACGACAGTCTGGTCAAAAATCTGAAAATGCGCACGTCGAGCGACCAATTCAGCGTTAAAAAGGACAAAAATATGACAACAATATATTCAATAAAAGGTAGCTTCAACGAGAGAATACGAATCGATATTGGAATTTCGAAAAAACGGTGTTTTGAAGTTTTTTTTTTTCAAAAAAAAAAATGCCTATGCAAAATAATTCGTCATTTTCACCACCAAAAATAATTGCGTCATCGCAGTTTTTGTTTCAAAACTTGAATTATTTTAATAAACAGAAACGACGCATTTTCTAAGAAAGTTACGAAAATAAATGAACAAATTTAAAAAAGAAACCATGGAAAAGTTGTGAGAGGACGAGTGGAAAACCGACGAAATGATGGCAGTAATCGAATCTTCTTCGAATTGATGTTCGTCTGATTCTTCGATTTTCAAAAAAAAATGACGAGACAAAAAAAAAGAAATTTTGAAATCAGCAAATGCGTATTCTCTTCAACGAATAACCCATTTTCAAAATTCGGCAATTATCATGATATTTTAAAGATATAATGACATATTGTCAAAAAACCGTTTCAACAAGATTTACCAAAGAATAAATATGGGAGAATTGATCGAACAAAGACGAAAAAAGGCATTTGTCATCTGGTCTTTGCAACATTAAAACGCAATCTTGGTCAGTAGATCAAACATGTACTAATTGGTGAATCTAATTATTTAACACTTCAATCCCTTTTAGTTATTGAGGTTAATTGATTACTAGAAATTATTCAAACATCAAAAAAAACTGAGAATATTGTGAAAATGAGAGCATTGCTCCGATTGTGACCCCCTAATCGCATGATTTGTTGTTTCTAATTTTTGTTTTTACCAGTTTTCGATATCAGATTAGGTGCATTTCCATGCACTCATGTTTTCAATTCGTCCACTGAATTTCGATCATTAATTTCGAAAATAAGGCTAAATATTGTCAAATGTTGCTGGAAGAAAACGTAAAACTCTCTCTCTCTACACAATTTGGCGATGTAAAAATGCAGAACTACAGAATTCAGTGCGAGTAAAATGCGGCGGAAACATGATGTGTCCACAGGAATCGTATATATTCGGCGTCCGGCGTCTGCTGTATGCGGGTAGATTTACGGGAACGAGTCTTTCTCTTGGTCTCGCACGGACTAACAGGTCATTTTAAATTTTATGGTTGGATAATTATTTAATCGAATGATGTTGGAAATTCAAGAAATGCGAAAGTATCTGCAAGAAAAAATAAATCGTTCACGCGAAAACAGCAAAATAAGCCTTAACACGTGGCGAGACCTTTTCAAGGCGCATGCGCGTAAATCTACCCGCGTGCAGCAGTCGCCGGACGCCGACTATATGTCACCATCAAGGAGATAGTGATGTAGCATACAACATCATTAATGAAATTTGCTACCATATAATATTCAAGCGAAACCACATTGAGTCCATGTACAAAAAAAAGCTACCGACGGAACTCCCAACGTGGGACCACAAACATACAGCATTCACGCGAAACCACAAAACTGGGGAGACATATAGCACCCATATCGGATCTATATGCGTTCACATTATTGTGTATAGCACTTGTTCATTTATTTTTTCGCTTCATTTGACTTAACTAGAAAATATTAATGATCGAATCCATTGTTCACATCTATTTTTTTCACTTTTCAAAGCTAAAATTACGACGTTCGATTTCTGACATTTCATGATGCGGTTGCATATTTAAATGTGAAACAGTTGGAAAATTTCAGAGAGAGAGGGAGAGAGAGAGAGAGAGAGAGAGAGAGAGAGAGAGAGAGAGAGAGATCTTGTTAGTATACAGAATGCGGCTTATCTATCCCTATGAATAAGTTCGCCAATCTACACTTTTAGCTTTGCGTCAAGACCACTTTCATTGTTTTTTGGCAATTTCCCGCAGACGCGCGACGTCGGCAGTACAACATTTCGAAAAATAGACATATTCATTTTTTAAACCCGCATTTTTTTCAATATGCGTTTGACAGCCGATATCAGTAAAATAATGCCACTCAATCTGAAATAATTTGAGCGAGCCGAATTGTTTGACAATGTCAATCCTTGCAAATGAAGATACGTATGTATCTCTGGTGGTGTTTGAAATCCCTTATGCAAAAGATTCCTACGTTATTTATTATAGATAAACATGGATTTTTTAAAAGACAATCGGTATATATAATTCCACATTAATTTTTTACTAACAAAGAAACGCAATGTTTAAAAATGAATAATCTTACCTTGGGTGACTCATCAATAAGAGGCGCTTGAGAATCATCGCTAGCAATCGATCCTCTTGGAGGAAAATGTCTCATCGAGTAAATTCCGTACGAAATACGTAGGAAAGGGAGCTGTATGAGCTGAGAATTGAAGCGCGAGACTGATGAAAACAGCAGTCGGACGGGTCGCGGCCGAACAAAAATGGGTTTTCGAAAGGAAAAGAGCTAGCGGAGTAAGAGAGACAACTTTGGCCGGAAGTCGCTGCGTCTCTAATCTCTCACCTCCCGCAATTTTTTTTCGCGAAAAACACCGAATAAGCCTCTTCTATTTACACTATCTTTCGGCTATTTTTCGACAATTTGGGCGGAGTCTATTCACTGATAATGTTGTAATACTGATTCATCGTTCAAAGACGAACAAGGTTTGACGTCGAAAGTTCGATGTCTCTCCATTCGAATTACATCAACTTATAAAAGGCACGTGCGAATAGAAGAGACGATGAAAAACACGATTCTCGAAGTTGTTGGAACCTACTAGATGATCGGAGGAGTTGCTAGAATATTCGTCATTAAATTTATCATTTCATTTGGTTTTCTAGTCAAAATTTTGCGATCAAAATCATATTAAAACTTAATTATTATTATTTATGGCATCATAAATGTTAAACCCACACAAAACGAAAACGCTCATTTTTTGATTGTAGAAAATAGAACGAAAAAACTGAAAATGATTAACACTTTTACTTGAGTAATTGTATGTTTTTAACTTTAATAAATTATTCATCAGAAATTTAAAACTACATATAAGCCAATAGACGTGTTCTGAAGAGTATGTATATAAAACTAGCCGTATTTCAGAAATTTCAGAAAAATTAAAGACTTTTCCTCTGACATTTCGTTTTAAGATAATTCAAATATGAGATCACGAAACTTCGTAATTATTTTTAGAAAATTTTATTTCGAAGTATATAAGATTCGCTGAATATATGAATGAATAAATGAAAACAAGATACTTATAAGATATACATACATAAGTTGAATAGTTTTTATAAGATATTCGTCGTATAATGCATATACTCACTAAGCTGTTTTTTAATACTTTTTTGAGAAAGAGTTGCTATAACGAATAAATCTTCAAAAAATGATATAAGAATCAAATTAAGATGAAGAATGGAATAATAATCTGAAATACATGCAAAATAAAATAGTTCACGAGAGACATGAATACTCAACAAATCGAGTAATTATTCTGCAAATTTTGATAATTGCCTAAACTAGTTCGAATGAACAATCGCGTTCCACGAACGCAATTTTTAATAATCATCACGGGAAGCTTTCGATATTTATGATGACACGAGACCAATTAGAGTTCATAAGCAGAGGTGTCGAATAATTTAGCGAATACGGTAGCTGGCGCATTATGCGCTGTCCAGCGAAACAGTGTGCAGCGGAAGGAGGCTGCCATTTTTAAAGATTCGAAATGTCCGCGACAAACATTTTTAGATAAAATCTCATATCTGATTAGTTATGGTAAGGATTATTAATAAAACCGATATGATCAATTCAATAAATTATTCCGTTTTTTTTTAAATTTATATGTATATACATTTTGAAAAAAAAAATCCAGCATTTTGTAGATTTTCGATGTTTGATCGAGTGTATGCACGCAAATCCCCGGCCGGAAGTCTCATTTGATAAAAAACTCCTATTTATATCCCAAAGTCACATAATATTGATGATTATGTCGGGAAAATTGTCATTTTGTTACAGGCCTTCTTAATTGGTCATTTTCGGCGTTGCACCACTGCGAACATGTGGCTAAAAAAAAGTATGCAATATTGACGCAGAACTAAGTGTAAATTTACGGGAAAAATTAAAGGCACACACCACTCGCCAACGTAAATGTTTCGACATTTATCGAATTTTCCGCAGTTGCGCAACGCCGACGTTACTAAAATAATTACCTATTAGAAAATCCGATATCAACTCCCACCGACGTGATTTTCGCAAAAGACATTTTATCGATTCTTTGGCAATCATTCGGTTGAGATTGATTAGATCCGAGAGAGAGAGAGAGAGAGAGATGTTATGATGATGACGATAAAAATTGTTGGAGTAATATCAAATTCTATTTTCATACTTTAGAGATAATAACACTTCCTCAAAATATAGCTTACAACCACAAATTTATGACGGAGGAACACACTGAAATTAAAATTCCTACCCAATTGTTGGTATTGATCATACGAATTTTTAACAGCAATTCCTCTATTCAACTGTTAAAATGACCGAAAATTTAAAAGGATGCAATTAGCTTCGGGTTTATGAATGAATAGCTTTCGATCAACCTCGAAACATAATAAATTTATAATTTCATAATAATTTTATTGTATATTTTGAAATTAATTTTCTGCAATATTTCTTGTAATTTTAAAAATTTGATACCTCTGAAAAACTCCATTGAAATCTTCGGCAATAAGGTCCAAAAAACTGGAAATTTGTGGACATGTTTTTGACGAAGCTTATGTATTGAATATTTTGCGCAAAAAGGCGCAACATGAAAAGATTCACACAAGAAACTATCAAATTTCAAATAACCAATTAAAATTTATTAATATTTCTAAAAGGCAAAAAGGAATTATCATATTGCATGTGGGTGATTCAATGAAAAAGACTGTGAACGAATGAACGATTTTTGTGAATTAAGAAAAAAAACTAAACAAAAAAACCGACTCAATGAAATAGTACGGCTTTTCAGCTGAAAAATGAAATTTGGGAAATGAAGGTGAGTCATAAAACAAAGGAGAGCTCAAAAAAAACCCGTCTGAACGGATATTGTTACACAGCTGAACATAACACATGCCCAAAATTCCGGGAAAATAACATTTTCGCGATATTTCGAGAATGTCAACTTTCAAAATAACCGAAAAAAATCTTAAATACGTACAAAATTGTAGTTTAACGAGTTTTCAGGGTAAAAAATTCAATTTCCGAAGTCAGTTTCAATATTGCCTTTAAAAGATTTTTTTGAATAAAAATCTTATCACTTAAAATATGTTTTTTATTTTATTTTTTAAGCATTGAACAACTATTCTACACGTCATGCAGATGTAGAAGAAACAAAAAAAAGATAAATTTTACATAAAAGGTCGAATTCTTTCATATGTCCAAAACGTCTTCGATTCAGTTTCAAGAAGCTTGTAAGCAAGTCCCCTGAATAAGAGTAATTAATAGTTTTTAGTCATATAACTAATAAATTGACGACACCTCTCTGGCTTTTGAAATAATAAAAACTTGAAAAAATTGGTTTCCACTTCCTTTTTTAAACAAACCTTTTATCAGCGACAACTTTATTTCGTGGATCATAGTCCTCTGGTGGCAGATTATGAAGAACGGCAAAGTCTTCTGGAAATTAAAACAACCAAATTTAAAACATTTCTTCAACATACGATGCGTTAAGACCATAACAGCTCGGGAGACCATAAAATGAAACTCGGCGCTTCGGATAAATTGAATATTCCAATCCATATCAGTATCATCATCAATACCGTTCGACATTCTATTGTAGATTGGAGGAGGTATCATTCGTTTAAGACACGGGAAAAACTGCATTCGCCACGATTCGAATATTTTTGCTATTGGTCTGAAATAATTGATAAATAAGGGCTATTCGAAAATTAAAATCTTACGGAGCATCTTGGAAGTTTCTCGGCATTTTCGCATGTCCACCAATTACCAAAGATGGAATATGTTCGAGGCGAGTTAGGAGGCACGCGGATTGATCGGATTTCAAGATAACTGAAATTAAAAATTGGCGTTTAAAATGAATAAGGATCAAGTGTTCTATTGAACAATGGCACAATGTCGAATTTTAAATAGTTTTGAGGTTTTTTTTAATTGATTGGCCATACCTACACTAACTGTTGACTTTTGTAAGAGGGTTTTCGAACAAGTTACTTTCGCAATGGTCTTATTAATAATTTTCCCCTTATTAATAAGTTTCACGTGAATTGTTGGCGCGTAAGTGAATGACGGGAACTCGGAAAAATTACAGTAACCCGCGCTGAACATTCTATATTAGAAAAACGAAAGATCTCGTAAAGACCGCGTTAAATAGTGCAAATGAAATCGAATCACTCGTTAAAACATTTAAATGACATACCGATATTTGCACGAACTTTAGATTTGAATACTTCAGCAACATGCTCCATTATAAGACTGACGCGCTTCAGAATTTCAAGTTTTCGAGTATCGCTCAATGAATGAAGCTCCAAATAATTCGTTCGTGGAACCGTACGCCATAATTCCTTTCTCATTCGAATTGTGCTGCAAATTAACGAAAAAAATGAAGAACAATAACTATAATATCAAATGCTATAATAGTTCAGAAATTATGTGATTAATTTCAGCCAACTAACCTATTTTCTGAATTATTATTATTTGTCAAGGAATGAAATGCAAGTGATCCAGGCGGAGGTGTGTGATCCCAACAATTCTTTAATGATTTGCAAATAGGAATTGAGGAATGAAGTGAAGAAGAAAAGGAAGGATTGCAATACTATACTTACATCAGGTTCATCACTTTGGCTATCAAACATTTTTAGTATTTGATTCAATTCCAATAACATTTTAAACTCTATTTAATTATATAGATGATGCCTGACCGAGGTATTTTGAGTATTTAGTAATGATTTGACTCTATTCCAACGTGGTTACATCAAATAACGTGGCAATCACGTTGATGACCGAGTTAAATTTATATAACTTACTTATTACTTTCTGCAATTGGTGTTCTCAAAGGTATATCGCTTTCTTCAATATTTCTGCAAAAAAATAATTATCTGAATTAATTAATTTAATTATTATCTGTATTTTTTTAAATTTAAAATCAAGCAAAAATTAAACTGAATTTGGCCTAATTTGTTTACACTTCGTCTGTCTTCAAAAAACTTCGTCTGACAAAAAATATTCCTGCTTCAATAATTTTAATTCTTTGTCAAAAAAAATGAACGTACTCGAATAGGCTTCTATACTCCCTTGGTAAGAGTGGCGAGAGCTTCTTGGATGAATTCCAAAAATTACTAAACGATTTTTTATCATCTTCTTCTACTTCATATTTATTGTCTTCGTCCCCTGAATCTCTAAGTTTATCTCAAAATTTTCAAATTTCAAATGTTCAAAACGGATAATAACCTTGATATTCTGTATAAAGCTCTTCGAAGCTTTTCCTACACTCATGTCCGTTCATATCCAAAACAACCCGATTGTTCGTTATTTTCATTATTTTTGAAAGTTCCCACTTTCCAGTTTTTAAATCTTTCGCGATCACTTTATTTCCGATCATAAGTTGGCGTATTTCGGTTCGATTTAACGGACGCAAAACTAATTCTCCGACAATTACTCGATCCTTCTAAACAAAAACGTTCAAAATTATATTTATTTATTTACTATTTGGTTCTTACCGAATTTTTCAAATTATCTTCTCCTGACATAGAAAAAGAGTGATGAGATGACGTCGACGGCTGTTGGCTTCTGGTATTTTCCTCAACAGATGCCCATTCGATAAGATTTTTGATATCAGCAACAAGCTGCTTTTTATCTCCAATCGACATTATGTGAGCAATATCAGCTAATGATGCTATAGTCATGAATGTGCTTGAATTGAAAATTTTTTCCACGATCGAATCAATTCCTCTGCTTCGAAAATACAGCACTTTAGTTTCCAAAAGGGCAACCACATTGTTAAGCTCTTCATCGGCCCGTTCCATTTCCAAAACGGCGAGATGCTGTTGCTCCAGAATCATTCGTTGTCGCATCTGCTCCTCGTTTTCCAATCCGTACCGTGTTTGCTCTTCTACAATTATTCGCACATGATTATCGCGTCCAATATTTTCGCGAATTCTTCTTGAAGATATTTCCTCTTCGAACTCGTCTTCGTCTTCGAAATGGAGCTCAATTTCATTAATCGCCGAAGAATCGACTGGATTACTCCTGATGTTATGAACCGTTTGATTCCTATTTTGACGTACGCCGTACGAACACTTAAATTTATTTTTATGTTTTAAAAAGCAAAAATATAACCTCCGGTTTTCTTGTCGTTATTCTAATTTCACATGGACTTTTTTCTGGACAATAGACATCTCTTATAACCTAAAAATATTTTTACCAATAGCTTAATACTTTCACTAAATAAAAAAGACGAACCTCTTGCAGAATACATTTGAAATTTTCTATTATTTCTGGACTTAATTTCCTATGTGACATGGCATCCCGTAAAAGATTATCTAAATTTGAAAAAAATAGTCGTTCTGCTCCGAATTTGACTATATCTTTGCTTACCTTTTCTCATTTTCTTTCTGAAAAGAATGAGAGCTTCAATAGAATGTTCGATGTCACGACTGTATCTTTTCTGATATCAAACCAATATTTAAACAAATCAAAAATTTAATTGATTACTCTATCTAATCTAGTTTCGGTGGCAATTGCTTCATGCAATTGGTTAGAAAAAATTCCAATTCGATGGCACTTATCGATTAAGTCTTTTGCAGCCGAAGCTTTGGCGCTGCAGGCCGTCAAGCCATAACCACTTCCACAAAATATAGAAGACGGTAATCCATGGATTGTAGTATCGCAGTGAATCATTCGATACCGATCTGATTCACGGAAATTATTCGGGAGAACAAGCATCCATTTTTCTTCATCCGTCGCGTTGGAAATATTTTGCATCAGTTTTTTCACGCCTATCAAATCCCGATCATGAGATTTTTTGCATCTCTCGTGGAATAGTGACACCCAAAAAGAAAGAAACTGAAAAAATAAAATATTTTCAAGCACAAAGGAGAAGAAAATCACTTCATGATAATTTTCGCCTTCAAAAACAACACCATCTCGAATCTTCGGCGTCATTTCGTATCTTCTACGTTTCTCTTGAGGTGATGGTGATCTTGTGCTATGCACTCTTTTCGAATGTTTACTACTATCTGAAAACGAATTTTAAACTTGGAAACTGTTTAAGCAAACTTGCCTTTTTTATATCGAATTTCTAATATAGGTGATGATGATATTCCTTCAGATCTATCTATATCTTCGCGAAATTGTTCTTCAATGCCTGATTGATAAGTAGACCGTCTTATGTCCGACTCCAATTGTCGTTCATATCGTCGTCTGTGTTCATGAGCAAACCAGTAATCTATGTGATTATTAGACGGGTAAATATCGGGTGATTGGCGAGGATCACGCCTTCTTCTCGTTTCGGAATCCATTAAAGAACCTAGAGGCGATTTACGACGCGGAACGGGATCCAGAATTCGAGCAGGTGGAGAACGTGCTCTGCTCACAGTTTCAGCAGGAAGAATTCTTCTAACACTCTCCGGAACTGATGAGGCAGCATGTTGGGAATGGTATCTGAGAACAGATTTGTTTATTTCAGCAAATTTTAACATATTTTTCTATAAAATTATAAAAATAATATTTCGTCTAATACATGTATACCTTTTTTATATTTATGATACTTTTTTTCTATGCAAAAACTTACTATTAGTATTTATAAATAAACTATTTTTTGGCATACTATCTAACTTAAAATTTTTGTTTAAACACACAACACATACTTTCCATAAGTATCCTCGCGCAAACCAGGTGACCTTTCAAGATTTTTTCTTTTCATGCCTTAAAACAACGTTTTGAATTTATTAAAGAAAACGAAAATACAAAAAAAATTACTAATAAAAATATTTGGAATTTCCATGTGACCGATAAAATGGACGGATTTATTTTCTGTTTTCGGCCACATCGAACTCGGCCACAATAAAGCGTAAATTCGACCGTCGGAAAAGTATAGTTAAATTCGCAATTTTTGTAGCTTTCCCATTGGATTAATAAAGAAAATATAAGCAATAAGAAACGCTGAATTTTCGATAAAACGAAATGTGTCAACAGAGCGTGCAATAAACTATATTTATTAAATCAAGTAGATATGTATTAAAAATTGCTCGATTGTTGGCCTGAAGAGGAACACTTATAATCTCGGCGTAAGTTCTTACTACTATTTTTATTCATTTGAATTGGCTCACGTTCGAATAATCTCGTTTCAGTTTAAAGATACGCATTTCCTAATGTTGTCAAACAATAAAATGTGGATGCCAACGGTACCAAGTGGTACTATTTGCGTTTATATTTGCTCACAATTTTCAATTTTTATGTGCCAATTAGGTTTCGTATACAGCAATCGGGTTCGTATTTGATTGGATTTAAAAACACGCTGAAATATATCACCTAAAAGGGTGCGCCTTTGCCCAATGGTCTCGTCACGTAACTTCTCAGGCAAATCAAAAAATATTTTGAGAATCAAATATTCAATAATAAACTCTAAAATATTCTGAGAAATTCTAATGTTTATTGATACTTTCTAAAACTTATTGAGAATCGCTAAACTTAAAAATACTTTTTAAAATCTTTTAAGATTTTTTTAAAATTTATTGAGCAAATTCTAAGATTATCTCAACAAATTCTAAAATCTTAAAATAATTTCTAAAGTTGATCGAGAAATATCTAAAATATTATAGAGACACGTTAGTTTCTCAATGAATCTCAAAATTGTTTATTTGATTTGCCTGAGTGAGTTCTCAGGTAAATCGAATAAAATATTTATGAGATAATTTAGAATTTGCTCAATAAATTTTAGAAAATCTTATAAGATAAAAAAAATATTTTTAAGTTTAGCGATTCTCAAAAAGTTTTTAAAAGTATCAATAAACTTTAGATTTTCTCGAAATATTTTTTTTTGATTTGCCTGAGTTGGTGTGTTTTTATCTTTTTAATTGCATATATAAGTCCGTCAATAATAATTTTTTCCTAAATGGGAGGTGCAAAATCACCTAGTGATAACCGCGAAAGGCTCAATAGTCTCCAATATATAAATAAAAATGATTTAAAGTGTTTTTACCAAGGTTTTTTTTTCTAGTTCGCGAAATTCCCAATCTTTCCCTATCCTAAAAGAATTAATGGAAAAATCAAGGGGCACATCTGAAATTTTGGACTCAAAATTTTTATACTTTTTGGAATCTCTGCAGAAAACGGCACAGCATACACGATTGGGAATTTCGCGAACTATTTGTGTGCGAAATCAAAAAAAAACCCTAGGTAAAAATATTTCCCTTTTAAGATTTTAGTTAAAAATTCATAATTTGCGGACATTTTGAAATTTCTTCCATTTTTGGAGCAATTAAATACTTCACATCTATCAGTCATAATAATAACACAACGCTCAGTTTCAACATCAATTTAAAATCAATTACATGTGTCGATTCGAATCACTAATTTGCCTGCACTCATTGGGTTGAAACAGTTTTTATTTAATCTTCTAATAGAAAATCACGCTAAATATACAATATTAAACACACAAGGTGCACTCCAGACACACGCAAATTCTCAAACAATGCGAGCTAAGCGGTTTTCGAGAGCATGTGTTAGTTTTACCGTTAACTGCTATAAATAAATCAAAGGTCACAGGTCAGATGAAACATTTACAAAAAAAATTGTATTATTGTAAAAAATTTAGTATTATTATACCTTTGGAATTTTGCAGAATTATTATTCTCAGGTAAATCGAATAAAATATTTTGAGATTCATTGAGAAACTAACATGTCTCTATAATATTTTAGATATTTCTCAATGAACTTTAGAAATTATTTTAAGATTTTAGAATTTATTGAGATAATTTAGAAATTGCTCAATAAATTTTAGAAAACCTTATAAGACTTTAAAAAGTATTTTTATGTTTAGTGATTCTCAATAAGTTTTAGAAAGTATCAATAAACTTTAGAATTTCTCAAAATATTTTAGAGTTTATTATTGAATATTTGATTCTCAAAATATTTTATTTGATTTGCCTGAGTTGCCTGAGTTTTTGAGCAATCTGTATTGGATTTTAAGTTTTTTTAAAATTTTTAAACCGGTTTTTAAAAGTTTTTTTTTTTTCTAAATCTACATAGTACTTTTCAAATGTTCTGTCGGAATATTTGAAAATTAAAGTGATTTTAAATGGGAAATTTAAAATATTGGTGCTTTCATACCGAATTGCTCTTTATCAACTTGATAATCATCAAAGGTCGCCGGATCAGCGGTGCGCTCGTTGAAATTGTTCGGCACAAAAAGCAAACAGAAGAATTTCGGCACAAAAAGTATTGTTGCGCGAATAGTGTCTTCTTTCGCTCTCCTTCCTTACTATACTACTGTGTGTTGATCTTAATAATTCGCTCGACACTCACGCCCATTTGTGCAACGAAAGAAAGGCGTACGGGCTCTTCTCTGCCCTTCGCATTATCATCGCGTTTTTCAAACACACAAAGTTCAGCGTCGAAAACCAGACGACATCAACAATTTCGAGGCTCTCAATTCTGCGCACCCACGCGTCCTTAGCAACCTTTGAGAAGCGCTATTTCTCTTTTTTTTTCTTTATTTTTGTGTGTGTGTGTGTATTTTAAACACTATATTATATTATATTAGTTATTTGAATATTAATAGTTATACATTTCTATATTTCTATTTTTTTTTGTAGTTCCAAATTTATTTTCTCATAAAATTCAAAATTGCGTTAGAACATAATAGCGGCAAAAGTATGTATTGTTGGTTCAGTTGTATACTATGCGATGAGTCACATACGATTTTTCATATAAATACTTTTCTGGTACTTTTTTAATCGAAATCTGCCTCGTTTAAAATAAATTTAGTTGCTTGGAGACATTTATTGTCATCGTTTATTTTCTATATCTCGTGTTATTGTTCGAACACATTTCTTGGTATTCTGCTATTGAATCTCCACTTTGAGTGATATATTTATGTTCAACGTATCACCTCCATGCTGTAATAATTATCATAACACATCGACCACATGTGTTCTGGTCTTCTTGGAAATCAGGTTATTTTTGGAAAAATTGTACATATAACGTCTTCTTTAATCTGAAAAATGTGCTGTTGGTTTTGCGATTTTGAATGGTAGTTAAATGCGTTATAAAATTCCACAAAACCATGCAAATCGGTACCGGTCAATTAATTCGACAAAATCCGGAAAAGGGAAATCTTGGTATTATTGTCGATCGTTTCCTCACCTAATCCTTTTTCGCATTGAATTTAAATATGTGAATACATAATGATGGAGAGGATGACCCTATTTGGAGCGTTTGCTTCTCCACCTCAACCTCAATATCCACCTCCTTCTTCTCACTCTCTCTTTGTGTTGTTCGTCAATATATCGAAACCCATCCCATCCGCTCATCGTTCTGCCATAATCGGATGCAAACACAACAAAAAAGTGCGCGGCTTCGGGATCGTTTCGCCGTGTCCGATTTCGGCGCCGCTTCACCACAAATGTCCGGTATATTCACGATTTTGTTCATTCAATCATTCGCCACCTCTGCGATTCCTTTTCATCATCGACATTTTGTTTTCTTGCGCTCTTGAATCGTAATAATTCAGACGTGATTGAATTGCGATGTGATGCGCGCGCGCTTCTTCTGCCATGTTCATATTTATGTATTTCTCGGATTTTAACACAAAACTGGCTTCTGGTCAAACGAATTTATGGTTAACAATCATGCAAGATGAAAGGTGACAATGAACGGGAAACGTGTAAGGATCATCATTTACGATGAGGGTATCATTTGAACGCAAATCTACAGGAAGTCCAAAAAACTTGATTCTTAGGCGTTTTTTGATCAATCTTCCATAAAATCGCAAGCTCTTCAACATCACGATTATCCAATCGTTGGTGTTATGGCATTAAACTACTTCTCGAAATTTCGAATTGTAGTTCAAAAATAAATATTTGTTGAGTTTTTTCTTTGTGAAATACTCAACGTCAGCCAAGATTTAAACCTGTCATTCTCTCAGATGTTTTATAAATAAATTGAAAGGGAACACTCGAACATTCCATTCCCAATCCATACATGGTCATTTTCGTTTATGATTTTTTTTCCAGCAAACGACATCTATAATTGCTTCCGATTGGGCATTTCTAATATACTCACAATCTTCATTAATCTCTTGTTAAATAACGCAATTAATTGAGAAAGCATCGGGCCGGAATTCAGTGAGAATGAGGTTGAGGTCAGGTACCCTCTTAAACTTAAGCTTTCGCCGTATTCAGTCAGCAACTATTCCATCATTCCTTCACAAGAAATTGCTTATTTTTCAATTTTATCCAATTATTAATCATCGTTAACTAAAAGTTTTGAGTAAAATAAATATTGCATTTTTTGAAAAATGTGTAGTTTGTGTAGAATTTGGCTACAAAAGAAAGTGCTGTTTGCTCAAAAATGAAAAATCAAATTGAAAAGTTCGAATCGGTCTCGCTGACGCTGTTCACAGGGGTAGCCAAAAAAAGGCGACGAGTGATTCATGTGCGATAAATTCATTTTCATTCTGCCTACAGCTTCAACCCATTCTTATCCATCCTTCAGATCGCGACCAGTTTTGTCGCTGCCTCGTCGTTTTTCGGAATACCCTTCTCTCTGCTGTTTCATGTTTAGCTTCATCTCCTTCATCATCTCTTTTTACTTTACGTTCATCCCATTTCAGAAGTCTGAAACTGTTTCATCCGACCTCGCCCTATCTCTCTCTCTCCCTCGCTCTTGCAATAATTACCGTTTGAGTTGCGCAACTGCGTCCAACCCAAATTGGCCATCGGTCCTGTCGATCCTCGCCACCAAATTTATCTCACTTTTTGCATGTCCTGCTATCCAATACATCCATCAATTTTCCTTTTATTTCGTTTGCCGTTCGTCGCGCTCTTCCGAATTATCTTTTAATCTATTTCATAATGCGTATAGTTGCAACTTTCGATGAGCCCCACACATGTGTATTTTTAACCAATTCATACTTTTGACAAAAACATTTTGGAAAAATACTTCGAAATCTGTAATGCTTATTTAAGTTGGTAGTAGCAGAATGACAGTACTCATTGAATGGCGTTTTTTTATCAGTTCGTGACCACTCACTATGGCAAAATCCCAAAAGACACAAAAATGGCATGCCGATTATTAGTAATTTGCATTTATGACATACGTATATATATATATATATGGCAAACCAAATGCAGCTGGTTCCAGTAATGTGTGTTCATCATTGTCAGAAATGGTTCGAAACCTAATTTTTTTTTACCTAATTTTTTTTAAATTCATTTTTGCCACATATAGTGATGACCTCATAATTATGTTAATTCGATTCAAATTTGAAAACGTTTTCATTCATTTTTTTTTGATACTTTGTTTTAGTGTGACTCTCACATACGTTTTACGATGAATACGCCATGTTTTCATAGTCTTATCATTTTTTTTCCACTACGATTATAATGGTTTTCTTTTTGATTCAAAAACCAATTATGGTTTGTGCAATTTGTGATTAATTTTTTTTATTTCAACATAATATAGTTGCATCGTATAACTTTCTAAAGTCATTTTATTAATTTTATTTTTGATTATAAATATTTTTGAAAAAAAAAATTCACTATAAGATTTTCAATTCCTTCGTAAATTTTAATTTTAAGAGAATAAATATTAATTGCTATCAAACTCAAACTTTTTTTTCGTTATTCAACAATTCATATTCAAATATTATTTTCAATACCACCTTATAGCGAGCCGGGTTATTCCACAATCGAAGAGCCTTAACATTTGATAAAAATTTATGAGTCAAGAGAGAGAAAATTTCGAAACATTTGTGTCCATTCTCTTAGTTTTTCATACAATTTGTGCATACCTACGATACGATACAATTTTTGCCAAATGTGTTCATATCGCATACCAATTCGAGACCGTCTTCTGTGGCTCAGAATTGTGTGTCACAGATCATTTATTTTATGGTAAATCACAAATTTTATACCGATAGACTCCATCGTCGGTGGCCTTCATAGAAACACAATGACATTTCATTTATTAAATTAATTAATACATATGTATATATTTCGAATAAAAAATGAGCTCTGAACAGTGCGCTCAGCAAATTGTGCTCGGCTCATTGAAATCAAGTTTAAAATGATTTCCTCTTCCGAAAACGTCAAAATGATTTTTTTCAAGATTTTTTTCATATGATCAAAAATAACGTGAAAGTGAATATTTTTTGAGCCATAAATTTTTCAACATTTAAAGAGTCAATTCCACGGATTTCTACACCTTCGACATTTTTGCGTCATTCTCAATGTTTTATTTTTTATCCGAAAATTAAATTCGTTTTTTTCTAGCAACAATTAACCACCGTGATGATTTCCCTTCTTTTTGATATCATGTAGCGTGTTTTGTGTATGTGTGTGTGCCGATGGCATACCACAGCTTTATCTTCTTCTTCTTCTTCTTTTCCTTTTTTGGGAGGAGGCGGAGATTCCAGTTCGTAGCTGCGCCCTCACCGCCACCAACACTAATTCGAATGATTACAGAGAAAATAGTTCGATCGTTTCTCTATCAGATGCCCTCCGCCTTCTTCCATATTCGACGACGACACAATATCTAGACGACCTCCACCCACGAAAATTACATATCACCAGTGGCAAGCGAAGGATAAGAAGATAGCTAATTAATTTCGCTCAATCGATTCCTGCTGGTGCTCATTTACTCTCGATGACCCGCCTATTCATTCTGCCTGCTATATTTGGCATATCGTCGTTATCATTATGGTATATGATCTGTTCAGCGCCTGGGTGGCCGGAAGACGGTAAAATTTTACGATTGTGTAGAAACCGCCCCATTTTCTATCAATAATCGTTCGTTTCTTTCGTATCAAATTAGGGTTTATTTGGCACTTCCTTGCATGCTTTTCACTATCAAACAAAGATTCAAAATCGCAAATTTCCAAAATTCCAGAGGGCGGCGTATTTGAAATTCCGAAACAATTCGATAACTTCACAGTACTCGCCGAGAAATTCCGAAGTTACAAAGAAGAGCATTTCGGCTATATAACGACTCTGTTCGTTTGTGCCTACCTCTACAAACAGACGTTTGCCATACCGGGATCTTTTCTGCTTGTAAGTTTGTTGCGTAAATCGGTATAGCGTTATACAATAAGACGTCACAAACTTGATCCTTCTCCTTCTGCTTCTCCCTCGTATTCATTCATTTCTTCATTCACTTTCATTTATCAACGCTTCCTCGCTTTGAAACTGATTGTAATGTTAAATAAAAAGAACGAAACTTGTTCGTGAACGATTCTCGATTTTCAGAATGTCATCGCTGGAGTCGTCTACAATCTTTGGACAGGATTCATACTTTGCTGTTGCTTAACAACAGGTAATTCGTGTTTTCAATTTTGACATCCGATTTTTTTTCATTTTCAGCGGGGTCTACTCTTTGCTACTTGTTCTCTGAATTGTTTGGACGCGAATATGTGTTTTATTATTTCGGCCAAAAGCTGACATATCTCCAACAGAAGGTCCGATAATTTATTATTACACAAATCACTCAGAACATCATTTTTTGCAACAACAAAAATATACGAAACATTTGCAGATCGACGACAATTCGAATAGGCTTCTTCCATTTTTACTATTTGCCAGAATGTTTCCAATATCGCCGTCATGGCTTCTAAACATTGTTGCGCCATTCCTTAATATTCCTCTTCCAATTTTTGCCGCTTCAGCTCTTGTTGGTAAGTGTTCCTCAAAACGCCCTTCCTCATCATCAAAATGCCGCTCATTTAGGGTTGGCACCGTATAATTTTATTTGTGTTCAAGCCGGCTATATTTTGCGCGATTTGCGCTCATGGGACGACGTTTTCAGCACAACAACCATGCTGAAATTGTTCTCATTCGCACTGATACCCCTCGCCTACGCGATTTATATTCGTCCGACCGCCAAAAAGCATCAGGTTCGTTTGCTAAATGCGTTCTTCGCGGGTAAATATAATGGCAATATTTGTGCTCTTGACGAGAGCAACGTGAGCACTGCGAGAAAACGGTTAGGTAAAACCCAATCACACATGGCACAAAACGTGTGTTCTTCGCAAACATTCTTTTTTTTTCAATAAGGAATGAAAAGAGTTAAGGCGAAGTTTCGAAACTGGACATTGTAAATTTGAAAGAAATTCGTCATAAAAACAAGATTTTTTTAGTTTAAGAACTACAGCATTTCTAGAATAATAAAAATAAGACTGTTCAAGCGAATTCCTTAACTACAGCTTGTGACGGCTTGCGAAGAATTCGAAGAGAAGCCAAAGCCAATGGAAATTGTGTGATGTTGTCGAAATGTGCAAAAAAAAACTCGAAAAAGTGCAACAACTTGTCGATAATTCGCAAATATTGGATTATCCCCCAAATCTTTCTTTTTTCTTCTTCATCTTCTTAGTGCCTTTTGATGTATGCAGAAATTCACATATCTTGCCGTCATTCTCCCAATCGATTATAGATATAGGTGCACTCTTTGTTAGATGTATATTTGTTTTGTTGAACAACAAATTATTCTACTTGTATTCGCCGGTGCTTCCATTTCAATTCATTTTCAATTTCATTTTTATTGTTTGTATTTATTTTTTGCTCAGGCTTTTTTTTTCTCGAATTCATATTTTCTTCTCTTGTTCTCATGGTATCTTCACTTCGCCGAACAATCCTCATTCGTTCATAATTCGATTGAAATTTTGCTCAACAATTCTAATCGCTTTTTTGGTTTCATAATTGACGAACGACATAATAATGAACCATTTTTCCCATCAATTTATTCGTGTCGAGTTTTGCGCAATTAACCATTGAAAAGATATGAAAGAAGCCCCAAAAGAACGAATATGAAACGTCACAAATGCTTCGGAATAATGTGTAGACGTAGACGGATATCATATATAATTTGGGAGTGGGCAAAATGGAAAAAAAAAATGAATGCGAGACATTGATTAATTTGACGAATTCTTCTTGACGCAGGGCGATTTCGGATGTTCGTGAGTCAGATCATAACTGCTGCTTGCTCGCGTCATCGCTTGGCCCTGAAACAATCAAACTTCGTTCGAATTCCAACAAGACGTTGTCGTCTTCTTTGATGAAATAAACATTTGCTCTTTTTGACCTCTTTGCTCACGTATGACCCGAATGTTTGGTTGGAAATTTCGAGGAGACCGCGCGCGTTTTTCATTTTTTCGTTTACTCAAAAAGAAAAACGGCGAAAGGCATTGGAAAGAGGTAAATAATCAGATCGAAGGGACCACTCACATGTTTTAAATTATCGGTGATATAGGCGATCACAGCTAGCCATGCTCTACGGAGTTCTTTATGCTTTCGAACCGTATCCGATCGTCTCGCGTTGTCCATTATAGTGTCACCTAAAACATGGTATTTTGGAAATCGATCTCGAATTAGTACCAAGATCATCCCAGACGGCACTCGAGAGTCCTTCTGCTCGTAATGGACGATGCGTTTTTCCGAGATCAAGAATATAATTGGTAATTCGAGAATGGTCTTGGTCAAGATTCCGAATAATGCTATCAATGAGATCAACTGTGTATCTACAGTGCATCGCAGAGCAATCCATATCATTATTTGAAAATACTGCAACGCCATTCGCCTTAAAACAATGCGAATGGTTCATTCATAGTTGTATTAATCGCCCACGAACCTTTGCCAGTAACTGACGAGCTTTCGCGTTTCGGTTTCCCAATGAAGTGTATAAGCTTGTGGCAAACTGACCATTCGCTCCTGTCGAGTAGATATTCGGCCAGCATTGGGTAAGCAGTTTCTGTTGATATGACGTTAGTCCTGTAATCACTTCCATTTAGGCCGAACGACTGGAGAAGAAAGTTATAAAGCGGTTTATCATACATCATTAACTGGTTGGAATTGGTTTGAATAATTCGAAAAAAAAGAACACGATTCCAGTTGCCGAGAAACTCACCAATAATCTCGTTGAGATTGCGTCGAATTGGCGATGGCGGACATGATAGATCGCCAGTCGAGCGTTTCGCCTTCAAAAATTATGGCTAAACTAGAAAAGAAAAAAAAAACAATAGAATTATTCTACCGATAATGGCAATCGTAGAGTGTCGGATTCGACAGTCTCAGTTTGTGAGCGACCCATTTGTCCGAGATGGGGACAGTTTGTATGGTAAATTGGGCTAAGTGAGGACTTTTCCTGCAATTTCATATATAAAAATTTCAATGTTTCCATATTATTCGTCAATTATTTTAAAGCAAATGTTTTTATAAAAGTGTATTCAAAATTTAGAGTTTTGTTTTTAAATTTAATATTATGAGTTTTGATTTTATACGAAATTTCGAAAAAAAAAACTAGATGTAGGCTATGAAGAATAGCTAATAAATTTCGGCGAATCTTCCTAGTGGGTGTTCAACTAAATGAATTGACGTTATTTTTTCTTATGAAAAAGGACAAATGAAAATTCCTTTTTTTTTTCTTCTCACTGATGATTTATTTTCATATTGGAAGATATTAATCACTCTTAAAATATCCCGAATAAAAAACATGTTAAATTATAAAAAAAAATATTTATTTTTATTTGTTTGAATGATTAAATTGCATAGTTTTCAAAGAGAAATACCGTTTGAATGAATGAAAATCGAAATATTTTTTCAGTCATTTGATGGCCAATTCAAATCGGGCGGATCCGTAAATATCTCACTCAATTTATGGACCATGACCCTCATTCATTTTCTGTATTTGAAAAATAATAATGAAAGGCCAATATTCTGAGCTTTCAATCGCTAGAAATTTCGAAATAAATAAAAAAAATCAATTATTAGTATAAAATATACACAATTAGTTGGCATTTTTCTTATTTAATTAATCAAATTCACAATTAGTTTTCAACATTTTTTTTTGTTTTTCAACATTTCGATTCATTCGAAATCCAAAAGGAATTCAGAAAGGGATTTTCGTTTTGAGACCTAAACAATCAGAAGAGATTTTCAACAAAACGAACAGAATAAAATGACGTTCTGTAGGATATCATATGATGTGGTATCTAATTATTGCGGGGCTTACAGGGTGTCATTTAAGTTCCCGCACAACTTTGAAGACGTATATTTCTGAAACTAAAAGTCCAAATCAAACGAGACTCAAAATATTTTTTATCTATAGTATAACAAATATTTATCTATTAACTCTTTTTGATTCGGCCTCCTTTCGCAGCTATGACTTCACGGAAACGCTTCGGGTAGGATGCGACTGTGGTACGCAGGTATTCGATGGAAAGATTGTCCCATTCCGCCAGTAATGTCTTCTTCAGAGCCTCTACACTTGAATGGGGTTTTGCGTTGACCTTCTCCTGCAAGACCCCATCACGGGAAAGTCAAGCGGGTTCAGGTCTGGGGAGCAATCAGGCCATTCGGATGACTTGATGAAGTCGGGAAAATGGGTCTGGCACCACTCCTGAGTAGTTTTGGCAGTGTGGGCGGCTGCTCCGTCATGTTGAAAGACCCATTTCTGCCCACCGAAATGCGTTTGGGCCCAGGGCATCATATGCTTCCCCAAAATGTCCCGAACGTAGACTTCTTTGTTCACTTTCACCACCTGATCCACGAAAACCAGGGGCACTTCCCGGTTGAGCAGATGGCAACGAAAACCATCATGCTGGCAGGATGTGAGGCTGGATGATATGTTCTTCTTTTCTCAGAAGCTTGCTGGGATGTCTGGGCAAGTACTCAATGGTTTTGTGAGTTGAATGCCGTCTCCACAGTGAACAGCTTCTCGTCGGAGAAGACAGTGACGAGGTGTTGTCCAGACCGCGTGCGAGCGAGAAGTCGTTTTGCTTTTTCGAAGCGTCTCTGCTTGCTGACGGCCGATAGAATTGCCGCTTTTTGGACACGATATGGGGTCAGTCCAAGCTTCGTTTTGACAATTTGTTCCATAGCGAAGATGCTCATTCCCATGTCTAACGCCATCTTTCTCATGCTCCTGTGGGGGTTTCGCCTGATCCTCGATTTGACGGCGTTGATCTTCTGAGGAGTGGTTACTGAGACGAGTCTTCCTTGTCTGGGACGGACACTGGTCGTATTTAGCTCCTTGAATCGTTTGATAGTGTCATAAACCGTTCTACGAGGCACACCGACCCGTTGAATGATGTCTCTCGGGCTCACATTTTGCTTATGAAATTCGATAATGGAAACGCGATGGATGTTAGCCTTCGCCATTTCTCGGAAACACATCCGAATGAGGTGAAACTTGGAAAGTAAGTAAAATATACCTTATTTAACAAAAATAAATTGTATTGGTGCACGAAAAGTGCGACAGCCAAGCTCTTCATGGCGTCAAACTTTTGTGCGGGAACTTAAATGACACCCTGTAATGTTCCCTTGAGATTTTGCCCATTGTTTTCATTCTTAATGATATTCTAATGGGCATATGCTTTTAAGCTTTCGAGTACAGTAGCCTATTATAAAACTTGACATTTCGTTTGTCTTTTTTGTTTAAAATAATGCATTTCAATGAGAACTACAATATGAAATTTTTCATTATAAATTTATTGGTAAAAATTGTTTTAAAAATTTGAAGAACGAAAAAGAAATCTCTTAAACGGGATAGTTCGACTTTATCCCGTTTTTGTCTGTATACACATTGACGCAATTTTTTACAAAAAAAAAACGACTACCAGAACTTTTCGCTGCAAGACCTCGCAATTCAGTGTCGTCGCGTTTCACGATTATAAAAAGAATTTCGAAAAGATAAGCGAGAGCGCCCGCAGACCGCAATGCGTATGGCGACTAAAACAATTACGGTAGCCGGTTTTTTCTTGGAAACCTGAATTTATTTAACAACTTTTAATTACATTAGATAATTTTTTAATATTCTGGTGTAAAAATTTGAACTGCCCAACTTGGTCCCGCGACAATTTACGATTTGAGTTCGAATCAAGCATATTCAAAGCCATAGTATACATCGAAAGCCTAGCCAAAAAAGGTGTTAATTTGGCGCCAATGAGCAAAACCGAATTCGGTCTGAATTCTCTGGATTTCCGACAATTTTAGTAATACGATGTTTTTTGTTACCGTCGCAAAAAATGCAACTCGTGTGTGTGTGTTCGAAACCTTGAAAATACTTGAACAATGACTTACCCAACTAAATCAATTCTATCAATAATGTGACCAACAACGTAGTAAAAAGAAAGTCACGCGTTGCTCATTTCTATCATGTTTCTCAAAAGTTTGTAGTGGAGAGGGCGGATTAATAGTGATTATTGGTATTTGGCATTGTTATTAACTATTTGATAATCCGATATGCGACAATGCGACAAACTTGAATATTATGATTTACCTTATCAATACTGCTAGTATTCTCCATTATCCGTTGCCTTCTCAACTCTTTTCGCCCATTTTTTTCAAGAGAATCAAATGAATCTTCAGAAAATGTTCGTGTGAATCTGAAAATGAGAAGAGAACAAAACTGATAAAAACGGAAAAAGATTAAATAGCAAAAAAAAGGATTACCTGAGTGGTGAGCTGACAGAGACTCGTCGAGATCGCGTGATCGAAATGACAGGAGTGACCGAATTGGACATATTCTGAAATAAAACAAAAATGTGTCCTCCAAATTTATGAGCACCCAATTCGAATTTATGACTTGTTATTTTTTCTTGTAGATATATATATATATTTTTTTCATTTGGTTATGCACTTGAGTTTTATTGTAATATTTTTGTTGCTATAGCAGTCAAAGCAAAGGAAATATTAATAAATGATGAACAATAGAGTTTGCCGAATGACCAATGCCGCCAAAAATAAATGGAATATTGGTTTAACGAGAAAAATTAGAAATAATTCGGAATTGGAAATTTTTTGTAACATCTTAAATAACTAATTGAATATCTGAAATTGTAAGGGCGACATTCAAACAGGAACAATTGTTAACTTGAAGCCTAATCATTATATAATTTATTAGATATAGGACTTCTTTATGGAATCAATCAAAACGGGTGTATCGACGTCAAGTTTTCGCCAAAATAATATTCGATTGTGTCGATTTATTAATAATTTAAATGTCCGCCACCAGGAATTTATCATAAATTGCATATACACTCTTTTTCTGAAAAGAATAAAAAAAACTAGCACCCTGCGCATATTTAAGATGAATTTGATTCACATTGATTCCATATTCAATTATTTCAATTATTTTTTCACCGTTCAAATGGTCGCCCCGAAAAAAATACGATGGTCCACAATTGTTCAAGGTGCTCGTTCTTTTGCGACGGTAAAACAAGAATATAATTTTTTTATGTTGATGTGTACAACAGCAGATTTCATTTTGATACGTCATCAGAAAATCCGAATTTTTTAAATTGAAATTTGAATTTGATAATGAAACAAATAAATAAATGCGGATAGAAGGTGTGAATGTGGAGTTAATCGAGCTCGTTGGCAACACGCCAGTCAATTGGTTGCTTGGAGTCTCGAATTTAAACAATTCGCGAGGCTTCCCATTTTTTGTTTTTGTTTTATTTTGTTTGTACGGAGATCGGAAAAAATTCAAAAAAAAAAACATCATAACACGAAATCCAGCATTTTGTTCTTGATTAAATGTAGCTTCTGACAATATATTGTAATAAATTTCCAAAAAACGAAAGAATTCGGAAACAATGCCAAAAACGGAAGAAGTTTGCAAAAATGCAGTGAAAAGGACACGAAGAATTGAATTGGTTATTCGAAACTTTATGAAAATTGCACAACTATCATTATATTATTCTTCGACGCCTTTTCTTTTTTTTTCGACGGCCCCACCGCCCCAGCATATCGAATTAATTATTAATTTTCATTGTTTCTCAATACGGACTCAATACAACGTGACCAAATTTGCGAAACAAAATTGAGCAACTTTTTGTTTTCAATTATTGAAAGCAAAAAAAAACAAACAAAAAGAGGAAATACGTCGAAAAACATAACTTTTCAAATTTCTAAATGGCCTGACAAAATGAGAAAAACGCTGCAGGAAGTGTGTTTTTGCTTAACGACTTTTCTAATTCATTTATGTATTTTGGTTTCTATCGGCTATATTATTATTTTTTGTTGTAGTTTCAAAACAAAACCTAAAACAAACAAGTTTCAGAATCCGAGTAGTTTGGATCCGGAAATATTTACAGTGAATGTGGGGTCTCGCAGGGAATGTGTGAAAAGAAGAAGAAGAAGAAGAAGAAGAAGACATGATTTTTGAGGTTGCCCTCCCCCTCATCCCAGCTATCGAAAAAAAAACGAGGTCTTTCGTCTAAATTATAGTGATTTTGATTAGACGGGTAATTGTAGTACGGTATGCTAATTCCTGCGGTTTAAATTTGAATTATCCCACCGAAAACCTTCTGTGGTCCGCAAACATCCAGGGTGCTCAAATTTTTGCGATGATAATTTGAAGGGATTTTTTGGAAACAAACAAGAGAATTCCAAAATCAGCATGATTCGAAAAATCGAAATTTGTATTAAAAAGTAGATTAATCAATGAAATCTAGAGCACGAAATATAATAAAAAAGCATTTATTCTCACGAGGTTCTCCTTTCTTTCCTCAACATTCCGACAATCTTCTTGTGTTTTCCCACGATTTTCAAAACATAGCCGTATGAAATAAGTGCATCCCCGTTTTTTTTCTTTATTTTATCCCTCGCCCCCTCTTCCGATTGAATTTGTCAACTATTGTTTTGTTATTGTTGTTGTTTTTTTTTTGTTTTTCGAAACACATACCAATTTCTCGAATGTCGACGGAAATGACGAGGCGACGTCTTCTATGACTTCTTCTGTCGATTTCATGTTGTGTTCTGAAGCTTGACATTTAAAACATGCAAAATCCGAATCAAAACTAGACATGGCTTTTAAGAAAACGAAATGAAAATCGCTAATCTAAAGCAGACAGGTGAATTTTTCCAATTTTCTTGCCCCCACCTTGAAATCGATCGTCATTATTTCTGATTTATTATGTAACAAATAAAATGAGGGGTCTCGCCGCGATTCGAATTTGCATTTTGGTATTCTCTGCGTGAAACTTTTTCTTTTTCTTGGCGAGCTTGTAATTTCTTTGAATTCCAAAAATATGGCGATAGGAAAATAACATGGTATCATATGTGGTTGCTCGCATGCGGTTATTTTGTTTTTTTTTTTAACTTTTCCGTAAATGGCGAATCCATCAAATGTCGTAAAATGTCGTAAGATCCTGCGTTTTGTACGCAGAACACCGGACGACTTTCCGTAATCCGCTCAGTGATTTCTAAATAGTCTGTTCTGATAGCAAAAGCGGTCGGAATCGGTCTCTGACGAGCCTCAGAACAAAAGCTGCTCGCGGTATTCATTACGCAAAATTTTGAAAATCGAAAAAAATTTTTTAACTACTCCTCATGCAAATCAAATTAAATATTTTGAGAATTTATTGATATTTTCTAAAATTTATTGAGAATCACTAGACTTAAGAATACTTTTTTTTTATCTTATAAGATTTTCTAAAATTTATTGAGCAAATTCTAAAATTATCTCAACAAATTCTAAAATCTTAAAATAACTTCTAAAGTTGATCGAAAAATATCTAAAATATTATAGAGACATGTTAGTTTCTCAATGAATCTCAAAATATTTTATTCGATTTACCTAAGTAAATTTCCTCTTTTTTACATTATTTTTAATTTTGAAATTTTAAAAATTGAAAAGCTAAAGTTTGTTAATTATTTCAGTAAGTGATAGAAATAATTTCGCCAAGTTTTTTAAATTGTTTTTTTTTTAAATATATTCCATGTTTTTACTAATAAATTGGCTAAAAATTACGATATGTGTGCTTAAAAGAATCGAATCAACATTTTTTCGAAAAAAAAACGAATGACAATAATCAACTATACAGAACTTCAAGTGAATACCAATTAAAATGTGTATTTTATTCCGAGAAAATATCGAATTAATTGACAAGAAGAGCTTGTACATTTGAGTTTGTGAGAATTTATTTTCTTTTCTATTGTGTGTCTAGACGAAGAATATGAAATTCACATACATTTCTGATCAATGTCAAAATTATTACCACCGCAAAAAAAAACGAGAGAGTTTTGCGTTTACGGACGGACCATTGTACTATTTGGTGGCGGTAATTCAAATTTCGATTAAAACAGTGCGAATTTGAGTGGATTGAATCAAACTCAACGTAAATCTTCGCAGACTTCTCGTTTATTTTTGCGATGGTAATATTGCATTTAAAAAAATGAAGCTTGCGATGGAACGATGATGGAAAATTATTTGCTGAATTCCACAAATTTCGAATCTTTTTCATGATATGGGTCACAAATCCAATTTTCCACAAATAAAAATCGCGCGGTCTTGCCTTTTTCAGATTTTTTCCAAAAAAAAAAGAATTTTGAAATGCAAAATCTGAGAAGTGCATTTGGAATGAATGAAATTCGGTAGACGAGAATAACAGGAATGGAAAAAAAACCCAGTGGAAAAGACAGAAGAAAAAAGTTTCAAGTTAATTTCGACTTCAAAAGTTGATGGCTTTGCGGTTCAATACATACTTGGCCGGTTAGCTAATTAACAAAGACCCGTTTTTTTGCTTCTGCTCGAAAATTGCTGTTTTCTTTTTCTTCTTCTTTTTCTCCATTCTTTCTTCTTTTTTTCTTGTACAATACATTTGAAGAAAACGCGAGAAAAATTCGGTTGCATAATTATGAAAAGGATGTGAAACTTCCGGAAAATGAGTGAAACAGAATAGAGAAGAAAAAAACGCGGAGAAAAAGTTTCACAGAAAAATATTTTCAAAAAATCAACAGAACAAAACAATTTTCGCGAATCGAAACGGGAAAAACATAATGCATTAAAAATGAGGCTCGTTTTCCGGCCTAGTGCAAATTATTTTTATTATTATTTTTTGTCGTAAATAGCAACAAAAGCATAGAGAAAAATGTGAATTATTGAAACTATATTAGCATGTATCATATGACATTGGTTTTGGCTCCTTTTTATGGCATTCTTTACTCCAAATTAATATTTCGAGTGTAAATAAGAAAACCAAAAATATTTATATGCAGACAATTATTAATTCGAAAGAACCAAAATCAATTATGACAAACAATATTCATTTTTTTTTTCTTGTCAGAAACGTGCCATATTTTTGTTTTAGTTCTGACCGGGCGCCATGTAATAGTATATTCGTGGTCGAAGCACGGCTAGACTGACTGGCCCAATGAATTGTCTCGTACGAACGAATTTGATATTCCTGCTTCAATTTTTGAATTCCGCCTACATTTGATTTTCGAAGCAAATTGTTTTGTTTCAATTTTCACACATCATTTGAATACATATGCAATTCGAAAAACAGCAAAATTCTCACGCACTGGAATGTTGGCGAACAGGATGAGCGAATGTTCGAAACGGGAAAAACGCGATTAGTTTCTCGTTGAATTATGCGCACTTATTTAAGAAAAAAAAAACAAAGAAGAACACTGTTTGAAATAAAAATGAGCGAGGGTAGGATAAAAAAAATGCAACAGAAGGAGAAGGGGAGAAAATTGAAAAAAAATGGCAATGGAGAAAAAAAGTTTGTCGTTCTTGGCATCGTCGACAAGTCCGCTATATATTTCTTGTTCGTCTGAAATTAATTAATTCAAAAAATAAAATAAATGCACAACAACGGCTCGGCGACGAAACAATGACCGACCGAATACATTCGGCCGTCTCTGCAATTACTTGTTTTCGTTGTTGGTTTTTTGAAAAAAAAAACCAAAAGCGAATTGTCAATTTTTGAATTCAATTCCATAAAATATATATGCATGGTTTGTTTGTCTTTTTTTGGTTACATTAAAAATCATATTTTGCGTTTCCAAAAAAATGAATTTTTGAGTAAACTTAAAAACCTAGTATAGTGAGAATTATAGTGAGAAATTTATTGAGCCAACAAATACAAAAATAAGAGGAATTGAATACAATTTGAGATAAAATAGATATAAAATTAATTGCTTCAAAAATCGATAAAAGTGGAAATGAAAGAATAAAATGTGTACATCAATATGGATACCGTAACCACGATGGCACAAAAATGATTGAATTCGACTAGAAAAAAAAACATGAAAAAGAAGTTATATGAAAGAGACCTGGATGAGGATGGAAAGATAAGTTCCTGAACGCGTTTTGTTTTATGATTTTGAGGAAGTTCGCGGAAAGTTCAAAAACTGATATCGTTTCCTTTTATAGAACAAAAGGGGCTTATTGTTTTCCTCGAGCGGAATTCGGAATTCTTCATCATTCAGACCATTATCGCGCAGTTTGATTGTTGATTGAACTGGCGATGAATGCATTACTGACGACTTCTGAAGGATAGCTGGAGATCGAATCGACGCTGGCGGTGTCTCGAGATCAACCTGAATCACTCGAAAATCAAATGATGCCGAAAAATCATCGCCGATTTGTTACCCTTCCGTTGCTCTCGACACTTCTTCTTCGCAACCTTCGTTCTCTTCGTTTTTCTCTTTCTTCGGGAGATTCATAAGCATTGAAAGTCGCACTAATTTTCTGAGTGGTCCGACTTTCACGAGGGTTCTGCACACCCATTGAATTTGAATGGCGCATGCCTTAAAATAACTACTAATTGCATTAGGCATCTTCGATTCAAATACCGTAGTTATCAGTAACTTCCGTTCGAATAGATGGAGCACTCGGCCGATTTCCGGTCTCATCAATCGAAGTTGTTCTCGACAATCGACTACCGACACCAAGATTGTTAAACGACTAAAGAGTAAATGGAATTGGTTTTGGTTTCATTTGTGATTCTTACATTAATCAAACCCTTGAAATGGCTGATAATACTGTGTGATTGTGGGGCACCACAACTCGCCGTTCGATGCATATTCGCTCTTTCTTTCTCTTTATCAGACCGGGATAATCGACGTTCTACAATTCGGCTAATATGTAGTGCAAATTGTTGTATTCGAGCTTACGTGCTATTGGAGAAGATTTAGGATTCATTGGAGATGAAGGTGATCCACCTCCAGGAGAAGTGTTAGAATCTATAGATCTAGGAGTAGATAGAAGGGATGCTTTCGGTACAGCTGAAATATCAAAAATCCGTAAATAAAGTCAAGAGGAAAGCATGAATGAATTGACATACGGAATGCTGGGTTCAATCGGGCGACATTTCTTTCATCCTCGGTCGCTCCGTCCATCATTTCCTCGCATGACGCATCGAAAGAACCTTGCCATTTACTGACGATCGACTGAGCTGTTCGAGCATTTGTTGCCGAGCAATCATCCATCTGGGCATTCGTATTCTCGAATGACGAGATTTTGTTGGTTTTTGCTCTTTGTGGATATCGATTAATCGACAACTAGAAAAATGGCAAAAACGCGTTTATTGAATAAAATGCGAAATTACCGTAATTGATTTGTTACTTTTAGTTTTCTCTGTGGGAAATGCGCCACGTTTAACGGATATCGACGATTCGGCAAGCTGAGGCTGAGGTTTGAGGATTGAGGAAGGCAATTGAAAATTCGCTTCGACGTCGCAGTTTCCGGCACGATTCTCTTCGTCGCAAGCAGCGAAACGGGCGTTCACAGCATCGATTACATCGAGATTCACTGTTCCGACTTTTGGTCTGAAAACAATTGAAAAAAAAAACATGAAATATAAATGTGTACGTCAGGTAGAATTTGAAAACGTTTTTTTTTAATAATAAAGTTTTGATTGAATTTTTATTTTTTAAAACTACCAACATCAATTTTTATAAATGAATAATTCATTGTTAAAAATAAAGTTTTAATTAAAAAATATTTCGATTTTTTTTTTACATTTTTTAATACTCACTTTAAGAACTCATGTCGTTTATATTTGGGTTTTTCGGCAGCTTTTTCATGTGTACTTTCAAATCCATGAAGTCCCATATTTGCCATTTGACCATTCGTCTGCTCGTCATCATCTTCGCCCATTGTAATCGGTGCTTGGGTGTCCAGTGCTCTGAAAATAATTAATTATAATCGATAATCGATCAATTATATCACCGGTTATCATTTCGTTGATCTCGAATAACAGCGGTCGTGTGTGATTTGAGTCGAGTTGACACATTTCCATTTGCTGATTTCTGCCGAGATGAGGTATTCTCGTAGCCGAGCTCCCAATCGTATGGTTCATCCCAGCTAATCGAATTTCTGCAATTTAATTATGAAATAAAAAAAGATTACTAAAATTAAAGTACTCACTTTGCTATAATTTTGTTAAGAAGAGATTCTAAAAATGCGTAATCCGGAGTGTCGGGATAACCTAATGTTTTGAGATGTGCAGCGAATAAATGCAACTCGGAAGGACAGTCTTCCAACAGAATGTTCAAATCGACTTCATCCTTCATTCTTCCAACCTGAAAATATTCATATTAATATGTTTTACTTCTCATTTCAACTAACTTCGTCTTTGTCCTTAATTTTACGCCACGGTAATTGGCCTTGCAAGAACTCAGTTAGCATATAAAATAGGGACCATAAATCGTCCTGTCGTCCCATTTCTTTGTTCTTGTGTGCAGTTACGGCAGCATATCGAACGGTTCCGCGAAATCCCGCAGCGCTTCTGGGACTTCGGATTTCACCTTTCGCATTCAAATATTGGCGGGCTAATCCGAAGTCGAGCATGTAAACGTTGCGCATCGTTTGAGCTGTTCTTCCCATTGCGAAATTCGACTGAAAATGACGAAATTGACACCTCCGACATCAAAATCAAAAAATACTACTGCACGCGGGCAGATTTACGAGTACGCTTTTTGAAATGGTCTCGCCACGAGTGAATTTTTTCTTTCCTAATAAATTTCGTTTTTACTTGAATTTCGTGGTTGAAATTAACAATTATCAAAGGGACCCATAAATTTCGAAAGAGTCAGTTAGTCCGCGTGAGACCCCTAAATCGACCTGCGTTCTGCAGTCGTCGGACGCCGACTATATTGGAAATCAGATTGATCTTTTAGTTGCATTTTTCTTGAATGAGCAACATTCTATTTTTTGATAGAAATGTCTTTCCACATTTACTCATAAAAACGGTTTCTCGTTTCTTGAAATAACTCACCGGTTTGACATCTCTGTGTAAGAATCCGATCGAGTGAATCTCGCGAATTCCGTTCAAAATTTGCAGACCGATTCGGATGGCAGTGTTCAGCGAAAAACACTGTTTCGGTGCTTCGCGTCTCAAATCGGCCAGGTTTTTTCCTTGTAGACTCATCACCAAATAGTTGAATTTATCATTGCGACCACACCCGTAAAATTTACACGCATGCTTTTTGCCTATAAATGATTGTTGATTTATGAAATTATAAAATGTCAAATAGGGAAACCTTGAAGACGACGTAGAACCGCCACCTCCATTTTGAGCACTTGCTTGGTCGCTTTACTTGATTCAACCTTTATCGCTACCCGTTCATGATGATTCTGGACGTCGGTGGCTTCATAAATTTCACCGAACCCACCACCACCGATTTTGGCCTTCTGCAAATTTTCTTTTCAAGACTTTGCTCAATTTTTAAGCACATACGATTTTCCATCGCTCCCTGATGACCTGACCAACTTGCAGTATCTCTCCTTCCGATGATGATGTCATTATTTCATCGCTAAAATATTGAGACTATAAATAAGTTATTGATCGATCGATTGAGACGAAATGAGACGCGATGAGATATTTTGAGAGCAAAATTCAATCGAGAGCGAGAAGATGGGCAAAGTTGAAAACATGAACGGGCTTTGAATCGAAAACAGATGTCTCGGGAGGCGAAGAACAAAAAAGTGACAAATGAAAAAAAGCGGACGAATTCTCGAATTGTGTGTTCGAAAATCGCATTTGACATATTCTGATTTAGGTTTTTTTTCACAAAATCTGATTTCAGTGTCATTCAACATGCGTTTCTTTTTAAATTGCATCAAAGCCAAAGAAATGAAGTTGTGGGTCAAAAGAGGAAAAAATCCAAATTGATTCTTCTGTGTATTTTTTTTACAAAAAATAAACAACATTTTATCACATCCCTGAATTGTGCTACATTATTTAAACATTCGTAAATACATATATTAATCGGCTAATAGACCAGGGTAGATTTAGCTACTGACTTAAAAGAACTTTTAATTTGTTATTAACGACTAGAATGGTCATCAGTGAGTCCGTGCGAGACGATAGGTAAAGAAACTTGCTCGTAAATCGTCTTGTGTACATCAGAAGCCTCACGCCGACTATATCTAGACACAAGATTAGCCGCGTTTTTGAGAATTCCCTCGAGAATTAATACGGAACTCAATAGAGTGTGATTTGAAAAAAATACTAAAATCTTCTCGAATTGAATAATTAAAAATGATAAATGTTTGGAAAAATCAAAATTCAAAAAGCTGACAAACCACACAGGAAGCTCATAAAAAAATTAAGGTTTTAGAAAAAAGCAACAAGATTATGAATGGTTTTTCGTTTTTACGCTAAAATCTAAGAAAGGTTGAACAGAAAAGAAGTGAAACTTGATAGTTAACGTATCATCACGCTGAAATAAATTCGATGATGTTGAGTGCGTCTGATCTCTTCTATAGTGTTAGAATTCAGAAATTGGAGAAAAATTTTGAATTTGAATTTGAGAATAGAATCGTTGAAAACGAAAAAAATATAAGCGAAATATCATAGCAACAAGAAACTATCGCGTTTCATCGGCAAAATTCGGCCATTAGTACACACCGTGGAAGGGCTTGCGAAAAATAAAAGACGGCGAGCAAAGTATCAGACATGGAAATCTTTTGAAAAAAAAATTCATTTGCCGGACAATGACTATGAAGGGGGAAATGTGGACGAAACACGCAGACTTAGAAAGGAATAAGGAAAAAGTTGCAATACTGCGAAGAGACATTATTCGTGGCGGCGGGGTGCGGCCAAGAAGAAGAAAATCCGAGAGGATTCCACCACATTCTTTTCTTGTTCAGATTTTTGCCCCAATTTGCATCTTGCCATTTTTGGGTCCAATGGGGCTCATAAATCTCGATGTATTGCTCTGAGAAGACCACCGCTCCACACTCGGCGACGACGACCGATCGACCTCGAATTGCCGACGTCGACTCGGAACGGATACGTTTCGGCTGCCAAATAATTGCGTGTTGTGAAATATGAGAATCGACATACACACATGCATATATGAATGTGTGTGTGTGTGTCGACATCAAAAGCTTCGATTTCGATCTGCATTTGTCAAACTTCAATTTTTTTTCAAGCGTTTTTTGTAAACTGCTCACTCAAGTTTGCGTTTTCTTTTTTTCGAAAAACCCGCTACCACATATTTGAAAAAAGAAACTTGCAAGTGTTGAATAAATTGCTAGATATGAATTTGTGAATTAAATTGTTTTTTTCGTTTGGCAAACTAGAGTCTGGCAAGCAGGAAAATTATAGAAATCTAATAGAAATGAAGCAGATGGTTATACCGAAATCAAAAAATATGTATTAATTAAAGACTAATGAGTACTTTAATTAACAATGAGGCAGAACAAAAATGATTTTCTGATAAAGAATTACTAAACAATCATTTAGTAATAATGAAGGTTTATCTGAATTTTGAGGTAAGAAATAATCAAGAAAAATTAAAAAAAAAAACAGAAAATTTCGAAATGAAACATTCGATGAAAATTGAGCTGTAATATGACAAAATTGCGATAAAAACTAGCAGTTGGTTTGTCGAATCAATAAGTACGGATAGAGAAGGGATTTGAATGAATGCTTTCCGGAAGATTTTCCTCTTGAGCAGCTGACGGGGTGACTCCCGGGAAGAAATGAGGACACACAAGAACATACACACACTCATCATAGATTTTATTATAATCTATTGGTGTTGGGAAATCATATTCACAAGACAGCAAAATCGAAGGAGATTAGATGAAAATGCTTCTTGTGCTTCTTCTTCTTCTTCTTCTTTTTTCGCATTCTTTTTTGTTTCAAAATAATGGCGAAGAGGCGAGTCGAAAACGTGTGAGAAAATCGAATTGGTGTACTTCCAATTCGATTATTTATACATATTTAGCCAGCACTATTGGGCTTACGACAGGGCAAATCTATTACAAATATTAGGCTTCTAAAAGAGCAGAAACCGCAAATGAGCGGATTTAGTTCTTCGCGTGGAATTTTGAAGGTAGAAAAGAATTCGAAAACATGTTAATTAACATCCATGAAAATGAAGTTATTACGCAATTATTCCACATTTTTGAGCAAATACAACAATTTTTTGGTTTTTTTTAACTTACATTTACCTAATATGCTTTTCCTATATATTTTGCACAAAAACGTTACGTCAAGGATTCAAAAGAAGATTAGGTGACACTCAATTTGCGAATAGTTGATACAAACTTCAAATTCTCATCGATTAATATTCTAACATTAAATTTCTCGAAAAAAAAAACCAAAGTTTGGTCATTTTCAGAGTATGATTAATCAAGGAAAATGAGTGTAGTGTGTGGGATTCGGAAACTATGGTATACGCCAAAATTGAATTGCGAGTTAGTCGAACGAAATTGAAAACGGGACCACTATGCCAGGTAAAATTCAGGGACGAAATGGCCCGCAAAACACACGCACGTAGTAGCCCCGAAATAATAAAAGATGCAAATGCCGAGCGGATGCAGGAGGCCTCGAACAAGTGAAGCAATTCAAAACCCAAGAACGCTGCAAAAGCTGCACTGAGAAAAGCGGGCAACGAGTTTCGGAGACGCTTTTGATTTTGACGGCCACAAATTTAAACGTCTTCCTTTTTGAGCACATCCTTCGTCTTCCTCTGCAGCAACAGAGGGGTCATCAATAAATAATCTGAAACTCGTCTCTTCTTTTTTTCGGCCATCTCCTTTGATGGGTTAGAATTGAAAATGAGAAGACTTGAACGAGTGCGAATGAGGAGGAATGTAGTCCAAGTGCATAATCAAATATTCCTAATCTCATATATGTACTTAAATGCAACGAATTTCTAGGGCGAATTTCGGAAATTTTGCATGAAATATAATGCGAAACGAAATGATTTTTTAAGCCGGATTTGCAAGCTCTCTTAATAGATATTTGATTTTGGATGTTTCGTTTAAAAAAGAAAACATACAATTAATGAAAGTTTTTAGCAAATTTATTGGCATTTATTTCAATTTTCACTTCATGAGAGGGTTCTAGGCAGTAAATGAAGGTTTTGAAGAAGATGAATTAAGAAGATACGAAAACGAATAAATGCATTATATATATATATATATATATATATATATATATATATATATATATATATATATATATATATATATATTCCAGCACATACAATTATTTATATCCGCTAGAATGTTCTTTTAATCTTGCGATAGAAGCTAGTGGATACATTTGAAAAAAAAAACAATAATCGAAATTGTTTGAAGGAATTGTTCTGAGTAATTTTCATCAATCGCAAATATTTATTTGTTGTTTTAATCTGTGTGTGTGTGTGGCGAAAATGTGTGACTAATAGGATTATGAGTTGCCGACTGGTATGTGACGTCAAAATCATCCCGGAAAATTTGGATGCGAACACAGAAAAAAACAAAACAAAACAAAACCGAAACAGTTGTAGACGAAAGCCGAGGATTTGCGAAAAGAATCCATCGCATAAAAAATGGGAAACATTTGAAAATGGCACCAAATAAGGGCAGCCGTGGTGCAATCATATTGTAAACCAGTAATTACGATGAATTCGCATCATCTGCTCGATCATGTAATCCATTCGTAATCCCACTCATAAGCACCATATTCTCTAATCTAGAAGAACAAGAGGAGGATGTCCAAAATGAGAGAATTAATTAAATTCGCGCGAACATCAAATAGTTGGTGGTGAGTTGGGCAAAAGTGCGTCTGACATAAAGGTGAACGGCGTAAAAATTGCCGCGACGAGGGGTGAGCTCGGCGAGCACAAGATGAGCTCAACGAGATAGCGGGCGATCAGGTGGAGATTCGGGACAGTGATAACAGATGACACATGTGCTCCGAAAAGAACCCACTTTGCCATCGGTGAGTACAACTTGCCGGCCGGTTTTCGCCAATAAACACACACGTAGACACACGTGCGCGAGCGCGAAATTAAAAATTACGTCCAATTATTTGTGGCTGTCAAAAAGAAAATCGGCCGGTTTGCAGCGGCCAATTCCAATTCAAAATCGCTCTAGCGACTAACTGTTTTTTGTTTTAATGGAAAAAGTTAAAGTTAAAATTAGAATTGCCAAATCTCTACCATAAATGAGTATTCAACTGCTATATATATATATTATAGAAGTCGGTGAAATTTTTAAAAAATTCGATTTTTCATTTTGACAATCCAGTCTCTTTTTTTAAATCTGAAAATAGCGAAAAACGAGTACCTGTTCTGAAAACATTCCTAATACTAATTACCCGTTGTTTTTTTTTCACGTTTCATTTCTCCTTCCCTCTTCAAAATAAACGACATGTTTCTAAGCATATTTGACTAGTAAACATCAGGAGTTACTATATTTAGCGAGTTGTGAATAGGGTTTGTGGGCGGCAGCCTTGAATAGCAAGGAAACGACATTTGGCCACAATTCTATTGGCGGTTTCAACAAAATAATTGAGTAGAAAGGCGAGTAATTGAAATAGAAAAGCATTCAGTCGGTGTTCATAAGTCGAAATAATGGTCATATTGTGCAAATCACATGGATCAGTCCAAAAATAAATTTAAAAAAAGGTGCTGTGAAAATGGATAATTTCCAAAGAAATGCTTTATAAATAAGACAAACTTCATTAGTAAATACATGCATTCTCCGTCGTTGAATAAAAAATGATTGTTTGCCGTATTGGCATTTGATGTGAGGTAAATAAAAGAATAATAATGAAGAAGGGAGGAGGATGAGGAGGAAGCGGAGGAAGGAAAGTCTCAAAGTGAAAATGAACCGAATACCCGAATATGGTGGGAAACGAAATGATAATAATTGGATACACTCATTTCATGTTTTATTCCGCTTATCATTCCCGGCCAACATTTTTCGAATCCCGTTTTGTTCTCGTTTCGTCGATGCTTCGCCAGCCAGTCTTCTTTTTGTTCGAAATCGCTTACATTCGCAAATGAGCTTCGAATTATTCATTACGTGCACCGACAGGTGCGTCAATGCCAATTACTAGCTACAAACATGCATAACGAAAGCGGGGGTGTTGAAAAGTTGAAGACAAGCTGAGCTAAATTCGCCGAAAAAGGATGCGTAAGATGAAAGTGGAGAAAGAGACGGCAAAATTGAACGAAACCCATGGGAAAAACGAGAAGATGTCTCGATTTTTGACACCATCGACGCATATACATCTACATATATGTATATTCCAAATTTCGAACCGAAATACTTTTGTCAGATGAAAAACAAATAGCAAACACACAACTATCCTTAATTACATATTGCAATTGCTTCAAATTCCTCGGAATGCTCAAAAAAAAACGAAAAGAAATAAAAACGAAAGTGAGCACTACACTTAAAACTATTACGAATCAAGCCTTTGCTAAGAAATACGAGACTATTTATAAAATCGATGAAAGTTCAGAAGGAATCGAGACTGCATACATTTTTAATAAAGACGTTCAACAAAATTGATTAATTAATTTTGGAACGTGAATCAATCGTTTCAATTGTTTCAGTTTTAAAAATAGTAAACATTGGAGCCGGATCAGAAATTTCGAAAACGAACATCTCGATCGACAATCGAGTAATGGGTGCAGAAATTGACAAAAAAGCGTCGTCGTTTATCCAATTCGTTGAGTAAGTTAACTCGAACCTGATTAATGTTTTATCAAATCGCAGAACAGAGGGATTTGAAGACCAATTGTCTTCGTCTGCCGACGAGGAAGAAGAAGTCGAATCGGACACGGATTTTCTCGATGAACTTGATCGGATGTTTGGTGGCGAAGAAGCAAAGAAGGCCGATGAAGAGAAGGAGTTCATTTCACCGGTTGATGCTCTCGGAGCAATTGCGAATGAAGGCGAGAATCTGCTCGCGGACATGCATAAAGCTGCGTTAGTGCATCCGGCGACATTTGATGATTTTCTCAATGAAATGCCATTGAATAGAGCTCCACATTTGGTTCGAAAATTGTTCAAAATGAATTCATTTTTTTTAATATTCAGGTTTGTTTCGATCATACCCGTGTGCACATCAAGGATAATTTCGGAGATTCGGACTATATTCATGCTTCTTATGTTGATGGTTACAGTCTGAAAGGTTGTGCAACTTCATCGTTGTTATAATTTCTATTCTAATTTCAGCTCATTACATTTTTGCTCAAGCGCCTTTCAATAAGAACACCGAAGATCAATTTTGGCGAATGGTGCTTGGTGAGAAACCGGCAATGATATTGGTGTTTGGTGATGTTGTGGTAGGACGATGCAGCGTTAAGTAAATTTGAACTTCGTCATTTTGCCTTTTAGGAATCACACGCGAAAAAAGATGATTTTTGCTATGAAATTGGGCAAAACGGATTTGAGAAGGCCTACTTCAGGGAATATGGAGTCGACCGATGGGAGGATGTGGTAATCGGACCATTATTACATTTTAACCCTATCCTATATTTGTATTAGGAATCGAAAACTCATATCGGCAAAATATTCTGGCCATCTGAAATGTCAGATCGAAAATGTTTTGCGAAGAATGATCATATTACCGTCTCAAATGTCGGTGTTCATAGAGAAACTCATATTGACGTCAACATGCTGAACATCGAAGAAGCTCGAATGAAGCCAAGTTCAACGACGTTGATTCATTTCAAAGATTGGACTGACGAGACCCCATTGCCTGAATACCTCGCTGATATGAGAGCTCAAGTGAAGATTCATATGATTCGCGCTCAAAAGAAACCATCGGCATTTAATGGACCAATGCTGCTCGTGTGTCCGACCGGTGTATCCAGATGTGGCGCATATGCAGTTCTTGACATTGTGCTTCAACGACTCGCCGAAGAGCATACCGTTGGAATCAAAGAATCGATAATGGCAATCAAATCGCAACGATATGGAAGCTTCAGAAATCTTCAACATTATAAGACGATTCGTGAGATTGTATTAAGGTAATTCGAAATGTTCTATATTGTTTGGATTTGTTTCAATTCATAGAAATGCGATATCATCTGGAGTTGTGCATGACACCGCCATTGGTGATAAGGCACCATCAGTGAGACCGAAGAAGAAGAGAACAAAGAAGAAGCCATTGACTGAAGCGCTCAAAAAAAGAATGGGAAAATAATCCGAAAAATAAAGATGATTTCATTATTGCCCTTTATTCATTTTGAAAAGAAAAACACTTAAACGGGCGAGTGTACTATTCGATTTAAAAATGATCGATTATGAGTCTTTTTCATACATCTTAACTATGCTCTCGATTCCTTTTCTAATTCTACTCGTCGCCGCAGCAAATGCCGCAACACCATATCAACAAATTGCTGACTATATCAGGTTTGGCGTATCTTTTTCTATTCATCTTCGAATTATCGGGCGGCCGCCGCCCGTTGCCTGCCCGCGGCCGCCAATTGTGCGGCCACGCCACTTTCACGTCCGCCATTATATCGAAACTTATTTAAATCTGAATTTTAAGTTTTTTTTTAGCATGTTACGCCTATTCCTTTTGAAATCACATTGAATGAATGAAAAAATAATTGAATTAATAGAACTTCTAGATTATTTGAAAAAAAAAATCGTTAGAAAAATTTTTTAAGAAATCGCAAAAACCACGTTCAAATGGGTTTTTTCCATACGGGACCCACTTCGGTAATTCATAATTCAAAAAATATGCCCCTAATTGCTTTGTCCACAAAAAACTACATATTTTTTATTTTATTAGTTAACTTCACAGCAGAAAATCAAGTCCAATAGAATTTGTTGATAACATCGACCGAGAATCCGATAAGACGCCCAAACCCTCGACAAAACCAGTGGACGTTTTAACGTGGAGGAATAATCTACTGGATCCGCAAAGCACTAACAACCCTGTGCTATGCCGGGTAAGAGACCGCTTGAAGTTTCATTCGTATTCGATTCAATTCCCTTAAAATTGAGAAAACTTTAAATTCGACGTACGACGCGATTTTTAATTGGTATTTTCTCCATTTCGCATATTAAAATTTTTGAAGGTATATGGACGATGCCAATATAATTCAATGGCGATGATAGGATTAAATTTCTTTCCAATATGGAAAAACTCTGGATATACTACGACAACGTCCGTTTATAGATTTCCGAGAGAACAGATTGCCAAGAAAATACGTAATTGCGACATAATAGTTACATTTTTTTCAATATTTTTATAATTTTCAGGCTCTTGGAACAACAACATAATAAACGAAATCACCGTAACGTAATACGAACACATTTTATTGTTTTGAAACTTCAATAAATAATATATAAGAGGAGAAAAGCGAAACATTTTGAGGGCATGATGCGAAATAAGTAAATATTAATCGATAAAGGAAAAGGCAAGTGAGTACACCGTAAGTAAAGGCAGTGCAATTGTCAGCAGCTGATGCATCAGCATCCTTTGACTTTGGTGTTGTCCGGACACTCACAATGCGCCCCGGTCTGACTAGGAAGACACAAATGAGCACAGCCGCCATTGTCGACGCTGCACGGACTTGCTGGTCCAGCACACGATTTCGGAATGCTTAAAATTCCGAACACTTTTCCGGAACCTCCCAGCGAGATTTGGAAGCTGCGGTAGCCATCACCGTAGACGCCAACGGAGTGAACACGATTGCTGAAAAATGCATTTGATTTTCAAAATTGGTTTTAAAACAATGCAAACTCTTTCCAATCGGTCCAGTAGAACTTCATCTCATTTTCATTGGTCAATCCGAACGGATACTGTAATCCGCTGAATACCACACGACGACCAGAACCGTTCATTGAAATGCACGAGAGTCGATGGTTGCCGGCATCAACCCAGCAAACTTCGCGTCTGTTTGGAAGGATCGTAAGTGCGTTCGGCAGATGAACATCCTCATTCAAGAACACCTTGTTATTCTTTCCGTCCAGATCGACCCGTCCAATATACGGGTTCTCACGGTGCCAATCGGTGTAGAACAAATGTCTGCCGTGCATATCAATGGCGACGGCTCTTGGATTCACGAGACCCTCGGTGATCAGCGATTTTTTGTATTTTCCGTCAAGCGATGCAACTCCAATCTCGTCATTCATTGAATCCGCGTAGTAAACGTTTCTGGAAAAATATCCGTTTTCGTTTTTTTTTTCGAAACTCAGAATTACCCAGAAGACCAATCAACAGCAATTCCTTCGGGACTGCTCAGTTCCTTTGCGTAATATGACTTGTGATCTGTGCCGTTGAGGGAAGCAATGCGGATCGAATGGCCGGACATGTCACTCCAAACGATGTTCTCATTTTTGCAGTCGAAATCAATGCCAACAGGAATGTGATGCGGAATAACAATAAGCTAGAATAACGTTTCATTAGAAGTAGCAGTTTTCAATTTTCAAAAAAAGAAATACCTGTTTGCCATACTCGTCAGGATTATTTGAGCGTTCGAAAATAGCCATACCTCGTGCAATAAGAAGTTTCTCATTTCTACCAGATGAATCGGCTGAAAATATTGGATAAAAACAACAGTTTGAAATAAAATGTTTGCGGAAACCCAATAACCCAAAAAAAAACCCATAAACAACACAAAAAGCTGAAATAGGAACAAAGGAAAACTCAGAGGAATGCTACACCATGAACACCTGAATAGGGCAACGATCAAGAAAAATGAGTGAAACCGATTTTCAAGTTTTGACTCCATATTAAAGTAAATAAACGCTGTAATTGTGTTTAATTGAAGTGATTTCAAATTGTAATTGTTGGGTTGAACTTACGTGAGCATGTTCTGCCATCTCCATGATACCCATAATGACAGTTGCACACATAGTGTCCACCCTCTCCAGGAACGCAGTCAGCATTCGTATCGCACAGAGATCTGTCGTCAAGACAGGATGCTGAAAATATTCATCAATTTGTATGTTATAGCCAAGAGATAAACTGACTCATTGAGACACAAAGGTATCCGTTTCCATGATAGCCAGCATTGCATTTGCATTGGTATCCGCCAGTTGTCGGATTCTGGGCGCAATAGGCGTGAATGGAGCAATTCGTGCATCTCGGAGTGTCAACGACTTCGCATTTCGAATATCCATCACCAATAGAGCCTGGTTTGCAAAGGCATTCGTAGCTGCTGGTCTCGTGACGGAATACGCATTGAGCATTTGCATGACAAATTCTCGGCTCGAGTTGGCAATTCGATGGCGGCGCATATGGTACACAACTCGTTGGGTCCCCTTTGAAGCCTTCGACGCATTTGCAAGCATATGCGTTTTTCATCTCGTCATAGACGCAGTGAGCATTCTGATGACAAGTTTGCGGGTTTGACGGGCTGCATTCGTCTGAAAAATTGAATATAGACTATAATTTAGATTAGGCTCGTCACATTGCGACTCATTTGCAAAACCCACGATGAGCAAATTACTACTACATATAGTCAAAATTAGACAGAACAAATTAAAGGGGGAGGGATGAAATTCTGAGGAAATTAAGGAATTATTTTCGTTCTTTGGTACACGCATACAGTTTGCTGTACAAATTTGAATTAGCACATTGTTCGTCTGGAGTAGAAACCGATGTCATACAATTTCTTACTGTTAGGAAATGTTTCTGCTAGACGACGAAACCAGTGGGATCAAATTAAGTATATGAAGGGAGTGAGGGGCTCAACTATGCTTTAGTTCTTTTACATTCATTGTTCATGTTACGAAATTGTGTACTGTACCTGCTGCTTGGCATTTGACATAACCATCTCCACTGAATCCAGGAAGACATTCGCAAATGTATTCTCCGGCGCCGTTTTCGTTGATAACGCAATGTCCATTGATGTGGCAGTCAGACGATTCGACACAGGTCTTTGGTTGTGCTACAATTGATTGGTTTACTGAATGAATGTAAGAAAATCAATCATACCGGGGACAAGATTTCCTTGCACCAAAGGCACACAATTGTACCCATCTCCAACAAAAGCAGCAAAACACTCGCATTTAAACTGACTATAAATCGACGCTTTAGTAGATCACATTCAGAAAATCTTACCCAGTATGGCTATCATAAAGACATTGCGCATTTTCCCCACAGTTGGGATTGCATGACAATTGTACGGCAGGAACTGAAATGGGTGGATTAGGAAAGGGGAAACAAAGGGCTTCGCATGAGGACAAATGCAGAAAACAATACGAAAAGCGAACCCGACGGGGAAAAAGCAGAGATAGCGAGTTGAGATTGCATGCAGTATTTTCCGTCGCCGGTGTATCCAGCTTGGCACACACATTTGAATCGGATCACTCCGTCACTGTTCCTCTCGAAGACACAATCGGCGAATTCCGAGCAGTCTTTAGTCACATCACAACCAGCTTCCGAAGCTGAACAAGGAATAAAGGATAGAGAGAAGCAGACAAGAAAAGAAGCAAAAGCATCAGAGTTGTTGAAACCAACCAACTGAGACCGCGCCTGGAAGAGCGCAATCAACGCCATTTCCAACATATGGTTCGGTGCAAGCGCATTGATAGTATCCGAGTGATGAATGGTATGCACATGAACCATGTTCTGAGCATTCCTCGTGAGATCGGCAGACTGTTCCTGAATTGTTTCTGTCATCCATTTATATTTTATGATGTTTTTGATGTGATTCGAAGCTACACAAGTGGCAGTTCAATAGTAGTAAAATTACCAAGTGTTCCCGCGTTTTGCTGACGCTGATTCTGACGTTGAGCACTTCTTGTGTCGTCAAGAAGACTTTCGCATACAATTCCATTTCCAGAGTATCCGGCTCTGCAGACACATTCAGACTGAAATAATTATGTCTCAAAATGTCTAACATTAATACTCAATTACTCCTCCACTAGGTTCAGGCATACATTCCGCATTCTCATCGCAAACGTGTGATCCACAAGCATGTCCTCCTCTTTGTGGAATATTAGCATTATGTTTCGGTTGTTCTATGCAGATTCATTTGCTAATGGTGTTGCCTTTAACACTTACCATTTGGTGGGCCGCAATGATGAACACCATCTCCGACGTACCATCCTCTGCACTTGCATCTGCCAGTTGGATGCTCAGATGTAAACACACATTCTCCCCATTGATGACACTGCGAATGCGCCGTGCACAATCCTTCAGCAGTGGCTCCAGACGTTGCTCCTGAATGATGTTGTGCCGCAAGTTGTTGTCCAGTTTGTTCTCCTGAGTTTATATGTATTCAGGAATGTTCAAAAATTCATTGAAAATCATTACTAATGCAAGTTCTTCCGTCTCCCAAATATCCTGGAAGGCATTCGCATGAGAAAGATCCGATTCGATTAGAACATCTCGCGTGTTGATCGCAGTTATGATCACCTCTCTGGCATTCGTCCAAATCTAAAATCACCAATTCGGATGTTCTTAAAGTGTTCGAGGCTGAAACCTTGACAGCTCCATCCAATTTGGGATGACGTGTCGGTGACTGCTTGGAATCCGGCTTCGCATTCGCACCTATACGATGGTTCGACAACTCGACACTTCATATTCGGCAATGTGCATTGATGTTGGCCGGATTTGCACGGATCAGAAGGAATTTGAAGCGGAGTCTCGGAAACCATTTGAGATTGGCCGTGTTGTCTGCGATCGAAGTGCCCACCGGCAGGAGGAATGACGACTTCAGCGCCAGTGTCAATGTTTCTAACGGCATAATTCTGAGATCCATAACGGACAACTCCTTCATCCGGATTGTAAACCACATTGACACGTTTGATAAGAAGCTTCATGGAGGTATCACGATCAAAGTCCTTGAAAGCGCATTCGTTAAAATTGATTTGCTGGTCAATCGTCATTCGGATAGTTTCTGACGAAGTTCCATCACGAACCACGACATCCAAGGCAGCTCTCGATGTCAAATATCCTAAATCAACAAAATTCTTTTCAGTTTTTGATCATCGTAATGCGTGTAAATAAAGTTTCGAACCAAAACGAACTTAAAAACATATGCATAAATAAGCAACAAATCATAATACCTAATTTGTGGGTCTCGAAACGATTTCCTGTACATACTAATTTTAAGTGCATATCGATATGAACCATCACTAACCTTTGCGCTCTCTTGTGTAAATTTCCTCATAATCGGGGAAAATAACTTGGGATCCCGGCGCAATATCGGGAAGAGTGCCCGATACAAACAAATGCGACTTGAAATAGTCGTAGATATCCCGTCCACTGAATTCTTGCTTGATGGTGACGTAGTATTTTTGGCCGATATGAAGAGCAACCGTTCGATTGAATAATCCTCCCGTCAAATGAAATCCATTGTAGACATCAGGGGATTTTACATCAGCAAACAACCATCCCATAATAGATCCGACGGTGTTGAGAAGCAGAAGCGGATGTCCAAGGTCCGAAGGAATCTTCGAAACCGCGGTATAAACATTTCCATCGGTCATTGTGGCAAACGTGTGAAGGTCGGTTCTATCGATCGGAGTTCGATTGATGACGCCTTCAAAGCTTCCAGAAATGCGTTGAGGTTCTCCCTTCGGAAGGCATTCCTTGCCATTTCCAAAGTATCCCGTTTCACAACTGCAGCAATATCCATGGGTGTAATCTCTGAAGAAATTATTTTATAATTATGCAATAAAGAGTAATTATGCATACTGGCAAACTGAGTGCGTGTGGCACACCGAATCGAGCTTTTGCGCGCAGGTTAACTCTGAAGATTATATTTTTTCTTATTGAACAACTGATTGAAATGTCTACTTGTTGTTGGTTGAGAAACGTGGCGAATAGCTTCTTGTTGTGGCTCCTGATATGGGGTTCCTTCTTCGAGCACAACCTCATCTCCCTCATCATCAATCTTGTTTTCAACAACTGCTTCTTTTGGAAGTGGCGGGGGTCCGCGGCGTTTTTCTAAATATTCAAAGATTTCATTCTTGTTTCTTTTTTTTAATTCATACCAGCACAAAGACACCTGGCACATCCTCTCTCATCTCTGATGTATCGACATTCTTGTGGACAGTGTTCCGCAAATTGATCCTTTGGGCAATCGGCAGCTGCAATTCAACTTTTCTTCCACTTCCGATTTTAATTAATTTCCTTACCGGTCTCTCCTTCATATTCTTGATCGTAGTTGTTGTAATCATAATCGTCACCTCCTTCATCTCTCGGATCTTCAATTGATGGTCCCGAAATTCGAAAGATGAATGAGTTGCCAAACAAGTTGTTGGAGAGGCTGTCAATTGCAGTTGATAAGCTTATAAATTTCCGCTAAAACTACCCGACAAGTTCCTTGACATCTGGACCACCAGAATTGATATTTGTTTGGAATTTGCCCTCTGAATGCACAAAACCAGTCTGGGCATAATATCCCATCGAAGAGGACCACGGCAGCTCGCCATAGTGAACAATGGAATATGTAGAAATTCCATCAGAAACTATGGCAATTTGGAATGAAGCTGGTCCGTCTTTTTCCGCGTTTTGAACATCAGTCCATGTAATAATAACAGCTTGGAGTGCATGGAACTCGCGCGAGTCAGCAAACACCTCCTTGACGGCATTTCCAAGGTGTCTGAGAAGAGATTGGTCCGATGATGTTACCCTGAAATAAAAACAGAAAATAAGAGGTTCCTCCCTAATTTGAAAACGACGATTGGCGCTTGTCTTTTGGTCCGACTGTTTTCATTTTGACTCAATGGGACGAACAGTGGACACTTTTTAGTTTGGCGATGCAAATTCCAGCCCTGGTTCAGATATAAATAGATGAAGATGGGGGATTTAATTGAAAAATAACATATGGTGATTAGCGATATGAAGTGCATTTTAAAATTAGAAAAAAAGCTACGAATTATTTTTTGTTTTTAAATGTTATTTGCCTTATTAGAATACCTGTAATACAAATTTCCTTCGGATGCTGGGGCATAGAAAACAGCAATTGCAGGATGTTTAATCTTCTGAAGCGGCTCAATATGTTCTAAAAATTATTTATGTTTCAATATGTCTAATTTTTGTGATCAATCAATTCTCACTGGGTACTCGATGTCCTAATCCGATAATTCCATTGTGTGACAGATATATTTCTTCTATCGATGTTTCCATGAAGACGATTGGAACATCAAGTGCAATCGCACTCTGCTCCACAGTATATTCTATTTTCTGAACAACTCTTATTATAATTTTTCCGATGTTTCATAAGCACCTTGTCATTGGCTTGAGGTCCATACGGATAAAATCCAGGAGAGCATTGAATACTGCCTATTAGCAGACAGAACAACAGTTTGAGCTTCATCGCTGGAAATGGATTCGATTTAATAAAAATGGAAATATATGAAGAAAAAAAAAACATCGCCGAAATGATGACCTGACCAATTATAGAGCGCATATATACAAAAATGTGTTGTTTGTTACACTCAATTAAAAATGTACTATGCGAATATTTGACATTGAATACTTGAAATTACTTTTTTTCTGGTGCCAAACGGTACGGTCAAGTCAACATTTGTATGATATGAGAGTGATAAATAAAGTAAAATTCAATTGATAAGGGTTTCGTGAAAAATTGGACGCTGCAACAAACGTTTTTTCGCCCGTTTCATGATGGGGTTGAGAGGGCTCGTTGACAAAATGACACATTCACGATTGATTGCAATTAAAAAAACGAGAAAATGATAAAGTACATTAGTGCGAATAATTTATGTACTAAATTTTGGGTGCATTTGAAAAAATAGGCATTTTCATGCAACATTCGAACAATGTGCGGCCGATAATTGGGTGCATCGCGTTTTTGAATTTGAATTTCGCGCCCATAAACAGACAAAATACGCAGAAACATTCAGGTACGATTATAAATAAAAAAGAAGACATTTTTCATTTCGAAAGAAGTTATTTTCAAGTAGTTCAAAATAATTAGACTATTAATAGATCACTTGTTCGGAAATTCAGATGGGGTTCAAATAACATTAAAGTGTGTTCTTGAAACTTTTTTTTCATAAGAAACGAACAGATCAAAGTGTCAAAGAAGGGCACCTTATTTCAATAAACGAGAATATGAAACGTTTTCAATGATCATTTCACACTTGATTCAATATAATTTTTTCCTTGAGACGACGATGATGTTGAAGATGATCGAACCCAACCAACAACACAAATGTTGTGAAATGATTCACTTTATTATGATTGACTCAACATGTGTACGATTAAAAAAGTATGGAGTAAAAGCATTTTATGATATTTTTAATCGATTTTTCGTAATCTTTTCGATTTGTCATTGAAATTCATTCAACTTGAATTATTCGCCAAAAATGTTTTGGTTTCAACAAATTTGATTTATTACTCAAAGAAGTAAAAACTAAAAGCTGGAATAGTACTAATTGGAGGAGCATCGTATGATAAACGGCGTTCGATGCGGGGCAACGACGAGTGAGAAGACGGTCGTAAAACGTATCGGTGCGCAATACGACACGTGCTCCGTCGCGCAGCTGCCCAACTTTTTTGCCGCTTTTTTCCCTCGAGTTCGATCGAGAAATGTGAGAATTGCGCAGGTGGTATGGTGGCGTCGGGTGTCTGGCGGGACAAGCTCAACGAATGGAGGCGAGAGCAAAAAAACGCCAAGTTCATGGTGTACTGTAGGGTGGAGACGAGCGACAAGTGCGCCAGATGTGTCGAAATTGATGTTATATTTATGAGATGGTCGAGAAAAGACTTTTAGACGGAGGTCACCGGAATGGCTCGATTCGGTTTATATCAACGATCGGGGCAATTTTTGAGATCAATGAGAGAATCGATGCTTGCGGGAGAAATTGCAAAACAAAATATTGGATCTATCCTAAAGAAACTCAATATCACAGAGAGTTGATGAATACAACACCTCGAAAGAAGATATGCTTGTTCTCAGATCACAAACACTAACTTCGTTTTTAAAGTGGTTTCCGATTCAAAATTCTGAAAAATACTCCGTTCTATTATTAAACAAATTATTTTTTTTGTCAGTATTCACAATAGTAATCAATTTCAAAACTTGTATATTTAATTGTTTAATTTCAGTATAAAGAATCGTTTCTACCTCGGCAAGTATCATAATTGTATTTTTTTTTTGCATTTTTTGAGAGCTAATTTAAAAAGTAGTTTTCATATAAAAGTGCAAGCAAAAACTGTCTGCCCGCATGCATTTCTGATTTTCCTTTTTCATCTTGCCCTATGTCATAAATAATAATGCGATGATGCATTTTGCGCCTATCTCGTCGTTCTCCGCCCCATCACCTCTTCTCGCCGATTCAGTGTAACAGGTCAAACGAGGTTCTCCGATTACTTTGATGGGCGGCGTTCCCTTTGACTGTGATATGGCTCACGAACGAATCGGCTCGATTGCCAACCAACGCCGAAATTACTTGTACAAATACTATTAGTGGGGCATCAAAGTAATACTAAAAAGTATAGTAGCAGCGGGGAAACGACAAAAAGACGTTCGGCAAATATTGGAGCCATTTGTCACTACACAGGTTACCTATAAAAAGGCGACTGGCGTTTTCGATGTAGATCATTCGAACAATGTGCTCTTCGCAAGTCGTGCTGCTGCTCCTGCTCACCGTGCCAATCTGCTCGGCTCTTCTTGGAATCGGTCGCACACAGTCGGTCGCCGTTTCGGGAAGGCTCATCTGCAACGGACAACCAGCGGCTGGTGTTAAGCTGAAGTTGTATGAGAAGGAGACTAGTTAGTTTTTTTTCGATTTAAACTCCCATCAAGCTGTTGAACGAGTTGTTGGTCAATTTTGAGTCTAATTTAGTTTGCCGAATTCAAAAGAATATAAATAAATAATCGAGTTTCAGCATTTGATGTGAAGATGGCCGAAGGAACAACAGATGCCAATGGGCAATTCCGATTGTCTGGCTCGAAAACTGAGATCTCGACGATTGATCCAAAATTGAACATCTATCACAAATGCAATTATAATGGGGTAATTGTGGACTTTGTTTTTTTCTCAGAATTTACTATATTCGGTTTCAGCTATGCTACAAAAAAATCGGAATCACAATCCCAGACAACTATGTTTCGAGTGGCGCAAATCCACAAAGGACATTTGACATCGGAACCCTGAATCTCGCCAACCAATACACTGGCCAGACGACCGATTGTATCAACTAAATCTGACAAGTGCACAAACCATATATTTGTATACTAAATGAATATTTACCAAACAGTATGTATTTGTATGTCGCAACTTGAATGTGTCTGTCGAAAAAAAAGTACAACCTATGTTTGTTTGTTTGCTTGCAACTTATGAAACACTCAAAAAATCAAGCAATTCATGAAAAAAATATTTGTTTGAAATACTGCTATTGTCGAAATCGCGTGACTATGGAAAATAGGCTAAAAATAAACAACGGCAATCGTTTTGGCGAAAACTGAAGGTGTAGATTTACGAGTCTAAGTATAGGGATAGGTTAAAGGTGCACACCGCGCATCGATACCTTTTTTTAATTTATTCGACATTTATCCAATTTTTGGAAATCGTGCGACATCGGCAATAACAATTTTTCTGCGACTAGCAGAAAATTTTGATTTTCACTCTGTTATCAACCTGAACTCTGATTAGAACTGTATAAAACGTGATTCCGGCATGGTAGATAAGGGCTCATTAGTTGCACTCAAATGCGATTCCTAACACCTGTTCCGTTAATTTTTGTGATTTTATCACTTCATACAGTACTCTCCAAAGATGTCGATCCTGAAATGCATATGACAACGGTAATAAAATAATTTAATATTTGCTATGAATATTGTTGGACAATTTACAAAAATGTGAATCTGACTTTTATTTGTTACTCTTAAAATAGAACTCTGAAATTAATTGGCACTTTTGTTAAAATGTAAAATTCTTATTTATTTCGAAAAATGATGCTATTGCACGCTATTATTCCTAGAAATTGCATTCTTTGTCAAACAATCTCCAAGGGGCATTCGAAACTCAACGAATATAAGCCGCTTCTGAATTCTATCACAAATGCAGCGTGACTAATGACGAATTCTAAAGTTTTTTGAAGTGAGTACAATTAAAGAGCATTTTTGCTCTTAATTATGTGTAATATTGACACTTTGGGTTTCGTAATGTTTTCTCAAATAATAACGAATTCATTTTGAAATAAAGTAAACTTTTTGATAATTGGTCAAAAACAATTAAACCAAAAAAACGTCTGAGTTTAATTTTTAAGATCGGAAAATTTAATTTCAGCCTCAAATTGCTATGCGATGGGGATATCCAGTTATGATTTATACAGTCACCACTGACGATGGCTACATTCTTGAGCTTCATCGAATTCCTTTTGGAAAAAGTGTTTTATTAGAAAATTTCAAAATTACACTCGAGTGTTTAGCGAACAATACGATTGGGAATGGAAAGAAGCCGGTGATGTTCATGCAACACGGTCTTGAATGCGACAGCAGCAACTGGGTTGTCAATCTTCCAGATGAATCGGCTGCTTTCATATTTGCCGACGCCGGATTTGATGTTTGGATGGGCAATTTCCGCGGAAACACCTATAGCAAAAAACACAAGAATCTGAAACCATCACACTCGAGCTTCTGGAAGTGGTCGTAAGCGATGCGACAAATCTCATTCATAGGTTATTTGTTTGAGATGGGACGAGATGGCCCAGTATGATCTACCAGCAATGATCAACAAAGCCTTGGAAGTGACCGGACAGGAATCTCTTTACTATATGGGCCATTCGCAAGGAACTCTGACGATGTTTAGCAGACTTTCCGATGATAAGGACGGATTCGGCGACAAGGTGAGCAGTGTATTCTAGTTTCTTATCGACATGTGACCGACAAAAATATGGCGTGGAACTGATAATTCCGTGTCATTATTGCAAAAATCAATCGAGGTCGCAACAAACTGTAGATAACATGAGCATGTGATGCGAATTGCATTATGTTTAGAAATATACAACGTTTTTGCAACATGTTTCAGATCCTTTGACATCTGAAATACCACAAATTAAAAAGCGGGCGGTAATCTGAAATATCATAAAAAAATATCATTGAATCTAAGAAATCGAAGATATAAAAAATGAACGAAAATTATTCGTAAATTCCGCGATGACGAAAAGCGATGACGAAGTAAAAAACGTGTTTTGTCGGCAAATAAAATGCACAAGTCCGCATATTTTTTTTTGAATTTTCGTTTTTCTGAATTTATTTTTTAGAATCTTATCTAGTTTGTTTCCATGATCTTTTCATGATTTTTGAGGTCCACCTTTGAATAATTAAAAAAAAAACTCACAAATTCAATATAGACAACCGCCGTTAGTAACTTTTCTTCGAATTCCTACGGTTGAACTCAAAATTTGAATTTTCGCTTTGAAAAAATCCAATGTGTGCTCAAAAAATTGTTTAATTCGACATTAAAAAATTCAAATAGTTTTATGGCCTGAACTCTGATCGTTGAAGTACAAACAGTATGATTCCAGATTCGCAAATTCTTCGCTCTGGCTCCAGTTGGATCAGTTAAGCACATCAAAGGAGCTCTTAAATTCTTTGCTGACTACTTCTCACTCGAATTTGATGTAATTTTCGTCAGTAGTAATTTTGATAATATTTCGAAATAGGGCTGGTTCGATATTTTCGGGTCTGGCGAGTTTCTTCCAAACAACTGGATAATGGATCTTGTGGCGCAGTCGATTTGCGCCGGATTGCAAGTCGAAAAAGATGTTTGTGATGATGTCATGTTCCTAATTGCCGGACCAGAATCCAATCAACTCAACGATGTCAGTCGTTCGTGTGCTTTTCTCATTTTATTAATATGAAATTTCTAGACACGAGTTCCAATATATGTTGCTCACACCCCAGCTGGCACTTCAACTCAAAATATCGTTCACTGGATACAAATGGTCCGTCATGGAGGCACTCCATATTACGATTACGGATCGAAGGAAAATAAAAAGAAGTATGGACAGGCTAATCCGCCAAGCTACGATTTCACAAACATCAAACGACCAATGTATCTCTATTGGGGAGACTCTGACTGGCTTGCTGATCCGACTGATGTTCAAGATTTCCTTCTACCTCATCTGAATCCGGCATTCGTTGTTGTGAGATCTATATTATTACGATTTAGACGTCGTTTTCTATTAAATGTTTTCAGCAAAACAACAAACTGACCGATTACAATCATTTGGATTTTATTTGGGGACTTCGAGCTCCCAAGGACATCTATTTTCCAATAATTGATATCATCAAAAAGGATATCAATGGATAAATACGTTCGTTTTGTATAATAAATTTTCATAAATTATTCTTATTTTTGCCTAATTTGGTACCTAATATGTAGTGAGACTACAATGTAGTCAAATTCTTATCAATCGACGTATATATTCTCGTCGATTTTAGTAGAACGCATTTCTTTTCGCATTTTCGCCAATTGGCTATTAATTGAAACCCGCTTCTTTTTTAAGAAAATGACTTCGAAATGTCATCGACTTGAAGGAAAAGTTGCAATTGTGACAGCTGCTACAAAAGGGTAATTTAATTATTCTTCTGACAACTGGTGTGTTCTTTAACTATGCATTTTATAAATTGTTTCTTTTTTCAACAATTTTCAAAACGAAAACGATGTGTCAATATTTGCGAATAAGATAATACTAATCGTTAATTATTATTTAATTAAGTGTTGATTTTGCTGCAGAATCGGTCTTGCGATCGCCGAACGGCTTGCCGAGGAAGGTGCGCACGTTGTGATCGGTAGTCGCAATCAGAAAAACGTCGACGATGCGCTCGAATATTTGCGGAAATTGGGATTAACAAAAGTTGACGGACTTGCTGGTCATATTGCGGACGTCGAATATCAAAAGAAGCTCGTTGATTTTGTATGACGAAAATAGTGGGTTTTTTAATGCAATATTAATTTTAGACAGTTCAAAAATATGGGAGAATCGATATATTGGTGAACAATCATGGTATTAATCCATCATTTGGGCATATTATTGGTGTGAATCAACTAATTGGTGTGAAAATTTAAAAAAAAAGATGATTCAGATGTAAGTGATGAAGTTTGGGATAAACTATTCCAAGTAAACTTGAAAGCTGGTTTTCAAATGTCCAAACTTGTACATCCACATATGGCTAAAAATGGGTAAGTTGTAACAAATATCTCGAAATGAATTCCTAAAATATGTATTTTAGGGGAGGTTCAATTATTTTCAATTCTTCTTATTCTGCTTACAAATCACCGCCTGTAGGTTTTATACAAATATGCTCTAAAAATGAGTATTAAAAAATAACCAAAAAATTTTAAAATGTAGTTTTTGTAAAACAAATTTATGGTATATAAATACTTTGGAAAAAATTAAATACTTCCGAATCGCGACCGTCACAAATCGGTCATTTTAGGGAATCGCGGCTTATGGTATCACAAAAACTGCTGTTGTTGCCCTTACAAAGGCTTTGGCTCTCGGTCTTGCCAAAGACAATATTCGAGTCAACGGAATCGCGCCAGGAGTTATCAAAACAAAATTAAGCAGAGCAGTAAGATCTTTTTCAATTTCGATGAACTGTTTTTTTTTAGTTAAATACCTTTTTTAATTGATAATTGTTTATTTTGAACCCGTGTTTCTTTTTTAATTCCATGTTTTTAAGCTTTGGGATGGCGGCGAAGAAGTTGAGAAGAATGTCGTCGAAATGCAGGAAATTGCTTTGAACCGTCTCGGAGTTCCGAAGGAGTGTGCTGGAACTGTCGCATTCTTGGTGTCCGACGACGCGTCTTACATCACCGGCGAGATGGTTGTGATTGCCGGCGGTGTCAATGCTCGCCTCTAATCACTGTTTGTTCATAATGATGCCAATAAAAATGAAATTGAATGAGATGAAATATGGAAAAAACACACACACAAACGAGACTGACGATCCGAAAATAATTTCGCGACACCTTTGATTGTTTGCTTGAGCCGACAGCATTGAGCTGCTGGTGGCGCCGACCGATACGGTTTTCCGGAAACGGTCATTAGGCAGGCAATTGTGTGCGAGTGAGTGATTCGCCCCTTGATTGTATGAATCCATCATGAAATCGTTGGCAATTCTGCTCACTGCTGCCTTTTTTGGTAGTGTCGCAATGAGCGAACAACGTCGGTACTTAAAAATGTTCGCTGATGCTGGAATTGGCATACAGTGCCCTTCAGGTATGTTATTTTTTAGTTCGCCGATTTCGAATTCATGAAACTCGATTGATTTTCTCGTATTTATGTATTTGGTGTTTTCAGGGAATAAAGTTTACATCCATCCGATCAGTGGTGATTTGCAACTATGCAAACAGCAGCTTGGAATCTACAACGAGACCTCGTGTCCAGGGGGTACTGCGTGTGAACGATTCCCAATTTTAATACCTGGTTTCCAAGTAATTAATTTTCTTTTGTGGCTTGCTCACGAATCTCTTGCAGGATTACTGCTGCTGGTCGGAATCGAATCCAGAAACAGAATCGTCTATAGAAGAAGTCCCTCGAATGTCCAAATTGAAACCAACAGTCACCGTTGAACCAATTGACGAAGAAGAGGACAATGATGAAGCTGAAGAGGAAAAACCGAAGAAAAAAGTCAACGGAGGAGATGATGAGGATGATGAAGATATTGAATGGGAATTTGAGACAACTACTGTAAAGCCTAGACGACCGAAAAATCGAGGAAAAATTATAACAACAACGACACCTGAGCCTATTGAAGTAACAACATCCATCAAGTAAGAATTACATCAAATATCGATTAATATAAATATGGATCAATACTTTGAAGACCTCCGGTTTCAAGACTCCCACAATGTAATAATCCACAAGATACCGTATTGATCGATTACGGTAACCGGTTAAGAGATTGCTATTTTCAGGTAATTTTCATAATTCGTCGTCTTTCCTTTAATATTGTTTCAATTTTGCTAGAATTTTTGAAGGAAACATTTTAGGCCCAACGGGTGAAAGAATATTTGTTAAATATAATAGAAACTAGGAAAAACTGCAATTTTACTTCAAATTTTCGAGATTTTTAACTGTTCTTTGAGTTTTTTTTTTCCGATAACTCCGTAGTATCGTTATATAAAAACGCGAATCTTGCTCATTTTTCGAAAATGTTGTTTGAATTTTTGATTTTTAAATTCTCATAACTTTGAAGCCTTTAGTTATAAGAATACAGTGAGAATTATTTTTCCATACAGTGATAATTATTTTTCCTGTTCTCCTTTTTCGGTGGCCACATTTTCTTCGGTGCTTGAATTCATGATATTTTTTCTGTTAAGCGATTGCCATTTTCTAGAAATTGTTCTCGTTTGTTATTTTCTTGCTTAAGCAATGCATTCGCGGCTTCAAATGCGAGTTCAATCGGGAAATTCGACGATTTATTTGTTGTGGACAAGGTGTCGATGTTCCGCCCGCCGGACTTCCAGACATTCCTCCACCTCGACCCCTCATTCCTCGCCCATTCCGTCCAGGACCTCGTCCGTTTGGTTTACTCAATGATGGGGATGATGAGCCAGAAGATAAAGATACTAATCAACCGCCAAGGTACTCTTTCGATCTCCCCAATTTCTCATTTCATTTTTTTTTCAGTTCCAAAAGCAAAACTTCTGATGATGACGGTTGTATGTGTAATAAAAACGCATGCTCTTGCGGAGGAAACTATGGAAATCGTAATGGCAATGGAAACGACTATGATAGTGATTATGAGCCACGTGGAAATGAAAAAGGCAACGGGAATCGAAGAAATCAAAACAAGAATAATAATAATAACAACTATGGTTCTTCGAGAAATTCATTTGGAAATGAGTGCGAGCGGAATTGCCGTCGAAACAACGGAGGACCGGATTGTGAAAATGGATGTCAAATGGGAAATAATGGAGAATGTTTGGGACCTTATTGCTCAAGAAAAGGAGGACCACCTTCTTCACCACACCCTCCGAAAAGGGGACCACCGCCGAAATCTCAACCGCCTCCGCCTAGAACAGGTGGAAACAATAACAACAATGTGGGAAGCAACAATCGGAATGCTAATAATATTATCGATGATGATTATGAAACCGACGATTGTGAAAACCACGGCTACGGACCATTACCCCCAATTCCTGAGCCGAAACCCATTTGCCAGTTCCGAAAAGTAAATAACAAAAAGAATCAAGGCCCTAAACCAAATAACCGGTCACGACCAATCTCCAATTCGGGACCACCTCCACCTCCTAACGGACCACCAAATCCGATGCCAATTGTGAAAAGACCACCATCTTCAAATCGACAGGGTCCCCCTCCAAATAGCAGCAATAATAACAATGGCAATCATAATAGAAATGGAAATGCCAATCACAAATCGTTCGGAAGTAGAAAGAACTCAAATGGTCCCAGGAAGACGATCACCAATGGTACAATAAGGAAACAGTCGCCATCTCGAGAAACGAGGACGGCGAGAGAATATCCACCAAATACAGAAGTATCTTGGCAAGGTTCGTGTGGTAGATTTTTTTTTGGTCCCATAAATCATACTTGTTCCAATATATTGCCGACTACAACTATATTTTCATATATGTACATATATATATATACATTTACAGAAGAATCTTGTCCGCCAGGTAAAGAATTTCTCGACGGATTGACGTCTCCAAAATGTGTTCCGCCTGGAATTGACTCCTGTCCAATGACACATAAACGGTATAGTTTCTCATTGTGTTTCTCAACAATCATTCAATTGCAGGTGCATTATGTCGGCGAGATTTGGCCATGCCGTATGTTGTCGCAACGTCTAAGTTTTCAAGCAAAAACATTTCAAATTCAAATTTATCCAATTAATTTATTGAAAAATATTCATTTGATTAAAATATATTTTAAATATTGTGTTGTTTGATCGAAACAAGCGAACGAAGCGAATCGAAGACGCAAAAAATGGAAAGTTGAATGAGAAGGGATGGATGTAAAAGAGGAGTGGGTAGATGCTTGAAGATAATTTAGCCGCCCAAACCGCACCTACTTTTGGTACTAATTCTACTTTGATGTGTGGCAATCGTTTCGTGTTCCTTCAATTACATCTCTTCTTTTTCTTGCACTTTCCTTATTCTGGTTTTATGGATTCACTGGTAGCCCCAAAAATTTATATCTTACATTTTTAGACAGAAGAATTTAGAAAATTGTTTTTTTTGAGAACATTTTGGAAGAAATTCTCAGGAATTTAATGTTACATTCCGCCGTATATTTCTCTTATAAATGGGGGAGATCTTGTTAAGAGTGTGAGATCCGAATTACCCACGATTGATAAGAAGCATATGAATGTTAAGGTGACCAGTTCCAAATGGCATGTGACCGTATAAGGCAAAACATTGCTGCCCTGCATAGGGCGTGTCGGCATCGCAATTGCTTAAGAAGAGGAACTCGCAACTTCGAAGACACTAATATATTTATGTCTTCGAATCTGAGATTCGGAGACATTCTCATTTCTCGATGGTAACCATGAAGATTGTTCGGAGTTCCTAATGAAAACGTGAAATTCGTATTAATGAAGGAATACATGGAATGAATAACTCAGCATATTGACATGCAAATCGAGCGGATCTCATCAAGAATTTCGACGAGTCGATTGGGGTCATCAGATTGTTCACCTGCGTCTCTTTGCCTTTTTTAGGCGATTGTCCTCGTTTTCGCAGCAATTCGTTGCCTCCTTATCCTCAAGTTTTCGCAACCTTTCAGCTTCTCCTTCCTTTCTTATGAGGCAAAAATGATGATGATGAACAGGAGATCAATTAAGCGTTAATCGCGGCACGACGACCGAAACATTCTCAAGAGTTATTTGAGACATTCCGTTTTTTTAGTCAACTTAATTCACGACACATTTTCCTGTCTCACATTGTTTTTTTTTCTCGCAATTCTTGTTTCATAGAAACAGTGAAACTCCATTACACATTCTGAAGTATGACGACGCTGAAAATTTGAATATCTGAACTATCAAGGTCACATTTCTCTTCGTAATTTCGCATTGAAGCTAGACTAGACAAATTCAGAGAATATTTGTGTTTAATTACTCATTTTTATTTCCATGTTGTTAATTTTATTTTTTACGTATTATGTAAAAGTCCATGATTTTGTGTTCCTACACGAAATGAAAGCAAATGAGAACAAATTTCACCTGATTAGATGATTCGAAATGAAGTTTCACAAATGTTGATTAGATTTGAAAAATAGTCAAAAACTTTCAAAAACTTCAAAAGCAAATGAATCGTGAGACATCTTTTTTCCTCTTAAAAGCATTGGATTATACGAAAGAAAGATGATAAAAGTGTCTTGGCAACAACGACAAATTTCACTTTTTTCCCCTTCATCTTCTTGTTCTTCGCCGCACCAGGGGATCGTTTCAGCTTCTCATTTTTCCGCGTCCTTCTCATTCGCCAATGTCTTTTGCGCAATTTTTACAGTTCGCCCAATTTTTCGAATCAAATCGTGCGTTTTTTTAAATATCCACCACAACCCGTTTTTGTGTCGCCGTGGTTTTGAGACATTCGAAATATTTCTTTTAATTTTCAAGCCATATATAGCTGTGGCTGATTATGTAAATGCGAAAACCGATTAGAACTGGTTGGACAATGATAATGCCTTATAATCATTAGACATGTATTGATCGTTGATTTTTGACGTTTTTTTTCACATTGAGGATCATTTATTATATTAAATTTGAACAGCATATTCTGTCGAAAAATGTTCAGTCATCACTCCATTTTCCGCTATTATCATCAATCAGTTAGCCTCATTTAATAGAAAAATTCTCGAGTTTAATAAAATGTTGCACAGTGTAACCAGCGTTGCTTTCACCTTCATCAGGTACGTACGTATCTCCCTCATTTGACGTCTTCAAATGCAAATCCGCTTCTCACGAATGGATTAGAATCTTGTCAACTGGCTTCCTTATTATTTTTGAAACCTTATTAATCCTGTTCATTTTATATTTTCAAAAATTGAAATTTTCAGAAAATGAGAAGTCTGATTTTCTTCCTTACCATTTGTGTGACTGATGTATTCTCACAGGTGATTCTTTTTCAACATTTCCGATTCCTTATATCACTTTGTTGAAGATTTCTTCAGTATCCCACCCATCAACCTACGAAGGTCCACAAAATCAAGTGGTCCCTTCTTTGATCTACCCAACTGAGCGGGTCAACCGCATTCGCTCTCGGGTTTTCCGAGACGCTTCTCAAGGTATGATTTTGAAACCAATTATTTGAATATTGCGATGTTCACGACTATTTCCTCTCAATCATTTTCTCATTTTCTGTTCAAAATTTCTGACTAATGAGCTTAGTCCTTGAATACTATCAAAAATCTTTAAAAATCCGATTTTTTTTAACGCAAATATGTGCGAAATTAAGGATACCGTAGTATTGTAGACAGTCCTCGACTGTTTCGCGCTTCTGGAAGATTCCACAAAAGAGTGCAATCGGCGACAACACACGACATTCAAAATGTTCCTCTGCCGCAGGATTCCGTTCAAATTGTTTCCTACAAATACGACGCTGAGAGACACAACGAAAAGAAAATGAACGAAAACGATATTTTGTCGAATGAAGAAGCGGAAGATGTAATCTTCTTTCCAAATCTAAATATCACATTTTAAAATCGAAATTTAGCATGCAAAAGGCATTGAAAGGACCACAATGGCTGTCAAAACGAGACCTTCTGATACTACGACCCCTGCAAGCACAACAATAGCAGCATTCACCACTCCATCGTCAGTCGGACTCTTCAGTAGTACGCCGATGATTGAACAGAACTCTATTAACGTATGATATTGGTCAAGTTCAATATTAGTATATTTATCGTATAATTTAGGAAGCTGCTCCTCAATTCCCTCAAAGACCTAAGACCTTCTTCCAGACGGTTACTGCAAATGGCGGTCAGATTCCGCAACTGCCACCCGGAATCCCACAACAACCACCAGCAGTGTTCACACCGCCACCACCACCTATTTCGCCGCCAACATTCACTCTTCCACTTCCTGGTCAACCTCAACCCCAGCTTCCGACGCAACCATTCCCAGCAATGGTCGGCATTGTTCCACCGCACCAAGCCACGAATCCCCTGACCGCAAATCCGCCAGACTTAACAAATGCGGGATTGAATTTACAGCCGCCAAATAATGCGGCGAGACCACCTCAGGCGACGAATGTTGATCTGAATAGACCGACGGATGCAGTAACGGGCAGCAGTTCTCATGAACAACTCGGGTGTGGATGGGACTGGCTGACAAATTCATGCAAAGATGTCTTCAATTTGAATTGGTAAACTTTCTAGTTTAAACTAAAAAAATTATTTTTTAAATGATTTAGGTGCGGAAAATGTCACGATTTCGGAAACATTTTCCTTCACGACTGTAAATGTGTGGCACCTTTAATTCCACTTCCAACGACACCACGACCATCTGTCGCCCCTCCACCAACACCACCACGTCATCCTTTGCTCTTCTGGCTTATTTAGATCCACTACAAATTTTGACTAATAATTGTTCACATCATAATGATCTCGTCGTAAATAAAATTGTATTTATTGTCATTTTCAAGTATTCGATATGAAAAAAACCTACATACATATATAATGATAAAAAAAAAATTGGAAAAGATGTTAATTGAAAAAGGTTGTGAAGCATTTCGATGAGAACTGACACATTTTCTATAGGAACTGTTAAATTTAAATTTTCTCTCAAAAACAAAGAATTCAGAATTATTTATTGATATTTATTTTCTGTTAATTCTATAGTTATAATATTTGTCCATTTCGTCTAGAAGATGATCAGCTTTTTCAATTAAAACTCCACGGTATTTTTCTGCTTCAGAAGGATCCAGGTAGGAGAATTTTTGCTACAATTTCAATTTTTGTTTTCTTTTCAGTAATAGATAATCGTACTTGAGCAACTGGTCCAAACATTTGGAACATTACTATTCCAGCACTCGTATAAAACAGTTTATAGGATTGCTTAAGTTGCTCCAAAGTGTATGGCATTTTGTTTCCTTGCATTTCTTCTTTAAGATATTCGTAGAATTTCTCAAGCAATTCCTCCCAACGATTTTTTGCGTCAGCTCCGGAAAGCGATGAGAGGAAGAGTCGGACAAGGTCTTCGGCAGGATTTCCCATATGAACAAGCTAAATTCTTAAAACATCATTTTTATTTGTGCGCTATTTGAAACTTGATAGTCAATGACTTTGTCGATCACTTCAACTCCATTTTTGTTCACAAACAACAAATTTGCTGTCCACAGATCGCCGTGAACAAGAACATTTTTTTCGATTCCTAAACATTAAACCTTCATCACATTTTTTGCAACTATTAACCAAAAATTTGGTCTTATCTGTCAAAAAAGCGTTTCCTTACCAACTTCTTCGTTTAAATTGTCAGTCATGTCAACATCAATAAGCTTCACGCCAATCTCCATCATCTTTTCACACTTTTCAGTAAGACACTTGTCAATTGCGATTGTGGATAGAAATATATTTTTAATTCCCTGAAAACGAAATCGAATGTTCTGTTATCAGACTAGCGCTAAAAATAAGTCAAAATTCTAACGTTATCATCAAGAATTGATCCCATGAGTTTTTTGAAAGTGTAGCCTTCGATGGACTTCACTTCTTCGTCGGCCATCGTAAGACTCAGCGATTGCAATGTCGCGAGTGTTTTGAGGACCTTGACAAGAAAATGTGTAATTAATAAAATCAAATAGTATTTATGTAATTGAATACCGGATACAAATCCTCGGGTTTCAAATTCTCATAGATATGCCGTGTTTTGGCTGATTCGACCAATTCCATTCCCATGAATCCTTTGAGCGGATTTTTTTCATCGAATTTTACAGAGAAATACATGTCCGGATGCAAGAGATCCGTTTTGCGATTCCATTTTTCAAGCAATTTGTACACAGCCACTTCGCGATTGTGCAGCTGAATATTCGACAATTTATTTACTATTATAGCTTGAATTTTGAAAATAAATTATGGAAAATAACCATTTTCGATTCGTTCTCGAACAGAGCCCACAATTGCGCTTCAAGTTCAGGGCTGAACGTCTCCGGATTGGCTTTCACCATATTTTCAATCATTGTTTGAATGTGAAGAACCGAACTGATCTTAAGCACAAATCGTTTCGGAAGTTTCTCATCGGGAACAGTCCAATCAGCGTCTACCAGAATCACGCGGCTCATGAATCCCTTAATGAATTCGAATTGACCGCGTTCAATTTTACGTATTTTTACATTTCCGTCTCCAATAACCGTGTATTTCGTGTTTTCTCCTAATTGCGCTTCCGTGCTGAGCTGTTCCTTGATAACCTTCTGGACGTCTTCGAGATAGACATGAGTATTGAACATACCATTTCCAGGATCAAGAATTGAAATTTCTTTCGTTTCGGGTGTCATCAGAAAAGCTAAAAAATTCAAAAGGGTGAGAAATCAAATGTTTAGCGAGACAAAATGTGGGGCTTATCGCGTTATCTGTGACGGTCGATCATTGCTGGCAGGCATAAATCGAAGCACACTTTGACCGTTTTTATAACCGTTTTTTTCCGAGATCGAACATTCCGAAAGCATAAAGCACAAAATCATTGATTGACAAAATATAGTCAGTTTTATAGTAATTCATTATACTAGAAATTCAAAATATTCAAGTGATATTTTTCAGGTCAGAAAACTTCTCAGATATTAGAAAAATATTGATCATCCATATGCTCTTCGTAAACTCCAAAAAATGTCCGCAGCTGGCTTTGATATGCTGATAGATTATAACGTATTCCTGTTAAAAGACTTTATAATCGCGGTTGCTTGGTCGAACCCTAAAACGTTAAGAAGAGTCTATCATGTAGCCCCCGAGAAATCACGTTGTAAGTTTTTTTGTTACTTAAGATTTCTAATATTTGAACTCACGATGAATTATGGGGTTGCGCATGAAAAAAAAAACATCAATAGAATCGCAGACTATGCTGAAAAGCACAACCATCCCGATTTTAGTAGTAATTTCTCCGACATTCCGATATGTATAAACATTTATTGATTTAAAAATACAGTAACATTACAAACAAATGTTTGGATGTTAATTTCAGATCTAGTATTTCACATTTTTCTACACGGCATTAATTCGATAATTATAATATTTCTCCATTTCATCCAGCAAATGAGTAGTCTTCTCGAAAAGAATCTCTTTATATGGGCCCGCTTGGGCTGGATTTGTGTACGAAAGTTTCGTCTAAAATTATTAGCATTATTAATTCGAATTTGAAACAAACACATACCTGAGCAACCGGGCCAAACATTTGGAACATAATTAATCCAGCTCCATTGAAGTAGAGTTTGTACGATTCTTTGAGTTGTTCGAGAGTATATGGTAGTTCATGTCCTCTACTAGCCACTTCCTCCTTGAAATATTCGTAGAACTTCTCAAGCAATTCTTCCCATCGGTTTTGAGCATCGTTTCCAGAAAGAGCAGAGAGGAAGATCTTCACAAGGTCTTCTGCTGGGTTTCCCATATGAGCACGCTTAACGTTTTTTTTTTTGTTTGAGCAATACAATTCGATCTACCTGATAATCAATGATTTTGTCAATAACTTCGATCCCATTTTTTTTCACCCACAACAAGTTTGCCGACCACAAATCTCCGTGAACAAGCACATCTTTTTCAATACCTTAAATGAATCACCATCATTTCGACAATTATTTTATCAGTTTCCGGGTTTCGAACGAAATGCACTTTGACATAAATCAGAGTTCTCTAGAGCTCAGAAGAATGTAATTCTCATCAGTGTGCTTTGTTATAAATCAAAAAATGTAGCCACGATATAGTGTGATCAAATGTTCAACAAAGACATACCGACAACCTTGTTCACATTGTCCATCAGATCGATATCGATAATTTTCAACCCAAGCTCCATCATTTTCTCGCATTTCGGAGCAAGCGATTTATCGATTTTCGAAGCTTCCAAGAAGATTCCTTTCACAAACTGAAACATTTGAGTTGTTTTGCTGCAATCGAAATGATATGAGCCTTCTCGTTGAGCATTGGTCCCATCAATTTTTTGAATGAATATCCTTGAATAGAGTCGATATCTTCCTGGGTCATATCAAGGCTGAGAGCTTGCAGAGTAGCGAGAGCTTTTAATACCTAAAATATAAAAAATAATGCCAGAGAGAATCGATGCAGAGAATTACAGGGTAAAGCTCTTCAGGTGTTGCATTTTGGTATATATGATGCACAGTGGAATTCTCGATCATTTCCATTCCCATAAATCCTGAACAACGTTTTTTACTGTATTTCGTGCTAAGGGAAACCAATACCTTTTAACGGATTCGAATCATCAAATTTGAGTGAAAAATAAAAGTCAGGGTTCAAGATATCGTCCTTTCTGTTCCATTTCTTTAAAATTTTTAACATGTTCACTTCGCGATTGTGCAACTGAAATATTTGAGAAAAAATTAAATTAAGAATGATTAAAATTCAGACCATTTTGGATTCCCCTTCGAGCATATCCCAAATTGCGGCTTCTTGTTCGGGTGTGATCAAATCAACCCAGCTATCCTTGAGTTTCTTGACGTATGTGTGGACATGCTGGGCAGAGTTGATTTTCAATACAAAATTCTTCGGAAGATTCTCGTCGTTGACAGTCCAATCGGGTTCTACATGAACAACGCGGCTCATGAAGCCCTTAAAATCATGTATAACAATTAGAGGAATCAGAATAAATTAGCTTACATTTCCATCTCCAATCACGGTGTACTTGGTTTTTGGACCCAATTGAGCTTCGGTGTTCAGCTCATCTTTGATGACTTTCTGTACGTCGTCGAGATGTACATGGGTCTTGAACATTCCATCTCCGGCATCAAGAACAGAGACAGATTCTCTTCGGGACATGATTCTGCAGGCAATAATTTATTTCTGGTAATAAATCGAGTCTATCAAAAAATGAGACAATGACACCCTCCTTCTTATCTCAAGTTTTTGGTTCCGTTTTCGATATCATAAGCCGAAAACTTTAGACACTGATCGCTAAAATGATATTCGTCATTGAAATTAGGTTAGACACAATTCTAATCACAACTTCTGAAACAATGCCTCCAAAACAGCGACGCTTTCGGACATGCCGTCTTTGAACTTGGTTTGAGCTTACAATTCAGATTTAAAAACCAGAAAACATACAAACAAACGATAGCGCCTGAAATGCGTGAAAACACCGTGACGCAAATATCTCAGAAAAAAAACCAAAAAACACTCATTATATTTGAACTCTTTTTTTCAATGTTTTTTTCACAACAAAATTGATTTTTTAAACACTTTTATACATAGTTTCCCACTACTTATCGAAATATAATTACTGCTATATAAATATGCAATTTATTGACACTTCGAGTTTATATGGGAGTTCTGTTAATTTAGTTGGGTGTTCATCTAAAATAATACCTATTTGATTTCCGATTTTTAGTTTAAAGAATTGATTACTCCTTTGCCTCTTAAAGCCAAAGTATTGAGTTTTTCCTTGTTGCTTTTAATCAATTCCTACCGCATTGTTTGCTATTCAATCTTTATAATCAATTTCAGTTTCCCATTTCGTTTCATCAAGATCAAAAATCGAAACAACTGCGGATCATTAAAGACGATTATTCTGTTATCGCCGATTTCCCTCAAAAATGAATGGTTTAACGCATCTAATCATCAATGATTTCAACATTTCCAAAACGTTGCATTATCGAAAGAATTTTTGAAATTCAGAAAACGTTTTGAATAAATCACAAAGATAACGTGATAATTCTAAATTTCCAAAAAAAAAACTATAATAATCAATCGTTCAAATCGACCACACAGAAATAATGTGGGAACAGCCATTCGTCATCAAATAAGCTCAAAGCGGTAAATTTGATTAGTGAACTGAAACTGTTTCAGTATCGCTCAATGTCCAAAAATATCGCAACGGGAAATGATTAAGGAACTCAATGATACCACCCAGTTCAAATTTATTATTCATTCGTTTGTTAGTTTTCGTTTACAGTAATTTTGTTATTGAAAAAACTAACTAACAAATTCTCACTACTTAGTTACTTTCTTGATCCGTTCTTCAGCGTTGCGCACGGATCATAATTCTCAATTGCTCTTGATTTCTGGACTCCGAGATTAGATGAGATTAGATGATCTACCGATGTACCGACGTGTTAATTGTAGGAATGGAGTTCGGAGGACTAAGGCGATTTTCTTATTGTTTGTGCGTTTAATGTTTTCTCTTGGACACCGAATAGCAGACTTGCTGGGTTAGAATTCGGCCGGCTCTACAGGAAACGGCAGGCCGGGATATAAGTGCGCTTTTGTTGAAAGCTAAGACCGCCTGATCTCTATCAACGCAAGGAGGCTCAGCACGAAATTCCGCCGTCTCGCTCGCAGCTTTCTATTACTTTGGCATGATAGAGTCTTGAAAAAAAATAAAACTTCTCACATTTATCGTTGGATATTGAAAAGTTTCGCACTAAAAAGTTATTAAAGTCATTTTTCTCCTAAAAGAATTTCGGCTAATTTCGGGATTTGGAAAACGCGCGAATAGGATTAAGTTGAGTGTACTGGTATTTTCGAGTTCTCAACAGGTGGCTGCCAATCCATTCATCCTACAAGCGCCCTCTTCGATTCTTGTTGCGAACGATCAAAGGATTAACCTAGTTTCGTTCGAAGCTGCCCAATAGTTACTAAAAGACATCGCTGCTGCTTCATTCTAAGTTTCTCGAAAAAACAAGCATGCTATCGGTGATTATTTTATTAAAAGTGCTAGTTCCGCCGGCACTTGCATTCTTCTTTGGTTCTGGTGGTGCAGGGTGTGGGTGCCAGACCTCGTGTCCGCCACCACCAGTATGCCCATCACCTCCTGTTTGCGCACCACAATTATCGTGTGCCTCTTATTCTCAGGTATAATTTCAAATTTTATAATATTTTCAATTAGTTTTAGCCGGCTTATTCTTCAATTTCTTCCTACCCATCGTCCAATTCTGCTTCGTATTCGCCCACTTATCCTTCGTCGCCATCCTCGTATAATATCCTCCCTTCTTCAATCATGGTTTCATCATACTCATCGGCTCCATCTCTTCCAATTCAAAACCCATCTATTCAAATTCCTCCTTCTCCAATTTTTTATCAACCAAGTCAATCGCCGTACAGTACACTTTCAACCGTGTATTACAGCAAGTAGATCAACAAATAAAACAAAAGTGTTAATATTCAATTTCTAGGTTTTCCGCATTTGTTACACCGCCTTCCTACACCAATAACGGAATTGCAACACCCGTAAAATTTATATGAATTCAAATTGTCTCAATACGCGTTTATAGATGTCGTATGATGACAACGGTCTAGAAGGATTGCCTCCGTCTCCACCGCCTCCTCCTCCTCCAACAGACTCTGAACTAAATGACTTGTAAGGAGAATTTAACTGTCTGCAAAACAATTTTCAATCAAATTTTCAATCGGCAAAATCATCGGGCGAATCAGTGATTTTTTGGCCGATGAGCACGACCGATGAGTTTGTCGGTTACTATAAAATATTTATCAGAGCAACTCCATTGATCTACGACTATAGCACATCCCAATTTGTAGAACCATCTTCTTCGTTCAGACCAGTAAAACGTAAGTAACAATTGCTTCAACAAATATTTATTTCTTTTCTCCTTTTTAGCAACTTATATGCAACATTTGGAAGAGCTAGAAACTGAAATCGGAAAAAATGATTATTTTAATAAAAACAAGAATGAAGGTTTTGTTTCTATTTTTCTAAAAACATTTTCATTGTTAGAATAAAATTTTAAAAGTTTGAAATTAAACATTTCAAATTATTACGTCGAAATTCACTTTTCAATTCTAATTTTAGTAGTAACACCGTACGATACAATGGAGAAACGACATTTGGTCCTTAAGAGAATGAAGGTTTTGTCCGATGGAAAATTGAGTAAAGCAATGTATCTATCCAGGCACAGTCATCTGAAAATGTTCCTCGGACAACAAGCGCATGCAATTCTGTAAAACTAGCGAATGTCATGTCACGGGTATCTTTGTTTTATTGTATCGGTACTTGAAATTCAAATACGGAATTCAACATTTTATATTCAATCAGCATTACATTTTTAATGCCAAGATATTTATATTTTCAGTCAATGACGAATGACGTATCAGTTTCAAAAAGAATGATTCAGCACGCAACAAAACTCGCGTTTGATGGGGCAAAGTATTCATAGAATCGTTTCGTTTTAAAAACAAAATTCTCGATTCCAGATTCGACGTGTTCTGCGCAACCGGTGAATTTAGCTACAGTATTCATTCTCGAAAATATTGTGAAATCGCATTAGAAGAAATGACATGCTTCGCGTTTCGTTAATTGATAATTTATTGAGTATATATTTTGTTGAATAAGGTCACTCTTGTCTTTAAAAAAACCCAAAAAATAAAGCGTAATTTGACAGAAAACATCGGACTAAATTAAATAAATAATAACCACTGATATCACAGATGAATAAATATAATGGAAGAAGGCAATAAATTATTATATTACATATTAAGGCGTTTCAGAGTAATTGTTTACCCATTTCCTGAAGGTCCGGTGGTAATAAGGCTTTGAACAAATTATCGAACATTTTAAGAGCATTCGGCAGTGTGCTCGCAATTGATCTTGAAAGCCAAACGTGTTGGAATTGGGTACGGATTTCGAGAAGTCTAAACAGATTCATGAACCATGTGTAAAATAAATAGTTTTTTACGAGTTCGCCAAATCAGTTCTGGCAGTTTGCGGCAGATTAATAACACCAACGCGTCCTGGCGAATATGGCAATCCCTCATCAAAACTTTTTTTGCGGTCGATTTGCTGTGTTCCATATACACACATTGATTGACCAAGTCGACTGGTGAGAACCTTGAAAGGATAAATAAATAAATATTAAAAATTTCTTTTTACCATGAGCTCCGTAACTAGTTTTATTTCGGCCAAAATGAGTGCCAATTCAAAATTATATGGCAACATTCGTCGAGCTGTATCCAAAGCAGCAGTGGCACGTTTGAGTTCAATTCGGGCCTTCTAGAAAACAAAATACCGAATTATAAAGAAAGGCATTCAAATATACTTTGAATACAACCGGTGTTAATCTTTCAAGATTCATGTTTTCTGGGTTCAGTATCATTTCAACAAACACCGAGATCGGCATTTTTTTGTTCGCCGACATTCCCATTAGCGGGTCCAGCAAAGAGGAATTAATCTCTCCATTCGGGGAACTACTCCTATTCGGTTTCCAATATCCATAAGCGTACTTTGTAAGTTGGTGCTCTACTTTTCCAAGGGTCAGCACTTGTTCAAACAAGCAGGACATATCTCTAAAATCAAGCAATTTGAGAATAGCTGTGCAAAGAAACTGTACCCGTCCAAAAGCATATGATGAGCAGCAATTGTCGGAAGTAGGAACGCATACTTCTTCATATCTGTAGAACTGTTGAATGCAACTCCAACAGATGCGAGAAGGGACATATAAGAAAGCGAAGGAGGCATTGCTTCACATCCAGTCGATAAATCGCATACCATGGAGCCTTTAGAAATCTTATTTTTAAAGGGATTTTTTCAAGTATTGTATTATCGTTTTTTTTACAAATAAAAAGTGCGTAACCTGAAATGCGAATAACATACATTAACATTTTAATCAATCAAATTTCGCCCGCTCAGTTCGCAATTTGTACACTTTTGGAAATACGCCAATGATAATAAATTGAAAATAGCAAAAAAAAACAATTACCTAAAACAGTTGTTCTCTCGCTCAATTTAGCAGCAAGTAGCGCTTTCTTTGCCACCGATTCTGGTGCGGCGCACAAATATCCATCATCTCCTTAATTGGAAAAATTAAAATCATTCTATACAAAATATTTACCAGTTGAAAATTTAATGACTATTGAGACTCTCGGTGAAACATATTTCTCAACATCAAACGGCCAACATCCTTCAACGCAAAGCGTGACATATGGAGGAAGGGAGGACAACTGAAAATTTTTAATTGCATTGCATTTTGTTTTATTAATTTTCAAAATTTTTCGTTTTGTTAAGAGTCAATGCAGAAAAAATAAAATGAAAGAAAAGGGGAGAAAAATCTTATTTTTCTTTTTACTGCATTTAAAACCAATGACGACACTTGAGAAGTTGCTCATTTGAGAATTCTTTCGACAATTAAGAATAAATTATATTTTCTTACTAGTGGTCCACTTTTTTCGTCAGCATTCGTAGAAAGGAAGATTCTTGGAACACGACGTTGAACTGACCGGAGCACTAAAACAATTATTAAAATAAAACAAAAAATCTCATCTAATTCCTACATTTTCTATCAGCAATAAGGAGGCTGGCCAAATTTGGACCAAGGTGTACAACCTTGCACAACGGGAAATCATCCAAGAAGTTATCAATTATTCCACGAGCGTGCTCTGATTCCAGATAATTTGATTGTGTATCCAGAGAAGGCACAAACTGCAAGATGAATTTTCAAAAACTGAAGTCAATTTTCTTATAATTACTGTGACATATAGTTCTTGGCAAACTTGCATCATATGGAAAAGATCGCGATTTGTATACGGAAGTTGATATCTATCAGTTGTGCGAACTTCGAAATTAACGAACAAATAGTTCGCCTTGCATGCGGACAAACGAGTAGCCAATTGAAGAATCTAAACAATTTTATTAAACCACTTTCAGAAGGAACAACTACTGTATCAGGTGAAAGGATTCGGCAGCCAGAAAAGTCTTGATAAACAGCGCGGAATGAACGATCAGGATGATCACGGATTGTTAGTTCGCATATCGTTCCATCTGCAAACTCTTATTATTGAAGGTACATATTAATAAATGAAAACCCGTATTGATATCAGGTAATTGTTTAGGAACATCATTAGTTGAATGATCTCCGCTTCCATTCTGTCCAACTGGAGTGCTTCCATTTGGAATATATCCATTTAGAATATCATTTGTATTGGGTTTTGTTTTACTTTGGGCATATCTAAAAAATAATAATAATACGAATATTTTTATATAAGAAGCTCGTTCGAACTTGTGCAGTCTGATGATTTGGACAAAAGTGGCAAATGCATAACGAATTCCGGCATAATCAGTAGCAGTTACTTCGACTCCGCGAATAGCGTCGATTGAAAGTGTGTAAGCTCCAGATGGCCGACCATCATCAAATATTCCACAAGTTACTTTTCCATCTAGAGGTGAGGAATCATGATCTGCTGTTCTGTGCCCACGATATTCAATATCGACTCCCGCAGATACCAACAGGGGTTTGCTCAATTCGATAATTTGCATCACTTGTCTCGGATCAGCATTTGAGCAATCATCAAAGTAAATTTTTAGCCTCAAGTTGAACATATTAGAGCAAATAAAAATTATATGTTTCCTCACTTTCCATCCTTCGGAAACTCGAAACTTTTGACAGAGTTTTCCTTGATTGAGATGAGTTTTGGTTGCGGCCAAAGCAAATCTGTCCAACTATCAATCCCGCCTTCCATATATTTTTCATATCGACTTCTTAAAAGAGAAAATACCATATTTTAAATACTAAAATATCACATACGAGTCGTTAAAAATTTGAGTGTTGAGAGTTTCTGTGCAGGAAAGTAGAGAAGCCCGATCGTCAACATCGTCCATAGAATGCTCTCGACGAACATCTCGTGCTACCCTATTAATTTTTAGGGTAAATAACATGTGTAAACAATGAAAAATACCTATCCATGCTCAAAATTGGTAAAATTTGAGGACTGTGCGTTTCAGCTATGGCAAATGCATCTTGATTCTAGAATTTTCATTAAAAAATATATATTAATTTTATTTTTACATACCTTTTTAGTTTTTTGGTAAGGATCTGCTCCGGCTGCAAGTAAAGCTTTGGTAATTTCTATATGTCCTCGTTTTACAGCCGTATGTAATGGAGTTTCTCCTTTGGCGTTTGGCAAATCAATCGTCGCCCCGTTCGTAATCAATGCTCTTAATAAATTATAATTTCAAAGAATTCCGCGATTTATGTATTACTGAATAACTTCAGGCGTTGAAAAATCGGAGGCCCAATTCAAGAGTGAGTTGGCCGATTGAGGAGTATCCAACGAATCAACGGGAACTCCAGCCCATAAAAGTTGGCATACTCGACTCACGCTGAAAAAAAATAAAAACTTTTTTCCTAAATGCATCATTCCGAAATTTAATATAAAATGGATCTAAATAGAAACTCGCGTCAATCGAATACTTTACACGAAAGGCGATGCAACTGGCCGTTGTTATTACAGGTTTTCATTTAGTTTTAACATTTTGCATTTCGTATTTAGGCTCAAATGACTACTGGTCCCGGCCGGATGACTTTCGCATTTTACCCACCACCACGAAGTGAAACAACTACAAGCGACGATGACTCACGAACAAATCAACAGCATAAATAAACTTTATTAAATGCTTACTTCGACGTAGTTATGGATTGAAGAGTTTCTCTGATGAACGCACTTCGAACAGAATCCGATTTACAGCACTGATAAGCAGTTTTTGTTTCATTATTTTGTACACACGCGTTAACTCCATTCGCTAGAAGAGCCGACACAATATCAGACGAATCTGGATTATTCACGATTATTTTCATTAGACATGTGCTCAAACCAATTTCAACTGCTTTATGAAGAAGAGTTCCTTCTGAACAGCATAGGGCATCAACTTGTTCATGGAAGTTCGGTTTGTTTTCTAAATAATGAAATTTTTGCGTTAAATATTTAAATATTTCTCACTCATTTGTGCCAAAATCGAGCATAACACATCGACGCGACCAGTATCGATGCACTGAAGAAGCATTGGAGTTACATCTTCCTTTTCCTCACCCATGCCGAGAAACTGCAAAAAATTCTTATGAATAGGAAAATGTTCAAATAAACACATAAAAGATTGAAAGCACTTAAATAATTTTCTCTAAAATCATCGTTATGCAAATGTGTACGAATGTTTCTCTCATATTACGAATGGAAGTCTTGTTTCTACAGAAAAAAATGCGATATTAGCCATTATAATACCGGATCCACGTCCACATGGCCGAAGTTTAATGGCCGAGATACCGTAATGTGCGGAGCGTCGTTGTAAAAATTTCAACGATTTTCCTATTCTTTGATGTTTATTTTCTCGTTTTATGATTTTTTGCTTGAATTCTGCGATATAATTTTCACCGAATAGCGTAATAAAATTATTTTAATTTTTAGCTTGTGCAGTCAAATAAAAATTCACTAAAACAAACAAGTTTTTAGTAAAATTAGGATCACCAAAAATGCGTATTTATTTTTTCGATTCTTTATAAGTTTTTTTTTTGTAAAAATCCTTGTTTATTACAGAAAAATGAGGGTGGTTTTACAGCGAGTAACAAAAGCTGCCGTTACAGTTGGCGATACAGTGGTATTTAAATTTTATTAATTGTTTTATTATCGTTATTTTAAGTAGGTAGGATCTATTGGACAAGGCGTTTGTGTACTTGTAGGGATACATAAAGACGATACGGAAGAAGACATGAATTATATTATCAGAAAAGTACTTAACATGAGGATTTTTCCTGCTTCGGAACAAAAACCTTGGGATAAATCTGTAATGGATTTAGATTTGGAAATCCTCTCTGTAAGTCAGTTCACGCTATACGGACAATTTAAGGTAAATAAAAACATTATTTTTTATATTAAACCGCAATCCCTTAAACTTTTAGGGAAACAAACTAGATTTTCACAACGCAATGAGCCCAGACGCGGCTTTTCAATTATATTCGAAGTTTTTGCAAAGAATGAAGGATGCTTATAAACCAGAAAAAATCAAAGATGGACAATTTGGAGCTATGATGAACGTTGATATTGTAAACGATGGACCAGTTACCGTGTCATTTGATAGTAAAGATAAAAGTTGTAAATAAATTCTAATTAAATGTTTTTATTAGTTCAATGGTTTCTTCATTTCCATTTCAATTTCTTAGTATATTTCATTGTTTTAATTTTCAACTTTTGTTTAGAATGTCGTTTGAGAAACTCCAAATGTCTCTTCACGAGGATATCGAAGGGGTCAACCGGTAATCTAAGCTTTCATTATTTTAATAATGTTATTTTTTAAAACAGCTACAACCCGGAAAATGTGAGTAGTCTTGCTGCCTGTGTCGAGGCTATGGTTCACGAAAATAAATATGACAAGGATATTGTTCTTACCATTCTTAAATTGTACCAGCTCAATCCTGACAAGTATGAAGCGAGACTACTTTTTTAAAATGAAACCTTTTTCAGATATGACGAAGCAATCGTTCGTCAAATTCTTCTGAAGACGTTAATGGTTCTTCCTTCAAGTGATTTTGCTTTGGCGAAATGCTTAATCGACACTAACAGGCTCGGATCTCAGGTTTACTAATAATTGACAATTCTTCGATTAAACATATATTATAGGAGCTTCGTCGAGTTTTCGATCTGGGTGCTGTTCTAGAGTCATGTGATTTTGCTGTATTTTGGCAATTGATGAAAGGAAAGTACAAGCCATCAGCCAACGCTAATGAATCCTTCAAAAATCCGCAAGAAATCCCAAAAATGGTAAAACCAATGGTTGGATTTGAAGATGCTGTCAAACATTGTAAATTTCGTTTTGGCATTGTCTCGTAAGCTAAAAATTTCTAGATGCTTGTCGTGTTATCAGCGTGACATTCCAAAATATTGAAAAATCTCTTCTCAGTCGACTTCTTGGTGATGCTAGTGGTATTTTTCCAATATTTTATTTAAAAAAAATATTTTTTTAAGATAGCGAAGTTGCTACTTTTGCTAAAAAATTCGGATGGGAACCAAAGGAGAACGGAAAGGTGTTTTTCGTAGCAAATCATGAAGCAACAATCAGAACAAGGAACATTGACGAAAAAATTCAATTTAGTCGTAGGTTTTTCCATTTTATTTATCAATTTATTTTTTTTCCAATTGGCGTAAAAGAATAAATTGGAAGTCTTACATTATTGAATTTAAAATTATCCAGTTAATCATTTAGACGTCGCTGATGTATTGACTAAAATGGAGAAGCCAAAGACCCGTCAGTAGTTTTGTTTTTACAACGCAAAGTTTGCATTCGATGGTCCCTTGTTTAAATTGTTTCAATCAACAATACATTCAATTATGTTTTTTAATGTAATATTATCGTTTATAAAAATAAAATTTTATTGTTAAATTATTCGAAACCCGTAGGGAAAATATCGTTGTCCAATAATTAATCAATTGTCCAAAGTCGTTCCAATAACCTTCAGCTGATCTGGAGCTCTAACGACCCACTCGGGCCAACCACCAAAGTAAATTTTTGCGTTATATCCGGATCTTGTCAATGCCCACCATATCATTGAAGATCGCAATGACGTCGAGCAGTAAACTATCTAAAAAAAATAGAAGTATTCGTTTGGCTGAAATCTTGGTTTGACAAACCACTGGTTTTCTCAGCGAAAGCGCATTATTATTGAAAAGACCTCGCAAATGGTCAGCATCTCTCCATTGTCCAACTGTCCAATCATATACCTAAATAAAGTTTCAACACTTCAATTTGACCTTATGTTTCTACCGCATCAATGGGAATATTACGTGCACCTTTAATATGTCCGTAAAGGGCTCCTTGAGCTACACCAAGAAACTCCTGTAATCCAATTATTTTGTGAAGCTCATCACCAAATCTTACGTCTTTAGTTTGAGCATCCACAACATCATATGTTTCGATTTCCGAATTCACAAGAACATCGTCGTATGTTATTATTATTGATTTATTCCATGATGCTAAAAAGTCTCCTGAAATAAAATAAACTCGCTAAAAACGAAAAAAAAATATTTGGAGTTCGATACCTTGTCTTGCTTTTAAAGGAGCACCGCGCTCAGTTTTGTATTGTGCACTACGCGCTTGCTGAGTTTTCCATCCAAGATATCCACCGGACAGAAGAGAAACCTTTTGATGCCCGAATAACTAAAATCATATTAAATTTTGATTAATTTAAACTAATGTTCACATAAACAGCATACTTTAAATATCCAAACTGCATAAGTGCTCCAGATCATTTGCCCTCTGTCATAGACGACAATATGACAATCATTATCAATGCCTTGAGAACGGGCAAAACTATAAATAGAACTAGGCTAGATTAAAAAATTCCAAAAATACCGTTGAAACTGTAAGGGATGAACTGGGACTCCGGCATGGCTCATATTTGAATAAAACACAAGACGAGCTGAATCAATGTGATCAGCTTCGAAATTTTCGCGACTCTTTTGTTCATCTCCGCTGGCTGCTTCCAAAATACAAATTTTCCTTTTCGTAATTATCAATGTTAAAAGATGATTTGAGCTAATCTCCATATCGGATCTTTTCAATATTAAGCTCTGTTCCATTGCTTGTCGAGGCTAAATGTTATAAAATAGTTTTGTACATGTTTTACATTTTAGAATTACTAATCCATATGATGATTTTTGAAAAGGATTCGCTGAAGCAAACACGAAAAAGCTTAGAATTGTTGCGATGATGAACACGGCGAGAAGAGTGATTGCCACCGATATGCAAATAATTTTCCACCGTTTTGCAGAAGCCTGTAAATAACATTCAATTCTGGAGTTTTCGAACCGAGAATATAGTCTATTTAATTAAAATTTTTTAGCAGTTGCGTTTTCGCAGTAACTCAGTAATTATTAGAGTGATTTTAAAATTCATAAATAGAAGTCATAAAATTAGGTCTGCATAAGTTTATTTAAAACAAAACCTGATGTTGCCTTTTGGGGAATATTTGCATTGGAGTCTGATGATATTGGAACATCATTCTCTTGACACAAATGACGAAGTGAATGATTTCGAAGTGGGAATAGTGTCGCCTCGTAATTCAAGAATATACTTGAACTTGTTTGAATTGTTTTTTAGGGTGGCGCAGAAATGAGGATTAACAAGTGAGAGGACACGAATTATCGTCATACTTTGAAAGCTTGATCTTTCGAAGATTGTTCGTAAAAGAAATATGATATTATTTAAAGCCTTTAGTTTTTATAAAATCGGTTTTTAATACATATGTATACTGAGGAAAAGTTTTTTAATCAACCACTTCCCATAATAATAAATTATGTTTGAATAGCAATTCCTTCAAAGACCTTTTTATGGTCATTTATTTTTTACCAAAATTGTCTCCATTATTTTAAAAATAATCATTTCTTTACGTAAAATTCAAATATGAGAAAAAAAGAAAAATATAAGCCGTAGTTAATGAGTTGCTTTATCTTACAGTACCGCTCAAAAGTCTATCAACCTTTGGTTTTTTGAGGATAACTTTTTTTAAAGATGCAGTATCGATCCAAAATTTTTCCCATTATTTTTTGGAGTGGTTTAACGTGTTTTGGCCAGCTGATTTGACACCTGCTTAATTTTAAAAAAAAAATTTTGAAAAAAAATAGAATTTTCGAAAAATACCGATTTTTTGGGGTTTTCAATAAACAGTTTTGGTTTAACAAAAAACAAAGTTTATCAACAAAAAACAGTAACAAACATAATTTAAAGCTCAATATCGAGTTGCAAAGCCCTTAGCTTCAATGACTGCTTGACATCTTCTCGACATGGAGTCGATCAAAGTGTCGATGGTCGACATGGGGATCTTATTCCATTCAGACTGCAGTTGAGCAAACTTCTCATTGCAATTTTTGGCTCTTTTGTTGGCACAACGTCTTTCCAACTCTTCCCATAGATGTTCAATTGGGTTTAAGTCAGGAGACTGACTCGGCCACTCGATGACGTTAACCCGACGGCTTGCGAACCAATCCTGAAATTCATTGTGATGCTGTTTACTTATCAATTTTCTCACCTTAACAAACAAAGAAGTGTGTTTTGGGTCATTGTCTTGTTGGAAAACACTTCCACGACCCATTCTCTTCAAGTGCGGAAGCATCTGATTCTGGAGAATGTCTTTGTAGACATTCTTGTCCATGATCCCATTCACGCGATGAAGCGGTCCAATACCATTTCCAGAGAATAAACCCCATACCATACACGAACCACCGCCATGCTTCACAGTGGGTAATTGATACTTAGGATCATACCTGGACCCAATTGGTCTACGAATCCACTGAATTCCATCACTTCCGAAAAGCAGAAACATGCTTTCGTCGGACCACAAAATCTTATCCCAGTCTTGTCTTGTCCAGTCGACGTGTTCCTTTGCCCACTTCACTCTGGCCATTCTATTCTTCTCAGAAATTAAAGGTTTTTTCACTGGACGTCTTCCCATAATCCCAGCAGCACAGAGACGACGTTTCACAGTCGAAACGAATGGTGGAGATGGAGAATTCACGAAAACTTCCCGTCTGATTGCAGGGGCAGGGAGTCTAGGATTGTTTCTGTAAGTCCGCAAAATATTTCTATCTTCACTACGATCAGTAATTCGTGGTCTCCCGGAGCGATGAGGCACAGAAAAATTTTTTTGAACTTCCCAGAAATTACAGAGTTTGGAAATTCATCCTTTCGTTCGATTGAACATTCCGGCAAGCGTTTTCAAAGTAAGTCCACTTTGACGACCAGCCACGATGGCTTTTTTCTCGTTATCCGTCAAGTCTTTGTTCCCAAAAGCTCTAGGCATTTCTGAAAACATGAATAAGAACATATGAACGGATAACTACTCTAGAAAAATTAAAAAAAATTAAAATTTAAAAAAAGTTGAAAAACGCAAAAAACCTGAAAGTGTGTAAAATCGCGTCATGGACTTTGCGGATATGTGTTTGTGTACCTTATGACATGAATTATGTTTTAAACCCCATTTCACATTATCTCTGAAAGATTCATGTTGATCGGTGCAGTACTCTTTGAGAAATAAAGAAAAAACCAAAGGTTGATAGACTTTTGAGCGGTACTGTATATCAATAAATCATCAAATATCTATCAAATGTTTGCCGCTAATGTTCCGCAGAAACGTCGTCTTTTTTTTCGTCAAAACGACTGGTCAAACTCGTAAAAGTACACGGCGAAAAGGCAATAAATCATTTTGTATCGTCATTGGTGGTTCTGTTACGACGAATAAACCGCGCGTATTAAAAAACTTGATTATGCTTATTGCATAACGAACATGAAGAGGTCTAGTATACATAGTGCGGTTTGTAGCTTACAGCTTTCGGATTTCTGATAGCAATATGCGTTGGCGTCATTGGTGGGGGTATTGGTGGAGGGGTGGCCATCATTGGCTGAACTTTCATGGCAGCCTGCAAAGAATAAAATTCAATACAATTTGCAACAGTATGTATATAAAATTTTCTAAAATTAAGATTGATTCTTTCAAATTATGGGTTTGATTTTGAATATATTAGGAGAAAACTTCTTACAATTCTCTGAGATCTTCTTGATTTTCCCATTTCATCATAATAGTAATCGGGATCTTCATATTCTTTCTGCTGCTCATCAACTGTATTGTAAACACCGCCATCGCGCTTTTCATAAATATCATGTCGAGATTGATAATCTTTGGGTTTTCCACCCACTTGCCATTTTTGCATGCTGAAAACCTAGTTCTTCAACATTAATAAATGATAATACGAAGTGCAGCATTTTCATCAATCAGAGAATTTTAAAAAATCAGAAAATTTATATAACAAGGATTGCTCAACAATTTCAAGAATTTTAAAAAAATTACATAATTTTCAAAAGGATCCAGGGAAACCATGCAAGCAAAACACGCAGTTTTTAATAAGATCCAGCTGAAGGTCTGCGAAAACTCTGAACAATTTTCCTGAGTTGAATCTTAGATTTTTGAAAGAATATTTTTAAAAAAATCTTTAATTTCAAACAGACATCGAATAGATCTTGAAAAGAAGGTACAGCATTACCGGGATATAACTGGGAAAATGAAACAATGAGAGGTAATCGAATGCAATTGTCTGTCCGACGGCCAACAAAATCAAAACCGAAAATAGGTTGAAATAAAAAATGCGGACATCCGAAAGAGACTTGGCGACGACATGCGCAAAATAGATAAAGACGAATAAGGAAAAGAAGGCGAATGAGAAAACGAAGAAGTGAATCAGCAACAAAAATCTAATCGTTTAGTTTCGGTGTGTTCCAAGGCCGTCGGCTTACCCCCACTGTCCACACGGTTTTCTGCAGGTTTATATAGCAATATTTATTATACTTACTATTATTATTATTAATAATCCAACGATGATACATATGAAATTGTACAGAAATAATATAACACGACGTTTTACAAATCGAAATCATTTGGTTTTTCTTTCTCATCGTCTAAATTCAATAAACTCCGTTTTTTGGGAACTCCTGACGATGCCAACGATGTCGTCCGTCTTCGACGAGTTGGTCTGGGGACATACTGAAAGCCAATCACTTAACTATCAATTAAAGCAATCAAAAAAAAGAACCGGGATTTTACCTAAAATCAAATCGGTGTAAAATTAGAATGTTTGTACTGTCGCGGCGAATTTTTGTACAATTTGTCAGGAAGTTAGGGCGGCGGGAAACTGCACTGTTTTCACCCTTTTTTACGCCTAGGTCGAACGACGCGCTCCCTGATTCGCACAAGCCCGCCGTATTCAAAAACCGCGATAAAGTTTCTCCAGTTTAATCAAACACAGTTTGTTTAACATTTATAAGGCCACCACTATAGATGGCTGTAACTTTCTTCACAGTCAAAATTCCAAACTTCCGATTTCATAATTAAATTCAGAACTTTTAATGATCAATGTATACCACTTTTCATATCAGCAGTCTGCAAAATTGGTCGATTGCTATTGAAAAAACTGAAAATTGGTCTTTTGCAACCGTTCCATTTATAATACCATCCCTAAGGAAGGTTTGAAAGTAGTAGGTCATTAAAAGTTCCAATTGTTGTCGAAGTAAAATTATAAATACCTCGAAACTATTATTACAACCGTCATCTTCATCAGAATCAGTTTCGATCCAGATTTCTTCGTTGATTGTTTTTTTCTTCTTCGAATCAATCACTACATCGCGCTGCGAATTTTTTCGCTTCTTGCTACAAGTTTCAGGGATCGGTCCTTCAGCTTCTTCAAATACCTCTTCCTTGATATTTTTCTTAAAATCCAAAAACATTTGACAATAATTTGAAAAAAAAAACATTATAAACCTCAATATCTAATGATCCTAATTTAACCCTTAACGCTCTGTCTTTGATCGTAATGGTTCGATTACAGATCGATTGTAATTTTTTCAGTGCTTCAACAGTCATCTTTTCACCAAATTCTTTGACTTTCTCAAAACATTGAATATTTAAAAAGATTAAAGCATTTATAAAACCTGTTGAGCTAACCCGATTAGGTCATTTATTTCAAGCAACTGTGGCATAGGTACATTCTCGAGACGGCAGGAGCTTGCAATACCCCAGAACACGTGAGAAAGTAATGACGACATTGGGTTGTTAATTGCCCTTTTTAACAATTTTCGACATAGCTCGGCTTCAACGAAAAATTCAGTATCATCAACGGTTGTTTCGTCTACCTGGTATTTTTAAATAAAGTATTAAAAACACTATCTTCACGCACCTCGATTTCAACAAAATGTACGTCACAAAAATGTGATAAAATAGTTGAAGTCATTTCTCTCATATTGACAATCTTATCGAAGTTTCTATCCGAATACTCATCAAGGCATTTTAAATAAGCACGTAATAGATGAACTCTTCAAAAGGTTTTTTCTGTCGGAAATTAAAATAATTTTGGTCAAATTCAATTTTAATTTTTTCTCGATTCTCATCAACAATATTTTTAAATGAATTTACGAATGAATACCTGCTGAATTTAGAAACTACGAAATTTCTGAGGAATCGCTTAAAAAACCTTTTCAATTTGTAATGTTTGAAGTTTTCATTGAACACTCTGAATAATGAATGGGCATAACTCTTTAGAGAATGGTCTTTAAACCGTACGTCAACAAGCAAAATGATAACATATTTGGCCAGAAAATCCGCTTACAATGAGATATAAGATTGAGAACATCGCGTGTGCACTGTATTAAAGATTCGCCAGTCTAAAATCAATATTTACTAATGAGTTACAAAAAAAACATACCACTTGTTTTACAATTTTTTCAATAAATTCTGATAACATTTCCGAACATTTATCAACATCATTATCATCGGTTTTGTACAATAATAATGCAATTTTTCCAAATGAATATTTTCGAATCAACTCAACAAACACATTGATTCCAGCAGCCTTAATGAAATAATAGTCAAATAAAATTAAATTTGAAAAACACACTTTTAAATAATCACTGACATTTGTCTCAATAATCATAATCACAAATGTCAGATATGGTGCATAACTCTGAACATCAACCACGCTTGCACTACCGATGAGTTCTATACCGTCCAATCTCACTTCGTCATCAAAATTACTTAATAACGTAGGAATCTAAAATAACATTTCATTAATTGCCTAATTTTTTTCCTGTAATTGACCAAAAATTTGAAAAGTGTGTTCATCAAAACTGATCTGCTTTTAACATCTTCATGCTGGCAAACTGCTAAGAGCATGGCAGTTGCTCGTCGGAGCATCGGAGTTAGAATCTTTCCAGACGCGACCGCATTTTCCGCATCTTCATCAACAGGTCTTCCGTCGTCGCCAGTAATCAATATAGCGTTTGCTGCATAGCATGTCCAATCACATAAGCTCTTAAAAACAAAATGTTCGACATTTTTTATTTGAACGTCTATGTTACACTTATTTCCATTTGATCTCCAAGATTATAATCCATTCTCATCGTCACCATTATTTTTGTGATTTCCGGGGAAAAAAGCATTTTTCCATCTTCGATTAAATTTTCAAGTAATGTGCAAGCAACTTTTCTGATAATTAGCGTTAAACAACTATTTCTTACAAAAGAGGTGTTTTGCACTTCGTCTTAAAAATTTTTTATGTTCGCATAGATTTTTTCTTTAGAAAATTTTCTATAGAATCGATATGAAAAAAATGGACATTTTTTAAAGACGTACTGCAAAATGATCTCCCTTATTAGAACATTTTCTTACTTATCAAATTCGTCATCATTTTCTTTTACCGCCAAATCAATCAAATGCAGACAATTTTCTAATATCACTTCCAACATTTCTCCATGTTGTTTCGCAAATGCAAAATTGCAGAAAAACTTAAGGCAAAACCTGAAAGTTTTTAATGAATAAATACTTAACATCGCCTAACGATACAGTTTGAGATGCTGTGAAAATTTCAAAACACCCGGTACGAGATATCTTAAAGCTTTGTCACGGACCGCTAAATTCGATATTGTTCTCTCAGAGGTCAGCCGAAATATGACATCAAGCACATTCCGGAGTAAAAACACCCGAATATACGTCTTTTTTATCCATGTCATGTCATCGTCAAATATATCCCTAAAAATGAAAATTAGTCATTTCCGGGCATATTATCGAGTTGGAGTTGGATTTTCTTAATTTTTGATTTTAACAAACCATTTCGTTTCAGGAAGAAGTTTAAACGATTTTCGAGTCATCAATCCTACTTCTTCGCATTGCGTCACACTCAAATCAAGCATATTAGTTAGAAAAGTTTCAAAATCTATAAGATTCGTCGCATGACTTGTATTGAACCGAATGTATCTCGTGATGGCGAATTTCAACTAAAAATACAAAATTATTTTGATATGAATAGGCCGAATTACCGCAATAGATGTCGCATGCGGATTCTCTATTGGATCGAGATATTCGAGAATCAAACTGGGGAATTGGAACAAAATTTTTTCGTCAGCTCGATCTTCACCCGGAATGATGAATTGATGGCCTATTTTAAAAAGTGATAATTGACTTATATTTTCTGACGCGTGAGTCATCCATGATTCAACAAGGTTTTGATGAATTGCGTCTTGCATTCGAACTGAAGAATTTAAACTAAAATTAAATATCGGGGATTGTGAGAAAAAGTCATACCACTGTCGCTGTTGGCAAGAATCTCGATGAAACGAAATCTCTGTTCCTGAGAAAAAGACAATAAATGAACACTCGAAGCCAATCGAACAACCAATTGATGTCGAATCTGAATTTTATTTTTAATTTAATCAAAATTTGTATAACCTTGTTTTCTGTACACCGTTCAATAAAATAGAATGCACTATCAATATCATGTGAATCAAGAAAATGGACATGCCGCACAGCCATAGATCGCACGTTTTCGTCAATGTCCGACATGCTTTTACAAATCACTGTAAAATACAGATATTTGAACAAAAAAATCGTTGAGATACATTTATTTGGGGTTGTTTGATTACAGTTGCTATCAATGAATTCGTAATTCGGATCCATCTGAGAAAGTGCAAATATAGAAGCAGCTCGTACTTTTGGACTCTAAAAGAAAATTCACAAAAGGCATAGACAAGGCAGACTTACTTTGTCCAAAACAGAAGATGACAACCATTTAAGCCATCGATTCTGAATTCCTTCGGGTAGAGTATTCGCTTTAACTGCATCCAAAACTTCGGTTGTGTCATCTGCGATAAGCCAAGCTTCGTCGGCGATTTCATTATCCACCTCGCGAACATTATTTGATTCGATTAGTATAAGACCGATTAACTGGTAAACTCGTTGACGAACATTTGCTTCAGAGTGGTAGAATATCTGGAATCACATTGGTTTAGACAATGCGGCATTAAAAAGTATTTTAAAGATATAATATTGTCGGCGTCGAATGACGGAATGTATATATACCTTGTCAATTAAACAGACAAGTTCGTTTAATAATAACGCGAAATTTTGCGCATTCGCAAACACGGCAAGTTTGGCAACGAACATCATTATAATCTTTTCGACTTCTTTACATTCCTCTTCTCTTTCCTCTTTTTCAAGTATCATCATTGTGATACCGCGAACAATAAGAGAAACGACAGGATTTGGCTCAATTTCTTTGAACATGGCTGACTAGAAATTTTGTTATATTTTTTGCATAAAAATAGTTAACAAACGCGATAAAGAATTTTGATCGCATACTCAAAATAAGTTCCAGCAGACGAGATGCCCCGTTTTAATAAAGTCTGCAATAGCTTTGCCATTTGAATGGTCAATTCTCCGATCGAAACATCTTCTAAAAATGAAAAATAAACGCATAATTATTGTACCAATATAATTTGATTACCTATCGTAATCAAACTATTAACATCAAACATTTCCTCTTCTTCTTCATTTTCGACATATCCAACTTCTTGTTTCACTTCTTTCACATTTGTATTATTGGTTGGATTATCAAAACTATCATCGCTATCCTAAATTCCGTTTTGTCAACGAAGAGACATAGACAAGTTAACCTATCTTCTATTATAAAATTTTTCAAATGATACTAATAAAGATAAACAGAACTTAAAATCAAAGCTCAAAAAATTAGTTTTTAAAATCTCCGATTTGTAATGAATTTCATTGAAAAAAAAATGAATAAAAAGCTATTCGAAAAAAAGAGAGGTATAACTGTTATTCATGGTTTCTTTTTTCGCACCAAGACTCGAAATTACGGTATGTTCGTTACATTTGGTAGAAAAAATTCGGTTTATATTGTGTACCGCAAAACTTTGGTTTTGGTATTTAATTTTGACGAACTTCTTACCATTATGATGGGATATTCGTAATCTGAAAGATTAACGAAATAATTGTAAATTAACTAAACCAGTATTGATTGAGATCTCAACTTCAATTAAATAAAACTCGAATTAGATTTTTGATATTTTATCTAAACAAAACAATTTTTAATCCATGAAAAATAATGAATAATAATTTACAGAATGCACAAAATTTATGAAATAGGTACACATTTTAACATCAGTACGATTCAATGCGGTATGAGTGTATTAACAACGAAAGGTAAGCGCAATATTCACAATTCTATCCAGTGTGTTGAACCTTGAGGAAATGTTTTTCCAGACGAGACAGTATTGGTTTTCCGTACTGGAATTGTCGGAGGTACGGAATATGCGGTTTAGTCACTTGCACAAGCTCGCGACGTTGCTCCGGCGTTACCTCTTCAAACATTTTTTGTACAACGTAATTGCCGAACTGATCTTTCATCATTAAGACAATGACAGGGAGATTTCTGAAAAATTCCAACAATTAAAAACAATTATTGTCAGTTTCGCGCGAATGCGGAAAATTTACGAAATGCCAAAAAAAACAGACCGTGGTCTTGGCGCAAAAATAAGTGTACATTTAAGGGATAAGTATAAGGATATGCTAAAGACGCACACCGCGCACCGAGATCTCTTTTTAAATTTTTTTGGCATTTACCCAATTTTTCGCAGTCGCGCGACGTTGACAATAATAACGCAAGTTTCCTACTCTTCTGTTATACGGCAAGCAGATTTCACGATCATGTTTTTATGTTGAACTGTTCCTTTTTGGAAACACTTCTCAATTACGTTTGACGAAAACTTTTGAATTGCATAATTATACAAGTTCTTGGAAATCTGGAACTTCTTTATATAAGCTAAACATAAGCAAAACTAATAAACCAACCTTATCTACAATTATCATTTTATCCATTTCCGAACCATGCACAACAACATGCTGAATAACGTAATTTCCGTATTGATCCACTACAATTTCTTCAAATCTTTCGTGGATTCTTTCAATAACATGTTTCGTTTGTTCGGGAATGCAGTGTTCCAACACTCTTTGGACAACTCGACATCCATACGTATGAACAGACATTTCAAAAACCTGTATTTCAAAAATCGTTATTGTCGATGTCAAACGACTGAATGCATGCGGTTTCGCACACCTTACAAGCACATAGCCAATAAAAAAAATATATAATTCTGTTCGGTATTTTGACGCCAACAATACGATCATTAAAAATAATTACCTTGTCTGGTTTAGACAAAAGTGCATCAACAATGAATTGAATATGATTAGGATGGACTTTCTCGACGGCTTTTTGAACCACGTGATTTCCGTTTTGATCTTCCATACATTCCAGAATCTGAACATTTACAAATCTTTACAAGAAATAAAATTATACATACTTGTCCACGAATTTCAGATAAAATATCGAGTTGCAGTTTTTCGTCAACTTTTTCTAGAGCTTTTTGAAGAACCCGACAGGCGTACATCTTCTTCGCATATCGTTGAATCTTCCCGCGAAGCGCAGACACCAATCCATACCAATGTCTTGGTTCCCCGTGTTCAAAAAATTTCTGGAATTTCACTGCAAAAAAAATTATTGCTAAAATTTACCTGAATGACATAATTGCCAAAAATGTCATCAACAAGCTCAACACAGTTTTCCAACACTTCGTCGAATATTTCATCCTTTTCTACTTGATCACTATGTTCAATTTGATGTTGAATGTACCTTATAATTATTATTTTTTCATTTAACAAATATACAAACATTGTCAAAGTACCTCGAACCAACTTGATCCTTGGCAAACGCTAACATATGTCCTCGTATATCCGAAAGCTTCAATGTTTTCATTTCGTTTGGATTTGATCTATATTTCATTAAAAGCGTACTTGTAACGCTAGGTTGCATATTATCTCTAAATAAAAATCATCTATCTTTTATTTGAAGGTAACTTACGAAAATGAATTTGGTAATATAGTTACAGTTGGTTGACGAACCGAACAGTTATTAATTATTTGTGAATTGAGAATTTGTGATGGTGGTGATCCAACAGGAAGAAATGATTGCTCTTGGTAAAAACATGGATTTTGAGAATAATGGGTTTGTAAAACTTCTTAAATAAAAATATGTATAGCAATTGCGCAAAATATTACCGGTTGAATTTATATTTGGCGCAACACATTGAAAATTTCGATATGTGACCTGATCCATATTTCCCCATCCATTATTTACAGGATTATTATTGACGTTAAAGCAAGACGGAGGTGTGCCGAAGGCGTGATATCCGTTTTGACCAATAACACGTCCTCCCTGATTTATAAAAGACGTAATCTGACAAATAAGAATATTGTAATAGCTTATTTGAATTTTTGTTACGTGGAACTCTGGAGTTTCCGGATATTTATCAATTCGCGGGCATGCAATGAGCCGATTACCAAGCGATGCCTATGATCATAATTTTTTAAATGAAATTTTAGTTTGCAAACCGGGGATCCACAAACGTTATCTACAATACGGATCGCACCAGCACTTCTACCAAGAGAATCAATAGGTGAAGCAAGTTGCTCAGATCCACGGGAGTTGCGAATAGAGATGGGTCTGCTCATCAATAATTACACCTGCAGTTAAGAAATTTCATCATAATTTTTAACAAAAGGAAGTAACTTTACTACAAACATAATGCAAAAACTCTAAAAATAACTCGAACTAAATCGAAAATGAAGGTTAAGTTTAGATATTTAAGAAATGGGCCTATTAATGAAATGTAATTTTTTTACAAAATATGTAAAAAAATTTACATTAAATATGCTTCAAAAAATGTGCATTTTTAAAGTTTTTTAATTCCATAAATAGGTCCATAACAGGGTTAAAGCACACACTTCGAAGAAGATAAAAATAGGAAGTCTGATAAAAATTCTAAAATTACCGTACCACATTTAAATCCGCTTTAAGACTCATTTTACATTATTTAAAAATCCCTTTAATTGTTATTAAAAAATCATTACATCATATTTAAGTTCGTCCAAGTTTTCAAATCTCGCTACCACCTATTAGTGTTGGAATGTTCTATAAAAATCTCCTCGTTTTAAATATTCTGAAAGCTGTGTACAGTTAAATTTATATATTTTTTTTGTTTATTTATTTTAATTAATTAATTAATTTATTTTAATTTATTTATTTACTTTAGAGATTTGGATATTTTAAAATTTTCAGTATATTTTAAAAATCACGTAACGTCAAACTCAATTGAATTCTTTTTGACAGTAGCTCATTATTTTTATTAACCATTTTACTTTCTGCTCGGACTTTCAAAGCTATGAATTCCGGCGACAATAAAGCAAATCAAGATGAGTAGGAACCTTTTTTCAAAATCCGTGCAACATTTCTTCTTTCTCGATTTCAGTTTTGTAGAAGAAAAATGTCAGCCAGCGAAAAGGAATAATCCAGCAAAACCCGATGTACAGCCCGAGAAAAGTCACACTCAATCATTGCAATCGCCGCTGCCAGTCGCGTCAACACCGACTTCTCAAAAAGACGAGCAAGTCTTTATATAAACTCCAAACACCGAGCTAATGTTTTAGTCTTGCCGAAGAAAAATGTGTATATGTCAAAAGAAAAAAGCTATCCGCTGAGGTGTCAAAAAAAAGTAAAGAAGAGTAAGATATTCTGAGTATTTCATGAAGTACTCAGTAATTTAGAACAATTGAAGAGAAACCACCAGAAAAAGCTCCTTCAATGCCATCAGTTGAAAATGTAATCGCGATTCACTTTACCATGTGTTACATCAAATTAATTAGGAAAAGCTTGTCGGAACACCTACAACTCCTTCCGATTCTGCCGGTAGTCTTGGCAACGAAGTCAATCCAGAAGTTCTTGAAGTTCGTCAATATTAAAATGAAATTTGTATTACTTCAATTTAGCTTGCCCCCGAAGACAAGACAGATTTCGAAGAAAAATCGGACAAGGTGGCATCGAAAGAAGACGATATCGAACAGTCTGATCGTAAAAAGAAGAAAAAGAAAAAAGCTCCTGTAAAAGATGAAAATAATGCTGTTGGTCAAGTTGTCGCAGATGATTTGTCCTGGGATGAAGTACTTTTTAATGTTTTCTAACTCCAGTTCAATTATTTTTAGAAGAAGAAAAAGAAGAAAAAAGAAGAAAGAGTGGACAAAAATAATGCGGTTGGTCAGATATTTGAAGGATCGATTGATGAGGAAGAAAGGGTTTTAAGACATTTTTAAGTGCTAAAAAAACAGTTATTTTGAAGAAAAAGCGAAAAAAGAAGAAAAAATCGAGACCTGCCAAAAGCGAATCGTTCCATACAGAAATTTCGGAAAATGATGAGAATAAGAAAAAAGTGAAACGGCAACGGTCGATTGCCGTAAAACCGAAAGATGCTGAAAAGAAGGAAGAGAAACCGGCGAAATTGGATAAAGATGCTAGTGCACGAAATTTATATACATCTAATACCAGAGGATCAAATCGCAAAAAAGTTGATGGAAGTGTGGTGTGAATTATATGTTGAAAATATTTGATAAATTAGAAATTAAAGAGAAAACCTGTTAAATCAATTACAAATCTCAAGGACCAAAGAAGGAAACAGGAATCATCGTTTCGAACTATTAAAAGAAAGGGAGCAGATAAACAAATTAAAAAATCGTTTTTTGCGAAAGGTTCATCGAAATTGGTATCGTCCCGTTTAAATCCATAACTCCTCAGATGGATTCTTCAAAAGTATTATAAACAAGGCGAAAACGACCATTGGCGTTTCATTGAAACTAAACAAATATGATGATACATTTATACCGTATGAATTAATTTTTAAATTTGTTTCGGATTTTTGATTATTTTCATTCCAACGTCCACAAATTAAACTTTAGGAATGCGGAAGTTGTCGATAAAATAGTTGATGATGTCCAAGCAGAATATGACGAAGATGTTGTTCCACCGGAAAAACCAGCAATTGAGAATAATGAGAACAATGGTCATTTATTCATTAAAGTTTTTGCGATTTGTTACAATTAATATTACCAATTTCAATTACTTAAAGGGTCGTCCATTTTGGTGTAATAAAGATGAAAAACCTCCGGCATCAAACAATTATGTCATGACGTTAGCTTTAAGAGACTTAGCCGAAGGAAAATGGACGCTTCTCAGCAAAACGAAGGATCCGTTAGTTGATTTTTTCTGATTTCTAAAGCTTAAACTATTCAGAAAAGACTTGGACCCCTTCAATACGATGGAAGCTATGCAAGGGCGAGATGCAGAATTCTTCAAGAAAGACAAACGGGTAATTCCTTCGATTTCAAAATTCGTGCGGGTTACATGAATAATTTTCAGATTTTGAGCAACACAGTCCGATCTCTTGTAACTATGTATGATATCAAAGCGAGAGCAAAAAGAGTAAATTTTCATCAAATCTAAAAAATGGGAATTTGGAATCGGTTCAGGGTTCTTTGAATTCGGAAAATTCGTTCAAAGAACTAGCAGTTAGCAATTCTGTTTCCCGTCCAAAAATTTCCTTCATACTCCCAACGAATGCAACGCAATACAACAAGTTATTGAGATGCGAAAAACTGTAATTGAAAACAAACGTTTAGAAAAAGGCGGACAGATCCAACTAACAAGATTGCATTTACACCAGGTCAAGCTCAAAAAACAAAGAAAAAGAAAACATCTACAAACTCAACTGTGGAACAACCCACAAAAAAGGTAATGATGAAAAAATGTCGATGCACCCTCTCCAAATGTGTTCATTAATGTTTATATTAAGCAATAGGGATTTGTTTACAATATTGAAATTTTTTTGACTATTTCGTTTAAAAAACATTTTAAATTTATTTATGTTGTTAAATAACCAATACTTCGATTTACAGTAAATTCCTACTTGCCCATACAATTTTAATATGGAAAGTCGAAATGCTCGTCGTATTGAAACAATAAAAAAAACAAAAAATGGAAACAATTTAAATAAAGACTTATTACCAAGGTTCCTCGCTCTTCTCTTCTGGAAAAATGTTAGTTCATCAATTATTTGTTTGCTATAAAAAACCTTCGTTAATTTTTGTTTCCGTAGATGGTTTGAACGATGATGAAGATCCAAATGCTTTTCCACTTCCTTCCCCAAAAGATCCGGTGAAAGACGCACCACCAAAACCGAACCCTTCTGAAAAATACAGCGTTATTTTGTTCATATTACCAAAACTTACTAGTTGCAGGGAATCCTTCGCTAGAAAAATTACCACTCTGTCTGGTTTTCATCCAACTTGGGATTTGATCTTCCTTATTTGAATCTTTCATAACCTTAACTTATATTGTTTCTAATGCAGTACAAGTTTTTAAATTACCTTGATTATTTCCGACATAAGCGATTTGTCGTCATCTCCAATAAAACTGTATGCAGTACCTGGACGAAGACGCCCAGTTCGCCCGACACGATGAATAAAAGTGTCGATTGCATCATTGCCGTCCGGAAGATCATAGTTTACGACTTGATCGAGATCCCTGATATCGAGACCTCTGTAAAATAGTAACTGAATACAAATTACAATTACTATTACTGCACTACCGGTTTCGCACAACTCGAGACAGGATTTTGCGCGTTTGCGAATTGCATTTTAGTGTACACGCATTTAATATTTAAGCAGGGCATAAATATACAAATTTGTATATCTACAGTGATTTTGCAAAATGAAATATCTCGCCACCGATCAGTCAATTGAAACCGACAATGCATATAGTTGAAATAAGCAAAAAGAAATTCAAATCCAAACTTAGAGAATTAATTACCTTGAACAAACATCAGTTCCTACGAGGACGTTGATTTTTCCGGATTTGAACTCTCGCAACGCTTCCTCGCGGGTGTTTTGAGGACGATCGCTGAACATTTAGTTAAATATTTTTCTTGGCTTTTGGCAAAAACCCATTGATGCTGCGGGCATTGATCCCTTGCTGAAGAAGAGCAGAAGCCAAGAAATCCGAACGCTTTTTCTGCTTCACAAAAATTAAAGTCTTATTTCTCGCCTTTCCTAAAAAAAAAATATGGAATGATATTAACGGCTCATTTTTACAAATAAAAAGGGTGTAACTTAATATGTGTAACACGTAGACAAGAAACAGCTAGCAGATTGCCAATCATTCTGTTTCAATGAAATTGATTGCCGAAGACGGCAACTGCCGGAATGTCTTTCAAGCAATGCAACATTACCAAAAATCTACTGCAACAACCTATCGATTTGCTGATTTTTTTGTAATTTATGGTATATTTTTCCCATTTAAATGCCAGTCTCCATTTCTAATTTTTTTTTCTTGTTTTGCTAAAATAAATGTATATTCCTTAAAATTGTTTATTTGTCCAGGAATAAAAGTATATTTTTGCGGAATGCTATAGAAATAAAATGTCGAAATCTGCAAATGTGCGTCATAACACCGAATTTGACACGACAATTTTCAGAACCTGCGTTAATGAATTATTTTAAAATGTTTGGTAAAAAAAATTGTACGGTTTTTTTTAATACTATATAGACAATTAGGATCGTTTTCTGAAATTATCAAAGTGTTCAAGTTCAGATCTTTTAGAACCCATTCTGAAGTAAGTGATTGTGCATAAAAATTTGGACCTTCCGGTGATGGTAGATTGTTACTAATGTTTAATTCCATTGCATGAAAAACCTTGATTTTGCCCCCTTTTTTTGGCTTTGGCAATGTAGTTTTATAGATGTTGGTTTTTTGTAACCACACTTCTGTATAAGGTTTCCTATAGTATTAGGACTTCAGCGTAATGGGAAATTCAGTGATTTTCTTATTTGGGGATGGTCCATAATATCAAGAGACCTGCATCTTGTCAAAAATTGATGGTATCAAAAAAAAAAAAATAAAAATTAGTGCTTATTTTATAAATAATTTTTGTTATATTTATACCGAAATTTCGGAGGTTCACTCGTTTTTTTTTGAGATGGTATTAAATAAAATTTCATTTAACATCACTCAGTGATTCGAACGAGGCGACTCATTTTGTTTTGGATTAAACAGCGAAACATTTTGGTAGAAGAAGATGAAAGATTCTATTTTCCGGGGCAACACGTCTAGGAATTGTTAAGAAGGTAATTGAACAGAATATTGTTGCGTTTGGATGGGTTGAGAGATTTGAAATATACGGCCTGCAATAAAATCTCTACCCCGGTTTTTTCTATACGAGACCCAAAAACTTTGAAAAAAAAAATGGAATTTTTGTATTTTTTTTAACATTTGCGTTTTCACGCCTTTTCACCATTTATTTATATTTTTTCTGATCTTTAAAGCATTGAGTGTTAATGAATCGAGATTAAAGGCTAAAAACGCAGTGCTGTTTGCGTGTAAAAGTCCTAGCCGTCAAAAATCATAATTTTTCGCATTCGTAAAATATCAAAAATACATTTTAAAAAACGAACCACGTGACTTCGAAAGAATATTTTCCAGCTTTTCATTTTTTTCGGCAATTCCATTCGCTTCTTCGAATACTAGATTCACACGTGGGTTTAAGCGCCCCTGGGCCAAAACAACACGCACAATTCTTAAAAAAAATCCTCATCTTTATTCTAAAAAATGAAGTTTACTTGTTTTGACCGGAGATTGGCTTCATAATATCCTCCGCAAAATTTTCAACCATCGGGGAAAATGTTGCCGAAAACAGTAACGTCTGACGTTGCTTGGCTGTCTGAAATAATTTGAATTTTTTAAATTACAGAATAAAAGTCAAACATTGACAAATTCTGGACAATTAAGAATAGTTGCCAAATGTGGTCCTGATCCTTTGTGAACGTCTTCTAGAAGACGGTCGGCTTCATCCAAAACGAAAAAGCGCAAATTTTCCAAACGGATCTGAAACGAATGTTGTTGCTATATTTTGATATACGTTGTTTCAGTTTACATCTCCTTTCGAAATGAAATCCATTATTCGTCCACATGTACCGATGAGAATGTCGCATCCTCGGGATATCTCCTCCAAGCTTTTGTACCGGCTCATTTCACCATATGACACGACAACATTGATTCCAGTTCCTGAAAAAAATACATTTGGGAGGTATTCTCAAACCAGTACGCAGGGATAATTCTGTGAATTCGTTTTGATAATTTTTAGAATCCTCCACCTGGACCTGAATTTTCAAAGCCTTCTCGGCGTAGAATTAACGTAGAATTTTCATGTTTTTTAAAAATATTTTAATTAAATTTCTCATCTCGATTCAATTACATCTTTTTACTTTTAAATGTCCCCCCTCCCTTTTTTTTTAAACGCCCACCATCCGAGACTGTCCCTTTCATACTTGCGTCGTGGCGTGTCGATCTGTGATTTAGCAAGTATGCTCACTTTAAAATATTATAATTCCTGCGCAAAACCTCTCTTTAAAATTTCCGCGCAAACCCTTCCTTTAACATTTTAAAATCATAGTTTCCATTTGGAACAGTTTTGTCACATTGAAAAATTTGAAAATTTGTTTTCAGCGGGAAGAGCCGAATGAAAAATGTGAGAACCAGAGACAATATTTCACTGCTCTGTTTTTACCGTAATAAATACTAAATCTAATAATACAGTAACATTTTTTCATCGAAGACATTATATCCATCAAGTTTAGACCTTATGAACTCATTCCGAAAAAATCTCAATTTTTCTCGAGAATTTTTTCTCACTAGCATACACTTGATGCGAGATAATAAAAACTGCGGTACTACAGGCTTTGAAAAAATAAATGGCGAACTGATTAAGATAAAAAGAAAATTTTCAAAGAAAAAAACACAATATGTATAAAATTTCACATGTGGCGAAATAATGAATTCTTTCGTTTCGAATTTTCGTTTCTTTTTTTTTTTGTTAAATTTCTTATTTACTGTAAAGGACATTTTTGAATATTTCTTGCGGTTACACCACCCCCCCCCCCTCCTCTTTAATACATGTCGCATGTAAAATACCCTATAAATATTAAGTACCTCTGCTATAAATGCGGAATTGATTATAAATTTGTCGTGCGAGTTCTCGAACAGGTGCCAGAATAATGCAATATGGCATCAGATGTCTCGATTTCTGTGTACGTTCCTCATCCGGAATACTCATTAATTTGTGAACAATTGGTAAACCAAAAGCGGCAGTTTTACCGCCTCCAGTCTCGGCTTGTCCCATTAGGTCATAACCACGTAAGACCAACGGAATAACAGCTGCTTGAATTGGGCGCACTTTTGTATAATTAAGGGCCTCCACGTTTTTCAAGATTTTCTCGTTGAGACCTGAATTTTTCCACGACCTAAGGTAAAAGAAGTTTCTTTAGCATAAAATAAATAAAAGCATACGATAATTTCACATCATCATCGCAATTGATAACATTGAGCTTTTGATCTGAATCAACCTCAATGCCCTCCATGTCGTCCGTTACCTCCGCAATCATTTCTTCAACCGAGATTTGTTCTGGTTCCCAATCTCTCGGTGCTCTTTCTCGCTCTGAAATTAATGTTTTTTTTTTTAATTAATATAATACATACGCTCCATGAGTTGATCTCTTTGATTAGAAGGACTACTATCTTCAAATCCTCCAGAATTATAAAATTTTCTTGGTTCCAATTGGAAATCGCGGCGAGAGGTACCAAATCCTCTACCATCATCATGTTGTTCGAAACCATCTGATCTACCACCGCTACCAAATTCGTTATTAAATGATCCACCACGCGTCTGATTTTTATATGATGGTACATTGCCGATCTCATCACGAATCGAGTTATTTCTGTCGAAATTTGAAGCGCGTTCTCCTTTAAATCCGCGTGTATTTTCGTATCTATTTTTGTCATTATAGCGATCGTGATAATCATCGTTTCGTCCACGCAATTCTCGATTGTGTAATTCATTATACCGATCACTATTCATTGATTTGTGCTCTTGGTTCTGCATTAGTCCCCGATTTCTATCGCTTCCTCTCTCGTAATCGTTTCTCGATCGGAAATTATCACTATGTTCATAAGACATTTTCGCATTCCCCGGATTGTATCTTTCTCTTTCTTGAGAAAAACCATTACTTCCGCCAAAACTTCTTCCTTCGTTATTATCGAAACCATTATAATTTTGTTTATCGTTATATGGTTTTCCTTCGCGGTTATAATTTATTTCTTGGTGCTCGTCTCTTCGAATTCGTCCTCTTTCACGATTGTCATTGCCATAATGATAATGTTGAGCCCCTTAAAAAATAATAGCAAAGTAAGCGAAAAATAAATTTAGACGAGGGGGGGGTAACATTCGAAAGTATAAAATATCATTGCAATTAAATAAGTTAGATCGCGAAATACATTTTTCGGCAAATAAAATGCACTAGTCGGCAATTTGATTAAAAGTTTCAATTAGAAATTTTCCGCCTTCTTTGTGTGGAATTACTACCTAACCGACTTGATAGGTATTTGAGACAAAAGTATCTCGTACATGACTGACCTTTTGAATGCCCAATTTTTGATGTCTCAAGGAGAGATGAATAAAATGGAAAAATTTCCAGAAATATCGAAAATAAGCGAATTTGAAATACTTGCGGACTTGTGCATTTTATTTGCCAACAATAGGCATCTTGCCTATTTCGCAATTGGTTTTCTCTGGCGCCAAAATTTGAATAATAAACAACGCCCCCCCCCCTTAAATTAGTAGCCCGGCAATGGAATATTCGTGTTTTTTATTTTATTTTTATTAAATTTCTTATTGAGATTCATTGATACTTTTTCCTTTTCAAGGTTAACCCCTCCCCCTCCCAGAAAGATAAGCATAATTTTGATTTAGTTCATCTCAACTTTCCTCCATAATAAAATTCTGTTGTGAAGTAGAAGTGTCCGTGATTTTTACTTTGTTTTTCTATCAGAAATGAAATGCATTTGAAAAGGAAATTGATAGGTATTAAATGAAATGAGTTCAAAATTTCGTCTGTGTACTTACAAAAACGGAATAAAAACAACCCCCCTCGTTAAGTTTTTTTCTTCTTTTTCGAATTTCAACTTTTTCGGACGTCAAACGACTGAATGGAGGCGGGGCCTTCAAATTCGCAAAATCAGTGTAAATTTAAATGTTTCGTTGATTGAATATTAAATGTGCGTACGCTATAATGCAATGTACGCAGTCTCGCGTACTTCTCGCTGCCTCGAGACGCATTGGCGCATAGCCAATAATTTTTTAAATTTCGTCAAGTCGTTTGACTCCGATAATATATTCGATAAAAATAGTGGTACATAAAATATAGTGGTTCGCCTTTATTTTATTATTTTTAAATCAACTTATATATTTCACATCATACCAATTCTGCTGTACGAAGAATCATTTGCACGGTTCGAATCTCGTACGCGTCTATTGTCTCTTGAATAATCTTCATCGTAGTTTTCGTTTTTCGATTTATAATCTACAGGCAAACCACTTCTGTTCAAATCTGTAAAAATAAAATCTCGACATGTTCGGTAATATTTTATTATTACGCAGTGGCCCCTTTCGATCGTCAATATCCTCTCTTCCTTCTAAAATGAAACGATAATATGCATATTTTTGGAAAACGACAAATTTATCAGTCGTGGGAGCCATTTTTTTTAAAAGTTTTTCGCTTACTTGTCTTATTTTCTTCAGTATTTTTTAAATTTTAATTATTAGCAACTGAAGCAACCCATTTTGAAACTATTTCGTGAGATATTTTTGGCGTAAACTTTTCAGGAAAAAATTTTGTCGTCAAAAAATTGTTCGTTGCTGTTTTACTCTTTTTTGTGTTTTTACTGTATAGTTCTTCTCTTATTAAAAAATTATGCTCAACAAACTCAAATGAACGAAAATTATTATTTATATATCGAAAATTATTATTTACATAGTATTTATATTGTTCGATTATTTTAAAATCGAACGAGGTTAAAAATTCCAAGAAATGCCAAACTCATCAAGAAAAAATAAACCGTTTGCTTTCAGATCTTTTCGAAACGACCCAGATTTATTTATGTACGAATGATGCGCTGACGAAACGAAAACATCTCCGAAATAACTGTTTTTCCTTCAAATCTTATACAGGGTGGCCCATAAATATGGAAACACATTCAAAGAGATGTAACTTTTTAAAAAATGATCGAATCATCGAATCAACTTTAAAATTCACAAATAGTTTATTGAATAAGTTATAAACAAAAATACATCAACATTACTCGATTCGATTTTCTTTGTTCTTCATTACTTCCTTGAGTCTCTTGGGGAATGCCTTGACTGTGGCACTGAGATATTCTGGAGATAGTTTGGCCATTCCTCAACCAAACATTTCTTCAATGACTCCAAATTGGTATAGGGATGTGCCTGGACCTTCGATTAAAGCACACCTTAAACATAATAGTCGAGTGGACTCAAATCCGGCGACGACGCTGGTCATTCTGAACAAGAAATAAACCGGCAAAATTGGCGGCACACTGGGATTGGACGACTTCTGCTTTGTGAGCCGGTGCAGAGTCCTTTGGGAATGTCCAAACCTGGTTTCGAAAGTAGTTTGGGTCCGTGGAAGCACATGTTTCTTAGAATTTCTTCTAAGTAGTATTCCGGTTAATTTTGACTCCGAGATCCACAAGAACAAGCGAAAAAGAGCAGCTCGTCCGTAAACAGCGTCTTCAAATGTTCATTTTGGCGCGTGCCAGCAAGACGAGATTTGCACTTTTGCATTCGCGCCAGCTTGTACTTTTTAGTTAATATTGCCGCTTTTCATGTGTTAAGCTCCCTGTATCGTTTTACGGTTTTACAAACTGTTGATCGAGAGATTCCGAGAGCTTTTGCAATGCAACTGTCGCTCTTTCCTCACGCCGCCATTTGATAACGGTACCTCGGTGTTTTGAATTGGCTACCATTCCAGTAAAAATGACGCTAGGAACTAGAAAATTTGGGAAAAGGGTAATTAAAACATGCTGAAAAATAAAATAATAAAACTGGTGCGCGAAAATTGCGCCAGCATCTGCCAGAAGGTTTCAAACTTGTGTTTCCATAATTATGGGCAACCTCGTACAGTTTTTATTCATTATTTTTTTTAACAGAGCAAATAGTTTGCAAAATGGTTTCAAAGTGGGTTGCTCTTCTAAATATATAATTTAAATCAGTTGCTAATAATTTTAAATAAAATAAAATCACTGCGCGGATCATGGTAAGTCGCTCATGTACAAAAACGCATGACCTCACGACATCTTTATACATTTGTCGCTTTCCAACACTATATTGAAATTATATTTTTTTATTGTATAAATTGTAGCTTACGGTGATTTCTATAACTGATCTCATCATCGTCGGAGAAACGATTCTTTGTACGATGATGAGGAGAGCGATCGAGATGATGATCTACAAAAATACATATCATTGAACAGAGAAATACATGTCGTATAAGAAATAAAACGAAAACAGCGTACAAAGGGTTCTCTCTCTCTCTCTCTTAATTATTTATTATCGGGCATTTAGTTATTTTCCGCAGTCGCACGACGCCAGAAATATATATCGATAAATACGAATGAATTTTTCGAAAAAATGTTTTTCTTTAATTTTCTTTTTTAAAAATTTCTTTAACGCAATGCGCGTTAATCGAAATGTTTTGTACACACCTAAATACAGAGAAATTGGCGTGCTATAGGGTAATTTAAAGTTCAGATATACAGCACCGCAGAAAAAGATACGAAATAGTTATTTTTCATCATAACTTTTGAATGCGTAGTTAAAATACGAATTAAAATTTTTACTGGAAGTCAAAAACACAATTGTAAAATAAATTACGCTAATTCGCAAAAATACATTCTGGCAGACTTTTTTTGAAATCTGCAAAACTGAAAAAATCGATAAATTTTAGCTATTTTTATTTTTTTAATACTTTGCGATCATACATATTCATTATTTTAAAGGATGGTTCGACCAAAGGGTCTAAAAATTCATCTAAAGCTGATTGCATTACGATTAACATAGGTCGACAAATGGGGATGTCTATTTGCGGTCTGGCCAAACAATTCCCTACTAGTATTTCGACCATCTCGGTTTCAATTAATAACCAAAATCAACCGGAAGGCAACCAAAACATCTCTAGCAATTGATCGTGATATTATTAGGACGAGCAAAAAAATCCAAGGCTGGCAAGTAGATGGTTGGAACTGATATTATCACTCGTGTACGACCGTGAATAGGAAAAAGATTTCGTCGGATTATCAGCATCTGGCCTCATTCACAGGAAATACAATGAAAAACTAATAAACCTTCACTTAATATAAATTAATAATTTCAAAAGGTACTTTGTTTTCCGTGTCTCACACGCCGACGCAAAATTGCACAGATCGCCTGTTTTCGAAAAATTAATACATTTTTGATAAATAAAGGAGAATTTTTCTCGGTTGCGCAAAAGAAAAATTAGCGAAAACGTTATTAAAATACGCGAAAGAGTCGAAAATGTAAGTTCAATGACATTTTTTTCGATTTCTTGAATTATGTGCCCATTGTTGAAAAAAAAATGATATATTGAGAAGATTCCTTTGTTCCGATTACATATTGAAACACATTTTCATAAACAACGCACGATAGACATCTGAGCTACAAGATTCCCTTTTTCACATTTGAATACAATGAAGCGAAAATTAGAAACTGAGAAGTATTATGTAAATAGTCTACCAATGTCGGAATTTAGTAGCATTTACCATTAAAAACGCTATTGTTATTAAATTATCTAAAATTTCGGTAATTTTTCCCAATATCGAACGGCCTGCAAAAAAACTAACCAAAAATGATTTTTTGTTACCATTTAAAGTTTTTAAGTGCTGTCAGAAAATTGAGTTACACGCTGTGAGAAAACTTTTTTTTACTCAATTTTCGAAACTTAATGAACGTTTCTTTTTAAGATTTTACCAAAACGCAACGATTTACGTGAAACTTTAATGGACCTATTCATGCAATAAAAAATGTTTAAAAATGCACATTTTAAATGTTTTTTTTTTGTAAAAAAAAATCATTTAAAAAACGATACCATTGCTACGTCGATTATCTCGGCTCCTTCCTTCATCTGAAATAAGCGTTTTTCTCCACAACGAAGTATTTTTGTTTTTTTTTTTTCGATTTCTTATCTATTCAACGACATCTAATGTCCACGAGATATATATGATTATAAAATTACTTACGTGAAATTTGACCATCCGTTCGACCACCGAAAGACATCTCTGAAATAAAAATTTATATGTAAAAAACTTTAAAAAAACGCCAAGCCGAAAGAAAAAGCTAAAAATCCCGAGATAAATCAAAGTAGACACAAAAAAATTTAGAAAATCGTACTGTACAAACGGCAGACAATCGCGAGATTCGTTGAAATGGTGGTAAAAATTTTCCGTGTTTCAAAATTCAGCAGTTTGTCAAATACCGTTTCATATCTCTATTCGTCGCCGTTTCTACAGCACGATTTGCTGGGAATTTCTCTTAGACTCATTCACGCAACAAAAAATGCAAATAAAAACTATAAATCAAATCAGGTATGCAAAAAAACACATTTCTCAAGTAAATGAAAATCAATCGGATTTGAAAATAATTTCGTTTTCAATCGAAATCGAATTTAAATTTATGTTTCGAATTATTCCAAAATTTCAATCGAATACGATTTCAAAATTGGGAATGAGAAATAATTTTTTTTTTCAAAATTTGGAGTGAATGATGAATCAATCGATTTCGAAATTTTTGAATCGAATTTAAGCGTTTTCTTAATCGAATTTGAATTATTTTATAATCGAAACAGGTTAATTTATATTTATTTTTTCTTCGAATCCGATTGATTTTCATTTGCCTGAGTTATTTCCGTTTTTTTTGTGAAAATCATTTCACAGGTGCAACTGATTTTTCGAAGATTAAAAAACCATGCTAAGCAAAAACATAAGGCGCAGCGTATGGCAATGGCGCCGCATATATTTTCGATATTGAAGAGAAATGAGAGAAACAGAAGACCGCTTGTTTCTAAAACTAGCAAAGTTTCGCAATAAGACATATTTCAGCAAAATCATGAAATTTTAAAAACGCCACAAAATATACCAAAAATTTTGAAAAGAACTCTGGTAACTCAAAACCAATCGGATATTTGTAGGGTCCGATTGGTTATTTGTCGGACCCGATTCGAATTGAAATATTAAAACAAAACGGATTCGAATAATCACCAATCGGATCCAACAATTTCAAAATCTTATCCGTAGAACTAAAAATTGAATAAGGTTGATTCCGGAGCCGAATTTTGTCGAATCCAATTGGTTTTGAGTTTCCATAGAAGTTTTAATTACCCAAGTTTGAGATAATTAGCATTCCTCTGATGACAATCTTGTGACCGATACGTTCGATGTATTGTTCTAACCCTTGTGCATGAAATAAAACTGGGCAAATCAAGAAGGCAATTCGCACTAATACATTGTGACAACGAAGAAAAAACTAATGTCATCGCAAGATTGTATTTCGAATTATAAGTTGGAAAATATTGAAATAATTGACAAACTCGTGAAAAACGGGCATTTCTCGGATTTGTTCAAAACAGGCAGGTTGCACTGTTTCACTGTTGGAAATGAGCAGATTTTGAAGAAAAACACAAAAAACCGGCTAAAACAATTTTTTTTACAATCGGCATAGCCTTTTGAATTTTTATCGCGAAAAAATTACCATAAGCGAGAAAAACTATTCTCTTTTTCCTGAAATCGACATCGATTTGCTGAAAATCGAATAAAAAGCGTTTAATTTATCGAGAAAACAATTTTGAAATTCAGCATACGCCTGTTTACTATCGGAAAAAACACGCTGCGAAATAAACACGCCGTAAGTGTATGCATTGTCGATTTGGTGCCAATGTTCAGTGACTCATACTTTTTGACTGGACGAAATCGTTAACTTTATTAATCATTTTTTACTTTATTAATCATTTTTTACAAGATTTAAAGTTGTCTGTACAAAAAATATTTGTATTGAAAGTTTTTACAGATACGTTTATTAGAACAATACGTCTCAGTTTAGCGTTTATGAAATCACAGGAAGAAATCAGAAATTACGGAAGAACCTACAAGTGTCTGATTTTCAACCAGAGAAAACGAACAGCACAATAGGACTATGGCTCGAAAATACGAGAAAAAAACAAAGTTCGAGGAAAAATATACAAAATTGGGGCACATGAATTACGCTACTTAAAAAATTAATCTATAATAAGAAGAACAAATAATCAAGTCATTCATAACGAAGAAAAATGAAACACCGGTAATACGAATAGAGTAGTACGGCACTGTTCAAAAAATTCAAGTTTAAAAAAGACGAATCATATTATTCAACAACGAAAATATACGTACACGGAAGAAGTCCCAAATTATTACTATTTTTACATCGGCGGTTCAACTTTCGGTTTTTTCTGATTAGAACGTTGAAGTGTTGAGGTTACCTGAAGAATTTTTTATTAATCTATCTTATGAGTTATAACTTCATTTATTTTGAGTTTAACTGGAAACTACATTTTTTGTTTATTGCGGAAGATGGAAAACGGTACACAAAAAAACCACGGAAAGCGGATTTTCGCACAAAATTCATTAGAAACTTTTTTTCCGATACCGTTTAGTTTTCATTTTCCAGAATTAATAAAATATATTTAATTTTAATTTTTTATCGAGGACGAACGAATTTCTAACATAAGGCAAATTAAATAGAACATTTTTAAGTTTCTTGAGAGACACGTGTCGTTATAATATTTTAGATTTTTATCTATGAACATTAGAAAGTATTATAAGGTTTTTCGAACGTATTGACAAGAGATAATTTCGATCTGCTCGATCAGTTTTAGGAAATCTTCTAACAAGAGAGACTTTAAAAATATTTTTTTATCATCACAAAAAAAAACGAGCGCCTTACATAAATTTAGACCATCGCACTTTTTTGAGGCGATAATTCAAATTTGAATTTAATCAGTGAAAATTCGGATAGTGTATTATATTATATTCCCAGAATTTCTGGATAACCTGCAAAGCTAACTCACCGTAAGTCGGCGTCGTTTTTTTTTGAGAACGTATTACAATTATTTGATTTTCAAAGTATTTTGTTCATTTTCCTGAGATGTGAATGTTCCTTATACTTAAAAAATATTGAAATTGCAAAAAAAAATTCGCAGCCTTGATTTTTTTCAATTTCGCGCTAATTTTCAAAAAAATATCGATTTCAAACAAAAATCATATATGCATAAATACTTCAAAGATTATCGCATTAATATTTTAAAAGACAAACGCTTGATGAACAAATTTCCGAATTCATCAAAATCGCATTTTAAAAAACTGATAGCGCTTTGTATATAGAAAAAATTAATTTTCGTGGGTCAAATGTACCTTTGAATCAACACGAGGAATGTCAACGCCATTTTCTACCTTTTCCATCACATTCTCCCGAATGTCGTGTTCCAGTGGCTGATTGAATGCGGCGGCAGACGATGGCCCCTTTAACGAATACATATATTTAAAAAAAAGCGAAACTCAATAAAAAAAACCGATGGTAACACAGGGTATTCCACTTCTCCAGATTGCATCTTTTTGACGTCTTCTGTTAATTGAGCCACTTCGTTTTCTTTTTTCAACGTTCCAATAAGAGAAGCCATTTGAGATGTGGATAATTTCATATCAGTGTGTTTTTCAAGAAATTCAATAACCTTCAAGAATTTTGAATGTTTATTTAATTCATATTTATCATACCTCTAGAACAAGCTTACGATCCACAATTCCATCAGCGTCGTCGTCAATCGTTTTCAAAAGAGTTTCAATCCGTTCTTTTTGCTTCACACTTTCTTCGCCGCTTTCTTTAAGTCGGGAAAGTGAATCAATAACGTCCTGAATCTTCACTTCTTTTTTTCTGGAAAAAAATAACTTGTGAGTAAATACGTATCATTGTTGATTTTACTTCTTCAAATCTTCATCTCCTTCTACAGCTGGATCAGCAAGTTGTTCTTGTATCGTGCGCTTCTCGTTTTCTAGCTTCTGAACCAACGAATCAACATCCTCAATCATGGAATTCAATTTGTTTCGGAGCCTTTTAGCAATCATTGTCTCCGCAAACGCTCCATCCAATGCATGAATTTCAATAAGGTCCTAAATTTGAAAATAATGTTAAACGAAAAACTGGAATATATACCTCTGAATGTTCGATAACTTTCTCTTTCAATCCAATAATGTCGTGTTTTGCCTCATGCAAAGGACCACCGGTAATTAGTTCTTCAATCGAAGACAAATCTTTCGGATCAAGCTTGATTTCTTTTGTTTCTTCATTGCTAATATCAGCAACTGCAGCAGCGGCAGTAGCGACAATACCACTTGGAATCTCTTCCTGAAAAGTAGAAGATAATAATGCTTAAGTCTCGGATAAATGAAAATCAATCGAATTCGAAGAAAAGCGAAATATAAATTAATCTGATTTGATTCAAAAGTAATTCAAATTCGAATGAGAAAGTGTTCACATTCGATTTGAAAACTTGGTTTCGATTCAAAAATCTTCGAAATCGATTGATTTACTTCTCATTTTCAATTTTGAGATCGTATTCGATTTAAATTGTCGCATGCTTCGAAACATATTAATTTAAATTCGATTAAAAACGAATTTGTTTTCGAATAATATTTATTTTCATTTATCCAAATGTTTATAATTTTAATATCCTAATAAGAAATTTCAGTACATATCGTCGAAATCGATCAACTTCTACAACACATTTCAGTGAATTCAAAAAAGTGGAGAGGCTCCATAAACGCAAATTTGTAATTTTAAACAAGAAATACAAACCTTAAGAGTTTGTATAACTGCATCTTTCTTTTCAACATCGGCCATTTTCTGCTCTTGTTGCTCTTTCTTCGCCAATTCTGCTTGTTTCTCTTCTTCCAATCGTTTTGTGGTGTCTTCTTTGTCTTTCCGGATGGCATTTTCAATTGATTTGATAAGTTCTATCCTCGCCTTGTAATCAACTTTACCGCCTTCAATTTCGGTCAACTTTTGTCGAGTCGTCTCGGCGATTCCTATAAAAATATAAATATCGTCGTAATTGAAAGAAGAACAAAAATACCATCCGGCAAGTTTTGAATAATCGACTTCAGTCGGTCTGGGAACGAAACGTCTTCTGGTAGGTAGAGCGTTCTCGATAAAAGTAGAAGCGACGGTGGAACTTTATCATTAAGCGACAACTCCAACCATTGACTTAGTTGTTCTTTTAAACGAGCCTCGCTCAAACCAACAGCTCTCATTCCACGAGCGCGGCACGCCTGTTGCAAATCGATTGAGCTCAAGGCATCAACTCCTCCTTCAGAGGCAATTTGCTTATCATCTGCTTTCAATTCACGAATTTTCAAGTTTAATTGGAATCTAAGAATTTCTGGGCTTCCAAATGAGTTCAATCCCATTAAACGACAGAGCGATCTGAAAACATAAAACAGTATAGTATTGTTACAGAAATTATTTTGGAATGTCGTCCAATATTTTGAAGACACACATTTTTACCTTAATTGTCCCATACTCAAATTGTCAAGAGTAAGTTCATCTTCGAATAGTTTCGTGAACTTGAGGAGTTCTCCATTCGAAACATAACCACCTTCTCTTCTAGCCTAAAACCAACCAAACATGAAATCATAAACCCTTGATTATTGACTTTTTTGATGAATTGAGCAAATTCAAGAGATTTTGATTGTTGATTTGATTTTCGTTCAAGTCCAATTTCCTCAATTGTATCTTGCAAAAATTTAGCCATTTCTACACGCAATTTCACTTGTTTACGAGACTTTTCTTCCTGAAATTCAATTAATTTAAAACAATATATATATATATATATATATATATATATATATATATATATATATATATATATATATATATATATATATATATATATATATATATATATATATATATATATATATATATAATTGATATATCTGATTAGATCAAAGGTACTTATAATTTTTTAATCTTTGGTGGTTTGTGCCTTAAACCTATCTTTATGTATAGGCTCGTGAATCTAAATGACCTCTCTTGTTGAATTCGTAAGGCCTACAAAACAAACAAAAATAAGTATTACTTCTTTACTCGATTCCTGAAATGTGCTCGGAAGGAGGTTGGGGAACAACTTGATGAAAATCGGCAATGCCAGTTCCATGAATGGAACAATTATAAAAAATGAGAATGGAACAAGTCGGAAGAGATCGGAAACTGTCCGGACCAACTGTTGACGCTCACGACGAGTTAAAGTCGCTCCACGAAGCACTCTCCACAAGTATTTCGCACTGACACGAGTTTCCAAAGCCAATAAACGAAAACCGTGATAATAGTGCTTTAACTCATGAATAATTCGATCTTTCAAAGGCGGTTTGGTTTCGACCACGTTCGTTTGGGACTTCATCTGAAATATAACGTCAATTAAGCATAAATTAGTTAAATATTACAAGACTGAGCTTCTGAGCATCTTCGTCCTGCTTTTGGACTTCTTCCCGTAACATTTTCAAGGTGTGTTCAATTTTTGATTTGTCAGTGGCCGCATACCGCAAGCTAGTATTGATCATTCGCGATAATGTAAGTTGATTCTGCCATCTTGTTGCTCTGAATTTATTATTATATATTAGACCAGCTTGATTAATTCCTCCTACTTTGCATTTGCCACCAAATACCTTGATGCATACCGCCCAATGTGATACGACTTTGTTAGGTGACAAAGGCTCATCCCGTATTAAATATCGATCAACTTGCAGAAATTGTCGATATTAATTATTAAAAGATCTGAATATTCATTTAATTTAATGATACAAAGCAATTTAAGAGTTTAAAAACTAAACAATTCTAGAAAAAATAGTATGACGAAATCGAATTTCAAACGAGACTAATACACAAATCAAGTTTCAATTAAATAAAAATCAATTTTTTGATTCACAATAGTAATTTTGCGAGAACGAAATATTGCAAAAAGGGAAACAAAAAGAAAAAACGAAAAAAGCAAAAACAAAAATTATAATTTGGAGGTGGACGAGAATTTGGTGTCACTAAAAATGCGGCCAGCCGTAGTCGCACTTTTTAGTTTTGAAAATTCATTGTAAAAATACATCTCTTGAATAGGTTCATAATTTAAAAATGGAACTATATTTTAAAAAACAGACATTTCTGAAATGATATTGCAAACGGTAAATATTAAAGCGTGAAATATGATTAATTTACTTTCTATTAACAAAAATGTTCTCAGCAAATCGCGCCGTAGAAACGGCGGTGAATAGCGAGTTTCGGTGAAACGGCGGTGGAAAGTTGGAGGAACGAAAGTGTCTGTTTTCTTCACCGATCATCTGCCGCCGTTTTACTCGCTATTCACCGCCGTTTCTACGGCGCGATTTGCTGAGTTAGCTGTTTTGATATTGATGGTCGGCCACGTCTTTTCTTATAGAGATTATTTGGAATTGCCTCGTACATTGTTCATGTTTCAAGCCGAGTTAGATTGTTGGCTTGTTGGTAATAAGATTCAATCGTATTATTTTCATATAGAACACGGAGAAAGTGATGTGTAAGTTAAGCAAACCTTCTCGAAAATTTATTTCATATGGCTGCTGGTAACTCAAAACCAATCGGATCCGACAAAATTCGTCTCCGTAATCAACCTTATCCGATTAAAAATTTCACTGATAAGATTGTAAAATTGTCGGATCTGATTGGAAATTTGTTGGATCCGATTGGTGATTATTCGAATCCGTTGTTTTAATTTTTCAATTTAAATCGGATTCGACGGATTTTCGGGTAAGATTGTAAAATTGTCGGATCTGATTAGTTATTATTCTAATCCGTTTGGTTTTAATTTTTCAATCCGAATCGGATCGTACATTGTCCCGGTTGATTCCGAAGCCGAATTTTGTCGGTTCCGTTTGGTTTTCAGTTACCAGAGCATCTCCAAACATTTAGATTCTCTGATGATATAATTAGTAATCCTTATATTGGTTTCGGAGAATTTAAGAAAGTATTTGTTCGAATTAATGGAACTCAGAACGGTGATGGACTTTTCGATGTGAAAATTCATTAAAATTAGATTCGAAACGAAATAAATTCAGGACAATTATGAGCCTTTTGCTCGCATTACTCATAGCTGTACGAGTGATAGTTCTATTCGACAAGTTTTCATCTCGCTTCCACCACATAATGTCGATGTTCAGTTCGTTTTTCTTTAAATCAACTTCGAATTTTGCATTCAGAACGATATTTTATCCCTATTCGTGTAATATTTCCGATAACGGTTATATTTTTTCATTTACACCGGAAACAGTGAAAGAAATTGAAACTCGAAGAAGAAATGGATTGTGGCCATAGAATTTATTCATATTTTCTTACTCGCTCATTTTAGCTTAGATTTAATTTTAATTCTTCATTTCAAATGAATTTTTTTCCTAATTATTGTCCCGTTGTGTGAATACATTTTTAAACATTTATTTTAAAAGTATTTATAAAACAATTTTTTAAAGGATTCAACTCAGAAAAACTGAAAAAATGTTTTTGACACGATTCCTTGCTACTAGTAATCCAGCAGGTACCATCGCTGAAAAACTTTTTAAAGCGATTTTTTTTCAGGTCGAAGAGCTAGTGAACTTTTAATTGAACGCGTTGGCCAGCAAAAAAATATTATACTATTGCGGATGAATCGACGACGTCAGATGAATTCCTTAAACTCAACATTTATGGAAAAGGTATTTTTCAAAAATATATAAAGAATAAGCATTATCTTTTTCTGACCCTTTAATTTTCAGTTAGCTGATGAATTGAAAAATGCTGACCAAAATGAAACTGTAAACGCAATTATAATTACTGGACTTGATAGGTGCTTCAGCAGTTGAATTTGATCATTTTTTTCTGGTACAAATGTTATGTCATTTGTAGTTGGAGCCGATATTTCTGAGCTCTCTTCAAAATCATTTCATGAACTTGTACACGATGATGCACTTAAAGATTGGGATGTAATTCCAAATATTCGCAAACCAATTATAGCTGCTGTAAATGGGTAAACAATGTATTTATTTATTCTCCATTTCTCTCTTTTTTCCGAATGGCACTCGGTGGTGGCGCGGAATTGGCAATGATGTGTGATATTGTGTATTGCGGTGACGATGCCTTGTTCGGCCAGCCTGAAATTATCATTGGTACTATTCCGGGCGCCGGAGCAACCCAGCGCATGCCAAGAGTGGCTGGCAAATCATTTACCATGGAAACGATCCTCACCGGAAATCGATATAATGCTTTTGAAGCGAAACGTAACGGAATTGTGAGTAAGGTATTTTTCAAAAAAAAAAAACTTCATATAAACTGAATTAATATGAATATTTAGATATTTCCACGCGAAAATCTTGTTGAAGAAAGTATTAAGACGGCAGAGAGAATTGCACGACATTGTTCCATTTCGGTTCTAAAAACTAAGGTAGGATTTCTGGTTTCGATATTTTGTTCTTTACGTATTTCTTCTTTAGCAGGTCATAAAACGTGCTTACGAGATGCCACTTAGAGAAGCAGAAAGAATCGATGCTAAAGGTTTTCTAATGCAAATAAAGGCCGCAAATGTCGATGATTTTAATATTTAATTAAAAACAGAACTCTTGAATAATTCTAAACGTCATATATATATATATATATATATATATATATATATATATATATATTATGCATGTTTGATTTTGCACTCGTCAACTAACAGATTGTAATGTCTTCAGTGACTCGAATTTTCACCACGTGACCGCCGGGGATTCCCTCGGCACATCGCCCGAACAAAACTGGCCTGGAGGGTGTGAGAAGCAGAGCATTTCCATTTAAACTTCCTTTTATTTATTCGCACTATTTTTCAGTGTATTGACAAAACCAACATGCCGATTTGATGGTTGATCTTCCTTTTTTGGATTTTATTCAAGTTCTTGTTAAATAATCCGGATTACTCCAAAATATAATGCTTCGCATCATTTATATAATATGAGAGCTCAATATTAAATTATTTCGCAAAAACTGGTCTATATACTTTAGTTTGTGATTTTTTCTCTGTTTAAAAGATATCGTATCGTAATCACGATGACTCGAATTCAGTTTTTTTCAGTCCAGGATTTTTCGAAATTTGTTTCGTAATTGATTGACAAAAACCTGCAGTTCGAAAGTTTTCAATATCGTCGAAGGAAATAATTTCGTGGAAATTTGTTGCACAACTTTGTTATTTCAATTAGTTCCCAAAATGTATATATTTTGGACACTGTTCATTTCAAGGTCAATTCTTCTCTTTTTGAGACTTTTTACGTGCGAAACTATTCATTTTTCTCTATGTATTATACATTTTTCAGTCTCTCCTCTAATATTTATCACACCACTGCCTATGAGCCAAATGGTCACGTGGTATGTTCGAGACCTTCACTATTTTATAGTCACATGGCCAGAAATTTTATCGTTCGACACACGGCGTGATCTCGTTTCAGTTATTACGCCGTATATAACCTACACATCAAAAGGCAGACAATTTTCAAATTTAATAATTTATTTTTTTTGGCTGGTCGTTTTAATTAAATTTATGTTTAAATTTGTCATGAAAAAAAAATTGTTTGAATTTAGCGTGATAATTGCGTAGAGTCTATGTATAAAAAACTAAAAAAAATAAAGGACTTTTTCATGAAATAAAAAAATTAATGAAATTATTCATGAAATGTATTTTTACAAAAATGTAAAATTACATCAAAGTGCATTTTCGTAACCTCTTTTTTTCATAAATTTTGTAGAAAAAAATACATGTCGTGAATAAGCCCATGATCAATGAATGTTTTCTCGACAAACTCATCGGGAGGCCCCGGGCAAAATCAACTTAGTCATTTTTTATGCCAATGTTTCTTCAAAAATTTGTAATTTTTCGTTTACATCGCAAGAAAAACAATGTTTCGTCCGATGAGTTTGCCGAGATATTTACCCTCCATAAGTGTGTCAGAGAATTCGAACACTAGCGTATATGAAAATGCTTGCGCATTTTTGGTGTTTACCTCATTTTAATGCAACAATTGCTCATTTTAAGGGCAATTATGAGCAATTCTCAAGATTCATTAATTTAAATTAAACAACGTTCGATTTTCAATATCTAAACGATCATCATTACTTATTCTCATCTTTATTTTTTTCCGTTTTCGAAAAGGAAATATTTGTTAGTTGTTGGGAATCATATCTCTTTATTTTCAAGCATTCAAAACATTCAAAAAGTGCGTACACTCTCATAAATAAGAGTTCATGAGGAATATTGAAAATTTTTGTTTGTTTATGATCTGGGCAGCCTCCTATCTCGATGACGATATGAATGATAGTGGATGTCACTATCAACAGGTTTTCAACACTTGCAATATTGTTTGTAAAAACGAATAACTTAGTGGAAAAATAGTGGAAAATCATTGATTCGAATTCATTTGATAATGTGATCTTCTAGTTTCGGCCCAAACGGTCAAGAAATTATATTTATATATATGAATCCAGTTTCCTTAGAGTAGAATGCATGAATTGCATACACCGTTAATCCCTTCTCTCGTTGCGTACTTTGAACAGCTGAACGAATGTTGTTCATTGTTCTATGTTCTCATCATCTTTCCAAATCAAAAGTGTAGATAAGAAGTCCAAAAACGAAGAACGCTATTCATTTCAAAGTTCATCATTTGATCAATGAAAGTCTACTAAACATTTCTTATTCCAAGTTAATTCATCACTTTTACAAATTCTGGTTATATTACCATTTTCGCAAAAAGCGAACACCCATTGTATTTTTTTCGGTGCGATAATTCAAATTTAGATTTAGACAGTGTGAATTAGGATACCGGTTCTTGATTTTTTTGTGATTGTAATAATAAATCGGTAAATATGGATATTATTCGCACAAAACGGTTGAACGAATATCAAAAAATATTGGCTATGTGTCTCGAGGAAGAATGAAAATTTTATTTTTCAATAAAGATTTTCATTTATTCGAAACGAATTTAACAACATTTCAAAATATGTATTCCAGAAATTAGAAAGTTCGATTATTCAGCGCTAACTTGTCACACTAACTTGTTCCAAGTCACTTTTGCGTTGATGTCCTTATTTATTTTGGTCTGTCCATTCATTGACCGCCCGCTAGTTGTTGCCTATCGATTGAGGGTTTCTTTTTTCTATCTGCTCCTCATTTTTGCTACATTTTGGCTTGCAATATTTCGTTTTTTGCTATGTTTCGGTCACTGCAGAAAGTACTCTGCAGAAATGGGAGGAGTCGCGAGCATTATAAGAAAACACACATAAAGTGGCGCCACCTTCACATATATTTTGCGTCTGGCCAACAGCTGTTTCCTCTATCAGCTTCGCTTACTATAAAGTCGGTTGAAAGCAATTTCTATATTGTTCTAGAAATCCGCACATTTCTCATTTCCTGATGGGAAATTGCGATTGGATTTCATTGTGCATTTCGCAACATCCTATTATGAATTTTTAAATTCACCAAAAATTTGTATTTTTTTCTGATCTTTCCAAAAAATACTACGACATGTATAAACATGGAGAAAATTGTCGTCGCCCAGTAAATAATTTTCTCAACATTCGTGCATCGTAACTTCTGTGTTTTGTGGTTCGCAGACACACACGCGAGACATCGAGTAAATAGAAAAATGAAACGATAGATGGCATGTTTTTCTTCATTCATTGCCTCCTGACTACACTGAACCACGTTCGATCATGCAATCACCTTATTGTTACGATCGTTCGATGACCATAATTGGCGATTGACGATAATGTCTATCATGAATTAATCATTGCGCCATTTTTTCGCATTCGCTCGTCTCTTCTCGTCGTTCCCTCCATTAGTTTTTGTTGCTTTCTCTGTATCATTTTTGTTATTTTTCTTTGTTTCGTCAATTTAACGATTTTCAGGAAACGTTACGGTGTGGTAATAATCGCGCCATTATTGATGTGTCAAAAATGGACTACGCATATCGTATGCTAAGTAGTGTCAAGTATTTTTATAATACTATTAATCCTGCAACTTTATCCGGTTTGTTTTATTTTCAGTTAATTATGAAATTTAGTTTTGCTATTTTCCACCTTTCATATCAATAATCATAATTTTCTATATTTCTTTTTATCAACCTTATTTGGTTTTGAATTCCAGGCGCTATTGATGTTGTTGTTGTCGAACAGCCAAACGGCGAATACAAATCGACCCCATTCCATGTTCGTTTTGGAAAATACGGAGTTTTCAGTTACAATGACAAGGTATTCATCATATGAAAGCATAATTAAATTTACATTACACATTCAGTATGTTGATATCTCGGTAAACGGGTACGAACTCGATCTGAAAATGAAACTCGCTGATAGCGGCGTTGCTTTTTTCGTTGAAGAGACTGATGAGACGGTTTCACATAGTTCTGATGCATTAAATGTTTGATTTGTGTTCAGGTTCCCGATTATTTGCTGACCTCGCCACTTCCCGAAAAAGAGACAACGGCACACAGCAATTCAGATATCGATAAGACACTTGCCGACAAAACGCTCGCCGAAACTGTCCAAAAATTAGAACATCAATCGGCCGAATATGAACGCGAAAACGATAATCTTGAAGAGAAAAGCCGCTCATCGAGTCCCGACGGCGGGCAGGGAAAAGCGAGAGAGCCGAAACAAGAGTACGAAAACGCTTTTGTTTAGCAATATGTGCACATTTGAATTTCAGACAATCGTTGAGTCAGGTTCAAAGAAAACATACACTTCCGCTTCAAAGTTCGGTATTCAGTGATCGCCGTTACAGGTATTTGAAATATTTTTTATTCCAACACTTGCACTCTCTGCTTTTTTTAGATCTCTCCCCGATTTGACTGTTTTGGACGACGACGGATTGCAAGGTGAACACGATAAATACGAAAACAACCGAGCGAAGGAAAGTGAAGACGTGCCAAAAAATAAAAAGTACGATGGGTCAATTATTATGCTTTTTTTTCAAATTTATCATTATTTAAGACCTCGTCCTTTCCTTCATTCTCATTCGCAATGCTCAAACTTGGATAGAAAAATGGTAGGATTATTTTGATTTGATTTCATTAACAAATATTCGCTATTTCCACAGTTGTACCAGATATAATAAAAATCATTCATTTTAGGCTCACAAATCAAATGATGAGATAATTAATTCTCTTCGTCGCGAGACCCATGACTTTGATAGAAAATTTCCGTCACGCAAGAAGAGCCGTGTCACGTTCGTGACTCCGGTTCGCTCGAAGCCGATTGCCATAATGACAACCGAATACAACGATTCTGAATCAGAATTTGACTCGTCGGTTGCTTCATCTGTTAATTCTTCGCCATCTCCGTCCCTTGTTGATCAACGCGAGATTGATAGGATTGCAGATGGAGCACTCTCAGACTCAGAGATTGACAGGCAACGAGACAGAAATTCTACCCCCGAAGCTGTTTGTTTGAATTTTATTTTGTTGTATGTTCAATTTATCTCGTTCAGCATGATGTAACTGATTGGAAATGGGGAGAATTGCCAGAAACGCGCGAAACAAATAATAAGAGACAAGCGCCGAAATCACAAATTTGGAGTTGGAAGTTTTGGTCATCGCGATCGAATGAACACGGTGAACCGGCGTATGAGGAACAAGAGCAAGGAATTACTCTAGAGGAGCTTGAAAAAGCCACTTCTGATCCAATCAACATGGAGAAGTATTTAGGAAAACCACAGAGCGTGTGAGTATCGATTATATTTTTTATAGCCTTTTTTCTCATATTTAGAGCTTCCTTTGATAGCGGTCACGTTTCCAGAGGTGTTTCACAGCCGTCGTCGCCGGTTTCAACACATAATGACTACATTGGAGAGCCATCGTCAAGCACGGAAAAGACGCCAACAAAAGAATCGATGCAAATGAATGATTTTGAGGAAAAAGGACATCGCTGCAGAGCTTCCAGTGATTTGTAAGAATTCCTATCAATTCACGCTTATTTAAGAATGTATGTTTTTAGAGCTTTGAGCGAAGATGAACTTGAAGAAAAAATTCAAAATGGTCAAAAATATATGCAGTCGCTTCGTTTGTCATCAGATAAACTCAAATCTTTAAATTTGGTTCATGGTGCAAATGAATGCCGTTTCTCAATAACTACTAAATATCAGGTGCTTATCAATTGTGCTCGTTAGACATTGAACTTGTTTGTTTGAAATGCTAGGGAACTACGTGGTGTAGCTGCAACATATATTTGTACAAATGGTATGAACAACTTGTGATATCTGATATTGACGGAACTATAACCAAGAGTGATGTTCTTGGACATGTGATTCCAGCGATTGGGGGAACATGGGCGCATGCTGGTGTCGCCGAGCTGTACACTAGAATTAAAAACAATGGGTTGGAAATTCGAATAAATTATTTAATGAACTTCTTCGTTCAGGTATAAAATGGTATATCTCTCTTCCCGTGCGATCGGTCAAAGTCATACAACAAAGCAATACTTGAAAAGTGTTGCACAGGACTCAAAACAGTTGCCAGATGGGCCAGTGCTTTTGTCACCTACGAGTATTTTGACTGCGTTCCGAAGAGAAGTCATTGAAAGACGGCCAGAAGAGTTCAAAATTGCTGCTCTTGCGGATCTAAAACAACTGTTTCCCACGGGAAATCCATATTATGCTGGTTTCGGAAATCGTGAAACGGTATATAAAATTGTTGCGACTTTCCAAACAATTAAATGTTTTTTTTTTTCAGGACGTGGTGTCCTATCGTGCTGTAAAAGTTCCACCGGCGCGAATTTTGATTATTGATTCCAGTGGACGTGTGAAACGCGCGGATTCGGTTGGAATCATTAGCAGTTATAAGACAATGGCTAATGAGACTGTCGATTACTTATTTCCACCACTTTCGATTCAGTAATTATCTAAAATGGAATGAAAATAATTAATATTTCATTTAGTGTCCGAGATGACGTGAAAAAAACCGAAAGACTTGCATCCGCATGGAGCAAACCTCTCGAGCATAGGTAAACTCTAAGTTATTATTTATAATTAAATGAAAATCAATCGTATTGGAAGGTAAACGAAATATTAATTATTAACCTGATTTGATTTGAAAACTTGGTTTCGATTCAAAAATCATCGAAATCGTTTGATTTACTTCTCGTTTTCAATTTTGAGATCGTATTCGATTTAAATTCTCGTGTGATTCGAAACAGATTCATTTAAATTCGATTAAAAACGAATTTTTTTCGTATCCGATTGATTTATTTTCGAGAGTTATATCTAGTAAAATTCTTCATTCTCAATGTCATAATCATAATCGTTAAAATCAAATTTTAGTGATTTCACTCATTGGAAAGTTGCGACTGAGAAAGATGTGATTGATATTGATGATGAAGAGCTGAAGGCGTACGAAGAGAAACGAAAAATCTCAATGTTAACGGCGAAGAAGAAATGAAAACCGATCATTTCTTATTAGGAGTGCACTGATCTCTTGTTTATGTATTCTACATTCTGTTCAAAGGTGTTTAATGATTCCAAAAAATTACAGTTTCATGTCTAGTCAAAATGTTTGCGTTGACTGCATCAGTCGTCATTATTGTTGTTTTTGTTTTAATTTTTAACTTGATTGTTGACTGTTTTATTCAAATCTCAATAGTTTAGTGCATTTGCAGCTGTTTCAAATTTAGCGGTTTTAAAAGACATGTCTTCCTCACTTTTCCCTTCGGTGTCTCATTTTTTTGTCTTTTGCCTTTATCGTTGTACACATATATTTTAGTTGTGTACATAATATATTTGCACACCGTATTCATATTACGTTCATCGTTACTCGTTAGTAGATAAATTATGTTTGAAATTTATTCAATATTTATCGCTCAAATAAGGAAATGAAATGTTTGCAGAAATCACTAGACATTGTTTTTCTCCATTAAATTTGGACTTTACGGTGGATTTGTTGATTTCGAATGGAAGTGAGAAGTCATACAAGCTTTTTTTACTATCGAGAAGAACCACGATTCGTGTCGATGTTAACTTCAGTCGGATTCTGAAAAACAAAATGATTAAAATCAGAATTACAATATCCATCAACCTGTCGATTGTAGTAATTTTTGGAGTTACTCTTTCGAAAGAAATTCTAACTTCAAGGCGGTTTCCGTCAAAGCATCGGATACGAACTTCCTCGATTGTTTGAATACCGTACAACTTCAAATAAGACCATATATTTTGTTTTTTTAAGCTCTATAACAACCTCATGTGCTTCTTTTGAAATCTCCGAATTTTCACTTTTCTCTCTCTGTGTTGATGAAGGATTTTCCAACCTAGAAATCAGATCATTGATACCATTAAAAATAATCTCAAACAAACGTTGAATTGCCTTCTTCTGCAATTTCTTCGACAACTCTTTGCTCTGGTGATTTTTTTAGACGAAATGCTTCAATTTCCCCAACAACTGTACGGTTTTTGAGAGTTATCGACGCCATTGGGTCAAGATTAATGCAGTGCTGCATAAATATTACACGCACTTATTAAGTATAATATTTACTTACTTTTGTTCGAATCATATCGCAAAAAACTAATGCTAAAAATTGACGAAAAAATAAGGAATCTGGGCTACGAAGCCGTGAATCATAAAATGCCGAGTTAACGAGAACGTCGATCTGCAGTTTGAAAATTCTTCTTGTCTTCCAATGAATAAAATGTTACTTTGATAGCATTTTCGTCTTTTTTGTCTCGAATGCACTCAAGATCGCCAATGCAGATTGGAATTCGATAAGAATTGTCTCCTGAATCGAGCTTCGCCGCCAGCTCTTCCTGGAATATTTTTTTTTTCATTTTTCTCAATATCTAAAGTCTTTAGTTATTAAAGTATTTAGATACCTCGTTTAAATCGGTGATCGGTGGTGGAATCTGCTGACAGTGACATACATTCACAAAACATTTCCGTGATTCTTCTCCGCCAATGCTATCAATTTTAACCTGAATTTATCAAACAAATACAATTATTGAAATTCGAAAATTTCACATTTTTCCATTTGCAAACATATCCAGGAACAGGCTTAACAATCCAAGCTTCTTCTTGCTCTTGTTTTTCCATTTTGATTGTCATTTTCTTCAATTGTTTGTTTAATACATAGTAGAAACGGAAAATCAAATACAAAGTTGACGGTGTTCCACAATCAATTTTTAAAAATCAAATTTGGAAAGGAAAATTTATGGAAGATAATTATGAATACACGAATTATTTAGTTTAGGCACCCAAGACACCAAAAATTTAATTAGAAACGAAATAGATGTGTGAATAAATATTCTAGATTGGTTTCTACACATAAATGTTAGAAAATGGCAAGAAGAGCGAAGACCGAGTAGAGAAGTACGCACGGATAGGCGACGAGAAGTCTTTGATGGTCCATTGACAATGCAATCACAAAAAGCTTCGAAGATGCCGAGGAGCACCAAAATACAGCAAGCGCAGATATTAAATAACCAATAGTACCCTGAATCCGTCGTTTTTAATGAAATTATTACAATTTCGGAACTTTTCTTACCTTAAATGACAAAATAGCGGTTACAATACTAAGAAGAGCCATAGGTAAGAGACAATAACCAAGAACAGATGCTGTACAGGTAAACGAAATACTTTTTTCTGCGGCCATTAGATTCATCAGAGCGTACATTCCGACACATCCAAGTCCTCCAATACCGTAGATAAATCCGAATGACATTTTTCCATGAAGCAATAGTGCAGCTCCTAAATCAATATTGTAAATGTTTTCTGAACCATTCATTATCGAATACCAAAAATTAGACAGAAAACTAATGGACCAGCTAGATCTTGATCTTCAATTACTTCGGCGGTCGCTGTTCCAGTTGGATTAAGAACAGCGAAAGTTTTCTCTTTAATATGGGAAAAATTTATGCCAAGTTCTTCCAAAAGAGGAGGTTCGTTTTCGTAATCTTCTCCATCTGATTGCACAGCACCGATTCCACTGTTTGGCACAAACATTTGACCTCCATAATAATTGTAATTGTTGGATTGTGGTTGTTGAAATTGGGCCTGGTTCATCTGATAGTAATCATTTCCAGTAGCAGCTTAAAAATGGCAGAGTTCCGTAAATTAAGAATTTTGAATACCCGTATTTGTAGTTTGTTGTGGTTGAGAATAATCAAATTGCCCCCAACCCATATCTTGACCTTGTCCTTGGTTTTGATTAGAGTACCAGTTATCTTTAAAAAACATTGAATTCATATAAAAATAAAAACTTCTTACTTTGTTGCTGTCCATCATCCATCCAAACATTATTGGAAGCCATTTAATTTCTCCTAAATCAACTAATGACGTGTCAAATTCAAATATATCTAAAAGCATAAAAATACGCTTATTTATTTCGAATAAGATGTCTTTAAGCTTCAAAAATTTACGGCGATTTCAATTATCACAGTCGTTTTGGAGAATCTTAAAAACTGCAGGAATAAAAGAGAAATGTCGACGTTACAAAAATTCAAGTTTTTCAAATGCGCCAAGGTTTGAAGATTGACGCGATTATCGATTACGCAAAATCGTGTACTCCAGGAGGAAAATAATTTACTGTTAATTGTAGAATGTGTATTATTTTATAATTATTTTAATATTGAACATTTTGGTAAATATGAACGGCAACATGTTAAAAGCAATGGTGCAGCCTTTAAAACTTTCCTCAACTTTACGATTCCTGAGAACGACAAGGTTATTTCAAACTAGTTCTACTTGTAAGAGAATTTGGTCATTTACATAAATTTTACATTTTTTCAGGTAGTTTTGAGTTCCTTCCGCTGTCAAAAATTAACAAGGATGATTTGGGACACTCCATAATTTATCATAAAGTATTGCTAATTTAAAATAACGAACGAAGTATACTGTGTTTACAGGGAACCCTACCTCCGGGTTCTCCCAAAACCGCGCATGATATAGTTTCCACTGGTGTGAAAGCGGCAAAAGTGAATAGAAGTTGAATTCAAAAGAATTACATAGTAAAAGTATACAGATTCTCTCATTGTCATCGTCAGTAGCCGGAGTAATTATGGTTCCAATTCTTTCTAATTATTTGTGGGATGCCGCTGCCGAACGCCCAACAATGATGATGTTCGCAATAGGTAAGGCAAGACTTATCTTTTTAATGCCTATCTTATTATCTTTCCAGTGGCCAACACTTTCTTGGTGCTTTTATCGTTTACTCCATTGTTACTTCATTTCTTGGCGAAACGGTTTCCGCTTGATATTTTCTACAACAATGACACAAAGGTATTTGAAACATTATTTTATTACACGACGAAAGAAATTGTTAGACATTTACGACAATAAGCTACAACTTCCTGATGCGACGACAAGCGTTGAGGTTTAACGCAAATGAAGTTGTTGATGCCCAAGTTGCTCCCGAAATGAAAAAAGTTTGGATTCCTTTGGCAACCGCGTTCGTTGCCAAAAAGCCATTGTTAATCTCGCTAGACCGTAATCAGTACATTGATAAACTCGCATTCGACGAACTTACAAAAAATATTGATATTCCCCTTAACCATGATTAGGTCATTGAAATTTGTTGATTTTTTTTGTTTGAAGATTTATTAATGAAGTGTGTTTATTGTTTTAACAATTTCCCGTGCAAGGTTTTCTATTTGACTTTTCAAATCGTAGCCATTCTCGTTTCTCAAAATCACATCAAAGTTATAATTATCTAGAGCACATTCGGACGCAGCATCATCGATGCCTTCTTTAAAAATGAATCCTCTACTTTTCCGTTCAAATTCGTTACATTCAATGCGAACGGTTAGCGTCGAATAATTTTCCTTGAAAAAATTTATGTCTGTTGGTCTTCGGCAATCACTGATTATAACAATTTCAGCATTTGAAACAGTTTCAATGGCAGCTCTGAAATTTACGTCTGAACAAGTTTTATGATTTTCGATCAACCTGCAAAACGCTCCAGGATCTTTATTCCTTAATTCTTCTCCAAATGAGATCATATCTTTTCTGTACTTTTCCTTATAAGGCCCATCTGATATCAGTTCATCGTAATTCAAGCCTAAAGTGTGATATTAAATTTGGCAGCATACATGTACCAAACCATGAATTCGCGCAAACTCCTTTTTGAGACTGTACGATATTCCCATAATGCGGACAACATATCCATCACATTCTAGAGAATTTCGTAAAAGGATCGATACATAATCTTTCCCGGATTTTCTTTTCCCGGAAATTGCAACAATTAATCGAATCAGCTTCAATAATTTGAGTCGATTTTTTTGGAATGAGCAAGCAACATATTTGGATTACTTCATCCATGTTTTTTCTATCCGTGATTGAAGTCGAATTTTTATTTATTTATGTTTGCATTAAATATATAAAGACGAATACGGATAAAAAACAATCACAACTTGGCTTTCTAAAGAAAACAGTAACATATAAATAATTTATACATTCCATCTCTGACGAGCTCTGTGGTTAGGTGTGGAAGAATAATAGAAAGAACCCGGTTGAAATATTCGGAAACATACGAATGCATTTCAAGTAGTAGCAATCTATGCTCCGACGATGATATTGTTAATTGGGATATGGATGAGCTTGACGAAGAATCCGATGAATCCCATGATAGCAAAACCGATGGCAGTGGCAACAGCGATCTTTTGATATTCTGGAATAAAATTGATTAATTTTTTAATCAGCCAATTTTGAACGGACCCTTTCTATCCGGCTTTGTGCATCTCTTGACGAGACGGTACGAATCCTTAGAAAATTGTCTTGCTGGCTCGATCAAAGCTTGAAATTGATCCATGTCGAAGCTGAAAAAATAGCTTTGAATATATTAGGCAAGAGGGCGACAGAATTAAGAAGGAACATTTATGTAAGACTCAATCTGTTTCATTACATAGCAGAAAGAGAAGAAAATATAAGGAAACGTGAACCATCTGATAACATAGAAGAATATAAAGAGAAAATTCGGAGCGACAGCGTTTCGGTGGTTGTGGACTGGCGCACTAGTGATCGCGTGTTCACGGAGACGCAGAGTATCTACCGTAGACAAACTGCAAGTTTGATGCGCAGGCAAAATGGCGCGTATTCAAAAATCTTTAGTGTAAAATTAACACTTTAGTGTTTAAAAACGAAGAAAGATTAGATATTAAACAGTTATGTTAATTATTACAAACAATATTAGTTTTTTCTGCAAATAATGGTAAATTCAAACGATATTCTTTTAAAAAATTATTTTGGATATGGGATTATTAAAGTCAGCGACACATTCAACAATTAAAATATAAATCAACCTGATTCAATTGATAAAATATTCGAATGCTATTTTTAAAAAGTGGTTCGTTTCAAAAATCTTCACGAATAATTTATTTTTATTTTAAATTTAATATTTGTATTCGATTGAAATTATTCTATTCTTCAAAACTGATTGATTTTTATTTGCTATAGTCCTTCGAAATATAACCGCTAGGTAGCCGAATATTTAAAAACTTCCCAATTTTTAAAGAAAAACAAAGACTTCAACCGATTTGGTTTTATATATTCAACATTTTTTTCGTCATCAGGTTTATTCTACAGGAATAATGATACTAAACAGTCAAAGTTATGCAATTGTCGTGTCTCAATCGTCCAAATCCTCCTCGATTACCATATTTGTCAGTTTCTGCGTCTCGCCACATACTTCAATCCGGTTCCGGTGCTGCTAGCCAATCAAGACGAGGATTTCGAGGCGAATCGACGTTTATCTGGGCAATTCGCTATCTGGCCGATTCTGCCTTGAAACATCGCACTCGTCCATCTCTTTCATTATTATCCATATTACTATTATTCACCTTCGTCGAAAACAACAAGAAATTTGTATTTGGTGAGAAGACGGCGACGACGACGAACCAATTCTTACAACTGCTGGGTGTTTGGTTTCGCCTCGTTTCGTCTTGCCGCTTCTCCATCTTCATCACCATCGTTTCTTCTTCTTCTTATTCCAATTCTGCTGCTGCCATTGCATTCGCTCCGCGAAGAACAAAATATTCCAGTTTGTATTGTTTCAATTCACTATGTTATTCCGCCTTATTATATTGATTGTTTCAATCGGCTGGATCAATTGTGATCTTCCAACTGAACTCGATCCCTTCCTTGAGAAGCTTTTCGAGTTTGAAGAATGTACGTTGTATTGATAATACGCTTAGTTCAAGCCATTGTAGGTGAGGAGTTCATTTCGTCGGCCGATTATACGAATGTTGCCACTTCAAAATGTGATCCACACGTGTGTGATTTCCCTCGTCAACTATGTGCCAGACCTGCTTCCAAGTTCCAGGACAATGCAGCAAATACTTGTAGAAACATTCCTAATGAGGTATCAAATTATATCGAAGGAATATCAAATTCGAAATAGTTTGGAATCGAATTCAGCTCCTCAGAATTGCATTTTACGCAGATTTCTTAGTTTCTAAAAACCTCACAAGTTCATAATCATCTTGAAAATCATTTTTTTGTGATGTTGATTTTTGCAAATACTGTTCTCAATTTTTTTAATGTCTGCAAATTGTTACTTTTAGTTATTCTAGTTTACAGCGCGACATTTTGTTTCGTTTTTTTTCGAGATAAGATAGAATATTTTACATGAACCAACAAGGTCGTTCAACTTTTTAATAATACACTACAGGGTTGTTAAATTTCGGGGCCCGGCCGGCTTTTTTAAAAAAAATTTTCGGCCCGCGATTCGGCCCCCGACTCCGTTGTTTACGTCCGCACGGCCGAAGCGGGAATTCAAAAAAAAAAACCGAAAACCGGCCAGCCGGCTTTCGGCCCCGGCTTCAATTTACTAACCCTGATACACTATAATCATCGATGTCATTTTCCACTTTTCAAAAGTTGTATGTTTGAAAATTTAAATTTTAGTGTTTGACTGCAGCAAATGGAGGTGTTCCAGTGAGATCAGTACGACCAGCAACACCGAAACCATTTATGCCACTGGTGCCACCTGGTGGACAAGGAATGTTTAGTGGAGGTGGTCTTATGATTCCGCAACCACAACCTCAACCAATGATACCGGAAACTAGTTTAGGTGAGAGTTTGATTATACGTTTATTATTATAAATTATCAAATTTAAAATATAATAATTATTATTTATTTAAACGTGTTTGATAGTGCTACTAAGCAATTTTAAGCTTTCCAACTTTGAGACCAGTGTAACACCATAAATCCATCATTAGCCAAGTTTTTTGTTCACTTTCATTGCGTATTACTCATTTCGATGCTTTTCGAAGGTCAAAATGTGTTTATTTCGATGACTCATTCTTTTAAATGGTTTTAGCATTGTCATTGTCCGTTGTATTTTCAATAAAAAGGCAAAACGAGAATTTTGTGTAATGCTTCTCAATTGCCTTGTTTCTCAATTTCCCAATCGTCGAACAAAAATCAACAATTTTGAGATTTTAGTTGTGTCAAAACCGTCGAATCCAATGAGAATTTGCACAATGGACGCGCCGACGGGAAGATTTTGCGGATTTCGGCCAATGTACACCTACAATAAGGTGAGCATTCAAATTCTGCATACTTTTGGCTCGGGAGGTCGGGTCACAGTTCGTCTGATGCAAAGACAAACTTCCCATCTCGGAGGCGCCCTCAACTTACACCTTATCCACGGGCGAACATCTCCAAAATGCAAAATATGCTCCAAATTGTATATAATTAATTGAAATTGTTTATTAGTGTTGTAAATGCGTATGTGTGGAGATTATTTTGATTCAGGAAACATTCCAATGCGACGAATTTTGGTTTCCTGGATGCCGTACGTCTGAAACTAATGCAAATCTTTTCGACGATTATCAGGAATGCCAGAAGATTGCAGATATGTGCAAACGTAATTAAAATGCTCATTACAGGTTATGTCATAAAATTGTCTTTTTAAGCAAAACCCACAACTCGGCCACCACCACGCCCAACTCCGCAGCCTCCTCGGCCAACAAATCCTAGAACAGCTCCAAAACCAACGACACCGCCAACATCTCCAATCGTTGACGTGATTAGTAAATTTGGTGGAGGCGGAGCAGGAAACAATAAAGTAGGGCAAGGAGCTCTAGGAGCAATCGGAATGTTTACGGGTAGCGGTCTCGGTGAGACAGGACAAGGCCCACTGGGAAATTTCGTACCAAATCCTCAAGCAGGAAATGGAGCTGGAACAGGTGGAGCTGGAGCAAACGGGGAGGGACCAGATCTTGGACTATTCGGACTGATTCAACAAGGAATAATGGGAGCACAAGCGGCTGGAAAGGGTGGAAACGGAGGAAAAGAAGCAGCTTCAAAAGCAGCGGGACAAATTCTTCAGCAATTCACAGGATTTGACCTCGGAGGATTAGGAAACAATTTCGGAGGACTTTTCGGATAACATGATTTAAGCAGCAAATCGTCAACGTCGCAAGTTTTACAAATTGCTTTCGGGTTACATAATTTTTTTTCTTTATTTTTTTAATGATTGATCATATAGCGGGTAAATTCAAAATAATAAATTTGAAATATTCATGGTTTTTTTGTTTTTTGCAATTTGTGCACGCAACGCAACTTTCTGGAAGAGTGAGAATACCAATGCAGAGAGAGAAAAAATTAAAAATGAATGAATCCAGGATCTCTAAATATCTCCTCAAATTGAAACGGAGTGACGTCCCGAATTCGTGTTTTCTTTCAATTTCCGTATCAGTTCAACAGTTCATTGGTTCAAAACACGTGAAATGTCTGTATTCTCAAGGTTTACCTACTAATTTACAAAATCAATGATCATATTCGTCCAAGTCCAACTTTGATTTCGAAAAATCCTGCTGACATCGGCAGCGGATTCGACGAACAAGTATCTTGCGACTACTCTCAATCATCTATAAAAGATGCGTTTGCGACCCAGAGAGCAATCGAACAATGTTGAAGTGCCTTCTTCTGATCTTGGTTCTTTTTGTCGCAGCTTCGTCCCAATACGGTGATTTATAAAGATTTCATTCTATTCAATATAAATAATGATTTTCAGGTTATGGTTATCCGATGATGGGAATGGGATATCCAATGATGGGAGGGTATGGCATGGGCGGTTACGGTATGGGAATGCATCCAATGGGTAATTTAAACCATTTTTCATCAATAACAAACCAACTTGCAGGAATGATGGGAATGTATCGGCCAAGTCTTTTAGGAATGATGCTTGGCAAAAAATAAACGAAATGCTGTCATCAAATTTCGAAATATGGAAGAATTTTTTTGAATCATAAAGTATTTTTCTACTCAAAGTATTGAATTTCATTCCCTCCTATGATCCAACCAACTATTTCTGTCGAAATAAAACGAAAATACTTGTTACTCTATTTTACAACTTACAATGTCTTTGATTTGCAGGCTATCGTTTAAACTACATCCCGCGCAGTTTAGTTTCTTTTCCAAATTAGTATCGTCTGTTTTCCAAAAAATTGTTCGCATCATGCACGTCATTTCAAACACATTTCTCATTTGTTGAACTTTTTTTTAGTTTCAGCCATGTTTTTTTGGTCAGATAGCTTTTCTTATTTTTAATTCGTATTTATTTTCAACCTATTAAAAATCGGTGTTTTCCAAAAAATCAGATCGGATAAAAAAAAAACAAAACACAGGCTGGTTTTCACACGGATCATATTTGGCTCATTCATGTCGATCAGCTCGTCTTTTGATTTAACCAGAAAATCTAGGCGCCTCTCGAATATCCTAGTCCAGCTTTTCTACGTAATACCCAAATGATCACATAAATTTATCATCAAAGACTGCCGTATCCAACGCCACACAACTCCCCCCGCGATAGCGGCGACAAACGGCTGGTTCTTAAAAAATATTTTATTTTCAGTTCTCATTTTAAAGTATGTACACGTGAAATTATATGAATCAGTATGTATAAAATCCTTGCTTCGTCTTCCTTCCAAGTTTTCCTTCTGCCACCAATTTGTCCATTAATTCAATGGGTGCGAAGCGTGGATCATTAGGGAATGATTGACGGAAGACTAAAAAAACGGTTAAACCATTACTACAGACAATCAAGTTACTTTTCAATGTGCTTTGAAGAACATCCAATCCAACATAGTCGCACAACTCGATTGGTCCCATTGGATAAGAAGTTCCAAAACGCATGGCGGTATCAATGTCTTCTTTCGACGCGTCTCCACGTTCGAGCATACGAATTGAGTCCATCAAATAAGGGATCAATAAGCGATTGACAATAAATCCCGGAGTGTCCTTTGCAGCAACCGGGTGTTTTCCAATGTCTTTACAGAATTCGAAGAGTGTTTCTTTGGTATTCTCCGAGGTTTCATCGGTGCTCACCACCTAAAGCAAATAAATGTGTTTATTTAAATATTGGGTGAGAACCTCGACGAGTTTCATAACCGGAACAGGGCTGAAAAAGTGCAAGCCTGCAAAAGACGAAGGATCGTTGATCACCGGAGTCATTTGAGCCAATTTCAACGACGAAGTGTTCGTTATCAAGATGCAGCTCCTAAAAGAAATACAATGATTTCTGAATATGGTTAAATAATTTTTCTAAATTTTCATTTTTAAACATTATATATAATTTAAACTTGTCTGATTACTTTGGGCAAGATTTCTGAGCGATTTGGAAAACCTCCAATTTCAAATCGAGATTCTCGGCGACTGCTTCAATGCACATAGCTGCCTCTTCAACGGCGGAGCCAATCTGAAAATAGCTTTCTTTTGCAGTTTATTATATTGACGATAATTGACTCCCAAATATTTGACTTACATCAGTGAACATTTGAAGAAGTGAGATCTTCAAATCAACAATTTTCTCAATTGCCTCGTTCTAAAATTCAATAATTTAAATGTGATGTCACTTTTTTTTGAAAATGATTACATCGTTGGCGATTTCTGGATTCTTCTTAGCGACACCTCGCTTCAAACTCTTCTTAATTGTTTCGCGGGATTCGAGGAGTCTCTTCTCAGATCTACCATACAAGTTCACAGGATATCCGGATTGAATGCAAACCTGAAATACTTAGTAATGATGGCTCATAATCAGAAGATAATAAATTAACCTGTGCGATTCCAGTTCCCATCAATCCACCACCTAAGATTGCGACAAGAGGTTTTGAATTATTATTCTGAGCATTGATCATTTTCGAAATCGAATTTTCTCTAAACCAAAAATTGAATTTATGTTGTGTTTAATGCATAAAAATTCAAGAAGATTTGTAAAAAAAAAATGAAACTTGCTAAATCGAAATTTCTCATTAATCCTATAAGGATCCAACTAGGGAAATTTTGGAAATTAACTGTTCGTTGTGTCCCCCGTGATGCTTAAATACTAGAAGAGCGCATGTGAAAAGTATGTGAGCAAACGGATGGCAACTGATAACATATTCATGGGACATGATAAGGAATCAAGGCAAAACACGAATAAATAATGGTTCGATTCGATCAGGTCAGCAAAACCGGAAATATCCTCATCGCAAGTATTCCATAGAATATTCAACATCTCGAATTATTGATTTTGGTACCGTTAGTAAGTCGAGAAATCATTTCGTGATAAGACGAATTGCTCGCAAAGAACACTCAATTCTCTGTTACGGTAGACCACGCCCACAATGTTTATAGTATGGGGTGATCGAACGATTATGCATATGACATGTTGAACGGTTTTTGGAGTTGCAAGCGTTGACGATTTGTGCTCTTTGAGTGAGCAGAATAGTCGAGTAAACCGATTTGGCAATTTTTGTTTGAAATAATACGAGTGGCATGTTGAACGCAGCTATTTATGCACCAAAAATGAAAAGAAGAGCAACAAATGCAAAATGAAGAAAAAAGTGAAAACAATTATGACGGAATTCAGTCGTCTTCTTGTAGTCGACGATTTTCGAATACATATGTAGATAGGAAAGCGATATTATTTTATTCAACCAGTTAAGAGAGAGCACACATTGAAACTGGACTCTGTGAAGAAATTTTTCATCAACAATAATTTGTATACGATTTGCGTTTTCTTTTCGGATTTACGAAATATAATTGCATGATTACTCATTTGTGAGTTTCCTCGCAATTGTTCGATTGGCAAAGACAATCGGACAATTCGAATTTGGTGTTTTGGTCGTTTTCGATTTGATCTGGTACGAAATGCATGGCCAATTAGTAGTGGCTCGTGATTTTTGGCCCACAAAAAGTGGCTCGTACTTACTATATTCTTTGGCTCGCGAATTTTGGCTCGTGATTTTTGGCTTGACTGCCATTACCAAGAAAAATGACAATTGCCAATAATTTGTTTGAAATCGCTGGATGGAGGAACGTCTTCTTTTTGTCTTAATGGGGGAAAGGACTGTATGGGGGAAAAGTTGAAAAATTGTATTTTTTGAATGGGGGGGGGTAAGATTATTGCTAAGTCATTTTTTATTTCTGTAAGCGTAAAAATTACGAAATAGTTTTTTTTTTCTGGAATTTCACCAATTATGGATTTCAAAGAGAACAGTTAATGGATCGAAACTTATTTCGAATATCTTACAAAACAATAAAATTCGTAATTCGTGGAGTAAGCTTAGAATTGTATCAAGGCACTCAATAATCGGAATAATCGAAATAAGTTTCGATCCATTAACTGTTCTCTTTGAAATCCATAATTGGTGAAATTCCAGAAAAAAAAAACTATTTCGTAATTTTTACGCTTACAGAAATAAAAAATGACTTAGCAATAATCTTACCCCCCCCCATTCAAAAAATACAATTTTTCAACTTTTCCCCCATACAGTCCTTTCCCCCATTAAGACAAAAAGTAGACGTTCCTCCATCCAGCGATTTCAAACAAATTATTGGCAATTGTCATTTTTCTTGGTAATTGCAGCCAAAGATCACAAGTCAAAAATCACGAGCCAAAATTTGCGAGCCAAAGAATATAGTAAGTACGAGCCACTTTTTGTGAGCTAAAAATCACGAGCCAAGCCACTTTTCACGAGCCACTACTAATTGGCCAAAATGCATTAAGAACTACCGCACACATCAAACGAACAAGCAAAATATGTTCAATTTTGGCCAATATCAAAAATCGCGATCGCGTTTGACCGTTCAAATTTGTCGAATTCGCGCTTCTTTCACATTATTCTAAATTACTGAATTCATCGAAAAAATGTTCGTTTTCAAATTTGAATCTGCAATTAGCGTATTGTCGTTTCTAACGTTATTCACTTAATATTCGTAATTGTTTAATTCTACATACATTACAAAACAAATACAAATTATTATTGCACAAATTTGCGAACACATTCCTTATTTTCCATATTCAAGAAGAACATTCTGAAAACTCCAGTGCCGGTTGGCAACGGCTTCAAGAACACCCAACGACGTTCCTGAAGAGCTTGGAAAATGAAGTCGTGGAATATGGTTTCTCCCTTTGGCATGTACGCAGTATGCACCTTTAAATTATGAATGGAGTTTCGATTATTTGATATATGCGATATATATACCTTCATATTGAACTGACAAATGGAAATATCCATCTCATCGAATGGTCCGCCCTTATTCAGATAATCGATGAACTCGAATTCACCTCCTTCAATGTCAATCCAAGAAATATCAATCCTACGAAGTCCCAAAATGTTGTGTAGAAAATAAACAATATCGATTGTAGTGACATCTTGCCACAAATATCTTCTTGTCTTCTGATTCTGGTTTGGAAGAACTCGGAACCTTGTCATTCCGGCTTTACGTCCAATCGCGAACGGGAAGAATTTTCCAAAAGCCGAATAAAGCTGCATGTTCGGCTCAATCATTGGATCAGCTCCGTAAAATTTGGTGTTCGGAAGAGTCTAAACATGAATGAATTCAATGGTGGATAGAGATGAAACTACGTACCACATTCAATCTTTCCTCGGCCAGAGTATCATGACCAACTCCAAGGGTTACCATGCTATTCTCTTCCTTCTGAAAAACGACGACATTCAACGTGGATCCAGAAAATTCAAAAACTTACGCATTTTGGTAAAATTGTCCATTTCGTTTCGTGTTTGTTCAAGAATTTGTCAATATTCAAATTTGCAAACTCTGGAATATTATCGCATTTCTGAGTGTGCGTCACCCAATCAAGAATCATCTGAAACAGAATCAACGAATCAATTGTAGATGATATTTGTGCTAACCTGGTGTGGTTTTCCTCTCCATTGTTCAACAATCGGCTTGATACAGTCATGAAACGCATCGACGATCTGGGTGACATTGTTCACGATAACATCGCGATCTTTCGAAAGATCGCATTGCGGCAAGCTGTTGAGCTTCTCATAGCGAGGATCAAGCTTTTGCTTCTCATCCTAAATCACATTCTTTACAACTAACAAGCTTGCATAAGTATTTTATTGACACAGTTAGAGACTATCGAATAAACTCATTTCCAAATTCTGAATGAACCTTCCATATCTGTAGTAGTTTTAATGCATCTCGCCCTAGATCAAATCGAATATTATTTCATTAATTACCATGTGACTAAACTTTGAATCACGACAACTTTTCACTAAATTCGTCCGTCCTCAAAATACCTAAATATTACTGAATGTTCTTGAGAAACTTGATTAAATTAATTCGGCTAACAATTTAAATTTCGTAGAAATCTGAAAACTGACCTTATTAAAATCATAACCAAGTCCATCAAGTGACGATACTGGATCTTTATAGTACTTTTGCTTAATGACTTCGTCCGATTCTTTGTGCAATGCTCGTTCGACTTCCGACGTATATACTCGTTCCTTCTTTCCGTATGTATTTTGAGGCAATTGGAATGAAGACATCGGTTGTGGTGCATTTGAAGAAGACCATGTGAATAGCAGAGCAACTGTTAGAAGGGCGATGACGATTAGAAGGAATCGGTTATAATGCGGTTGGTTGTAATAATGAGCTGATATTAAAACAAAAATGTCGGAATAAAAATCAATTTATGAGCGAAACATTACCTTTTTTCTCAATTGGATATAAGAGACGAGCGTCTTCTAGATCCATGATCACAGGATGAATGGACAACCACGATCTTGCTTGAAATGGATCAAAAGAAGATAGCATCAAATTTGTGGGAGGCGGAACGAGATCGAAACGATTTCTCATCTTTGCTGGATGCTTCCGAACAAAACCTAGATTAGGATGTAATTTGAATTCAGAACAACCACATTTTATTGGATTTTCCAAAAATTAAAAAAAAAAACTCATCCGTCAGCAAAAACGTCATGAGAATTTTCAATAATTATTAAATAGTGGCAATTTGTTATAAAAAAAATAAATTCAAAACAAAAAGAACCGAGTGATACAACTGAAAAGAAGCAACCAAATGGAAGGGAAGAAAAAAAAAGAAAATGAATTGTAATGAAAGAGTTTGACACACAATCCACATCAAACGTGCATTGACCCGTTCTGATTACCTATAATGTTAGCTGATTATAATAGTTCGATGATTGGATCGATACTTCGTAAGATACAATGACAAATTTTTTTGAGAACTCTATCGTCGACACAAAACGAGGTGTTTCCATACCTAAATAATCGTTTTTCAAATGAATTCTTTATTACAAAATAGTACTTATTGTTGCGTTCAATTTCTGTATTTGTTGTCCACTCATTCTCAACCAAATTAAACGACATCGAACCTTCTAATAAAGCATTACTTGGTGGCTTCGCTTTAATTACTATTCGATATCTCAATAATTATTCTATAATTGCCGTTAATCAAGTAAAATTGGAGTTACTGTAAAGAAGCATGTTGAAGAGGAACATCCAAATCTTTGCTGTTATGAAATATACTGCCTGAAGGAAGGCGGACCGATGCATAATCGATAGAGTCCATTTCAATCGGCTGGCACATATAATAGTCCTAAATAAATGTGTATAGTATGTATATGTACGTAGTACCATCCATAAATATACGAACTGAGTCGATTTTGGTCATATCTCAGGTTTGCCTCATCCAATCAGTACCAAACTTTCAAAGATTTTAAAGAATGCAAGAAAAATTTTTCAACAAAAAATATCAAAACAAAAAAATCGAAAATAGTAAACAACAAAATTTTTAAATGTACAATTTCAAAGATCGTGAAGAAAAAAGTAAATTGGTTTATGATAAACGAAACGCTTTTAAAGTACAAATTTATACTTAATACTTTTTTGTCATACCATTTTCTGCAATTTCAACTTCGCATCTTATGGGTATTGTTTCGAGCTGAGTGCCTGCGCTGAATGCTTCGGATCGGAAAAATCCATCCGCGATCCAACTTAGACATTCCACATGGCAGAAGTTCTTGTTCAAAAATGTCCTTGTACATAAATCGATCCATAATTCCAGAGCCGAGACCGTCTCAATGGAATTCAAGTCAGTCACTCGACTTGAATCGCATTGAGCACTTTTCGGAAGACCTTGGAAGAAGTTTGAAAGACAAAAAGACCAGAAACTGTGCTGAAAAGTTCGAGAAACTAAATTAAGAATAGATTAAGATCCCAGCACTGACACTCACTAACTTGCTCGAGTAAATACCCATTAGATGCGAGGCTGAAATAAAAAAAGGAAAAGAAAATGGTATGACAAAAAAGTATTAAGTATAAACATTACTTTCAAAGTGTTTCGTTTATCAAAAACCAATATACTTTTTTCACGAGCTTTAAAATTATACATTAAAAAATTGTGTTGTTTGCTATTTTCGATTTTTTTGTTTTTGTATTTTTTGTTGAAAAAATTGCTTCATATTGTTTTTTTTATGCATACTATTTTTAAGTAGGCCTAAAAATCTCTGAAAATTTGCAACTAATTGGATGAGCCAAACCTGAGATATGATCAAAATGGACTCGGTTCGTATATTTATAGCTGGTACATAAGTATTGGATTTTGACGGCAAACTTTTTCGGTTTTCGCTTCAACTGGAGCATCCTCGACATATTCTTTTGGCACTTCAGCACTTTCCAACAACTCATTGATTAGTTTGACTAATTGTGTTGCGGCCGGCATCGCTTCTTTTTTTGGAATTTCGATTTCAGCAAAACACGGACAATAATCCGACGGAACACCGGCTTCATTGCATCCATTTCGTCGGGAGAATTCATCAAAATATGAATATGCTCTTTTCTTTTCAGTTTGCTTCATTTCCTTGGTTATTTTACCCTTAACACAATTCCTAGATTTGAGGTTTTCTTCAGAAGTCACAAACTCGTGCAATTTTCAAAAGACTCTCATACACATCGAATTGGGTGGTCATTTGCCTCGAGTTGATCTCTAATCGCTCAATGATCCACGGATATTTTTTGCGCAAATTTTGCGGGATTCGGATCGCATGAAACGGCAAACGAGACTCAAGACGACCGACAACCTGAACATGGCAACGCTTCGGATGAAAATCTGATTGGCGAACAAAAGAGTGCCAACCGTTTCGCGAATGCGATCTGTGCGATGTCCGTGATCAGAGAACACGATAACTATCGAATTCTGAAGCACATTCTCGTTGCGAACGAAAAAATCTTCGAAATCATCATCAATGGCGCCTACAAATTCAATTATAATCACAAATCACATCAAATTAATTGAAAGAATATTTTTTAAATTTTTTTAATATCAAAACACAATGATTAATTTTTGTTAACTAGTTATTTTCTCAAAGCGTATATCTGAAGTAGTAGCAAGAAATTAATTTCGATACGAAATACCACGTTTTGAGTTCATTTTTGTTCATTTATGGTTGTTTTAAAGCTATACGAAGAGGACGCACAAATTTTGGGTGCTATTGTTTTTTATCGTTTGAATTGCCGCTTTGGGATTCGCATTGAAAAACCCTTAAAGACGAATTTTGCATTTTTCAACTATCATGACGCAAATAGCATGTTTTTGTTAGAACAGAGCATATTTTTGTAAGAGAGAAGGAAGTTTGAAATAAAAATGACGGATGAGTCCATTTTGATTCTAATTTTTCAAATTCTTGGATAATCAGTTGAACAATTTTATGTATAATCCGTGTCAGCGAAACTTTTTTCTCATCTGATTCCAAAATTCCTTCAACGATTCCCAATTTGTAGTAAAAGAGTACCTATCGAATTAAGGAAATCATGGCTGATATCTTGTGTCCACCAAAATGCGAATTTGCGTTTATCGTCATATTTTTGCACAAAACTGAAAACACCGCATTTTTCGGGCTCAATTCTCAAACTTTGCAAACTCTTCCAAATAGTCGAACATTATCTGATGAAATGGTTTTTTATCGTAACAATATGAAGAGGATCTGCGGGCAATTAGAGACCAAAATGCAGCAATCCAAAACGTCCTAAAATGAATAATCATCTCAATCACAATTACATTTCGAACCTCATGTAATGATTTGTCGGCTTTTTCAAAAATCCTTTCAATTTCTCCTTGTATGAGAATGTTCCAATATCTGGTCGATCCTCAGCAAAAAATGTCGCGTATCCTAAGATTTTCACAGTTTTTGATTTACTTCATTCCGAATAAACGGACCATTATCACTAAAGTTTTTCCAAATATATGGATATTTATCAAATGCGATATCCCAACTTTCTTCAATTTCAGCTGGAAATTCCTGTAGATTAGCGAATTATATTTAAAATATTATTTTTCTTTTTGAGTTTTGAGTCCTACCACAACACTGACAGCTCGTTTTCCCATTAAAATTGCATTCAAATTGCCATATGTGTTATCATGAATTTTGACGTGTCCATTCATTACCACAAATCCAGTGTCTTTCATGTGTTTAAATGTTTTCGGTAACTGAAAATAGCTGCAATTTTTTGAAACTCAATTGCAGCAAAAAATATAATATAATAATAAGTTCTAGTCTCTCAATATTTGAAAAAAATTACCTGCCGAATAAAATTACTTTTTGACATTGAATCAATTCCAATCATGATGACACTCGGAAAATTCTCACTCTCTTCAACAATTCTGTAAATCGTTTTTAAATAATTGTTAAATCAATTTCGGAACTCAACGGTTTTTTCGAAATCGTTTCATTTTTCCTTATTATTTGTGCATAATGATATTTGAAGACCGATTTTTTAATAATTCCTTTTGATTCGCAATTCACTTCAAAGAATTCATCATCAACAGGTATTGCGAAACCTTTCGAGAAATCTTGAAAAATTAAAGAATCTCGAAGAAATATCTTCTAAATGATAGAATTTACCAATAGGAATATTCTGTTTAAAATCAACATCTGAATCGGAGACTCCTTCGAATTTTTCGATTGGAGTTAATGTGCAAACAATATTTTTGATTTTAGATGGATTGAACTGAAATTATCGGAATTATTATCAAATAGACAAACTCAAAAATAACAAATAATGTGCCGTTCTCAAATTTTTCCACAATCTCGTCTTGTTTCGGTTGGCAGTCCAATCGATTAGGCTTGTTGTAATATGATAGAATCGAGGGATCCCATGGATTAAGCTGAGGAATATCACATGTTGCTTGACCTAATGACTCTAGTTTCTAAAAAATCAACAATTAATTATAATTTATAATAATGTACAGATATACCTTTAAGTAGAGGAAATGCGGATGTTGAGAATAATTGGCACTTTGTTTGAAGAAGACTTCATAAATAAATACGAAGAAAACAAAAAATGTGGCTATTTTTAAACAGTATTGTCGATATGCGGAATAACGCCTTTGGTTAAGTCGCCATTGCATCTGCAACAAATTTGTAGCGAAATGGCGTTTTCGAAGTGGCGACAACCCACGAAGGAAAATGTTCCTATAGAAACGAAACAAAACGTGTGGAAATGGAACAAAAATGAATACCTAAATAATTCCACGTTTTGAAAATCCAAAAAATAAAAACGTTTGGCCACTGAAAAGAATACCAATTTTTCTTTTTCTTATAAAATTATGTTAATCTTTTGAAATACCATCAAAATGATTGTTTAAAGTTAGCCCTCTCCTCTCAAAAAAAATCTCGATTTGAAATAAAAATGCTTATACGGTATTGTGTTGTTAAAATAGTATGAAACTAGAGAAAAAGTCAAAAAAGTTTCAATTGAGATGGATGTTTTTTTTTTGAGATTTTCTGAAATATATTGCGTTTTTACACATTTTTGCGCGTTCCCATTAATTTTGATTATCTTTTCAATCTCGAGTGTGTTATAAATCAAGACGAAATACCATAAAAGAATTTTGCGAGAAAATACAGTGCGTTGCAGAATTATAAGGCCACCCCCAAATTTGAGCGCCGCGCAATGATTTCGATATTTTGAGACCAACCAGTGTTAAAATCGTGTTCAGCATAAAAAATAACCTATATGTACCAATTTTTATGTTAGTATCTTCAAAAGTAACCGCGCAGTGGTCCAAAACCGTTTTTTCGAGCGGTGCAGAATTATAAAGCCACCCCCATAAAACAAGTTATAAAATCAAAAATAACGACAGTTTAATGTTTAGTGGCACCTCCATTCGAGGTAATTATGTCAGAAACACGGTCTGGTATAGATTTGAGAAGGTTTTAAACATATTGGGTCAATTTAGATTTGAATTTTTGCTCTAACGTCTTCCATTCGACTACGATTTCGGTTTTGAGCTCGCCAACTCTTCAAATTTGCTTCCTTGGCCATAGAGATGCCGTACTAATTCTCCCCAGACGTTCTTCATGGGACTCCAAAAAGGAGAACAGGCTGGCCAATCTAGAACGTCCACACTGTGAGACTGAAGCCAGTCCAAAGTAGACCGACTTACATGAATGACCGCATTGTCCTGTTGAAAAAGGACAATAATGACGTCGGAATGGAAAAAGATGGATCTCAAGAACATTCTGATAATCCGAAGAGTCCACCCTACCAATTCCAGAAATCCGGCCTACGAAAACGCTTCCCCCATAATATCACGCTGCTTTCTCTAAAATTGAGTTTTGAAAGCAGGAGGCGATTCTTTCGTAAATTGTGCCAGCAACTGTTATTGCCGTCTGGGCTATCCAAATTAAATTTTTTTCCATCGGAAAAAATAACCTGTTGAAATTTGAATGGCTATTATTCACAATATTCTCGAATGTAAGCACCTTGTTCCAATCCGTATTCATATTTTTGAATGCGAACTCAAGGCGTCGAATTTTATGGTCCTCTGTGAGTCGCGGGGCCGGCTCCTTTTTTTCTCTAGCAATGTTGGGGTTATCCTTGATGGTTCCCCAAACTGTCCACTTGCTTTTGTCGAAGTTTAGCTTCTTCTTGGTGTCATTTGTAGACTTCATACTGCTCGAAGCTGCTCGAATGCTTGCTCGATTAGCGAGATAGTCCAGTTTTCCTCTGCCGCCTGCCTTTTGCGACATGTTGACACGAGTTGGATCCTTCACAAAGATGTCTACGAATGTTTTCGGATCATTTAAATTTTTCGCAACCTTACGGCTCGACCATCCTGCCGTTTTGAATGCGGTAATCTGAGATTGCTCAGAAGCACTAAGACAGCGACCACGTGGCATTTCAAAATGATTCAAAAAGTGAAAAATAAGGACCACTGTAGGTCCTCAAAGCCACACAACAATTTTTATGCACACTGGTCCCGCCAAAGTTTCAAAAAAATGCGAAAAAGTCCGTTTTATGGGGGTGGCTTTATAATTCTGCACCGCTCGAAAAAACGGTTTTGGACCACTGCGCGGTTACTTTTGAAGATACTAACATAAAAATAGGTACATATAGGTTATTTTTCATGCTGAACACGATTTTCACACTGGTTGGTCTCAAAATATCGAAACCATTGCGCGGCGCTCAAATTTGGGGGTGGCCTTATAATTCTGCAACGCACTGTACTAAAAAATACATCTAGTTTGCATTTCAAGCGTTTTTCATGTTTCTTAGAAATTTTCGAGCTTGGATGGTATATACATATATTAATCAACATAGATAGATAGAACATTTGAATATCGAAAACGTAATATCCTGATAGGGGGTCTGACAAACTCGCATGTGGTCGAAATATCGGTATTTGCCGAGTAAATGTAACAATAAAAAGGAAAAGCATATATTGCATTTCGCTTAAAGAAATGATTCACAAGCAATGAAATACAAAGAATAGTCGGCACACTCAAAAAAGGTTATGACCATATCAGGCACACGTCATAAAATCCTTTTATTTGAACATGACAATCTTTCAAAAAGATAAGAATGTTTATGAGGAACAAAAAGAAACAATGAGAAACAGATAATAATTGGCAACATTTATATGTTTGACATGATGCACTTTTTCGAGATTGTCTCCCTCAGATGGTCTAATAAAAGTTAGGAAATTAAAACGATCCGACAAATGAATATTTCCAGACGCCAACCCATGTCAATTTTGGTTTGGCATTCATCCAATATTTGAATTTGTTCTCGCCAACATAAAAATAGTTTAAAAACGCGATTGTTTTCATTTCACAATTACAAAAATTTATAAAAATTTGCAAGACTTATCATCTACTTTTCCATGCACTTTTAAATTATCAGTAGGATGTTCATGAAGGCAATTCATCAAAAATTTTGTCGAGAAAATGCCGAGCACGCGACGAAATTGCAAACTACTAAACGCGACCATTTGGCTATATTTGACCGCCTGAATTTATCATTTTCCATTCGTCTCACTCGTTTTCCAAATTCCATTCCGAAGTTTCTTAAAAATAATATTTTTGTTCTTAATTTTGTTATTATCCTATACTCGAAATTCGACAACTCCTATTTCAGTTTGATTTTCTATTGAACTGGTCTTGCACGGATTAACTACTTGTTTTGCACTATACATACAGTTTATTACTATTATTAAAATTGAAACTATTTAGAAATTCGAAAAAATGACAATACCGCGGATGTGTTTAACTAAAAAAAAACCAAAAATCAGTAAATCTACAGTAATTTCGAGAAATTTGCGATTTGAAATTTTCGCTGGACGAGGGTGTGTGGCCATCGGAATTTCTGGCAACTCGATAATTTTCAGAAATTACATGCCGCGCAGCTCTGTTTTGAATTCGACCATATACTTCAAGTTAACATTTTTTAAATTCAAATATTATCGTCGGAAAAACGAGTCACCCGAGTATTAGTGGACCAACGCACTGTTTCGTGGAGGCGGTTCAAATTTCGCTTTAAACAGTGTGAATTCGGGTACCGAACTACGAATGACCTGCGAATCAAACTAACCGAAATCGGCGCAAGGCGCTCATTTATTGTTTCTTGAATTTTGAATTTTCTGCATAAAAACAAGTTTTGCAAACATTCTAGATAATAAATATGTATCTTGCATACACATTTTTCATCATTTGTGCCCATTTTTGAAAATGGCGATAAAAATGAGAAATTCGAAAGTGTGTATTTAAATAAGAGAATACATATTCTTCGAAGTTTTCGGCCATCCAGAATTTAGGGTTTTCGTATTCACGGTTTTCTGTTTTCATAACAACAATTTCAAATGCACTGTTCGTCGTATTCGTCGATCAGTCAACAACACGAGCTTGGTGCTGCCAAAAATCAGAGGCGTTTCGCGAATACCTCTCGTCTGTGCTGCATATTCCCAATTGAAGATTGGTCCGATGAATCGAAGTAGACCGGCCCGTCTAATTTGAGTGTGTTTTGCTTCTGTTCTCATCGGATAGGAGCAGTGCGCAAGATATTCCGAGAAGTCTGGGGACATTGCAAGTTCGATGTGTGAAATTTGATTTGATCATTCTCGTTCGATTATATCTCGACGCCGAAATTTTAATTGAATTTTAATTCTTTAAGAGAAGCATTCACCTGTCTTGATTATGCACTTTTTGACCCGTTTTAAACATTTACTTTTCCAATGGTTTTCAAATCTTATTCGATTTGCTCTCAGATTCTGTATAGTTAATTAAATTTATTTATTCATGAATAATTTACCGTCTCATTTAAATACCAAATCGACTAAATTCTCGGAATTCTTAAAAGGAAAATTGTGTCTCAAAAAGAAAAACGATATAAATTGCACGTAGGTTTTTTGACATAATTATTCGACGGTTTCATTGAAAATATTGTATTAACCTCTTCACTTTTGAACTTATTTTTGTCGGATAAAAGAAATTTCTGAATAATTCACTGATAATTAATTCTAAGCCAACAATATTTTAATATGTTGCACTTTTTGGCAGACAAAATAATAATACGAATAATCAATAAAGTTAATCCAATGAAATCCTTATATACTGGGTAATCCGTCGCTTGTTCAGTGTTTCCAATTTGAGCCTGCAATATGTGTTTTCGTTCGTTGATCGCTCAACCCACAACGAAAAAAATAATAATAGTTGGTGTCTTAATTTTTGTGTTTGTTTGAAAACAAATTGTTTCGTCCCTGCAAATTTCGACTTTTACAACGATAATTGAATATTCCAAAAAGGGGCGAGCAAGGTAACAATTTGAGAAAGTACAAAAACATAATTTCAGTTTTAATTTCAAATTTAGATTAGTTGAATGATTAATAGAGATATAAAATAAGGTTATTTCAAGTTCATGAGCTCAAAAAATTTTTGTAATTGATTGAATACCACACAAAAACATTGATGACTAAACTAAATTAACCCGAATGAACTAATAATTTTCGAACAGATCAAGTTGAAAATAACGAGCATGTTTAAATTGAGGTTTTGCCAAATTTAAAACAGTATTTGACAAATGGTTTTACAAATTTGTATATGAGAAACCACCGAATTCCATCTTTAAAAAATATTTTGTGTTTTCAATGTTTTTCTATTTGGCAATCATGCATTCATTTGAAAAATAAACGAGACAAATAAATCGAGTTGAGGCTTTTTTCCTCATCTTCCAATAAATGTCCCAATGCTGTTTTTACTCATTCGGTTCATTTTCGGACCAAACGAAAGGATTCGCAAATAATTCATCGCCCTTCGACTTGTATTCATTTTATTTATTTTATTTTTATACTCGCATTCGATTTGCTTCCTCGTTATTTAATGGACATGAACATTTTGACATTGACATCGCTTCAAACTGCTTTTTTTGCAAATGTTGAATTCTTGAAATCGAGAAAAATTGACCAATCTCAAATATCAGAATCCTCCATTTATTAGAAGAATGTAGTGGGTGCAATCACTCGGAATACACCACAGAGTGACACCATCCGCGTATGCAACCACCCTCATCGGAAACCTATTAATATATCATTAAAAAGTGTTACGAGGGAATTGCGATTCTCAGCAAATGACAACTGTAAATAATTTTGATTTTATCTATTTATTCTGGAAAAAATTAATATATTTGTTAAGCCGACTAATGAGAAAGAAGAGAGAAAAAAACACGCATGTCGAAGGAGGTGTGTCCTCCTCATTCGATTATGTTTTCCATTCAGTCTTCCGCAACTTGCAACTCGCTGCCGACACTTTGATTTTCCATTTTGAATTTTATATTAGCTCATTTATACAAATGAAATCTATTCCACAATAGAGTCTTCAAATAATATATTTATTGCGCTCGGAACATGATCGTGTTCTTCTGCAGGCTGTGAATATCTGAAAATCGAAGTTCAGAGCGTTTAAACTGCACTTCGCAATTGAATATTTTAAGGTTTTCCCACATGCGCCTTCGAATATTCATTGTAACATTTGCATTAAAAATTGTTCGATTTTCCAGAATTTTCAGCTCAGGAAAGTTCGGTGCGACGTTGAGAAATTTCCCGGGCATCTCTGTGTTTGCCACCAATTCATAAAGCCATCATTTAATTCACATGTATTCACTCTTTGCGTTTGTCCAACAAATTAGTTGAAAATGTATTGGAAAAGACCAAAAACCTTTCATCTTCATGTGTCGCCATTTTTGTTCTCGCTCAATTACCGAGCACCCGTTCTATTCGACTCGCTCTCCTATTCTGTAATCATTGAACGACTATTCGATTCGCGAAACTCTCAATAATCATCGCAAATATTGAAATGCGGCTTGTTTTCAGATGAATTCATCAACAAACTCGTCTGCAACTAATGATGATATGAACACCACAATTTCAACCGATTACATCCAACTGCTTCTTTATACAATTTTCATGATCGTCGGACTGCCGGTCAATATTTCAACATTGATCTATATGTTGAAACGATACCGACATGCCAAATCATTCCTCCTTCTTCTACATATAAACCTCAATGTTTCGGATATTTTGGTGAGAATAAATTAGCAAAAAAGGGATATATTCTTAAATCCAGGTACTCGGCTTATATGTTCCTGGTCTTGCTGGTTGGCTCATTACTTGGGAATGGAAAGGCGGAAATGTGATGTGCAAGTTTATGCGGTTTGTCGACGCGTTTGTGCTTGCAATCAGGCAAATCCTTAATTGGAATTTCATTTCTAACGGCAGTCATGTTTTCAGTTCGAATATAATGGTATGTATTGCTTTGTACCGCCTTTCGGCTCTTCGATATCCCCTTTGGGTAAATGCCGTCGGCCACTCGCGTGTTCCGAGGATGCTCGTCGCTGCTTGGCTCATTGCCATCCTCACAATGTTGCCACAAGTATTCGTATGGCACGAGGTATATCCAAAATGTATTTTATAAATAATTGAAATTTGAATGCAATAACAAAAAAAACAGTAAAAGATTTTCATTCTAACAATAGCTAATTTGCAGGCTGAATTTTTAAACGGCATCCGCCAATGTGTGACAATCTGGTCAGAGCAGCTCATCAACGGAATCAATCTTACCGACAACGAAATGATTGATATGAAATTCTACATGCTTCAGAATACAACAATCATTTTCTATATTCCGTTGCTTATTCTCATAATCTGCTACGTCTTGATCCTTAAAGTAAAATAATACTAATTATATAATTAAAACAATCATTCAATTTATAGGATATTTACAAAACACTGAACACCGATACAGAATGCTCATCGGCCATGTACTTTTCGGAGATGAGCCGCAATTCCTCGAGTAAAGGGACGTGCAAGACAGGCCGGAAGGAAATTGAAAGCAACGGTAGATCGGACACTGCGACAATACAAATAAATGATATTCGTTCAGCAACCGTACTCAATAGAACGATGCGCGGTCAGGAGAAATTCCGTCGCGCCAAAGTTCGCAGTTTGAGGATCACATTGCTTCTCATCCTCACTTATGTCATCACATGGCTTCCTTACAATTTGCTCTCATGGTGGATTGTGCTCAACTTTGAATCTTATAAGCAGAATATTGACGCCAACTACATCCTCAATTCTCTTGTTATTCTTAACAGCGTCATCAATCCATTCATATACGGAAGGTAATATTTACTATAAAGTAATAATAAAAATTCGAATGAAAATAGTAATAATAAAATAATAATAGTTAAAAGAAGACAAAAAGAATATGATAATATCAATGTTAAGACAAAAATATTCAAACAACAGAAGAAATTGCAGGTGTCAGGGTCTACGATTATTGTTCAAGTGCCGAGAAAAGCTAGCAACACCAAAAAAGTCGAAAAAAATGCTGAATCTGCTACGAAATTAATGATGGCCAATCAATAAGAGGCAACTACAACACAGCAAATCAATTATCGGGTTCAATTGAGGTGTTTGATAAAGAGTTCTTCTACATTTCAATCAATTTTCATTGAATCGAATTTAGCAAATCTGGAAATTCCGAGAAAATTGTTCGAAAAACACAAGAAAAACGTTTTTCACGAGTGATTGTTGGTAGCCTTCTCCCAAATGCCTTCCAAAAACCAGAAGCCTGAGACCCAAAGAATGAAAGACAAACGGCCGTATGGAATTGTATGGCTGGTCTTGAAAGACCGAAGAGGAAACGAACCACAACCGACCAAATGGGTTTTTTTAGGCTTCCGGAAGCTTAGAAATGAAGACACCTAGGTGGGAACACATCTGGGAGCGTTGAATTTTAAAAATATAGTGGAAAAACAATTCTTTGAGTTTTTAGAACATTTTCAAGAAGTTTCCGAATTTGCACACGCATGAAATACTAAAAAGTTGCTGATATGTAGAAATACTCCGAAAACGGGATAAAATGAATCTAGTTAACAGTCGGATAAGGGAAAAACTTGGAAAAGAAAAACAAAACACACAAACGGAAACAGAAAACAATAAAGCGATTCAAGTGGAAATATAAAAATAAGTCGAAGATTAGGGATGAAATCAATGAATACCAACGAGAAGACTCGAAATTGGAGAAGTATGAGCGAATTCATCGCGCAAATGCTTCAGCGGGAACATTCGACTTGATTTCATTGAATTTCTGACACGCTTGCTGAAAAATGTTCTTTTACTATCAATCATTTTTCGTGAATCATATATTCTTTGTTAATTTAATTTATACAAAAGAAAGAAGAAAATTCGTCAAATCTGTAATTTTGATAGGGTCCGTACCAACACAAGACGCACAAATGCAGAGAATGCAAATTAAATCACGGTATTTTCGTGATAATTGAAAGAAAAATTCGAATATTGTAGCTAAAGACGTATAACTTGAGACGGGTCTCGGCCCAACCGTATCAAAATTCAAAATGTCTATTTTTTTAATGGAATCGTCCATAAAATTATGGAGAGCTACTAATAGAAAACTAACGTCGAAGTTGTAATGGAAGTCGGCGAGACATTTTTCACTCCACGCTGGTATCATTCCGCTATACTGTGAGAAGGCGGCAATCATTTGCGCTTTAACATCTGCTGGCGGCTCGCCAGAAAATCCCATTCCATTAAGTCCCTTAAACAAGATAAAATAATAACTTTCGTGAATAACAAGAAACCCACAATAGAGGCGTCTGCAATCGGATTGACAGGTGCAGAAGCTGAACCGTTTTTAAGTGCCAAATCGAGCAAAGCCTTATACTGAGTAAGCATTTCAGTTGGTGCAGAACTGATAAATAACATATCCGAGGAAACAGCGACACGTCTATAATGTTTCGAATGAAACGATAGGAAATTGAAACTTTTTTCACTCACTGTCCCTCTTTCGGAACAACTGTAAACGTTCTTGAAAAGAAATTAAGTTCCGGCGATTTTCCGGTAACAGTCAAATCGCCATCTTCGAACATTCCTTGAACGGTGAATCCAAGCAAAGCATTCTGAAACTCAAATACATATCACAGAGATTCAAAATTAAATCATACCGTTACAAGAAAAACATCGACAATGAAAGTGTCCATTAAATGTCGGGTTGTTGGCAACTTTGAAAGCGCCACAGCAATATCCATTGATCCTAGAATATATGCTTTTTGGTTCTGAAGGTAAATAAATAATAGTTACCAATAGCGACTCTGGCCGAGCGATTCCTATTGAACTTCTCCAAAGTAAGTAAATTATGTGATGTACGAATATAATTGTCGTAACATTCGCTAAAATAAAAAGATAATTTCGAAAAAGAAAATTGTCGATGTTACTCGCTAGGATATCGCTTATAGGTGTTGCATTTAATATTTTGAATGGCAAGAGTGAATGTGGACTGAAAATTAATTAATTTATTCATTTGTAACCGTGTTTGTTGATTTCTGACATTGTCCGCTTCATAAGCATCCACGAGACTCTTTCTTGTTTTTGTTCCATCTGGACCATCGTACAATCGGAAAAATTCCACAATGAAGTTTTCAACGATGGCGCGAATTTGATCATTTTCATAATATCCAGCCTAAATTCTTTTTATTTCATTCCAATATTAAAATAAGCAAATAATACCCGGAATGGTGCGAATTCTCCCTCACTCGGGTCCGGTCCTTGTAAAAGCGGCGTAACGGCGATCCCATCCTAAACGCAGAGAAAATAGTTCGCTTCTTTAATGAAATAAATGAAAACTCACCAATGCAGAAACTCGAGGGAATGTCTTGTGAATGAAGCTGAAGCCAATTAAAATTAAACAAAAACAATAATACAACTACACGAATGCAACTAATTTGCATGAAATAGGAAATGTGATAAGAGAAAAAAGAAATCAAATCTGAAATTGTGAAAAACTTCTCGATCTGATGTCGAAACACAGTGAGAAGTGAGCGCACAACAATTCCCAGTCGCCTATGAGAAACAAGAATAGAATTTAAAAATAAAACAAAATTATCCGGCTTGTCGGTTGACCTGAGATAGTCGCTGGCTCCTGACATCTTCTCCGTTAGCGGATTTCCTTCAAAACACAATTGTTCGACTGGTAGACCTCCGAATTTTTCGAACTCGGCTTCGGATTTGATCTGAAGAAAGTTTTTGAAAAAAAAATTACCTTGGTCTGTTTCCGAACAAAAGTGGCTACCAGAATCGGCCGCAGTGAGAACCAGGAATATTTTTGGAATTCAAAAACTTCTCAAATATTGCTAAAATTTACCGATTTCAGCCGTTCTGTTCAAATTTTAATTATTTTTTGTCGTATTCAAATATCAAGAAATTTCCATGAAAATTGTGAGTAAACTTAATTAAATTTCGATATTAAAATAATAATCGATTAAAATAAAAAACTCATTACGCGGAAAATTCGTTGGATCTTGTGACGACTGATTCTGGTAGCCGATTTTTTTAAGGAACAAGACAAAATCCAAAAAAAACGTACCAGATTATGACTTAAATCGAGGACTTTAACAAATTTGGCAACCGCGACAACCGCCGATGCATAATCCAAATGCGCCAGTCGATTATTCTGTAAAAACCGTGTTATACTTGTTCAAGAACTAATTAAAATGAATATTATTAATCGCATTAGAAGTACAACATACAGATAAACTGAGAGCCGTAATATTTCCATATCTTTCATCAATTCTGTCAACAATGGCTAGCATCACGTTTCCTTTTGTCATTGTCATCATCATGTCGCGTGAAGTGAATTCTAAACAAAAAACACTGAATTATTGATAAATAATAATGGAGTAATATACCGGAATCAGAAGCGAAATCTGATAAATCCAGCGCTCTGTTTTCAGCATTATAACGACGATCGACAACTTTCTAAAAAAATATACAATTAATTATTGCTTAACCATAGATAATGTATACTTGAATTAACTCGATTTCATTTTTCTTCAAAATCATCCAAGGCGCTGGAACTTTTGTCACATGAAACTCGACTTTACTCGATGATTCTCTGTGAAGGATACGTCTTGAATTTGCTTGAATTGCGGCAGCAACATCATCATCCTTAAAAAGAAATTTTTAACCTTGTCTCAATTGTAATGTACTTACTCGAATATAAAATTCCAAATGGCCATGAGGAGTTGGAGTAATAAGAAGTGGCTTGAAATTCTCAATTTTCTGATTCAATTGTCGACAAATCCATTTGACTTCGTACTTGCGCGCGCCAAATGGAACCTAACAAATAATATAAGAAATTTTAATTTTTTAATTAGCGAAAACCTTGATTTTGTTAACAATCTCAGCATTCCGTACTCCAGTATTGGCAATTGTCGAATTTCTTTGAAATGGATTGGTGCGTGGATTATTACCGCGAGCTTTGTGATTAGTCGTAAGTCTTGACGTCACTTAAATGTTTCATCGTGAATTGCAAGTTTTATCTACAACATCTTTACCTGGAACGGAAACTTCATCGTCAAGATCTTCGTAGCGACTTGAAATGTCAGGGTCGAGTCGTGAAAAGCGGTTCTTATTTTTCGACAATTGTTTTACATCACGATGGCCACCATTGCTTCTGTTTTGATTTAAATAGTTTTTGCGATTCATTTGTCTGAAAAAAAATAAATGAAAAATTTGAGGAAGGAAATTGAACATCTTCGTTTATTTTCGAAACGGAAATTATAATGTAGCGTATAAAATTACAAATATCACAGATAATGAAAATTAATAAAAGCTTTCAAACATATTTTTAGGGCTGATATTTAGAAAAAATTAAAATAGAATTATCAATTCTGTCAATTTCGAAATTCTCGCAGCTGGATTCATGTGACACATTCCGGCGGGAGACGCGCACTAAAAACGCGTCAACCGCGATTTGCGTCAGCACGAAATTCATCAAATGAAACGAGTTTCGAAATAATAACGTTTTCATCATTCGGTTCGATCGGGACGGACAACGGATATTTTTGATTTGGTATAACTCGTGGAAGATTTTGGGGCAAGCGGTGGAAAAATTCTATCGACCGAAATATAATTCGTCCATGGTTTATCCCCAAAATGTAAATTGAAATGCCAAATTATGTCAAATTATGTCAAATTATTGGCGCTTCGGTGGAAAAAAGGGCACACGAACCGGGAGAAATGAATAGATAAAAACGTTTTATCGAAGAAAAATAATACTTGCCCGATTTTCTGGTTTTTGTTTGTTTGCCAACGGCGAAAATTTGCGATTACAATCACCGCTTTTTTCGTTCTTTCTTTTTGACAAAACAAAAAGTTTAATTTTTAGAATGTTGCGAACTCGTGTGATATTGAGAGCAAATCAAATCTACAATTGCTCATATCGTCCGGATCCATTTCTTGATGATATTCAGACAATTCCAGTTATAAAGCAACCTCCAGTATTCGGAATTAAAAAAAATGATCAACGTGGAAGAGCTAAAATTGCTCCATATGCAGAAGGAAAACGAAAAATGGGGTAATTTTTGGTCCTTCCCCGAGTTACAGTATATAAATATAAACTTAAAAATTTGAATTATTTAATTTAGTGAAACAAAGAAAACACAAGATATGAAATAATTTGATTACAGTCGTCGAATCCTAATCGTATTTCTTCTAAGCACAATCAGTGGCTCAGTTATTGCGTGGTCCGGAGCTACTGCATTCGACAATCTCAATATGAGAATAGACCATTATAGAGATCAATATGAGACATCACTGTTCAAATGATTTGGGAAATGAAAGAATACTCGTTAAACGGGTATCAAAAAAAAAACAATTTATAGGCATTTTAATGCATTTAATAGATTTACTCTCAGAAATATTTAATAAAGCATTAACAGAAGTATCCGACATTCTTGTAAATTATTTGGATAGACCGGTCTGTTCCAAACTATAATTATATAAATCTTCGCAAGCTTGATCATCGGTTGCAAGTGGTGATTCAGCGGCAAGTTTGCATTCCCTGAGATAAGAATATACTATGTAGAAATCGTTGGACCTTACTTGAAATATTTTCCACTAACTCCTTCAACCTTTTTGCTAAGAGCACAATATAACGAGGTTTGGGCTCCATCTCTTGGAGTCTTCAAAACGAACCATCTATAAAAATGCAATTGTCATAAACATATTATACAGAAAAAAACAAATAATCTGCAAAAATGCAAGTTTAGAATTACCTGAATGGTGCGGTAATCTGCTTAATGACTGGAAGATAAAAAAAGGAGGAGCGCATAAGTGGAGTGTTAACACCACCCGGATGAAGCGAATTCACTGTTACATTGTGGGTTCCTTCTTTTCTCAATCGATGAGTCAACGCCCTAGCATGCATCACCTAAAAATTGTCAAAAAAAATCTTTAGTTAAAGCTTACATTAGCCAATTTGCTTTGACAATAAGACGACATGCTTCCGAAATATTTCTTATCGTCAACTTTAGATAAATCGATGCGTTTCGAATGTGTGTGAAGCAATGAAGAAACGTTCACGATTCTTCCAGAATTCGATTTTTTAATTGCTGGCAAAAGCAGCTCCGTGAGCAAAAAGTGTCCTAAACCGTGTTAATAATTCAAAAATTAATATATAAAATATTAATCTACCCAGATGATTAGACTGCCAAGTCTTTTCATGCCCATCTATCGTAGTTTCGAACTTGTTTTGGAACATTATACCCGCATTATTGATAAGAATATCGATATGATCTTCCGCTTCGAGTAGTTCTTTTGCTGCATTTCGGATGCTTTCGAAATTGCACAAATCGCATTCAATTATGTGAAGACGGAATGAGTGGCAACCAAGCTGAAAAAATGATAAAACTCCGAGTTTCGCAATACATAATTCGTATTAAATTCACTTTCACTAAATTTCTTCTAGCCTCATTTGCACGATCTTCATTTCGACAAAGCATATAAACCTGAAAAGCCAATTTCAAAGCAGAATAAAATAAGAATTGAACTCACTTTTCCTTTTCGCAAATTTAGCTCGCGAACGGTTTCAAATCCAATTCCACAGTTGGCACCAGTTACGACAATTACCAAGTTTTTCGCAGAAGCTTTTTCAGTGAATTGAGCACCTTTGAAGTATCTCCTGTAGAAATGCGGCAAATTTTATAACGGTCAAACATTAAATTCGCAATTTTTACCTGATCAATGCCAATGCTCCAACTATAATGAAAAAATAAAGACATGTGGATAAGAATGTATCAGAAGCTTCAATATCATCTTCCGCCATCTAAAAATCGATATCTCGGAAATGAGGTTGAAAAAGTATGGATATTGAGAAAAGATGAAATGCGGCATCTGTCAACAAAAAAAAAACGCAGCGGCAATGGAGCATAGTTGCAACTGATAAATAATCATTTCGCAAGTGAACGAATCATCTTTTTGTGTGAATATGTGAGCCAAAATCTATCAATCACCTCCGTTTCGCAATTTATTTGTGATACATTAAAATAAACACATGCATTCAAAAAGGAAATTCACCGAAAAGAAAAGAAACACATCGAATTAAATAAATAATAAATATGGATTTGAAATATAAAAAGAAATGGGGATGTTAAAACAACAAATAATTAATCGCGGTTTGCAATCTGATTCAAATGGTGTTCGACCTGGTCGTTTGTCAACTTTCTGAAAAAAAACAATTGTTTGAACGCAACAATAATGTAATGCTTTCAATGAATAATTTGTATAAACCCCAAAAACTTTTCAATAAGACCATTTCAGAGAAGCTGATTGAAGAAGCGGTCAACTTATCGAGATATCGGTTAGGTTACAAAACAATTAAAAACATTTTAAACTGATTAAAATCATACGTGAACTTGGTGTTTTCTTTGGTAACGATAACGACTTCGATGTCCTTGGAACGAACATCAACACCAAGAGCGGTCTGAAGCCCTTCAATAGCTAATTCAATAGCTTCGTTCTTGGAAAGATCAGCTTTCTTCTTAATCTTCTTCTCAAGAAATGAGGTGGCAGCAACCTGAAGTATCATAAATAATTAAGGAATTACATACATAATAAATTACCTGTTTGACACCAACAGATACTCCTTTCAATCCGCGATAATATCCAGCCGGATCAACTCTATACACAACTGGTCCGTCTTCATCGTCGTACGAAATGAACACCAAAGCTAGAATGGGTAGAGTATTGATAATACATTATTTTGGTAATACCACATCCGAGACTGCGCATCTCAGCGTTCTGAGTGTAGTATTGGTTTAAATCGGCCATTTTCTTGGCAAGCTGTTCACACGGCATATCGTATCCGTGAGTGTACTTCCAGTTTGCGGCCTCGTATTGCGCACGTTTGATCTATATAATAATGAGTAATGTTGTACATCTCGTAATTCGAACCTGATATTTAGCATCAGGAATCATTCCGATGGCGCAGCATCCGACGGTTGGAGAGATTTGATAAACCGAAGTAACAGTATCAGCGACAATCAAGCTGTCCGGTACTCGCTTTTGAACGGCGATCACGGCTGTATCTTTACCCTTAACAGCAACAGCTGTCAAATTTGTCGAGTTGATTGCCTTGAACGCATATTCGACCTAAAGAACATCACTGTCAGATCTAAAAATTACTAATGGTATTGAATAACATGCAGATTTTGGAGAACAACTTAAAAAAGACTGGTTAAAAGTATTTTTTGAAAAATCTGCATAGAGTATTTGAGTTATTGAAATATGCAAAGTTCCGTAAATTACCTGGTAGACACGGCCTTCCGGAGAGAAGATAGTAATATGACGATCGAATCCAGCGCTGCTTCCTCTCGACATCTAAAAATAAAAAGAAACGAATGAAGAAATAAATAAATAAATAATGAAATAGGCGAATCTCGGGAATAAAACCGAAAAAAATGTTTTAAAGTATAAAATGTTATTTTGAAAATTTATACAACAAAAAAATTAAAACGTAACAATAACAATAACAACTTTGGTTGAAACAACGTGAAAACTATGAGTACTCAATATCCTTCTTTTTGCACTTCAGACATGTATAGAAAACGGTTTGTCCTTCATCAGCCGATCTCGTTTGCATGGTAGAATACGTTGCTTTATTGTGTCCACATCTGCAAATAAATTTCTAACATTCTAGCGATTTTAAACTGTTTTACTTTGTGCAAACATGTTCAACGATAGCATCGGCTGCATCTTCGTGCTCAATTCCATCGGTATCCGCTACAGTTCGTTCGTATACTTTCTCTATTCGACACACCAATTGGTTATTTTTTTCTAGAATGTTCAACTTTAATTCGCTCACAGGAACATAGTGCAGGATTTGAGCAGGCTTTACGCAGTCTTAGTTAGCAACAACGTAAAATTTGCTGGCAGTCTGGGAAAACTATGCAGACTTTAAAATATGTGAGTTCAAGTAACGAAATAGTATTAGATTCGCAAAAAAAACGAGCACCATACGCCTAGTAGTATGGTACTGAATTCCAATTGCTTAAATTCAAATTTGAATCACCGCCTCGAAAAATTGCCAGTCTACAGTTCTACAATTTTACAAGCCTACAATTATGTCAGGCGCTCGTTTTTTTTCGATGCAAATATCATCACTGCCGTTTTTACAGCAAAATTTGCTGATTGGTAATAAAATAAAAGCAAACCTTTGATTGTCCACTGAGTAGCACATATTTTGCATGTTACCAGAGATGGAGCACGAGTAGGAACTGTTAAAACAGCTCCACAATATCCACAGAAATCACTATTAAGCGAAACAAAGCCAATTGTCATGATTTTCTGAAAGAAATCATGATTTTTCTGGTCGAAGATAGAGGATGACAATTTAAAAAATCATAGTGCGGTGGAGCGCATTTGTGTCGCGACACAAAAGGTATTGAGTGAGGATTTTTTTCGAAAATAAAAACGGAAAAATTTCAACGATTGACGGAATGAATTTGCCAATAGAAATATATTATCGAATGAACGTGTAATGATAATAATATTTTTAACAATATAAAAATTTATAAGACAACAAATCAACATAATTAAATGTGAACCAAAAAACGGAAAGAATACAACAACAAAAACAATAAAATAGGACAACAACAACACCAACAACCACCAATTTATTTTTTCCCTTTGCCTTTGCCTTTTCCACCAGTTCGTCCTTTTTTCTTATTGTCGACTTTGTTCTTAAACCATTGCTGTCGGTGGATCTGACTTTTCTGTCTTGTCGGTTGGCCGTTTTTCTTTTTTTCCTTCTTTTCTTTTTTGCTGAAACTCAAATGATAATTATTACAAAAATGAATTTCAATCTAACTCTGTAATAGGACCAGCAACCGCTGCAACTTTCTCTTCAATAATCTTTGCCTTTTTAGCCTTCATTTTTTGAAGAATTTGAAGAGCACGTTCCTTTTCGTTCGCAACAGGAGCCTCATTTGCATCAAACTTAAATAATTAATTGCAAAAACAAAATTATTAGTATCTATGGCATTACCTTTCTTTTCTTTCCAGTTTTGATGTTGACTTTTTCTCCTTTCAATCCATCTTGAAACTTACCAACGGAAGCCGTCGCTACCTTAGCGCGATCAACTGCAAATCGGACTTGCTGCTTCGTCTTTTCCGTCGCATCAAGTCCCGCTCCGATAAGCTTGTCAGTAGAAGGCCCAGATTTTACCGTAGTTTTCATTTGACGAGCCAAATTCTTCATTCTTTGTACTTCATTTTTGGCCACACGTTCTTTTTTCTTCTCTTTTCTCTCGGCAAAGTAATCCTTGTATGGATCTTAAAGGTTTACCGTTGTACACAAATATACCATTGTTTTACCTTCAGCATTATCAGGAATTTCGATAAGAATGTCCTTAGTATCATCGTTCGCCCTACGATATCCAAATGTAGGCTTCCATTCTTTGGTGGCTTCGTCGAAAACTTTCTTGTCCTTCTTTCTCTTAGCAATTCCTTTTTCAGCTGCGTATTTTTCCCATTTAGTAGGTTCTTTCTTTTCAGGAAGCTGCAATTATAAATACAAACAATTTATTTTTTTCACTAATCCAAAATACCTTTTTCTCTCTTGGAAGTCTATAAACTGGCTGCGGAAGCTCTACAACTATCGCATCTTCAACTCTTTTCTGCTCAAGTTGCCAAATATTATTGAAAAGAATTTGCGTATTATTCCTGGCTCGTGTTTCAAGATTTTCTCTGTAGATTATTACATATTTAAACGTAGCAAATTCATTCAACTAACGTGGAATCACCCTGAATCGGTTCTCTGTCAATGAAGAGAAGATTACCCAAATCAATAATAGGATCGACAACTTTTTCAACAGAGGTCGATTTTTCTGCCATTCTATAATAAAAATATTTCTTTGTATCAAAAATTATGGAAAATAATTGAAAACCGAAAGAAAAAACAGTGTGAGGATTAAAAAAAATATATGAAAAATGAAAAGGGCGTGGTCTGATTTGCAACTGCGGCATTGGAAATGCGCTGCGACCGCATAGACTTTTGCTCCTTTTTTTTAAATTTGTTTAATTTTTAAAGCATTCAATGGGCTTATTCATAAAATAAATAATTGTAAATTTACACATTGTTCGAATTTGCACAGTTAATGTAGTATTTTACAATTTTTATAAAAGATACATTTCCTGAATAAGGCCATAAGATGTTTTTTATTATTTATATAGATTATTTCCTGTAAATTAAAATCAATTAGATTCGATGAAAAAGAAAGTGTAAATTAACCTGATTGGATAGAAAAATAATTGAAATTCGATTGAGAAAATGTTTATATTCGATTTGAAAAAGTTCAAAAATCGTCAAAATCGTCTGATTTATTTCTGATTTTAAACTTTACCATCGTATTCGATTGAAATTTTCGTTTACTTCGAAACAGATTAATTTATATTCGATTTCGATTAAAAACGAACTTTTTTCGAATCCAATTGATTTTTATATACTTTGTTCATTTTAAATTTAATGCAACGGTATATTTTTTACAAATTCTTCTCATGTTAAATTTTTTTGTTTGATTCGCTTCAAATTAATCAATTATTAATAATTATTTCAGATCATACATCTTCACAGTATTTTTTGAGTAAGTTCTCTTGATTAATTTTAAACACGTACTTAGTTTGGCAAATTTAGTTATAAGCGAATAGCGAAAAAAATCCCATTCTCAGGAAAATGAATGAAATTTTTTAGATTCCATGTACAAGAATTTCAAATTGTTTTCCATTAAAAGTTTTTTTAAATCATGGAATGCAATGTTATGAATATAATAACAAACCTATTGTTGACTGCAAAAACTCTTCGAAAAAAGACCAAGCCCGATTTGCAAAAAAATACGAAAATAGTTATTCTTAAATTTTTTTGTGAATTTTCAATTATGAATTATAAAAAGAACAAATTTCTCTTTTTGAAACAAAAAGTAACAGTTTTAGGTTAATTTTTCAAAAAAAAATGTTATTTTTCCAAAATTTGTTAATTTGACTGCTGAATTTTCTTGAGCACCGTCGCAAGGACGGGGAAATGTCGCATTGTCGGTTAAAGAGGCATTTTAAAAATTTATTCAGTTTCTAGATTCACTCATATACATATTTAGAAAGATCAATGTGTTGTCAATAGGCTTCACCATTATGTTATATCTATTATTACGTTCGCAAAGAAGCCGATTTACGGTGAATTTAATTTGCAGTTTATCGTTTTAATTCAAATTGAATTACTGCCCGAAATAATTCCACAGTTACTCAAGGTCGTTTTTTTGCGATGGTAATATAGACAATTATAAATATTACAGTAAGTATTTATTTAAATTGAATATTCGGATATTGGTTGATAGACGGTGTGATCAAAGACAACAGGAATCCCATTTGATTCGACGATATTCATCAATTTCGACTTTTTGGTTTTTTCCATGTAGAATTGATTCGTAGTATCAATGAACTTTGATGGTCGAATACCGTTTCTAAAGAAAAATATAACTAAAATCTCGATTTTTGTCAATGGCTCGCGGCTGCGCGTAATTGGTTAAATGCGAAAAAAAAAAATCAAATTAAAGGTGTTGATTGCAAAATTAAAAGTGTCGATTTACGCACCTAATGATAGGTAAAAGGCGCACAACGCCCAACAAGGTTTCCTCTGATTTTTTAAAAACTCAAAAATATTACTCAATTGCCATTTTTGCTGCTCCAATCTCCAATGTTTCTCCAAGATTCTTTCCGCGATGACTCTATAAACGGTTTTCCATTTCTTACTGATATTCTAAAATCTTACGTCAAAGACATGTAAATTTGAGAATGTTCCGTGCGATTCTGACGAAATGTATCCAGCAAGTTCATCCCCTTTACGTGCGCAAAGGGCAGGGAAATGACGAAGTTTCTCACTGAATCCGAATTTTATTCCCCAGAATTTGTTGTTTCAATACCGTAGGAGCAGAATTTTTTTTTCATCTGTTGGTGATTCGGCTGAAGTTCCAACAATCATATGAATGTCTTCTTCCGGAACTGGTACATCTAAAGTTTTTCAATTTATTTCCCAACATCACGCAATAGAAGATACCAAGAGAATATCCTTCTGGAATTGTGTCATTGTTTTCGTAATGTCTGTATTTGAAAATTTGGCTCTCATTCATTGTAAAAAAATGCGCCGACTTTTTAGAAACATTGACCTTGATGTTGTTTTTGTTCAAATAATTCACAATCTGTAAAAACGCGTTATCATACAGTCGTCGTTGCACTTTTTGTAGCCTAACAGCATTTGTATAACAATTCTCGGCGACGGTAGACGGCAAACTGCCGACAGTGAACAGATTGACGGTCTTTGCAAATTCGTCGAAACATTTTAAAAATTCCGACTCTTGAAATTTTCCATCGTGAGTGAAAATTTGGCGATCCCTAAAAAGATGAAAGATTTTGGCTAAATTGCTTTGACGGGTTTGATTTTACGATATAGTTTTCGTCGTTCGGAATGTTATGTCGACGACAGATCACTAAGTTTCAATTCACTGACATATTATTGTGATAAAAATTATTTTGATTATTGTTGTCTTCTGCAGGCCATTTCTTTTCTACGAGAAATTTCGAAAGTTTCGATGGGCAAAACTAACCTTTCATACGGATTGCTCATATTAGCCAACCAATATGTTGTTCCATTAACATTTCTTGAATACAGCGTTGTTCTGGTTCCAGGAAAAGTCTGATTGATCTCGAATTTAAGCGGGTGGTACATGAAGAGTTGACGAGGCTTTCGAAAATTCTCGACGACCGTTTGTAGCGCTTTCTTCGATGTGTAGGCTTTCATGATAGATTAGACGAACCACGAGCGGATTGAAGTACTGTTTTGCGGACCCCTTTTTAAAAGCCATCCGCAAGCTCCGCCCATTCGATGTATTTTTCTCATACACACGTGGGGCAATGACGATAAATTGGAAATAGTGTGTTGTTAGAGAATGATGGATCAATGATGATAATGGCGACGTTATTGAAGTAGATACGAAAAAATGCGATTCGTTGAAATTAGAGTGAACATGCGTTTTCATAAAACATATTGGACTTGTTGACGACATAGTGATAATAGGTGATGTAAAAATGATTGTGCGGGAATCAGATGTCGAAAACGGGACGAATGATATAGAAAGATCTTTTAAGATTGATAAACACTTCGAATTTGTTTTGATCATGGAAAATTTGTAGCTTCAATGTTATGCAACTGATGTGAATATTGCATTTGGGTTTTCACTAATATAAAGGCACTAAAAAGTTGTAAGAACAGAATATCATTAAAAAGTTTTTTTACAATTTTTCAAAACATGATTTTTGTGGGATCATTCTATTTGTTGCGAACAACTGCGAGTTCTAGCGATTATAAAAAAAAGTTATAGTCGGCGTCCGACAACTACTGTACGCGGGTAGATTTACGCGCGTGCGCCTTGAAAAGGTCTCGCCACGTGTGAATGCTTATTTTGCTGTTTTCAAGTGAACGATTTATTTTTTCTTGATGAATTTCGCATTTCCTTGAATTTCCAACGTGATTCGATTAAAAAATTATCGAACCGGTCCATAAAATTTGAAATAACCTGTTAGTCCTCGCGAGACCATTTCGAAAGACGCATTCCCGTAAATCTACCCGCGTACAGCAGTCGCCGGACGCCGACTATATTATCATTTATAGTTCTTTTTGATGAAATTCACGCCAGACAGTTTTTGATGGATGCATTCTCGAAATTCGTTTCGGTACATGTCAGGTACTGTCGCCGCGTGATGTTCTGTGTTCTTCGACCATCGTTCAAAATGTTACCTGATATATGGTGGATAATCCGGGCAGGACTATTGGTCCCGCTCGGCCCTAGCATGTTGGACTGTTCCAGGCCGACCTGGAGACCCAGCCTAATCATGTCATAAATACCATGTGTGTTTTTTTGTTAGATTTGAAAAATTGTGTTCAAAATAAAACACAAAGAGTACAGTTTTTAGAATTTAACCTTTCTTATCTTTAAAATCCAAACAATCAAATTAGAAACTTCGATAAATCACGTCCGATGCGAAACTTGTTATTGGCTTAAAATGGTTTTGTTCAGGTGCATGTTTCACGTTCGTCGGCAACAAATTGCGAGAATTTTGTTCAATGCATACTCGTCTGAAGTCACACAGTGCTCAAATCTGCCCAGTTCGAGTATAAACTGAATAATTTTATTTTGAAAATACATATTTCAAGGTACGGATCCTTCTCTGATTCCAACTTTACCGTTTGCTGATTTTATCAAAGTCAAATATGGTTCTAAGATGGATAATTTGAATGTTAATATAGAAAATTTTAACCGGGAACGCTTAAAATTGAAAACGTACCAGAAACAAGACGAGTTTTTCGAAAAATTATTCGCAAACAGTCTAAATTTATCGAAATGTGATCTTCTAACTGTGGGATCGATGGCTACACAATTCGTCAACGAAGAGTCCGATTTCGATTTCGTATTTTTTCCGAAAATTCCGGAAATGCGTCGAAGATATTTGCGAGATTTTCACAGTAATCCAAGTTTCAAACAGTAAGATTATATAGGAAATAATTGCTCAATAATTGTTTAGTTTAGAAATTTCATGTCGACATTTATGAAAGTAATAGAACGAGAAAGTGAAAAACTTGGAGTGCCAGTGACAAAAGTCGTCGAATTGTCGAGACTTCGCGTTCCTTTACTGATTGTTCGATTCGAAAGCGGATTAAGTATGGATATTCAATTTCCTGATGAAAATTATCACGCAATTCGAAATACGCATTTAATTAAATGCTATAAAAAGGTTCGTTTTCAACTAATTAATAATTTCCATTTCCTTCTCAGAAAATTCTTTTCTCGACCATTTTAACAAAAATCCATCGAATGTGTAAAGGTCTAAACTATTGTCGAAACAAATACCTATATTATACACGTTGCTTTAAAAACCAAACGATTGCGAAAGAATGATGAAAAATTAGAGAACGTGATGTGTCGTTGTCTGATCGGATAAACATTAACACAGCGTACATTGTCGAATGTCATCGAATATGACATTTTTAACTAATTAAACGGAGAGGATTATCATTGAATGAAATGCAGTCGCTATCTCACCTTTACTTTAAAACCATCATGCTATAGAAAAAAAGTAAAAATTAAAAATTCACACGATTTAAGATATAAGAAATTTCGGAAGCAAATTAACATCGAAATATTACAATCGCAAAACAACGATCGCTCTGTGTCGATTTACGAGAGTTTAATTCGCAGGTTATTCGTAGTACGGTACCCGAATTCAAATGCTTAAATCGAAATTTGAATAACCGCCCGAAAAATTGTTTGTTTTTCCGATGTTATTATTTTCAGCGCAAAAAAAAAACGAGCGCCTCGCAAACTTGTTGACCATCGAACTTTTCGAGGCGGTATTTCAAATTCGAATTTAAACCGTGGGAATTCGGGTACCGTAAAAAGAATAGACAGACTGTAGATCGGCGCAGGATGCTCGTTTTTTGCGAATGCAACACATTTGCATTTCAGTGTGATGATAGATTCACATATCTGTTTTTGTGGCTGCGCAACATCTGTGATAAATTAGAGATCCGAAACAGTAAATACGGTTTATTATCATCGTATCATCTCTTGTTGCTTGTCGTTCATTTTCTGCAAAGCGAACAGGCGTTGTCACCATGGCCGGTGCTTCCGGTTCTTGCCAAATCGCACAATTCGCTAGTGTCGGCCGAAGTCAAAATTGATAAGGTTGCTGAGATGATTCGGGATGATTCAATTGATATTGGTAAATTTTATTGAATTTTTTGTAAAGTGATATTTGCTGGTTTAGAATGGACGTCACACAACAAAATGAGCATCGGCGAATTAATTGTACGATTCATCGATTATTATTATCATTTCAACGCAGCCAAAGAAGCAATTTACATTGAGAAGGGTCTCGCCTTGAAAAGGTCAGCGGTATAAACTTGCCTAGAAAATTTTAGGAAAAAACTAAAGAATAATTTGTTTTTTTTTCTGTACTCAAATGGTTCTTAATAGTATTACAACATGCGGAGAGAGGAAAATAGGAACTCTTATAGGAAGCAAGCATTCGGAGATGTTCGTCTTCAAATTATTGATCCTTATTCTCCATCTTCAGTATGCCGATCTCCATATGCAACATCCGCATTTTTCGACGCAATTCGCTTCATTAGGGGACAATTCAAGCAAGGTTCGTGCTCATTTTTAACTCAATGAATCCAATAATTTTCAGGAAGAATGATAGACAGCTTTCCAGAAGTTCCAGAAGCGGCTCGATTCAAACGGGAAACGCAATTTGCAAGATGGAGAACACAAATGGCTGATAAAATTGTGTTTTGAATTGAAATACGAAACCGATTAATGTTAAATATATTTATTAGAAAGAAAATAAATCCCGTGTTGATAGACTGAATATCACATGCATCGTATACATATCACCATTCAACTTTCATGTTTTTATATAAATTAGCTCTTCGAGAGAATTTACTCCCACTTCTATTTCCTAGATCGTCGACATGCCGAAGGACCTGTAAAATAATAAAAAGCCATGAAAAGATATAGAAAGTAGATTACCTCATCGAGCTGGTCCTTGGAATGAGCAGCTGAAATACAGAAACGAACTCTTCCTTCCGTCATATGAGTAGCTGGAAATGAAACAACGACAGCTCCAATGTTGCGTTCAAGCATACCACGACCATAAAATCTGAAATTATTCGAAATGAGGATAATCAAACAAAAATTGAAGCGAATTTTCTTACCCGCACATCGATGGATAGTAGATGAGCATTGGAACTACTGGAGAATCGTTGCTTCCATAAACGATAAATCCCATTTGTTTCAATTTGAGTCGGAAATAATGAGAATTTCTCGCCAATCTTTCGATTCTCTTGGCTCCATCATTTGTTCCGTCTTTTCCTAATATAATACACATTGATGTATAAATTTGTTGAGCAATTGGCGGTGACATTGGCGAAGAATAATAGCCAGTTGGTGAAGCGACACGCAAATGATCAATGGTTCTTTTCGATCCGGCAATGTAGCCTCCCGCCGATCCGAATGATTTTGTGAAGGTGCCCATAAGAATATCGACATCTCGTGGATCACATCCCCAATATTCGACAACTCCTTTGCCAGTTTTTCCCATTGCTCCTAAAACATTTAACAAATGACCAGATTGGTTAAAAAACATTTACCAATTGAATGGGCTTCATCGAGATACAAATTTGCCTTATATTTCTTTTTAAGCGCAATGATACCAGGCAGATTGCAAATTGAACCCTCCATTGAGTAAATACCTGAAAAATATTAATTTTAATTGACTAAAAGGCATAAGACGTGGTCGATGAATACCTTCCACAATTATGAGGATCTTCTTATAAGGTCGGTGAGTTTTCGGATTTCCGTAAGCGATGGCATCTCGCAGAATTTTTTCTAACGAATCCATATCTTAAAGCAAAAGTAGGGGTATTAAAGCGTCTTTTAAATAAATTTTTACCATTATGCTCAAAAACTCTTGTTGAAGCACCTGACAGTCGGCATCCAAGAATTAAAGAAGCGTGATTGTGCTTGTCCGAGATAATCAAGGAGTTTTTGTCAACCAAACATGGGGCGTTCATCGAATTCGTAGCGAATCCCATGCTGAAGCAAATCGCGTCTTCGACTCCAAGGAACTCAGCGACCAGTTTTTCGAGTTTCGCCTGCGACACACTTCGGCCGCGTTCATGAACAGTTGTGCAACAGGAGATTCCTTCTCGATCGATGCTCTCGGCTGCGGCTTCCGCACAAGGCCCCGAAGCTTGTGCAAATCCTAGATAGTTGTAGGAGCCGACATTTATGACGTTAGTAGTTGTTCCAGGATACTCATAGGTCCAGTTTCCATCGTGTGATACACGGTCAATGAGATCAACAGTGGCTCCGGGCACACTGCAAATCGGCCTCTCGAACACGTCCCGCACTTTGATGTAACAGTTTCGTTGGTAGAACGCCTCAAAGTCGCTAAACAGAGGCACGAAATCCTGAAACTCAGAGTATGGTTTGTGACACGAGAGTACAGTTTGTTTGCTTTTTCTCGCAGATAACACGCCAGTTTTCGGGCATATTCTGCTCAAAAAATCATTGTGATCAAAACACTAACTATGCGTACATTCAAACATGATAACGCGTCCTTTTTGATTACACTTGCAAAATTTCCGTAATGCAACTTGAAAAATGAACTTGATACGATAAAGATGTCTCGGAAATTGGAGAAAATGGTTCGATTGAACGTTTTTTGTGACAACGATGTTTGTGTCAAAACGAAGAGAAAATACAAAAATGGAAATGCATTAAATATTTAATCTGGGCTTGAAAATGTATTTTTGAAGACTCAAGTTGACAAATTCTCAATGAAAATTGTGTTGGATATTATTCAAATAGTTACTTTCATCTTCTCATTTTCTTTGCTCGACAAATCTTGAATGATTCCAAGTCTTGTGCACCATTCCCGAATATGGGCGAACACAAACAGAACGAACCATGCGAAATACACTGATAAAGTCGTGAGTTTTCCTATCTGAAAATGAACAAAAAATACTGAAATTTTAGAGAAAATAATCACTTCTTCAAACTCATTCGGTGCTCTTTTGCCGATTTCTCCGTAAATATCGCGGGTTGTACGGGAGTTCGTGGAATCTGGCTGTTCAAATTTGGTAACAACCTCTTCCTCTTCCTCCTCGTCTTCAACATCTTGATTATGGGCGCACTCAAGGATGTTGGTTCGTTCGGCTAATTTTCTGCAATCAAGCGTATTGAAATTGACGGATAATGTTAAAATATTTTAGGTAACTTCCTACCTACTCAGATACTCATCAATACACAACGAGTCATACTTCTTAGACATTGCGCTAACAAAAATTCACCCGCTGTCAATGCAGAGCACAGTAATTAAACACCAACTGCCTTCATCATAGACTCTCGTCTTCTTATCATTCCCTAACAATGACAGTTTGTATCATATTGTTTTGCTCGCATATATTCTTTTAATTTTAAACAAAAAAGTGGACCTATACTACTATTATAAAGAGAAATCTACAATTATTTTTTTCTGCGTAATATTAAACGAAAAATAGTGTTAGGGTGAGAAGCAAAAAAAACATTATTATTTATTGAAATTTGATTTATTTTTCCTTTCTGAGAATAAAAATATCGGGAAAAGATATATTTAGTAGTAAAACATTTCTCTCCATGAAAGAAATAAATTGCTTTTCAAACAATTAATTTTACCAATTAATTCACAAAATGTGAAGTCTACAAGCGTACATCTGTACTAGTTGTTGGCGGAATTTATGAGAATTTAATTACCTTTGAACGTCGAATCCCTGCGAATTAATGCATTGATTCTGAACAAAAAATATTTAAAAATTAAAATGTTGGGAACTATTTGTTATTCACCTTTAGCTTCTCAGTGAAATACAATATGAATGGTAATTTTTGAAGAAATTGAAATCCATTCGAAATGCGCGCGGTTTTTATTTCATCTGACATTCTGAAAAATCATTTGGTATTACATAGTTAGAGAATCACTGCATAGTTAATGTTGGTTGCCATTTTTGTGTTAGAAACTAATGATAACGGAATAAGTATATAAATAGACGGAAGGTGGAAGAACATTGACAAAATTTGAGAGAGAATAGAGCGATGAATCATTCGCCAATTTTTAATACTTTTTTGCACTAGAAAACACACAATTGTCGACTATGGCACACATGTTTGAATAAAATAAAATTTTTTGGAATTTTTATACAAATCATTGTTCAAATAATTGTTCTTTGCTTTGGTTTTTTTTGTTCCAGGTTCATAAACAATATAACGAAAAATGAGAATCATATGGAAATGTTAATGGCTCAGCCGCTAATATGGTTTCAAATCACGTATTCCCGACTCTCCTTCACCATGGCGACAGACACCAAATTTTCTAGAAGGTCTATTAAAATTTTGCGAAAGCATGGCGACTCTTTTTTGTGCCCGAGGAAATACGAGTGGCATGCAGAAGTTTGAGGTTGCATGCGAAGAATAGTCTAGAAACAAAGTATTGCGACAACCGTTGCCTCGCCCGACCGAGAGCCCAATGAATCGCAAATATTTGACAACATATTCGAGTTGGAAACATTGTTTGAACTGTTGAGAAGCAGACACAGTTATACCGGAATGAATAGACATTGCCATTTTGTGAATTTTGATGTTTACCGTAACTAAGTTCAGTTTAGTGAAATGGCAGAACTACATTCGGAGTTGGATGTTTGGTATTGCATTCGAGGGATTTGTCAAGATCATTCGTATTAAAAAAACAAAATACTTGAAATTTTGAATGCAAACTGAACTTGTAGATGTGTTTTTGGGTATGTGAAAAAAAGGAGTTTACACTTACAAATTGAATTTAATAAAACATTCCTTCGGATAAAATGCGAAATGATCGTAATTATTTTCAGCTTCCGAGCATCTAAATTATTGAACAAACACCGTTTTAACCTACAGATTGACTAGTAATAATGATTTAAAGGTTCTACGGCGGGATTAAGATATGCGATTTCCCCGGGAATTAGCATTGTGCATACGGCCCCGATTTCGCAAAAAAAGTCACAAATTGTGCAAGAATTGGAATAAAGTTCTAACGAGTTTTAACAAGTTTTTTGAGTGTTTCTTACCTACTTACAAGCCCGTTTTTGTTAGCCCGTTTTTTTTTTCAGTCTTGTCGTTTCAACCTGCCATATGGAAAAATCGGCTTCTGGGCCGAGGCATCTCATATTTGATCGAGACAGCCGGAGTTATCAAATTATTAAAAAAACGATCTCCATATTCAAATTATTAAATTGTTTTCGTTTCAATAAAATTCCTTTTTTTTTTTATTTTTTATTCTTCGGTCTAGGACCGGCTTCAAAACAACAAACCTATTTCTAAATTTCTACATTTGAAAAAATGTGCAAACTTTTTAACACATTTATTTCATTGCATGAATAAATCCATAAAATTCACTATTTTACAATTATTTGAAATAAATCTCGTAATGGTAATCTTCCACTTTCATCTTTGTTTAATTTCATAATGAACAATACCTCAAAAAAAGTGTATTGTTCTTAAATTATATGATCGTAAACATACACAAAGTCATAAGTTTTCTATGGCTTCACATCTCTTTAAACTGTGACAAAGACACTGAAATGAGATTGTCTTCTCCGATAACAATTTATTCACCTAAAGTCGTTCTCGGTTCACCGCTCATTTTTATGTAATGCAAACGCGCTCTATCGCACGGTTTGTGTTTCATCTTGTGATATTATTTTCAAAACATTTCTATTTTAAAAAATCTCATTTCTAGAATGTCTGAACGGAAATCTGAAGAGACTGCGGATAAAAATCCCAAAAAAGAAGAAGGAGGCGACAACGGAGATAGTTTGGCTAGTGGTTTTGGGCTGTTTGGAGCATCTGCTTCTTCATGGCTTAATCAAGGTTCATCATGGGGTGCGTCATTCTTAAATAATGCAAAAGAAAAGGTTAGTTGTTATATTGAATAATATAAATCTGCTTGATTATAACATTTAGACTATGACAACATTGGATTTGGTGAAGAAAGATTTAAATGATCTTAGCCAAGCTGTGACGGCCGAAGTAAATGATCTCGCATCTGCTGCGAAAGAAGGTCTTGGTACTGCTGCCAATGTGGTTAAACAACAAGCTCAAACCATCGAAAGTCTCTTGACCCCCGTAGAAGAAGAAAAACCTGTGCCAGGAGAAGCTGAAGGAAATGCGCCGGAAGTGAAACCCGAAGAGCACAAGTCGCCGTTCGGGTGGATGACGAAAATCGTGGATACTGTTTCAGACACTGTTAAAAATCTTGCAATGGAGGAAACTACTGAGGGAGAAGAGCAGTACACAGAAACAATTAAACCTAAACAGGTCCGGAAGATCTGCATTTCACAAGTAAAATTGTACTCAGTTATTAACATGCAATAGTTATTTTAGATCAAGCTGTCTGAAATTCAAACCAATCTGGACACGTATCTAATTGAACCTAAGAAAAGCGAATTTTATGAACGCTGGCTGTCAAAGTTCAGGTATTTATTCTGAAATATATCGTCCATTCCGAAAAATTGATTTCATTAAGACTTGATGAATATGATGGCGAAATCAATATTCTTTTGGCCAACAATCCAGCTCTGCGGCAAATTTTCGCTAAAATTGTTCCATCTCAAATTTCTCATGACACATTCTGGCTCCGCTATTTCTTCGCTATCGAAGTTGCCGAACTTGAAGCGGAAATGAACAATTCGACTTTGTCAGAAGCTTTAAATATTGACACTTCGGTCAAGAAAGGTTTGTAATGTTGAAAGAAAAACGTATTCAAATATTTTTAGAAAAAAAAGTTGCGGAAGAAGTTTCGAAGAAATCATCTCCGTCATCTGATGGATCAGCTGTTGTCGTTGAAGAACCGACTAGTCCTTCACAGTCAGAATGGAGCGTTTGCAGTGAAAAGAATGAGGTTGAGGTAATCATTCAATTCAATTTGCTTCAACAACATTTCTCATTAAAAATTTGGAAATTTAATGTCAGAAAGCGAAAATTCCTCAAATCCTGAAAATTACGGAATTAAAAAAATAAGAAATTAAGGAAATAAGTTCAAACGAAGGTGAAGACGAAGAACAAAAAGGCCCTTTAACTCCACGAGCTTCTGCGGAGTTATCTGACAAAAAAGGAAATAAAGAAGATGGATGGGTTAACTGGGACGAATAAAACATTTTTTTTAATTGAAACTGATGGTAAAATTCATATTCATTCCACTCCTTAGATTCAATTTGGTGTATTACTTCTGGATTAGAATTCTGTATATATTTTATTGATTAAAAACGAAATTGGATGGTGTTGTATATAATAAAATCAGTGCTTATTATTTGTATTTAATAATTTCTATTTACTTATTGGTTTCGACCATAATTCATACTTTTTTTTAATTAAAAAAATTATTGTATTGAACTTATCGATTGTAGAATGAGTGGACCAGGATTCGTTGGCATCAAATTTTGCCCGGAATGGTAAGAAAATTGAATTTGCCATTGTTTTATTGTAGTCGCTTTCAGCAATAACATGTTATATCCAAGGGAGAATAAAGAAGAACGAGTTTTAATGTATATGTGCAGAAATTGTGAACACAAAGAGGTTTTTTCGTAGTTTTTATTTCAAGAAGTATTCGCAAAATTTTAGCTGTCGGATAATCCGTGCATTTATGTGAACAAGTTGGTTCATGAAATTGAGTAAGTTTGAAATTTCTATGTCATTGTAATATTCAAAATGAAATATGTATATTTCTCAAAACCCTCTTGCTCTTTTATCGTGTTATCATTTTAATCGACGATCGATTGCAGCGAATTGACACAAATTGTTGCTGATATTATTCACGATCCGACACTTCCGAAAACTGAAGATCATCCTTGTCCGAAATGCGGCGGAACTCTGGCAGTATTTTTCCAGGCGCAAACCAAAAAAGCTGAGGTTTCATCCTTTTTTGTTTTTTTTAAATTGCAAATAATGTTATTTAGGAGGAAATGCGACTTTATTATGTATGCGCTGTTCCCGGCTGCCAGCATCGATGGACTGAATAATTTCGTTATACGCTTTTATTTATGTAATTTATTAAAAATATAATTTGCTGATAAAACTTGAACCACGGGATATTCAATTTGTTTTATCTAAAATTATGGTAATATTCCTTATTTATCTCATAACTTATTTTTTTTTTAATTTTCAAGTTTCTTTTAGACAATGTTGAAGCAGAAGACGTTGATTGAAGTTTTGTCCCAGGTGAACACATCTGATGTTCACGGAGCAATGCTTTTCAACAAAGAAGGTACTTTTTGTTTTAAATCCGTTTTGTCGATTTCGCGGTCGAGGCGAAAAACGGTCTTCTTTCCTTTGCCAATTGATATTGAATCGAACACGAATTGCTCTTTCACATACGAACATTTTACAATATTATTCGAGTGAATTCTAATCGAATTCCGAAAAGCAATCGAGTACGATAAACTAAAACTGAATCGGTTATTTTCGGAGACGAATTTTGTATTCGATTCGAAACGAATTATTGTCGGCATCGCACGACTGCGAAAAATTGGCTAAATGCCCAAAAGACAATATTAAAATGTAGATTTACGGACAAATGCATAACGATAGGTTGATGATGCATACCACTTTATATTTTTTGGCATTTAGCCAATTTTTCGCAGTCGCCTGACGTCGACATTACCAAAAAGAGAGAGAGAGAGAGACACATGAATCTATTCAATGTATTATCAGCGTGCTAAGGTTTTTTGTATATTTTAAATTTAGGTCTTCTTCTCGCATACAGCGGATACAACCAAGGAAAATGTGCTCCAAATGTCGCGGCTGCGCTGATTGCTGGAATCTGGAACGGATTGGACCGTCGAGGTACTTTTTTTCGGCAAAATACTTATTTTGGATGGTGTTTCTTCTTCTTCAGACATGAAAGAAACGATTCTCGTAATGGAAGACGGAATCATCGCAGCAACACAAGTTGCCACAATGTTATTGGCAATAAAAGTAGGATAATTGCGCAATAAATTTCTAATTAAAATCGCGAAATTTCAGGCTGCAAATGTGAGCGATATCGGAATGATTCGAACAAAATTGAAAGCCCTTGCCTCACATTTGGAAGAGCCGATTTCGGTTATCACTCGAGAATCATTATAATTGTTTCCATATCCAACTATCGGGTGTTTCAAAAATCTGGGCCTAGTCGTAATTTGTTGATTATTTTGATATTTGTTTCCGTCTTCGTTTTTTTCTTTAACCATTAAATATAACAATATTAATTTATGAATTGCAGTTATGAAATCTTATTTTTGTGCACTGCGCAACAGACATTCTTTATTTGCCCACAAACATGCCAATTTTTAACGGAATTTCTTGAATCAATCAACAGTTATCACGATACATTTATAGCAAGAATAATTTAGCAACACAATTTCATTATGAATTAATAAAATACTTTATTGGCATTCAAATCGTATATTTTCCCTTAAAAACACAACCAAAAACACTTTGGGCACTAATCTACTAACTTTGATTCTACTAATTTACAATAAAAACTAAAAACTAACAAAGAAAACATCAGACGCCGTATTATGTGATTGAGACGATTGGAATAATGAACAATCCAACTGAAGAGATTAGTAAATAAACACGAAAGTAAGAAGTTAAATAATCGATAAGAGGATTAATTAGTAAAAAATTGTTAACGTTTCTAAAAATTAAAACGAAATGTTTGAAGGAGAAAAGGCTACAGAATTTGGCAAAACAATATGTGGAACGATGAATATCCCGGCTAAAAGAAAGTTGTCGACATATTTGGAAATAAGAGGTAAATTATGGAAATTGCTGCTAAATATTTCAGGTAACCCATTTAAGCAACTTCTTCTTCATGATCAATTGCAATGTCGTTAAGAAGAATTGAACGGGGATTTAATAGTTCCATATTAGGAGGTGGCGACACTGAGCAAGGTGACGACGTTATGGGCATCGCAGTACTACTAAAAACTTAATTTAATGTTTTCAGGATGAATGCAATCCTCACCCTAATCTTTTATAAACGGTTCTTCCAGCAAACATCTTTTGACCATAGGTAACTCTGCGAATTGGATCAAATCTTCGTACGGGAACCATTCCAGTCGGAGTAGAAGCAGCTGAAGAAGCCGAGGAACTTGTCGTAGAAGACATTTCAGAATTTAAGCCGTGTGACTGTCGAATTGCTCCAGCTGATTTTGCCTCCTCTTTCCGCAATCTGAAATCACTAGTTTGCTCTCATTTATTTTCACTACGATAACAAGCTTTTTTACACAGTCGTGGGTCTCTTTTGTTTTTTTTTAACGCATTTCATCGATCTGTGACGGAGCGAAATGAGTGCACATTGAACGAGAGCAGGTTGAAAGGTTAGACAACATTTCAGTATAGGAAGAAGATATGAGAAGAAACTCAATCGGCGATAGACGATCGACCAATCGTATAAAATATTTAAAAGAAAACAGAGAAATTGGAACGTGTTTGATGATTTAAACGAACCAGTTTCACGGGTATAAAGCGCATCGAATTGACTAAGCTAACAATTTTTAAACTTGATTTTGAACCGAGAATTTTCACAAAATTAAAAAAATGCTTTGTAACTGTCAAACGACTGAATAACGGCTTGTCGAAATTCGATTAGGAAAATAATAAAGAAAATAGGCCTTACCCCGAAAAATATGCAGGAATTGAGGCGTTTGGCGGACAGCGATGACTCGAGCCAGTGCAGAAGACACTCTCAGCACATGCCACTTCGCAATCGGGATGCACGGTCCACCACGAGCCTTGCTCATTCATAACCAGAAAGTCCTTTCTCGGCTGAAAAATTATGCCAAATGTTTGCCGAGTATCAACCATTTTCCCCGCAGATCTCCCACACCGATGCTCCTCTCACTTAACTCGAAAGAAAAAGCACTTCGTAGTGCGCTTCTTATTTGTTCTTCTGTCTAGTAGCAACAAGACTTTTTTTTTCTTTTGGACTCTCTGTCCAAATTTTTTTCTCGCCAAGTTTTGCACGTCCGGAACAAACATGAGGTAGTTGCGACAACAAATTTGGATAGATTGAAACAATTTTTAAAGTGCGTTCATTCGTTTGCAACTAAACATCAGTTGAGTTTCCGTTTCATAGTGATAAATACACAAATGAAAATTGATGATAAGACAAACAAAATTCAAACGTCAATGAGAGCAAACCCCTGACGGAAATTCAGAAATTGAGCAAGTCACACTAACATGAGCAAATGATATAAAATATTTCAATATTCTTTCTATTAACCCAATAACTCAGTAATTTTTCAAAATAATCCGAGAAATTAAAAAGTTGTTTAATATTTGATAGAAAGTATTGTCGAATTTCCGCGACTACGGAATCATACACAAAAACAATGCCAAGGTTCACATAGTGCACCTTCCTATGCTGTCATGCTGTCGCATTACGACGACAGTATTGAAACTATGAAATAATGAAAATATCTTGCGCGATTTGCTAAAATTTGCGCATTTAACCTATTTCTTAGTTTAGCTTCTCTCTTCATACTAATCGAGTCCAATATTTGTCTTTTTATCTCACGCTGATGTTAGTGGTATAAATCTATAACCTAATCCCATCGTTCTGCGTCTTTACACACTATTGAACATGGCTTTGATATTCCGTATTTTTGCGTACTACAATGCGCAATTCCACAAACAAAAATCGCTTGCTGGGTACAAAGAACATGCTACCTCAGTGGGAGCAGGTTCGAAGGATCAACGGAGCAAATTGGGTTTTTTTACAACATTTCATCGCAACGAGTTTCCGCTTATCATATGAAGTAACACGATACTCACATTTGGGGTCAGAACTCGTACAAAAACTGCTGAGGTCATTAGCGAATGCCTAATGGATTGCCGATAATGTCGACCATGTCCATTTGACTCGCTTTGGATCTGGAAATTTGTGATTTTTAAAGGTATTTTATAGCTCTGCCTACCGTATCTTCAAATATTTCGTAGATGGCGTTGATTGGCAACGCACGGTACTCGGAGGTGAGTAGTGTACGGAACAGCCAGCAGACCATCGAGCACTCGCGAGTGCGCCGCCGAACTGCAGTATAAAGTTTCTTCACAAGGAGGAACATTACGGTGAATGCGGATTGAAGTCAATGGCTAATTAACTATTTACCTACTATACTTTTCCGCACCGATCGTTCCGGCTTCGTCGCGTTCGCAGCGCCACAAGACGATGTTGGATCAAGAAACATGTTCATCATCATATCAAATGATGACAGCGAGTTGCCTGAAATTATTTTAAATTAAATAGCAATTAGCATTCACATTGACGATATTCTGAGGTGATTATATCTCCATTAAAATTCACATTTAAAATTTTGGAATGAAATTTCTATTGGATAGAATTTTTAAATGTTTGCACAACAATTATTATTTGAACTTATGATGGAACTCTGAATTTTACATTTCATTTTGTCAGCGTCAAACGATTGAGTGAAATTTGAAAAAAATGGCTATGTTCAAAAATGTGGCAAAGAGAAATGAGCGTGTCTGCGTACCCTGCATTTTAGCGTACGCGCATTCAATATTCATTTCCTCCGCTCGCGAATCCTTACTTGCTTCATGAAGAACCCGCCTCTATTTTGTGTTGTCGATAATATCTTATTGACTTTTTGAAACAAACTATTCAAAAACATAGGAAACTAATTTTCTACATTAAAAAAATAGACTATGTATAACATTCATATTACTTATAATACTCACTTCCTGAGTCACATTGAAATGATGGACTAGACAACGAAGAAGAGGACGAATCGTCGAAATCATCGAAAAGAGAGGAAGACGGAGACTGAGCAGCAGAATCCAAAGCTTCTGATTTCAAAATGAATCACTGGATTGGTACCAAGAGTTACCTTCTTTCAAAGGATCTCGAGTTCCCGTTAGCTGCCAATCATCATCTTCGATTGGGGTGGCAACCGCTGAGAGCATCATTTCCATTCCAGAGCATTTATCATCCATATTGTATGTTTTTGCCTGTAAATTTGACAGTCAAAGGTGATTTTGTAGCGGGAAAACTAAACAGAGACGCTTGATTAATCGAGAGTAAGAACAGAAGTGAGAAGAAGGCATTGCAAATTTGATTAACAGACGAATGATGTATTCCCGCGAACACGCCGGTATGAACAGTAATTAGCGAGAAGTACAGGTAAGAGGTTCAGCAAAGATGGCGAGAAAGTGGCTGAGGAGCGTAGTGATGCGATAGTGAAGACCTCTAACGTATGTTGGATGTGTGAGTGGGGCCCGCGTTTGTGTGTGTACGATTGAGAGAAAAAGACAGAAACTACGGGTCCTGGGAGCAAAGAACACACAAGTGAAACGTGGGAGGCTCCTTTGGCGCCGATATAGAATATATCGGCGCGAGAGGTAGACATTGGCGGAGATTTAAAATTTTCGGAGAAACATGATTGACGTTGATAATTATAAGAAAGGTGTATATTTAATATTTACCGTATAAACACTTAGAAATTCAATTTTTAGGAGAAAAATTAAAATCTAAAAATTTGATAAATATGGCCTTGTAAAAAGTTAGGCCATTTTTGTTAAATTATAAAGCTCACTTTCTTTTTATTTTCGCGGTTTTCTTCATTCTTAGTTTTTATCTAAACTAATGTCTTGAAATTAACAAAAAATGAAATAGGAAAAATTGTCAAAATTAAGAATGTTTATTGAAGGCGTAAGTTCCAGTAAAAGTGCAATGGTGTCAAAAATATTATCAGTGATACGTAATCAGTATTAATGAAAAATGAAATTATCACAGAACAAAAATTTAAAATAAGCGAAATTCCACTGAAATCATGCTCTAGTATTCATAATTTTGGGATCATGCAATTCGTGTTGCCACGTGTTAAGTCACGTACACGCGATAAATTGTTTATTTCCTTTTTTTTTAAATCAAACAACGTCTCAATAAATATTCTGCGCCTTTATAAATATGTCGCATTTTGTTGACAGAATTGCGGCTCCTTTCTACTGGAAGTATATAAAGGTGCATCCACTTTTTGTTTGCAATCGGCTTATTTTTCATCATCAATGCATTGCTACCAAAAAGATGCACGCCAAAAAATAAGACAATTTATTTAAATGTGAATACAACGAAAATCGATGAAAAATAATCAAAAAATTCTTGGAGCTTTTTTCCAAAAAAGTATCAATTGGAACTTAAATCACGTTAATATCTAAAATCGCTTATTTTTTTCATAATTATGATAATGGGGCATAATCTTGAGAGCCCAAATGAAATCATATTCATCGTTAGAATTGTTACAACTGAAAACGAAATGTTTGCAGGCAGAACAGACGGTGTTTGGCAGCTGCTTCACTTTAAAAGGAAACGCAGGTGTGTTGGCCGATAACAAAAAGGCAAAAGAAAAGATGAGACAAAAAATCAGTAAGCGTTTATTGGTCTCGGTGTGAACGCTCGCCATGTTGCGATATTCTTAGTAACACTGCCATCACGAATAGCATACATTCAAACGAAAAAGGGGGATGTTCGACGGGTGATAGCGACGATATGATATCCGATGAGCCTGAGCCGATGCGTGTGCCTACGCCCGTGTGTAGTTCGCCCAGAAAACGGGGCGTGGCACACCGTTGGAGAAAATCAAAAAGAAGTTGACACAAGATGGGCGGGAGAAGAGAACGAGAGAGCAAAATATATAGTAGTAGTTTTGGCGAGCACAAAACTGAGTTCTTTGTATTTACGCGTGTTCATCTGCGTCTCGAAAAGAAGCTGGGCTCTCGTCGAAAAGAATGAAAAAAATAGAGAAGAAAAACGATTGGAAGAAGAAGTGAGTGAAAAAAGCTGTGTTTTTTTTTCTCACTGGAACTTCACTGGGTGGGCAATCGTATTAAAAATTGACACGGCAATGAATTGGGAGTAACTGCGGGGCAATTCCAAACACTGTATGGAATTTCGACTGATGAGTTTTGAAATTTCCAGTAAAAGATATATTTTTCCATCGCTACAATTTTGGATTTTTTTTAATGAGAAGGAATGAGGCTCCGAAAATATCAGAGTTGTTTACGCATTACGACTAATCCACAGCAAGTCGATTCCTCTGTTGCAGAAAAGAAATTTTTAGTTTGAGCAAAAATGTTGTTGGTTATGGTGTGAGCGGATATCGATAAACAGCGCGGAAGGCGAAACATTGAATTAATTTGCACAAATCGAAGGGATATCAAGAGGACGCGAAACTCGTTGAAATTCAACCTCTTAGTGCAGCAAAAAAAACTCGGCGTTTTGATGACGTCAACACAGAGGAAAGGCACAATCGGAACCGCCCGTTTGTCACGTAGGCGCATTGAAAAATAAAAGATTTTGAAACAAATAAACTATAGGCATGTTGCCAATGAATTTGTCCAATGATCAGATCATTAATAAATCAAAAGGACAATCATTCTATCGGCTTTGTCATCTAATTAATGCGACCGTTCTGCATCATTGATGGTTATCACCGTTTCGAGAAAGTCCGAAAATCAAAACAACAATGAATCTTGTTCTGACAGTTGATGTATCAAAGAACTACGAGATGGACGGTTTTTGGCGAAATTCCAAAAACAAACCCAAGGCCAGAAAAACATGATCAAAAGATCAAGAAACACCTCAAAGCTTAGCAATTTAATATGTAAAACTTAAACGAAACACTCAGCATTATTTTGGCAGATTGACTTTTGAGAATTTAAAGTAATCTTTTGTCAAATTCGACTGATCTGATCGAGGGCGAGAACTTCAATTTTTGAAATCATTGTATATTTAAATTAAAAATTGGCTGATTCATGCCAATGAAAATTAGCATTACAAAAGATTTTTTATATATTCCGTGACTCAATAATATTTTAGATTTTTTAAAACAAACTTAAGAAAATCTTTAGAAAAATTTTAAAATGCGTTGTGAAACTTTAAAAACTTTAAAATGTTTTTATAGACATATTTGAAAACTCGTTTAATCGAATACTGTGAGTTCGAACAAATTACCAAAGAATCTTATAAGTATTTTGCAAATATTTTAAAGATTTTCGCAAAAAAAAATCAAATGCCCTGCTGAACTGCATAGCCTCGTATTTACAACTTGGCACATTGCCAATATGTTTTTTAGTGAATTTTGTTGTGTCGTTTAAACGCGACAGTATATGTATTATATATATCATATATATCAAATTATGAATAGAAATCTGGGAATAAGTAAAAAAAATGAAAAGAGCATTTTTTGTCTCCCATGAATCGCCGATGGTTCACAATTAAAAAAAAGCTCAATATCATCTCGAAAATGGCCTTTTATAGTTTCATCGTCATTTTTATGGTTGTTGCGCGAAACAATACATTTGTTTTAATGGGTTTCAAAGTTCATTGGGATTTGTTTTGATTTCATATCAATTGAACGAATTCCTGCAAAATGGGTCATGTGATTTGCCTCCAAAGGACAGCTGGTTATCTCTTGAATATTGATAGTGTGAAGGTGCTTGATTAAATGTCGATGATGTTGAAAGCATTTGGTTCCTTCAACCTTATGACAAAAAAAAAATGAGAGATTGGGCACTTCGATTGATATCCTGGTTCTCATTGTTTCTTGCAAAATGTTTTCCAGGTCCGCGAATCAAAATCATTTTCCTAATGCCTTTCGATGTTTATTTGTTCCAATGAACGAAACACATGTAACAAACGTGAGAAATGCAAGGTTTTTCAATGATAACCTACAATAAAACAAACGGCCGAATTTTTTACACTACCGAGAAAAAAACCTTGATTTCATCCGTATAAGAGATATTTTCAATTCCTAATCCAATATTGTCTAAAAATTTCCATCGATTTTTTTTTAAAGTTTAGAACCTTTTATTTGAACATTGTTATTTAATTGTCGGTAGTAATTCGAATCATCGATGATGAATCACAATGTTCTTCGTCTCAACCATCGTCTTCTTCTTGCTATTAATCGAAGAACACAAAAAATGATGTTCAAACAATGTTGTCACTCTGATTGTGAACCTTGTCTGTCTTTTTGGATTAATTCTGTCTCGGACATCCACCGGTTCGGCGTGGGTTTCAAATATCGGCGCAAATGATTCGTGCAGAAATCGTTTTTTCAATTTTGATTGATTGCATTTCAAATTGTTTTGAAGGAATTATCGAAGTTTGACGGAACAGAACAATTACAAAATAATTCCTTTCAAAATTTTTCAATAAGTCAGAGAATCTGAATTGAATCGACTGTTTATTTATTAAAACTATGAATTCGAATGACAATTTGGACGAATATTTGGTTTTTTTTTTTTCATCTAGTGAAAATAACAAACTTTTTACATTTCTTATTAAACGGAAATTTTACACTGATGCCAGACAAACACCGGACGTTTTTTTTTTGCATGTGAACATCGGTCTGAAATCGACGTATCCAGACGGACAAATGTTCGCTATGCTCGTCGGATAGGTGGAAGAGAATGAACACCCGATGATAGGACGGAGAAAATCAAAAATCGGACGGATTCCGAGAAAATGGATCGGAGTTATGTATCACATTTGCGAAGAGTTTCAAACGCTGACAGAGAGGAATCTGAGGCAAAAGTTTAATAAACACATGCGTTTTTTTCATGTGAACAGCATCAATAAGCCAAAAAATTTGTTTATCAACTGCAAAAGAGAAAACGAGTGGCTCACGAATGAGATTTGTGTTGATCGTTTAGAAAAAATGCTTTTTGGTGGACCGAGGGGCAATTCGAAATGAAACAATTGAAAAGTTGCCAATTTCGGCCATTCACAATTTTGATCTTGGAAACAAAAACAATCACTTTAATTCGAAACATCACCAACAATTTAATTATTTCAGAGTTTATATAAAATACGAAAAAAGGGTAAAATACTACTTGAAGAAATAGTAAATGACAAGCGTTATACGCGGATTGCGACACTAATTTCCAATGCCTTTGGATAATTCATATTTTCGGTTTTCAGCAAAATTTAATTC